GGGGGGGGGGGGGGGGGGGGGGTCCGACTAATCAGAAAATAAACGTCATGTATTTTATGAACGGCCCCAAAGGAAAGATAGTCGATATAGGTCGGATGATATCAGTTGTATAAACGCCAAAAAAGTTTGTTTTCCAAATGACATTCTTAGAAAAAATTTAGTTTGTGACCAGCATTTTGCACTTGTCCAATGTTCTCACTGCCGTAAATTCCTCCGCTTATATCGTTTCTACGCCGCATTCCATCCGAAAAACTGCAACTGACTGTGAATCAGTAAGAATTTTTAATTTTTCTACATGTGTTCATTTGCTTAGTGTGTCTAATTAAAATATCCCACGGTTGGTTTTTCCATGTGTCGGTTATAGATTCAATGTACACAGAAGCATCAATAGGAGGGGGGGGGGGAGAGATGCAAAATGAAATAAATGTACATAGTGGAAAAGTTGGAAGTGGAAATACAAAAAATTTTTAAAGGAACTTTTTTAAAGGAACGAATTTAAAGGCATGCAACAAAGAGCAAGAGGTTTAACACGCGCATATATTGCGTAAATTTTCGGAACTTGTTCAAATGTTCCACAATTGTGAGACCAAAAAATTTCGATTCTTACCAGGTTGCCTGAAAGAGGAAGGAGGACAAAAAAAACCACTCGTATAAAAAGTGACATGTTAATGATAGTAGTAAAAAAAAGTAGCACATAAAAAAATCAATCAATAGAAAAAGCATTGGAAAGACCAGGGATAAAATTGAGAGTTCGGCCAGGAATTGAACCCCAGACCTGCAGAGTACTGATCGCTGCTGCTGGCCACTACACCACAGTGTCTGGTGAGTGGAGGCACGCAAACAAACCTATCATATGCACACAGCCCACCGCACCCTGAAATTCGGAGGTCAATTTTACCCTTTTCCGGGGGGCATTGGCAAAAACGCTTAAAGACATGACTAATGGATTTTCATGAACTACAATTTGGCCAAACGCCGATCGATTTTGAGGAGACATGAGTGTAAGGTCCCCTTGTTAAATTAAAATTAAGTAAAATTAAGGAAAATAATTCTGATACATAATAAAACTAAAGATGTGTTTAAAATAATAATTACCTCTAAAATATAATCTTTTCCCTCAAGAGCGAACATTTTTCCTCCAATACCAAACTTGATGGTTGGTAAGCTGCTTACCAAGTCACAAGCAACCTGTCGAAGAAAATAAATAAATGAATATGTAAATGAAAAATAATGAAAGTGCATCAGACCAATGATGGGGAAATGAACATAAGTAAAGTTATTAACATGGTGGCATTAAAGAATCTCAGTTAAAAATGGGGGTTTTGAGACTCTGCAAAATACAATCTTAACAAGGCAAAATACCGAGTTGTTTGCCTCTTAAAGTCCAAGATCCTCCGAAACCCCACTTTTAATTGAGAAGTCAATTTTTCTAATTTCACTATTGAGTTCAGCGAATCAAATTATGGGAGCATATCAAAATCATGAGATGCGGTGCATTACAATTGCCAAAATGCAGGAAAAACAACTTATTTCTCAGAGCTTTGAGAGGGAGGGGCTGTAGCTCCCTTTCAAAGCACTTACGGAAAAATTTCACGGAAGAAAAACTCCTACTTTAACACGTAGAACATGCTCCCGCAGTCAGACAGTTATGGATCATTCTGTATTTATATGTGAATATCGACGGTGAAACTACCAAACCACGTATCTCGGTTTGCGACGTCGCAGACTTCCTGTCATACTTTATTTTTTAAATGAAAAACTACTCAACGTCCAGTCTTGAAAATTTCTGTGATTTTTCCTCTTCGTGCGGAGAAAATTCTGTGAAAATTTCAAGAAATGATATTGATTTGGTCTACTTCAAAAAAATAAAATGCGAGCGTAGATTTTTAAACACCGCAAACGAGATACGTGGTTTGGTAGTTTCACCGTCGATATGCTCTATTTCCTGTGCAGTATAGGCACAAAAATTGCTCCAGTGTCTCCTCTACCAAAAGAAATGTAGATGCTAACTTGGACTGCATTTTGCAATTTGGAACTATAAATTCGGGCCCGGTTTAAAAACAACGTATGTGCCATTAGCTTCCCTATGCACATAAGTGATTTTCCAGAAGAGCCAAAATTTGTAGTTCCAAATTGCAAAATGCTGTCCAATTACATCAGCATCAAGAGTCATCCCACACTTTTTCAACAACCTCAATGTTGGATTAGCTCCTTTTTTTCAGTAAAGCGTTTCTCACCAGCTTACACGGTAGCAGCTATCTTGAGATAGCCCATTATTTCTGAACAAAATTCATGCCCAGAGTGCTTTCTATAGGAAAGAAATCAGCTTTGAAAAAGCAAAACCAAACACAACGCTATCTTTACATTATTCAGTCCATCCTAAAATATCTTAAGACTCGGAGCGGAAACCAGCCCACAGAATGTAAGATTAGAATGGACTTAAAATAACTTACAAAACTTTCCGCTCCAGTGCCAACCGCACCTATTAGTTTATTGATCTTTTTCACTTCAGCACTTGGACCAGCAATGAGACTGGTACCAGTATCGGCGATAGCATTGCAAGATGGAGAACAGAAGTTGCTATCCTGAACTGTTAGCCTGAAATAAAAGAACAGAATTTTAGGCCAACATTTAACAGCAAAGGAAAATGAATCAAACAGAGAGAAAAAAGTGTACCTGGCTTCTTTTTATAAATTTTTACCAAGACTGTATGTAACACTATTTTCCTCATAGATACCGATCCATAAATTTGAGTGTAATTTCAGAGCATCAAAAATAAAACTACCTATGCAGATATGTACTTGGCTTCGTTAATTTTGGAAAGGTGCAAAACCGTTCCATAATTTTAAACTTCAGTCTTCAAGCTAATGCGTCTTGGTGTCATCATTACATGGATAACAGATGAAAATCGGGGTAAAAAATCAACTTACCACAAGCACAATAAATAGCAACAGAACTAAATTAACCGCAGAATAAAGAAGACAAAGCAGATTAAATTATCCCAAAATAAGTTACTTTTAAAGTAGATATGACTTTGAACCAACTGTAGTTCCTCATCCAATCTCTAATTTTATTACTCTTTTCTTACATGCACTGTAAACCCATTAACTCACAACCAGTCCACAGTGCCACTTACTGTCGAATTCCTTCACTATGACAATCCGTCTGGATATTTCAATACAGTAATGAAACATTACAATGAAAAAAGTACATAATTGCTTAAAAAAGAGGGTTTGAATGTCATCTTCAAATGTTTTACTTCATTTCTTTGTTATGTAATGGAGTGCATGGTGAATTATGGGAGGAGGGTATGAATCTCTCATGAGGTATACGGCTTGTCTCGAAAGTAAGTATTTTTTTGCAGCAAGTTCAAATCTACTGAATGAAATCTATAAAATATTCTTATTGATCAAACTATAGCTTCCTAATATTGTAAATGCATCCATCGTAGGCTATGAAGTTTTAATGAGGAAACATGAAAGAATTCTGTCAAAGCTAGGAAGAAAGCCGTAGGAGCCATCGGACATTGCCAAATTTCCTTTGACAAAACACAAATTTCCTGGAAAATTACGTAAGTCTTTTCCTTCGGATTTCTTAGAGCAAGTTGCTTATGATTTAATCTAAAGTGTCAGAAAATTTCAAGAAAAAACATTCATAATTTTCTTCATGAATAAATATTTTCTGAGAGAAAAATCAGTAACATTTGAATGCTTACACAGCGTTTTCCCTTAGCACGGCAGTATTGTGGTGCGTAATTTTATCCCCTGTCAAGTGATCCATTAAATCCTGACACACTAAAGCCCAATTCACATTATCAAACTTTTCATCCAACTCTTGGATGCAATTTGTTGAATGAAAAGTTGGATAGTGTGATACTGATGTGAGAAAACTAAAATTTGATGAAAAATTGAACGGTAACTTAAATGTGACGTCACATTCAACTTCTTGTTCAACTTTCCATCCAATTAGCAGCGCCAATTGGATGGAAAGTTGGAGCGAAAAGTTGGAACAAAATCTTCCGACCAACATGAGCCGAAGCTGTATCTTCGAACCGCAAGCTGATGACGATATCACACTGCAACCGTAATCGAATCAAATTTTCTTGCGTCCAACTTTCCACCCAATTTTTAGTTCAATCATGTCAGATGAAAAGTTTGATAGTGTGAATTGGGCTTTAAAACAACCAAGTTGATCACTCCTTGGGAATTTAAAGATGGTTTTTCACTTCAGCATCTATACAGTGAAAATGGCTTGGCGAGACAGACAAAACGCTGTAAATTAGTATCTTTGAAGGGTGCATAATAACCATAGGGAGAAAAAAGAAGGTGGAGGCAGTTTCAAATTGGTTTACATCCTGACGTTGGTGGGTAAAATATGGCATTAATATCTAAAAAATCAGGGATTTTAAAAATGGAAAAAGGATCATAAGGACCTTTGTCTTGGCGTAATTCAACAAGAAATATGATTTTAAATATTTTTCGACGTATGATTTTTTTTCTCCAAAACTCACATCATTTTCGAGTAAATCAATGACAAAAATCTCTTCACCCACTAACACCATCAGCTTCTTTTCAAGATGAAATGCAAACACCTCCTTTTTTGTCACCCAATGTAACAACTAGAAAAATAAGGATCAAGTATTACGCATCCATGGTGAACTGCCAATATCCTTCTTTGGTTACAGGTACATAAGTGAAGTCACCCTTGTACTTTTCACTATCTGAGCCACCAAAAATAATCTCACCACCTGGCTGAGTCGATGTGTTTCTGTCAACAAAAATATAAATTATGGCAAATTGCCGAGATTAATGAAAAGGGCAAAATAAGGGATTCTTGAACTAATAACTTACAGCAAGAATTGTTTCTCCATTAAGAGTGGATTAGCATGGTTCCTAGAAATTTGTTGCTGTAAATATTATTGACGATGGTGTTGTTTGGAATTCATCTTTTTTCGATGGGCATTTAAAAGCAAAATGAATTTGTCGGATGCTACCTTGAATAAGTCAGTAAAAATTCCTCTCTTCACAGATTTTGCTTTGAATTGTCTTGAGTCATCAACAGATTTTAAAATCAATACTTCAGGGAATTAAAATCCTTTCAATACATCTTTCCTAAACCCTCAAATAATAAGTCACTTGACCTGGAGAGGGACTAGCCTTAAAATAGTTGATTTCCACAGTTTTTGGAAAATACAAGAAAAAGTTGGAAAACCAAGCAAAATTTTTCCTTGTAATGGGTCAGATGAACTAGCCATTGAGTCATGTTTTGATCATCAGAGAAAAATAAAAATATCTGCACCAACGCCATGTTTCTATATTCATATCACCGGAAATGTCACTCATCAAAAACTTGGCTAATGCCGTTATCTACTGTGGTGATACACACCGTAATTCCCTCTACCTTGGTTTCATCAATTAGTAACACACATATTTGCTCTGGTTGCTCTATGTAAAGCATGATGAAAACAAGGTGGAAGGAACCATGGTATGCAATCAGCGGTGGATGACGTCGTACACAGAAAAAAATTAAAAGTTGATTTAGCATGTATGCTGTTAAAAAATGTGCGACAAGTATCAACTGCTAATTTAACACTTAAAGAAGTGCTGACTCAACATTGAATTTGTTTATTTAACCGTGGGCGAAGTTAACATAGCATTTTTCTTACTGTAAAATTGGCATATATACTTGTCGCACATTTTTTAACATTATGAATGTTAAAGCAACATTCACTTTTTCCGTGTAAGGAATATTGATGAGCAATAGCTGTGTTAATATTGGACACGAGAACTTGGTGTTTGAACAGATCTTATTATTATTTGCTATTCTATAAGCTTGAACCATTAAAATACAATTCCATAACTAGCACAATTGACCCATTGCGTATGATTTTTCTAAAATGAGAGAAGAAAATTCACAGAGTGTTTTAAAAGAAACGGTTGCTTAGTTTTTCTTTAAAACGATAAAACATGAGCATGGACACCATTGCAATCTGAGATAGGTATACATTTTTTTACTTTAGTTGTTGATTTGCTGCAGCGATTTTATTCCAAATCTCAAAATTATTTTCATGGTGTCTCGCCGATGAGAGCAAGAAAGCTTCTTTTTTCAAAACTTCCGTTTAGGCTGCTTAAATTTTAAGGGAAAAAAGAACAATTTAAACACCCAATAATTTTTTTTACAGCAATCATTTTAGAAATTAGAATTCAACCATTTTTAGGTTTCTTTGAGGACTGAAAGAGAATCAAAAGACTTTGATTTATTCTAGTAAAGCTTGATCTCTGGTGCTAAGTCAAACAGTTACCTACTTTCTTGAAAAAGCATTGCATCACACATTTACACTAAATATTAACCACACCATCATACGGATCGCATTTTGCAAAAGAGAACTGAGAGCATTCCAATGTTACTAAGATTGTGCAACTTTTTTTACCTTGCAAATATAAACTGATCCTCTTAACAAGTTGTATCTTTAGTCTCAATAAACTAGAAATTCAAGATGAAAATTACTCTTTGGAATTTAATTTTCTTCACGATTTCAGTTATTAGGTTGCAAAGAGGGTAAGTTGCACAATCCAAGCAACATTGGAATGCTCTTGGTTCCTTTTTGCAAAATGCAATCCACATAATGATGAGGGAGCTGAAAAAAAAAAAAAAAAAAAAAAAAAAAAAATCAACATCTAACCTGTTTAGATAAAATGAGAAAACTGGTGCGTCAATTAAACCTTGCTGGTACATTTTGTAGATGGGAGGAACAACACCATCAACAGAGATTGTATCATATCCAAGTCCTAGGATACCATCAAACTTAGCCATTACAAAAATTAGACCTGGTTCTGTCACAGCTTCTGCAAATGTTTGGTTTACAATAGATAACCCAGCAATCTGTAAACAAAAATGTTCTTAACTTAAAATTAAAACTGAAAAATACTTAAAAATGCGTAATGCTAGAGCAATGTATACAAGAAAACTCGGCAGAGGAAACAAAGTTTTTCAAGACAGTACACTTAGGTCACACTGATCAACGAAGATTTTAGGAGAATTTGGCTAAACAAAGGAAGTCTTTTTCAATAATTCCAAAGAAATAAAATAAAAAAATGTATGTTCTTAAGGATGTCAAAACCATCTTTCAGCCTCATTGTGAACTTAAAACATCTTCATCTTTACGATGAAGGCCTCCTGTAAGCATTTGCTATTCGGTTTTTTGAGAACCTTCAATGCTTTGTTTAAAATAAGTGAAACATGTTGCTGCTCTTTTTCTCCTGTAAAATAGACGAGTCCTTCAAAGTTCTTGCGCAATTAGCATTCCAATCTTACCAAAGACCATGCATAAAATAAAATATGTTTAAAGGGGACATGGACCCAAAAAGGCATTGATAACTTGATGGAAATCCCTAAATGAGTGAATAGAATGAAGGCCCAAAATAAGACTTAAAACAATGCAGTCAAACCAGCGCTATCTCTGCAAAAAAATGATTTTGCGAGGTCAAATAGGGTGGACAATGCTGGACAACAGATTGGTTTTGATGTACACTGCTAGCAGTTTCATTATGTCTACTTAATAATTTTGAATGTTAAGTTTTACTTACTCATTATATTTTATTTTACTCCATCACTCCTCTTAAATTCATTTGAGGTGATTTAGTGTAGATTTTCACTTCATTCTTTTATCTCAACTGCTTCTGCTAATAACATGACCTAGCTACTAATTGAAGCATTGTAAAGAGAAGATTTGATTTCGATCAATTGGCGTATCTTCCAAGATCTTGCAAAAAACGAGGTAAAACTGATAGGATCACAATTCTGTTTGGGAGGGAGAAAGTAAAAGTAAATAGATAATACCGAAACAGTATCTGTAGAGAGAAATCCACTGAGACTACCAGATCCGTAAGCAATATGGAATTTTGTGCCATTAGCTACATAGGTGGAGGAGGCTTTGCTGTTGTATTTGCTGTGAGTCACTGAAAAAGGTAAAAGATAAGGGTTGAAATACATTTTCATGCATGAGTTCATGAAGGAGTTCTGACAAAATATTGCGGGCATAGTCAGACAAAAGCTTAAAGTTTCATAAACTTACAAAAATACATGAGGAAAACTTATTGAATTCAGAGCCACACAAAAATGTTAAAGTCAATCCACCTATTTTTTCCACGAGTAACAAACTTGCTTTCGTAATTGGAATTTTGTGTGGATTGTTTTAAAAAAATTGGATCCACAGAGACTTGCTACTTGTCTTAATAATTCAATTTCGGTATTTAAGGTCAAGTATTCAAGAAGCAAGGTGAAAGTACAGCTGGGTTAAAGTCATTGATTTGATACGGGCATTCAAACAGAAATTTTTTTAGTGCCACGTTAGCTCTTATTCTAAGACCTTTGCTTTGATTACACTTTAGAAACAGATAGCTACTTCTGATTCATAATTCATTACTAAATAAAAACGTAGGGACTTATCTGAATGTCCTAAGAACAAAATAAAAAATTATCATTTCACATTAAAATATACAAAATAAAAAGAGGCAGTTAGAGAACGTTTTTGTTCATTAAATTAAAGACAAGAGAAAGGAAGCTTTAGAAATTGCTTGCTTACAACATGCTATGTTGGTGATGCTACACTTTTTGGAGGGCACCCAAAGGTTAGAGGATCCAGTATCGAAAACAACCTTAAAATTCTGAGGAGGAGTTCCAATGGTGATTGGGCCATAGTATTGTGCCTAGAACAGAACAAATTACACACTGGCATGAACTTTCAATGACTAGACCAATTAAAGAGGCAACTCAAACTACCATAACGGCACCTGTAAAAATATTGCATCAAACATAAGATTGTAAGAAAAGAAAAGCATAATTCAACATTATACAACTAAAAAATTTTGGAGAGGTGTATGCTTTTGTTCCGCTTAGAAATATTACCATTAGTGCATGTATGCATGCGCATAAGCATGTGTGTGTCAATGTATGAATTTAAATTTTTAATATAGATGCTGTCACTGGTGGAAGAAAAACATTGATAAAGCAATTAAGCACAGATAAATTTATAAATAAATTGGTTGATAAATTAAAACATTGGTAAACAAAACGATAAGATAATGAAAGCGTTTTCTCAACAACTGAAGTGAGAGATGCTGGGATTCTTGATGTTGGTAGATCTGACATGATTTCAGACTCCATCCTTGAACTTTAAAAATTCTTTAATACCTATAAAGCACAAGGGTGGCAAAAAATACAGCTTTCCATGTAGACAAGTGGAGTGAAGAGCTTTGAGATATTCTACATTTTGAAGATTATTCCAACTTTTACTCATCCTTGAATGAAAGGGATAGGGAAGTTGGGAAAATACTACATTGAAAAATAATACAACATGGAATTTGTATCCAACAGTAGAAGTTTACATGACTAACATTAAAAAAAAAAAAAAAATACAGGATGGCATCTTGATGTGATAAAAAAAAACAGTTTCTAAATTAAATTGTGCATACACTCTTTTTTTTTTCTTTCCAATTTTGACTCTCAAAATTTACAAGTTTATGATCATTTCTTTTTTACATTTAACTGCTACCAAGATGAGCCTCAAAATAACATGGGAGGATCCAATTAATAAGGTACCAGTGTGGTCTAGACCCTTCTTAAATATCATTTCATTTCTCAAGTCAGCAAACGTTGACGACCAGCAGTCTACAGACCTGCAATTTTTTTATACTCTCATACTAAACTACATTAATTGAGAGCACCATAACATTCTTGAAAGAGAGAGATTCTTGATTGTTGTCAGTTTGATGAGTTTTAGTTAGAAGTGAACAGCTTCTCTCTAAATATAAAATTGGTCAAAAATATCAGATGCCTGCATTTTTAAAACACTCATTACTTTTCTGATTAGATTTCATGTAATGTTTCATGCAATGTTCACTTTCAGTTTGATCCTTAGCATTTGGAGAGCCTATGTTGGGACAAGTTATTCTTGAAGCTCTAGGCATATTTTTAAAGACTATGAACTAAATTTTTTCAAAGTACCTGCTTGAAACTTTGAAGGAGGAGAATAACGGATGGAAAGGCATGAGAGGAAAAATTTTGAGATGTTTATGCTCTAGGTACATTTTAAATTATCATTACTCCATAAGGACCTATTCCTTCCAGAAAAATTTCCTACTTGGCAAAAAAATTGAGTTATGGTCTTGAAATTTAGATGGTGACTCTTGTTTGTTACCTAAATTCAAAGATCAGTTTCAGGACAATAACATGTTCATCTTTGTTATGAAGCTTATGGTAACATTAGCTAGTACCTCTTGTTCACCTTCATAAAAATACAACTTACATCCATATAATTTTGTAACGGTTCAGGGCCATTCAGCTCACTGTAGTCTCCATACTGAATGCGTACTTCATTCAAGTCCAGATCAACATTCCTCGCTTCACTTCTGACAGAGGGTATTTTGTGTAACGGCACTCTAAAACATAAAATTTGAGAAAAAAATACAGATTTAGATTCGTCTTGGAGGAAAACTATATATATTAGTGAAACCGATACATTTATGAGGGAAAAATTACATTCTTGCGATAGATATGATTGCAGAGCGACTCGAACTGCCGCACTGATTTAATTTGCTGGGTTTCTACTAAAAGGGAGGGGGGGAAGGAGTTGGAGAGGTTAAATCAGGTTGATGGCCTGGTGGGGCCTTCCACCTATGACTTAAGGGGATACCTGGAACTAAGGATGGCCCATGAGCCTATAACCGCCTCTCCATCCTTTTTTCAAGTTGGAAACGGAGGTCTCTCTCGTTTTCAAGGTTCAGTGAACTGCAGCCACAGTATAGACCGGATCATACAAATATTTGTGCGTAGGTAGGTTCCTTTCTATTTGAGGCCTAAAATATACTTCAGACAATATACAGCCTCACGTAAGTCTGTCTTAGCGACTCAAATTGGTCAGTGGTGCAGTTGCAACTCATCACCGATGCTCACAAGGGGCAGGGGTGCAGAATGTTCACAATCTGGTGAGATATAGCTCGCAGAAGAACGGTGTACACAGCGAAACACAGTGTACACTCCTGCGATAGCCATGCTGATATTTTGATAATATTGTGTTGATTTTTTGTCGGATTTACTTCACTCACACTGATTCTTGTTAAAATTATGTACTCCAATTGCACTGAATTTTTGACAGATTTACTTCGACCATGCTGATTTTTTGTCAAAATTACTATGGCTGCGATGTCTAATAGTGCGTTGGGAAAATTAGCGTTTTGCTATAGAAAGGATACACTGATGAACCTTCTGCAACCCTGACAAGAGATTGCTAATATGGTTCCAATAGTTTCGTATGAGAAGACATTTGACCATAATCTGATTAAATTTTAGATGGGACCCTACCGATGCTCTCCGCTTATCAGTTTCTTTGTGAAAAAATGGACAATATTCAGCTTCAGAGAATTTCTAGAAACAGGATTGAGAAATTGAGCATCCTTCAAGGAGCCCCTGTGATTTCCACTCAGAGGAGATCAACAGAGGCCACAAATTCATCCACACTAGACAAAAATATAAGTCATAAAATAAATTTTAAGCAGCAAGTACTACAGAATCATATTTACCCCCAACAACTTTGGGGGTTCATTAAAATTAAGCACCAGTGGCTCTGATTGTGCCAAATTTGGGTTCAAAATTTCAAATCAATTACATAACGATAGGGTCCCTGATACATACTCAATGAAAAAAGTTTCAATTTTATTGGGCTCAAGACAATAGCCCTTCGTAACGTGCTTCAGGCCCCACTTAGGAAGAAACTACTTATCATGGGCTGCAGAACTTCGAATTCATGCAGATCGGAAAGAAAAAAATCATACGAACCGAACGAATTTTTTAGCATGAGATACTCCGAAGCAAACTAAGAGGGAGCAAATGAAGACATTTCTGCAAATCATCTTGACTACTTGACAAAGGTAAAATTGTTACAAGAATTTCGAGGAAGGCACGTTTAGACGCGATTCATTAACTGACTTTCGAATTTCACACGCATGAGGCTACGGTGGTCGTATCTGAGAAACGAATTGGAACTTGAGCAATAAACTGATAAGAAAAAGGATTTTCGTTCTACAAAAGAAAGCTTGTTCGCTGTTTTGATCTTCACGGCAACGAGCAGGGTGAGCAGCAGGTTAGGATGATAAGATAACGAATTAACGATACGGATTTGTAGATAACAAATTACTTATTTTTACGTCACTCCTCTTTACGCCTTTCATTGGCTAATAATTAAATTGTACCTGTTTACGTCACGAAAACATGTCGCTGAGACTTCCATTTTGTGATTGTGATTTGTTTTCTTTTGGGTGTCTTAAAAATTTAGTATTTATCTAGTTATTAGTTAAGTATCTCTCAGTGACGACCAAAATCATTTTTGCTACCGAAGAAAACCAGAAGTGTAGTGTTTGGTGAACGGTTCTAGTTTGTTTCAAGTCCTTTTAATTTTATTTGCGCCGAAAATGTCGGCTGTCGAAAACGTTCTCCAGCAGCATGTCCTGCAAGTTGCATCTGCCGTTGAAGAGCAGTTGGATGCAGAGATTCAGCAGCTGGACGAATTGGACTCAGATGGAATAGAAAAATTGAGAGAGCAACGGCTAAAGCAAATGAGAAATGAAGCCAAAGCTCGTCAAGAATGGCTGGCCAAAGTGAGTATTGAGCATTGAACATTCAGGTTGCGCCACTTGGTATCTTGGACATGTGCCTATGTACTCAGTTCATTATTTCATTTCCCTCTACCTACACCCCTTGCTCTAACTCAGGCTCTCGTCGTTATCTAAACAAATTTGGGCTTCATAACAAGCAAGTAATGCTATCTAGAATAGGGGTCAGCAACCTGATCCTTGAAATTTATGTCAGCACGATAAGCATCTAAAATCAACATATCACACAGCAAAGATAGGGCTAAGTCTTGTCTTATCTTTCCGACAAAGCCAGTTAAAGTTTCAACAATCAGGCTGCAGGTTCAATACCTACGAAACGATGGATGTATATTTGGTCAGTTGCGCTAGTCACAGAATTGTGTTTCGATGCTTGATTCTTGCAGATCTGGTCAAACAGCAACTTTCTACGTTCAATATTAACCAAGATATTGCCCTTTGCAAAGTTGGGTTTTTGACGTCATCCACCGTGGTAGTGACACCCTTGGTTTCTTTCACCTTGCTTTCATTCCAGTTTCACGATATATGCATAGAGCGGACGCATCGTTTGTTGAGACAAAAGTCAAGTACTGTTAAGGTATTCATGAGAGGTGTCATCTGACTGCATGTATTAACCTGTTGAGTGGTGCTGCTTCGGAGGTAATCAGAGATTGACATTTGTTTCAACATACGATGCGTCTGCTCTAACAAGTACCAATATGTGTCACACCGACTGATGAAAGCAAGGCGGAGAAAACCAGGGGTGTCACTAGCACTACCGCGGTAGATGATGTCAAAATCCCGACTTTTCAAAGGGCGATATCTTGGTTAATATTGAAAGTAGAAAGTTGCTGTATTGACAGATCTTATTATTTTTAGCTGATGTTCAAGAATCAAGCATGAAAACACGATTCTGTGACCAGCGCAGTTGACCCATTGCAACTATATGTAAGTAATGCTGTCATCTTTAGGAGTCGCAAGCACAAGCGGGTGTAAAACATGCACATTCATCACCAGCAACACTTGCCACTCTGTGAATATTAGGTTTCAGTTATTCTTGCAAAGGCATGATTTTATTCCTCAAGCTATTGCTGTGTGTCCTGCTTTATGCATAGCCTCACTTACAGGCGGTACAGCCAGTATCATATGTCATGAGACAGTAACCAAGACAAAATGTTGGCTGTTCACTAACCAAATTCATACCACCTCCCACGGACACAAAATTGTAAAGTCTCTTTGACAATTCAACCATGCTGAGGTTGCAAAATAAACATTTTTTAGAGCTTCCGTTAGATGAGATGGCAATTGTCTTTTTTTAAGCTCTGAGCATATTGACCAAACCATGAGTCTGTGCTCTGTGCACAGCGGTGATACCCTTGGTCAAATCCTAGTTGGCATTGGAATGGCTATAGCTTAGGGCTTAAAAAATTTAGTTAAACAAAGAAGTTTGTTTTGCAATTCTGTAAATCATGTAATAATGTTTGTAGGGTTCTCTTAAATTCCAGCCTTTCACAATTTCTCTTGTGTTCTATTTCAGGGTCATGGAGATTATGAAGAACTAGCAGAAGAAAAGGAATTCTTTGGTCTGGTGAAACAGTCCCCCAATATGGTTGTACATTTTTATAAAGACGGCTCTCCTCGATGTAAAATTGTTGATCATCACTTGAAGATACTCGCCAAAAAACACCTTGAATGTCGCTTCTGTAAAATTAATGTGGAACGAGCTCCATTTCTAACAGGTACCTCTCTTTTTTCATTGAAGAATTCTGATTCTTAATATCACTAATGATTGCCAACAACAAATCAATTCTGAGACCCACAAAAGTCGCATTGTCGGTGATGCACTGATTCAAACTCATCTTCTCTACGATTTGGGTGAGGCGCCAATTATTAAACCTGTTACCACTACGGTTTGCCTCATAATTCGCCAAGCATGACACATACCTCTGAGGCAGAGATAGCATCAACTCTCGGACCCAAGGGTATCATGAAGTTTAGATTTGTGAGGATAGAGTGCTCTCTCCACTCAGCTGAAAGTATTCAAGATGACTTCTTAAAGTGCTGGTCCCTAGGGACTGGCATGGCAGTTGGTAATAGGTATTCATTTATTCTCTTTTGAAGCAATGGGAGAGTATCAAAATGGATCATAGCAATTCAAACAAGACCCGAACACAAGCTTAATTTCTTTTCTTTGTAAGCCTCTATTGGACTTCATCAACCAATTACTCAATATCCAGCAACGAAGGTCCAAATCAGTGGAAAATTATTTTGTGCATCTTCATTTGAGTGAACAAAGTTACATCTCGGAAAGATGTTTTGTATCTTTTACTATTTCAAGTCAGCTCCCGTCTTGAAAAAAGTTGAAAGTCGAGAAGTAAGTAGATATTACCCTGTGGAAAAATAATTTTTCTCCCTCTCGCAGAGAAGGTTAGGTTCTTTCTTCACAGTATAAACCGCTGCAAGTGCCTTGATTGAATAAGAGGGAAAGTTTAACATTTTAAAGCAGTGGAAGGCTTTTATTTTACACGTCAAATTTCTCAAAACAAACTCAATATGAATTTTGTAGTCATGTCCTTTCAAATTTGATACACAGTATCATCAAAACTTCAATGAAGTTTTACCCCCATGTCAAGTTTTCCTATCAAACCAAATGCGAACCAAGAATCATCATTTGTAAGTGCCAGGCTATCAGCTGCTTATATTGGACAAGTTTTTCCTGCAGTAGGAGGCGAGAGCTAACTACCAAACATTTAACTCTTTTAAACTTGGACAGAATTCATTTTAATTTTGTATTCCCTAAATAAAGCTCTCGTTATATTATTATGTTGATATCGATGTTTCAAGGAAGATTAACACGTCAATTTTCTCTTTTTTCCTTTTTCCAGAGAGGCTACGGATCAAAATGATTCCTACTTTAGCACTTGTCAAAGACGGAATCACGAAAGACTACATTGTTGGATTTACTGATTTGGGCAATTGTGACGATTTCTCAACAGAGATGTTAGAATGGCGAATTGCCCAGTCTTTCGCTATTGATTACAAAGGAGATTTAATGAATCCTCCTGATCAAAGAAAAATGAAGAAGACGAGGCTTGTACCAAAAACAATTCGTGGAAAAGAACATGATGATGATGAAGATGACATCAATGACTGGTAGATTCTGTCGAGAACTTTTTCCTATTTTTTTGTTACAGTGTATAAAATTAACCTACTATGACTAACTTACTCAGACATTTAGTGCACTGAAAAAAATGGGAATCAGTGTTTTGCGACAACATCTTCAGACGATTTCTGTACAGAGTAAAAATCCAAATTACTTAGGACATCTATTAACTTCAAGGCATCCATCTGACCATTAAGGTTCAATTAAAACCCATCTGTTACTCTGCCGGTGGGAATTTATAACTTCAGATGTGTATGCACTTCCCCTAATTAACCTCAAACATTATTATATAATTGTGCTTTCCATACTTCAAGTATTTTAATTCTATTTGGTTTCAGAAAACGGCCTGTTTTCCGCATTTTAAATCTTGACAGGAGTGAGTCCACTCACTGAAAATATCTCTCCTCTAAAATGTATGATGAGGTTCAACTCATAATTTTCCAATGGTAACCCCTATCTCTTGGCATATCAGTCATTTTCAATTTAAGATCACGGGTGGCGGCAGCCATCTCTGGAGTAACTGTTATATGGAAAAAATGGTTTCTTTTCACATTGAGGTTAGAATTGCTCCAACGAATCTTTATTGGTAAGGTAATGGCACACCCGCCTATGAAATACCAATATATTCTAATGATACTTGTTGGAAATGGCCAACTCCATCGAAATTGCCTTTGTATTGAGTCAAACCAGTTTGCAACATACTTCTGCCTAATGGACAATCTGGCTTTTACATGTGATATACACAGGAACAGCTCGTTTTTGCCAGCTCAAAAAACTCCATTAGCCAGCTTCTTCTTGTTGTCATTTTTTTTTAACAGAACAATTGGACTGCATTTTGCAATTTGGACCTATAAAGTCTGGCTCATCTGAAAAAACACTTATGTGCATAGGGAAACTAATGGCACATACGTTGTTTTAAAACTGGGCCAGAATTTATAGGTCCAAATTGCAAAATGTAGTCCAATTTAGGTTGCTTTCGGAAAACCAATGGTACACCCAAATAGTGTTTTTTATTCATATCTACACTGTTTTTGCATTAGCTCCCTTAATTATTCACAGTCTTATTTCTCTATTTTGCTGGTGTTGAAATGCTTTTATTTATTTACACTGTTTATACTAAATAAAGTTTTTATACTTTTTTTTATCTCTTGTTTATTTTTTTCTTTGAATTTAATTTAAATTGATTTTGAAGCGGTGTTGATTAATACAAAATTTTCAAATAACAGCCTTCATTGTGCTAAAATTTTATCAACCAATTAACTGATGAATTGATTAAATAATTGAAGATTTCAGGCAGTAGGAAAATGGAGTTCAGTCTGTGAAAATTCAGAATTGAGTTATTGATTACACTACAAAGAGGAATTTATCGTGTACTTTTTAGGGGGGAAAACACCTAAAAATGTAAAACCAAGCATTAGAATTAAAATAGTTTAAAGTTTGTAACTGATTTTAACACTGTTTTAAGAAAAATCAACGCAAAGTTAGCATCCACCATGGTTAGGGTTTTCGTTTGTTGAATTAAAACGCAAATTCATTGTTTTAATTTCCACAAAAGTGAGCTGAATTGCTCAAGATTTAATCTATAGTATACTGGAGAGTCAAAAACTCAAAAAATACCTTTTCAACAAGACTTGAGAAAAATCCCTCTCCTAAAACATTAGAGGTCCCTTCTTCCGCATTCAGTCACAGTTTTCTTCGATTACATGAATAATTAAAACACGTGGCTCAGTGTCAAAATTTATCAGTTCAATGGTAGTTGAACACCATCTCTTAGTATCTTTGGTTATTTTGAGGCAAAAAAGCAAAGCAATAAGGGAAACAAAAAAATTAAAATTAAAATAGTAGACTTTATTAAATTAGCAATGAATAAAAATACACATTCGGATTTTCGGAAGTTAAAAGATATAAAATGAAAACATCTGTCTCATGATCTAAAAGATTACACACTGAAAATTACACGAAATTAAACGCTGAAAATTTCCTCTCAGGAAATAGTGTAAGCACAATTATTACAAAAATTGAATGTAACGAGAACTCAATGAGTTTGAGACTGCTTCATTACAAGATGATAAAATGATGATTAAACTGTCATTCATGCATTGTGCATAGATCATTCAAGCTAAGTTATTTGATTACCTTCGCGGACAAATCAGCAGCGTTCAAAATCAATCAGAACACTTTTCAAAGACAAATGAAACCAATATTGATATCTAGTTGATGGTACTTGCAAAGTAGTCAAACCTTGCAAAATGGTATGGTAATAGACAGGTAATAGAAATTTAAAACTACAGATCCGTTACTCTTTATGATAGTCTGAACAGTTATCCGAACATTAATTACCGAGAGCTACTGATAAAGAGCATCTCTCCTGCAGGAGGACATTCAAACTAAGTCTAGGAATTTGGTGAGAAAGAATACGTTCACCAACAACAAAATGTTCACTAAAATATGTGTACAGTCAATCTTGGCTTTATTCCACCAAAGCTCCTTATTTGCTGTTAATTGAGAAAATGTTCACTAAGAAGGAGAGAATGAGAACAGATGATCAGAGGACTATAGACAGTCATATTATCGCATAGTCAAGAGCTTTGATGAAAAAACAAGAATTTACTTAACCAGAAGAACCAGAAATTAAAAAATGATCAGAGAATATTTGACTTAAAAACAATAGGACAGACAATGGAACAGCAGAATAATATTTTATTCTTTGTCAGGGGTTTGATCTCCATTTTTCTCCACAAATGGACTACGTGAGGTTGACCGCGCCTTAGGAGAAACTGATCTTTCCCTGCAACATCATGAAACAAAAAATACCTCTTTTTAGAAGGGCGAAAAGAACTGTTGATATTAAAACTTCAAGACAATGATTACAATTAAATAATAATAAAAGGAGAGAGAAAAAAGAAACATCCAGTCAGACTTTGCTGCTAAGAGGCCTGAATCCAGGGGCAGAAAATAGGTCAGTTCTGCAAGTCACAGAATTGTGTTTGGATGGTTTAAGCTGAGAAATTAGCAAACATCAATGAGATCCATCTCGACACCCGATTTCTACGTCTACAGAGATATCATCCATTGAAAAAGAGAGTGTTTGACATCATAGACCATGGTAGTGCATACCGTAGTTTCTTCCAATTCGTATTCGTCTATGTTTTACGCTCAGCGATCAGTGCAAATGTGTGTATTACTGATTGATGAAAACAAGGTGGAGAAACTTGGTATTGGAACAAATCTTATTATTTTTTTGCGAATGTGTGAACTTAAATTACCAGAACACGATTCTGTGACTTGCTCAACTGACCCAAGTTTCACAATAGCCTACTGTGTATTTTCTAGAGTGGAAGCTCATGGGTAATTACAATTTGATTTAAATCACATTGGAAGTTCTTGCAAAATTTTTAGCTCCCTTAAATAGATTATTTTCCTTAAATGATCAAGCATAGTGGGAAGAAGCTGGATGATAGGTACAAACAAAGGTCATTTTTCAAATCAGCAACAAAGCAAGAAGGTGAGAAACAGCTGTGTATTAAAAATCTGGATCTTCGTGTCTCCAACAAATACTGAAAATCGCTTTCATTAGGTTCTTGATCTATCTTCTCAGAATATAGTTTTGTTACTCCCACTGTTTTTATTTTGAACTCCTCAATTCACAGAAAAATGACTAAACCCTAAACAATCAGAACAGGTGAGACAAGACAATTTTCTTTCAGATCATTCAGAGAAGACAAGATTTAATACCTGGATTGCTTTTTTGAAACTGAGTGAGATCTAGAGCGCTTCTTAGAGATGGGAGATCTTGATTTGGATTTTGAATCACGGTCCCGAGACCTGAAATCAAGAAACTAAAATAAATCATAGTCCAAAGGGGCCTTCGAAAGATAGTCGTTCGAAAGTTAAAGCAAAACTAAATCTTGTGAGGCTTGTGACTGAATACAGGACAAGCTTAAAAACTTCAAATTCTGGGATGGGGTTTTCACCCTCAGTTGGCAGCCAATCAGGTGATAGCATTAGGAATGACCCAGGTCAAGCGGTGGGTTTTCATGCTGAAGCGAATGAGTCTTACGCCGGCAAAGGGGTCTAGAGTTGACTTGGGCACTCCAAATTTTGAATACATTATTCTGACATGGTAACACAACTTTTTTTCAACATGATTCATTTCCGGGAAAAAATTTCATTTTTCTGACCCGGCCTATGCTGTGGGTGACTATGCCACTCGAATACTCAGTCGATAAGCAAAATTGTTAGTTCATTCGGATAGGAATTTCTTGAATGTCTTCCCGGGTAAATCTGAATGCAAGCCAAGGAAAAACTGCCTGTCAATGCAGGAAATTTGAAGAAGCTTGTTGCATACGACACAGATTGCTTAGGATTAATTCGGATTTACTTAGGATTGGATTCCAGACTTGTCAGATGCATCCATCATGATTTTTATAGGATTTAACTATTGGAAATTCGATTCATTTGGCTGTGTTTCAAGCATGCAACAGACCCATTCTGTTATGCTACGATATTTATCAAAATCAAAGATGAAAAACTTATCTGCCTTGAGATTTTGATAGCTACTTTTAAATAATAAAGAATTCCAGCTTTTCTTCAACAATGAGAAAAAAAAATGGGTACAGAGACTTTCGTGAAGGTACTACCGTGCTTATAAATTGAGTAATGACTCACTTAGAACGAGATGGTGATTTGGTACGAGCCCGAGAGTTGGATCTGCTGCGACTACGGCTTCTACTACGGCTAAAAATAAAATGAATACAAAATTAAACTAAGAAGTATGAAAAGTCATCATAATGAGTGTAATATGAGTACCTAAAATGAAGACAAAGAATTTTCATCCCTCAGGCTCTCTCTTTCACATAACAGGGCAATGAGATGACGCAGATGTCCCTGATTTCCCTCCTAGATGTCAAAAAATTAACACATCTTCCTTCAATGTAATAACCATGGCAGGCCTGATGCACAAAAACTCATGTCCCATGTTAGTTAAAAGGAGCGCATACTTTAAGAGATGAATGAAAAAAGGGCAAAATATATCGCAGATTAAAAATCCCTTCCAGGTATGCTTCCTTCACAACTTGTTTTTTAAGATAAATTTTAACGTTTTCTGCCTGGAATAGTTTGAGTCTATGATAAAATAGTTTAATGGTTTAATTCTATCTGGTTAAGCTTTCAAACCTAATTTTATAATTTTTGCTCATGTTTTGCACCTTTAGTCCCAATCGCCAGGGATAACTGCGACTTTCTCTAGATAATTTGTATACTAATTCGAAGAATACAAGGGCTGTTGGTGGAAAGATAATAACTTATGTACATGAGTAATGTTATTAAAAGTTACCTTGACGCCGAGGGTGAACGTCGGCGAGATCTAGATCTGGATCGAGAACGAGAGCGTGAACGAGAGCGCGAGCTGGATGACCTAGATCGGCGACTGCCACGACCACGATCTTCGACAAGGCGAATCCTTCTACCATGCAATTCTGTGTCATCCAATTTGTCTATTGCTGTTTTCATATCCGAATAAGTTGAAAATTCCACCACCCTGAAACAGAACAAAACGTTGAAATTCTTAGAGGAACATTTGTTATTGCAACAAACAACTTCACAATGCTAATAATTCTTTCATTGATTTCTCATAACTGACATACAAAGACAATGCAATACCCAAGATATGTATGCACTTGGTGCTTTTTTATGTAACATCCACTAGATGTCTCATCTGCACAGTAAAAATAGCATTAGATCTCAAAAGCTAGCATCTAGGACTTCTTGACCAAGGTTAAAAAAATTAGATACATATATGCCTAAAATACAGTATTTATTATAGCTCAGATATTTACACCAAAGATCATGTACGTATATACGAGGGTCATCCAAAAAGTAAGGTTCCCTACCTTGTATCTTCCAAACGAAAAGAGATAAATCAAATCGGTAAAAACGTACATATTAGGCATACTCTAAGCTTTAAAACAAGGTCAAGTTTTTGAAAACCGGTTGAGCACTTCGCGAGAAAACTCAATTTTACTGAGACGACCTCCCATCGTCGCGTGCCCACCTCCGAGGTCAGGATGCGCGGAGAGTCCCTTACTTCAGACTCGACTTATCGCCTCTAAACATCAAATCGAAAAGGAATTTAAAAGATTTTATCAAGTAGGCCTTACTGTACTTTTTGAGATAGTCTCCGCATCTTTTTTGACATTTCTGGTGTCATTACAGCAGCTCTTTCATGCCTTCCGCGTAAAAGGTCTCGTCTTGGCTCCAAAACCAGTCATTGCCAGCGATCTGCACCTCTAAATCGGTTGGAAATCGCTTTCCACAGTGGGAGCTTTTCATCTCAGGAATAGACGAAAGTCAGCCGAGGCTAAATTAAGAAAGTACAGAGGATTGGGGAAAAATTTTACCACGGTAAGCAACTGATTTGGAAGTGCAGATCGCTGGCAATGACTGGTTTTGAAGCCAAGACGAGATCTTTTACGCGGAAGGCATGAAAGAGCTGCTGTAATGATACCAGAAATGTCAAAAAAGATGCGGAGACTATCTCAAAAAGTACAGTAAGGCCTACTTGATAAAATCTTTTAAATTCCTTTTCGATTTGATGTTTAGAGGCGATAAGTCGAGTCTGAAGTAAGGGACTCTCCGCGCATCCTGACCTCGGAGGTGGGCACGCGACGACGGGAGGTCGTCTCAGTAAAATTGAGTTTTCTCGCGAAGTGCTCAACCGGTTTTCAAAAACTTGACCTTGTTTTAAAACTTAGAGTATGCCTAATATGTACGTTTTTACCGATTTGATTTATCTCTTTTCGTTCGGAAGATACAAGGTAGGGAACCTTACTTTTTGGATGACCCTCGTAATTCTAGATAAAAACTCATGAGCATAGAATAAATCGTCAAATATTCGTGACCATGGCACGCACGTTTAAAGATTTTTTGTTCCTATCCTGAAACAATTATTTTGCCTTTCAACAATCTGCTGTGACTTGCGAGTCTCCCAAACTTTTCGACCACCAATTTTATAGACAACCACAGTGATCCTGATAGTTCAATAACATTTAGACGGGAGATTTTTCTATGAAAAAAAATACATCGCTTACCCTTCATTCCGCCTCTGCTTGTGAGCATCTGCGTAGGTGACTTCTCCTGCTTGTCGCATGTAATCCTTCAAATCCTGAACAAACATATTTTTTGGGGGTAAATTATCGAAGGTCAAAAGTTCAAAAAAAGTTCGAAAAGCTCATATCATATGCCAATAATTAGGGGCTACTGAATTTTCTTCAAATCGATATTAAGAAAGAATCAAATGAGCTTTTCTTGAATTATGATGTTTGTAAAAAGTAACTGTCGGCTGAAATCTTCATAAAAATTGAGATCAGGGTTCATTAAATGTTTGGATGAACAAAACAAAAAAAGATTATGACTGAAAGGACGAAGAATGAGCCTTGAATGAACCTCATACTTAACATGAAACAAAAATTAAAATAGTTCATGAGGAGAAGAAATAACTAGTTAGGAGTGGTAGAAAAACATTTAAATTATCATAATTTCACAAGAAGTTTCATATTCTATTGAAATTCTCCTGAAAAATATATGGAGCATAATCCTTTGCAGAAAAATGATGGCACCTGAATAAATTAGCCATTGAACGATGACCAAAGGAGCTGTCCCAAAGGAGCCTCCCTTAAATTTAGGAGATTTAAAGTACACCAGTTTCCTTAGGACAAGATTAAATTGTAAACATTAATGCAATGTAATTTGGGCTTCTTCAAGAAGAAGCATGTACTTTTATAAACTAACAGTAAAATTATTTAAAGTTTGAATACGTAAAATTTTGACCGATTTCTCCCTTCATGATGGGTACTACATTACCCAGGAATGATATTCTTACACATTGAAGATGCAGATGTGTCAAAATTGGACTTTCAACTTTTGAAGGCTGGTGAAAGTAACGCGGAGTGAAGTAACTATCCTCATACGAAATGGTGATGAGCATAATGAATAAGAGAAGACAAGATACAAATTCTTCTTTGTGGATACTAAGGGAGAAAAGAAAAAAAGAATGATAATTGTTTTAATTGCATTGCCCGGCACACTTTGTTTGAATCAGATTGTTTCCTCTCCAATGCCATTAATTTGTTTTTGGTCACGGATTTCAAGAGAAAATATTCATGTTGTAGACTCTGTTATAAGATAGAATCCCAATTTTTTTTCACCAAAATTTTGAGGATGTTTTTCAGCAACAAACACCTTGTTACAAATGTATGACATAATATTAAGGAATGGCACAACCTCTGAATACAAAGGCAAACATAACCCATCGGGACTTCCTCTACGACATGATGTTGCTATTTCCTTACATTTGAATATTGCTTTTTGCTCTTGATCACTAGACGTAAGAGGGTGATTTGAGAAAAGTTTAAATTATATCCATCCTCTGGTTTTTTCTGTTAAATATTTCAAAATTGATTTAAAAACTTCAGAGATGGTCATGCATGCACTAACTGTCCCCTGCTTCTGTCCACCACTTCACTTCTTAGGAAGAAGATACAAATTCCCTTTTATTTCCCCATAGACGAGACTGGGAGAAAAATTAGGGAAGAAACAGGGATATGTATTTTTGGCGGCACTAAAAGCTTTTCAACTTTGGACCTTAGAAAGTGATTCAATAATTTGGATTTAGATAAGCACTTTTACAGATAATAAACACTTTCACTACAGGCAGGGACTTAGTCCCTTGACAAGAAGGGTAATCTTCATGATTTAGGCATTCTTCCCGAACTCGTCAGAAAATTTGAGGGTCATCCGAAGAGTATAATTTCCTGCAGAAATTATTTCTAATTGTTAACCCTAGCTCCTGAAAACCACTGGTTTGCAGAGCATATTAAAAAGCAATAAAAATACAGCAGGATCCATAAGTCCTACAAAACCCCCATGATTTTTTGCTGATTTAGCTACCAAGTTTAAACGTTGGGGAGGGGGAATACACGCAGGTCCAGCTTCAGGGACACCTTACAAAAACGGGTGAAAGATAAAATTTACAGCTTATAGAATATATGGCCTCATCAATTAAAGATAAACACAATTTCTAATGGTTATTCCATGTACATCAAAGCTAGAACCAATGTTCCTAACCCACAGGCGCCACGCCATTGAGCTTTACACTCCTAAAAATCAGCCGTAGCCCCTAAAAAATGGAGACCCTGGTCCAACATAGCTCCAAAAACATTGCTGTAATCCTAAATCTTTGATTGGTGATTTTACTAAAAGCTACAACTACAAGTCCTGTAACTACATCTTCCGAGTAACTTTTCACTGAACATGCTGTATTGTACACGCAAGATTTCAGTTTGGCTCCTAAAAACCCTAAAATGGTGCATGAAAATAGAGTTTAATGGGCCAGATGGCCCCTAAATCTCAAAAAGAATTTTGCAACACTGGGCAAAAACAATTGCTGCAAAAAATGTCAGCTACCATGTTTTCAAAGGGCTAGGATTATCTTCATTGATAATGGATATAAAAACTTGTTGTCTGGAATATTTTGACCATTTAAACACTGTGACAAACATAGATAACCCATTTTTTAAAAATAAACGGTGCATTTGAAAAAACAAGTAGACTACATCTTGAACATTTATGTTGACTACGTGTTGAAACTTAAAACCTCATACATGGCACAGACAGGCTCAAAATGGGACAGCTCCTTTGATGGTAAACCAAAATGCTTTGTTAAATTAAGATAGAAAAATACCACTGAGGAAAGCTAACGATTATTGTTACTGAGAATCTGCTCTTCATGATATACATTTTTTTTCCAAATCACAGCAGCTTGGTTAAGTTTTCGATACACAGAGGGTCATTTGTCAGACATTAACTGATCTTTCCAAATTAGGACTTAAGAATCTTTAGTGAGGAGGATATATCCGAGCCATTAGGTTTCAAAACTGATGAACTACAGCATTAGAACAATTCATCCATAATGTTATTGAAAAATTCACTTTTTAGCCCTGCTTTTCTTGACATTGACACATAGAAAAAGGGATTTTAAAAGCTCATCGTACTCCGGAGGCTGCAAGGAACATCACGTCAAATAGTACAAAAAGTTAGCTGGTGCCTGATTTCTTGGTATTTTATGCAATCCTTTGCCATGTCTGAAACATCATTTTTCCCTCTCAATGGTAAAATTGAGTAATTCTATCGAATCAGGTTGTATGGAAGGACACGTTGTCTTTCTGAAGAGCACTTTATTTGATTCCTTGTGTTCTAAGGTGCTCATACATACATAAAAAATTTGTGACTGCTCACGAGAAAATTCTAAATTTAAGAGCAATTAGAGCATACATGACATGGGTGGGTGTACATGGTTTTTCTAGAGAACGCATCAGTTGTTGAAACTTAACAGTTATGATGCGCTAGAGTAACACGAAACTGCTGTCTGTAACTANGGGGGGGGGGGGGGGGGGGGGTGTGTGTTACCATCCTACTCCATTCATCCAGAAATATTAATTTTGACCACAATGTCTATGACTTTTTCTCCCTCCCTGAACAAGAAAATTTAAATGCAATGACTAATTGCACAGTGACATTTTATACAAGGGGAAAAATTATAGGAGATAAAGTTTTCGGCTGGATATATAAAGGAACCACCTGAACATTCGGATGTAAACAAAAAAGTGGACAAAATCTCCAAATTTTGCTTTTTATGAATGCTATTCATAACTCATGATCATTACAATTTCGTTGAAGATCGTTTTGTGATTGATTCATTATAAACTTCACAAGAAAAAAATAAAAAAATAGAGGCTACTCTACTTGAAACAGTGTTGTGGAAATAATTTGTATGCATCAAGAGAAAGTTACTTGAGTTGAATGATAAGTTTGACTCATTTTCAAGAGTCGTTTGTGACCATTATAATTTTGCTACGTAAGTCATTCATGAAAAATGTCATTTTACCGCAGAGCACTAGTTTTCTCATTTTGGTCGACCTTGTTCTAAAAACGATGGTCACAAGAACTTTCATGCAGTGGGAAAGTGATTCTCCACAAAAACCACGTACAACTTAACTTGCAGCTTTCTGTACTAAAAAGTGCAAGGTAGCTTTAAATGTTGTCCTTTGAGTTGATCAAGCAACAAAAGCATGTCCTAAAATACCGTTTTTAAATTTTAAGAATCCATCAATTTTCGTCAAAGCTGCGCCCATTTGAATATTTCATTTGCGTTATCCTCAAAACTATCATTTCTGTTATTCCTGGTTATTCAAAAGAACTCCTTCAATTTTGCTCTTCCCCCTGAGTCCGGACTAACATTTCAGGTATCCCTGACTCTTATATCTCCTAACTTTCCCCAGTTTTCTTTGATAGTGACCACTCTGAATACAGACTTAGCATTATCAAGAAGGACGGTTGGCTGGAGCAGGTGAATGAGAAAAACACAAAAAATATCCGTATCCTTTCCTTTACTATTTAAGCTGTACTTTTAGCAGCCTACTTGTCTACTGAATGGTTAGGGGACAAAACGGTATTCTAAGATAGGCAGACTGCACTTAAGCATACGAGAAATAGTTGATGTATTAAACTGTTGTCAAATTAAAATTGATTCATCCATTACAAGGGACTATTGCACAACTTGCAAGCTCTCAACAACTTGTGCATACATTGGGGCGAAGAAGAAAAAATACAAAATGAGGATGTACTGAAAAGTTAGATATTGATCAATTAACCATAAGTCAAGATAAAATAACTGTTACTTATTGCTGATTTTAAAAATTAGCTTCAGCCAATGTTGTAAATCTGGGTGCAAGAATAGATCTGAAATGATAACTTCTCCTCCAGCACATGCTATAGAATATATAACCATTATATAGACTATGAATAGTGAGCTTAATTACCTTGCGGCTTGGCTCACATAATGGGCCAGAAAGAGACGGGCACTCTGTGCCTGTAATTGGTTGATCTGATGGTGGAGGGGGGGAGACCTGAGATTAATGTCCACTTTCCAACACAGGGGAGTTGACCACACCACTTTAGACCGACTGACAGACTGAGTCACAGATTCATTGATGGATCGAGTCACCAATTTTGCTAGGAGAAAATGGCCTCTCTTCTCCTTCTACGAACCCTCTATTCATCATCACCAGTGACCCTCAGTTGAAAAGAACGTCTTCTTCAGAAAAAAAAATCTTGTCATGTTGATTTAAAAAAAATTAATCATTGACAAAACAGAGAAAACCATTCCAGCTACAGCCCCACTACGTAATGCGCTACACATACATCAAGGCCCCTGCTGAAGTTAAAGGTGTTGATAGTTCTCAAGATACTTCGGATGCTTTTTCATGTATGTAGCTGAAATATGGTAACATAAATAAAGTTAGGTTCTGATTATGAAATGGTAACTGGTTTTTCTCTCTCACTTTCTTTCTTCATTCAAAACATTGGATGTCTCTCTTGTCGTCACTAAATCTGGCAAGGATACATTTTCAATGATTCAAAACCAAGATTTTGTTGCGTTTCATCTGGAACTATTTTTTCGACTTTCTTAGGATGAGACTAGATCATTTTCAAAACTTAGAGACAAAACTTAGTGACAAAGATAGTGCAAGAGATCAATGGATGTAAAAGTGAAACGTTCATCTAAATAACTATTATTCATTAGTTTTGATGATCGAGCAAGATTCCACTTTCTTTTACTGAAAAAAAAAACCAATAATTTTTGACAAGCAGCTTCTTTTGTATCCACAATGTGATTCAAATACCACCTGAAAAAATCAACACCAATCGCTTCGTGGCAAATCTCCCCTCCAAAATAACTTTTCATCTGATATGAAATGGTTCTTTCATGCACTCACTGTTCCTGTTCTGCCAACCTTGTGTTCATCTGCTGTATTTCACTTTTTAGACACCTGTGTTTGGATTTAAATCCTTGCTACCTACTCAGCACAAAAATAGGGTGAGTTTTGAAAAGCTGCCTGCACGCTCATCACTTTTGAAAGCAGCAATCTATTGGAACTTCTACGGGTAGCCTTAGTAATTTTGTTCCATGGTCAGACTGTTATTAAAATTTTATAAATGCCTATGACGAGGGCTTTAAAAAAATAAATAAATAACACTGGGCATGTCATAAATGAAGATTTGCAGCTCAAGTTCAAAAATGACAACCATTTATCTCCATCAAATAAGAGTTTTCCTAAAAAAGAAGAAAAAAAATAGACTGCTAGGGGGAAATTGGATTTCCTAGAAAACTGATGCATGATGAAGAAAAACCAATGTCATTTTCTGATTCAGCAGCAAAGATATTTACAAGATTACACCTAGACAGCATGCATAGAAATTGTTCCTGTTCTACCCAATAAGAAGCGAGGTCAAATGGCTTTTTGCACCATATTTTTAAACCTATTTAATAGTCCTAGAAGGAGGGGTGAACATTTCTGATAGGACTAGTCCCGAAGATTTTGGGCTGCTGTCAGGGACTGATAGCGGAGGTTGACCCCCCGCATGCGTCGAGATGCCGCATACGTAGGGATACCAGATGCCCAAATAGCTGGATCTGCCAGCATACGTTGGTAGCCGGATCTCCAGGTATGCTGGCATCCCTTGTTGCGAAGGATCCCAGCATACAAGGGTGGATGGCTACATTGATATGCTGAGATGCTAATATCCACCAGGTATCGGCTACTGGTAGGCTACTGAGTGAACCGAAAACAGCCGCCACAGTTTGCGGAACTTCCACTGAAGCGTTTGCATTGAGGGCATTGTCTCCATTGTCTATTGCACGGAATTTGTAGGGTGAACGTCGGGCCGAATTTTGACACATCTAGCTCTTGAGGACTGCTACAGGATCCAGCTACTATGCGGATGCCGAGATCTGTCGGGTCACCGTATAGCCGGCTACCCGTGTATCTTGGAATCTGTATGCTGAAAATGATATGCTGAGAATTGGAGCCTTTGACCTACTAGCATATCATACTATGTGCATGCCCCGAGATCCAGGAGCCTTGAGCATAGCTTGGTAGCCGGGATCCCGTATCCGGGCTAGATACTTGCGGCCAGGTAGTCACTACCAGTCCCTGGCTGCTGCAGCTGCGATGGACTTTAGTGTTTACCCAGCATGTACCAGTTTATGAGAAAATCAAATTTTTCAAAAATATGATTTTTCTTTCTTTATCTTAAGATAAAAAGGCTTATTAGAGGACAGGTAAATGATACGAAAAACCGAAAGTCATTTTCTCAGCATTTTCTTCAGCAGCAAGAAATGGCTGGAACTGGCACTGGTCTCATCAGACACCGGAAAAGAAAATTGACCCTTCCTTTCAGATGACAAGAACTGTAAAAGTTTTACAAAAAGGTAAAAGAGCAGATTGGGTTGACTGACTGGTGGAACTCCTGCACTCAAGAACATCATGGAAAAATCTCAAGAATGCGCAAGGTGTAATCCTGTATGTAAGGCTCCAAAATCCAAGAATGATAATTTTCCCCCACTACGATCAAATTTTCTAAAAAATCGCATTTTCCTTGAAAAGCCCAGTTTCCATGGAAGTCACATTATGGTCACTGATGAACTGTCTCCTGAGTCTTGGGTCACCACAGCAAAGTACGATTTTCTATAATTTTTCTGCTTATATTTATTATTGTGGTCGAGAAATTAAACAATTCGGTTACGATATACTCATCAGGTAGTGGCTATCTCTACTTTGTTCAAATGAACAATACAAACCAGCAACAAATTCCTACACAGTAACGTGTGTTTACGAATCTATACAAAATGGAAAAAAATTGATAGACGAGTAATTTCTTGGTCCCAGACAGCAGCCAATTGATACCATCTGTTGTGATGATTACTTGAAATCCAAAACAGAAATGTAACACCAAAGTGATACTAACGCTAGGAGATATAAATACTGGAACTTCACTATTCTTTTGCTGACCGAGTTGCTTCAATTTGAGTGACTTCAAAATGTTTTTCTTAAGAAACGGTTTGTCATTTCATTATTATTGTGCTTGTAACATAATTATAGAGGTCATGTAAAATGTTGTAATGGAAGCTCTGGCCGCATGCTTGGCTATTTGGGTTGAGGTTAGTTAGCAGATAGACTTTTTTTTCCACATAAAGCTTCCTGCTGCCGATATCATGACACTGGCTGGAATGATATAATGAACAATAATATTCCGTGTTTGATGTATTTATTCAGTTGGTTGGTTGGTTCGTTCGTAAGTTAGTTGGTTTGCAATTTCAGTGGTCTTTTGTAGAATGGGGAGAGGAGAAGGGTGAAGAGGCAAATTTGAGAGATTTTGAATTTCTTACATGTACACTTCAAGGTTGAGCCTGACCTTTTCGGCCACTGTTAAAATTTAGACCGATGATCCTTGAAGTACAATGTATTAACAAACTAGTACAACCTTGTAGTTAATGGATATTATTACAATATGTAGACCTTGCATCAGGTAAATTGGTAGTTGTTTAGTCGTAACTGTCTGGATAGTTGACCAGTTTGTTTCCTGCACACATCATTGTTATTATCTTCATCTTCAGTAGTTACTAGCCAAGTTAACGACAAAAAACAACTACCTGCTTACCACATGCAAACTGTAGTCATACTGAATGCAAATACTAGTGGTAGAACCATTGCCAGCGGTAGACGGTAGAAATAGAAGCAGGAAGAAATGGTAATGACAGAATAGTACATAATTTCACTCATTCGTGATGAATTCTTCAGGAAGGAGTGACTTTCGACGGAAAGACTTGCTTGACATTTAATGATAGTAGACAGTGAGAGATGATTGAAGATCATGGATGCCTATAAGTTTTGCAATCCGTTTTCAGGTTCTTGTATGTCTGTCAGCTAAGTAGGAAAGTTTGTAGTTTTATTACATCATGTTGTGAGATGAGTAATTTAATGACATTAGGCCCAGCTAAATGGGAAGGTAAAAAGATTGGGTTGCCGAACAAGCTCCATAGAAACAAGACTATTTTTCAACGTAAATAAAACTATGGCATTTTTGCAAATGGACCCATTCATGAAAACAGCAAAATAGGGGTCCAACAGCTTCATATGAAGAATATTTTGGTTTATTGCGATCAATATCTATGTATAACACTGCATAACCTTCCATTAGGAGCTACAGTTGAGACAAAAAAATTAAGAACACAATGGAGTTAAAGGGTGGAAAAGGAAAAACTCAAGGTTGGGAAAAATCACCACTGCTTACTAAGACGAATGGAATGTTGTAATTTAATGATAAGAATTGGCAGTTCGATATAAACATAACAGGAATCAACTGGACCTTTGAACAAACATAAACTTGAGCAAAAATCAATGCGTGGATTAGATGCACTACTTACCGTTTAATGTAAAAACTGACTAACTAATTAAAGCAAATGGAAAGTATCTTACCTGCCAACTGACTCTGCTTGACAGATTTTCAACAATGATTCTATGTTCAGTACGCGTAGGAGGTCCATACCTGGAAAAATGACATGTACAGAATTACAAAGAAAAAATTATGGATAACCTAGCACAGGATCAAAGAATGACTGAGGATTATAAGGTATTTTTGGAAAATAGACTAAGATAGAAATTGCTCTTGAAAAACCACGTGACAGTGAGGAAATGCCCCCATCACTTTTCTTTCTGATTACTTTCATCCCGGTAAGGATTTACAATTAGAAATCTATCTCTTGTGGTAAAAATATTAGTCTGCTACAACAATAAGCTGCATTTGAAGGAAGACTTAATGCAAAACATAGTTACAGAAACATGGCTGACTAAAATAAGCAGCGCAGGGAATCACAAGACAAAAGGGTGCCATTGCAAAAGAAACTAAGAGCAAATTTTACAATAAGTAACTCCTACTAGATATTTTCTTTTTACTCTCTTCTAAAATGAAAGACTTCTAGATACTGCTACCCTTCAGTGATGCTGAATTTGACCCTTTCTAGCTGAAAAAGATTCACTGGATTGTTGGTCCTAACGATAGTAGCAATTTTTGATAGTAACAAAAATTCATCATAAGTCCGGTAAAAACCCATTTAAAATTAACAAAAAATAATTTCCAATGAAGAGAATCAAAACTTCTTCAATTTATGCTTTCTACGAGAATCAAAAAGAAATGAACTTCTTCACTCATGAAACTTTCCTACAGAAAAAAACATTTCTTTATTGTTCATTCGTCATGAATTCCAAAAAGTCATGCTTGCAGATGGATCATGAACGACTTTACTTTCCTGACACCTGCAAAATTTTAACATTATTGATAGTAAAAATTTTTGGATCAACAAAACAGAGAAATCTGAATTTTTCCTTGCAAAAAGAGAAAAAAACCAAGGGGGAAATAGGGATGGAATACTTAATATTATGCATTACCTGTCAAAGACTAGGCTGAAACAATATCTGAACACCTCACAAAAATCACAAATCTTCATTTCAATTGAAGAAAAAAAAAATTAGTGATTTGTACAAAAATTTACCCACATTTCTTCTAACCTTAACCTATTACATCATCAGCACAAAGTTTTTTTATTTCACCCATCAGCTTTTTGTGGTCAACATGACTGTAGGCTTTGCTTCTGAGGCAGTATGAGACAAAATACAAAACCCTTGAAAGAAGAAAAAAAAAGGTGTAATTCTAAAATTTGCTCGCAACAAGAGGGAGTCGGATATTTACTCATGCAAAAATGGCTGATGGTATGATTATGGTATCAAGTATTTCAAACTTACTCATTGCGTCTACGGCTACTGCCAAATGGACCCCTCCTAGGAGAAAAGAAAAAAAAATAACACGTAAAACAAGTATAAAATACGTACAAACATTTCTCTTTAATCATTTTGATTGCTTCATGAGGACATTGAGGGACACAGCTGACACATATTTACTTTGAATTTTTGTTTAAATATATCAATATTTAAGACAGGACAAATCCATTCAATAAGTTTTGTGACAGCTAAATGAAATACTTCAGGAAACTCTACCTCAGAGCTTAACTAAAACTATCCATGGATCTTATGTACGTCAACAAGGAGGGGTGAACCAAAATTTTTTTTGCTAAATAGACTAACGAGGCCTACAGAACAAGAAAATTTATGATCTTCAATGCATTCCATAATCTAAGGGGGGGGGGGAGATGTTAGTTAATGTTTGTGCTTCGTAAGTCAGAACACAGTAATGAAAAGAAACAAAAATTACGCCTATTACCAAATTTCACAACTAGGTACTTGGGTACCTTCTAAAAAAAAAAGAAAGAAAACTTAAGAAAAGTTTGCAGAGAGATTGGAACAGAATACTAAAATACTTGCAGGAGAACTTGACCACATTGTAATTAAAAAAGATGTGGAGAATATTCAAAGGAAGTAGCCTGAACTAATAGTGACAAATAGTATGTTAGTACCTTCACAAAAATTAGGCACTACTTAATCAAACTTTCAAAATGTTTTTTCCATATAAATTAATCATGAAATAAACCTTTTGAAGTTGGCACTTGGGATAGAACCACTTAGTTCAGGGAAGATAGGGGGTAATGAACAAAGAATTATTAGTACTACTATTCATTTAGCATCTATTGCTAAAACCTCTTACTAGAGGTGCAGAAATTTCTAAGCCTTTCCCAAAATTTGCTGTTCTGCTATAATTGCGCCTCTACATAAATAAGACGCTTAACCCAAGTAGCATTTTTTAACAGAAAATTGGGATGTAATGCAATTTTATCGGCGATAAAATTGCTAGGATCATCAACATCTATGCGATTCTTCTGGATCTTATCGGAATAAAATCGCGATTTTACCGAGATATTTTCGAAATAAAAATCGCGATAAATGGCGATTTAATCTCAATTTTATCAAAGAAGATTGATTGCAATTTTATCGAACCAAAAATTGCGATTTGTAGAATTAAAACGCCATATTTTGCAATTTTTAAGGCGAATATATCTCAATATATTGCCACCGATATAATCACGATAACCAACCGATTAACACTGTCAACTGAATATCAATAAAGTTTAATGTGGAAAAAATAATTCTGGGTCGGAATGCAAAATACTACACAGCAAACCAAAGTTCGATGACAGCAAACAACAAGTGTTTTGGGATCCTTAGATTTTTTTTCTTACATTCAGACTGAAAAACTCTTCAATGAGAATATCAGAAATAATAGATCCTAGATCATTATGAACAAAACTTAGGTGGGTCCGTAATATTCAGTACAATTTTTTTAAATTAAAAACTTGCACAACTTACTTAAAACTAATCAAGAAACACTAATTTAAAAATTGGAATATGCCTTCTAGATCATTAAGAGGACAATGTGCAGAATACCTATGAAACAGCATGACAACAGCAGTGAATTTTGTTTTAAGTTACAACAAATGGAGGATGAAAATGCGCTGGAGAAAGTTGTTGCTCATTAAGAACTGTTCTAAGTATTGAAATTGCTTTCCTGCTCTTTCTGATTTCCAACTTCAAAGAAAAATTTTACCTACTTCATTGACTTTCTTTGATTTGTGAGTGTTAATAATGCACAAAAACGGAGCGATTAGAAATCAGATTAATGTTCACAATGAGGGAGACATTAAAAAAGTGCTAGAAGTCATTTTTAAAGGAATTATACTGGGGTCATACTTTCCTTTCAATGTGAAGATGCTTGCTCACTTATGTGAGAAAGATGCTGTATCCTGACAAGTAGGGTACTACATAATGTGACAGGACACAAATACTTACTTACATAATGATCAGCATGGCAAGTAAAGAAGCTCATAGAGGCAGAGGAATTCACTATACAGATCTGACTATACAGATACGACCTGATGTAGTATCTATATAGATACTATCTATAGACTATGTAGATACTACATCAGGTAGTACTACCTGATGTAGTATCTATATAGTCAATAGTACATATAGTCAGTAGTAATGACCTAGTAGACATACCAACTATACTAGGCCTTCACTATATATATAGTAAACAGCAATATTTATTAAATGCTTATCTCAACTGAGAAACCTTTTCACTTTCAAATCATTAAAAATAGTAAGGAACATATGACGTTTTGTACACTCTACTTTAGACTAAGAATATGAGTAATACTTATTTGTGGGTAGGACTATTTAAGACCTGCTTATTTGTAGCACAATATTATGAAAAAAGTTTGCATCTCAGTAAAACCTAGCACACTGAGAAAGAGACTGACTATAATTCTTGTAAGGAAAAAAAAAGAAAGAAAAAAAGGTTTAGAAGAACTGGTGAAGTGGTGAGACTGAATAAAAATAAAAAAAATATTTTTGTTTAGGATGAGAGAACTATAAAATCAGGAATGGGATGGGATCTAACCTGTCCCTGCTTCTTCTTCTGGGTGGGGGGGGCCTTCGTTCTCTGTCCCTCCAAGCATCACTCCCACGTGGTATTCCACGAGCTCTCTCTACCGAGATTCTGTAACCAACAAAATAATTTAAAGTGACTTACTTATCCAGCCACTGTCGTCTGCGCGGTGGGCCGCCACTGCCGAATCTGTCTCGGCCTCTAGTGCGGTCTGTACCACGAGCATGTTCCACTACTATCCTGGAGAAAATAAGAAACTTGTGACCACTAGATAAATTCACTGTTGACAAAAACTGGGTACAAATGACAAAATATTCTCATTGACATGCATTAAACAATGAGTATTTGTGATCAGTAAGATAAAGATGGACTCCTGAGCAGCTTCATGATTACTTAAATCTTTGAGCCAGAATGAAAAAATGTCATAGATAATCACTATAATTGGTTTAAGATTGAATGATTACTTGCTCAATGATTCTAATCCATTCATTAGCATTTCAACAAATATTCAATGGAGAATTTGCACACAAAAATTATATTGCTTCATCTGAAAGTGCCTTATCAGCTGAGTTTGCAGTATTTTTCATAATTTTTTTCTGACATAAGAAATTGGGAGAAAAATTGATTTAAAAGTGATTTAATGTGCTGCCTTATGACGTCATCAGGCGGCATTTCCCATTAAACATATGCATTTTAGCAGAATCGGTTATTTTGTCATACCTTCTCTAAAAATTGCTCACTTAATGAATCAAAGGTATCTTTGGGTTCAGTTCACTCAGTAGATTCCACTTAAACACAGAAGTTATCAAATTTCAGACCCTGGCAAATTCTCCATTCAATCCTTATAAGATTAGAATATAGTATAACCAATGTTAGATGTATGGTCAATGTAGAAATAGATCAGGTGTTTAAGCCAACTGTGATTAAATTGGCTAGCTGATTATTTAATGAGCTTATCATTTTTACCAATGTTTTATTAAATCAGAGAAACTCAGTCAAAGCCTACATTGTCTACTATAATCATGGGCCGAAACCACACAGCCAAGGTCAAGATAATGCGGTGAATAATTTTACTAGTCAACTGTATATGAGGACATATATGTATCAATAGCAGTCGCTGACATCCACCATTTTTAGGGCAAACGCTTTTTTTCGAATTCTGGAGCCCTTAAGAATGCCTGTGCAAAGTTTCAGACATCCAGCGTAATTTTTCGGCGAGATATGAATTGAAAACCATGTTATTTGTAAAAACAGCGGATGTGAGAATCCACTATTCTCCACGGCTGGTGCGGAGATTCAAACAAACTTATGCGATAACGCCCGCGCACCAGCCATGGGCTGCAGCTAAACTCAAATGATCACGTATCCGGACCGTCTTGCAGAATTTTTGATTTTTTAACTGATTTTGTAATTTTTTCCTTATTTTCGTTGTAGAAGTTACAAACGGTTTAGTTTTGTGTTCAATTGTATTAAATGACTCAGCATTGACTTACTTTTGGTACATTTCAATCGTTTCACCAGCCTTACCCTTCCTGAAGACTTAGTTTCATGCATAGAAAAATATTTTTAGTAAAAATAGCGGATGTCACAATTTTTTCTAATCGCTGTTATTCCTCAAATTTTTCACTTAAATAGATCGTAAAATGTATGTTTTTGACAGGATGAGTTGCTCTCCATGAAAATCTTAATAAGAATCCTCTCGTTTCTACGGGCGGCAAAGTGCAAAGCTTCGAACACTTCAAACACAATTTTCTCACAATGTGAAAACTCGACATCCGCTATTGTTACATATAAGTCCTCATATGGTGAGCATGTGACTGATGGAAAAATGTGGGTTTAGACAGTTTCATATCGAAGGCTAACAAGCAATTCCGCCGGACTGACAATTTTGGCAAAAATGAGTGGGCAACTTTGCCTCATTCTACAGTATAAAATAAGAAAGATGATGATTTTCGATTTCTTCCAATTCTGTAGGGGAGCGCTTTAATGCACTGAAATGTATGAAAAAATTGCAAATCTAACCTTAAAATTACAAAAATGGTGAGGTTTCCTCTTCCTTCTGCAAAAAAAAATTGTCAGTTTGCAAATTGGCGGTATTGTTTGATGTATTAGCCATGGATGTATGTGTATGGAAAGAATGGCAGTCTATGATAGCGCAATCTTCGGTTATGAGTTTCTGAGAAGGAAGTCAAGTAATCAAAAGAAGAGGTAGGAATAGACAGATAGTTAGAAACAAAAAATATTGATGAGATACCTTTCACCCATCAGCTCTTTCCCATTTAATTCATAAACAGCATCATCAGCATCTCTGTAGTCATCAAATTCCTAGAAGACAGAAAAACAAATCATTAATCAAAATGTAACCAGGGAAAAAAAGGATGCAATGAAAGGAGGGAAACATTTATTTGAGATGAATGGATTTTTAGTAAAATTAAACGACGGGACACAGATTCTAAGGCATCAAAACTTTTCACTCTTTGGGGGGAATGTGGAAGAAATGAAGAGTCTAGAAAATTATGAATGCCATCAAAAACTTGTTCACCTCTCAACAAATTGTGATGATGTTTTACTGTCTGTTATCTATTTTGTTTAAAACATGCAATGTGTTACGGAAATAGGAAGGAGGATAGGTGGCACTCTTACGTGCTGCGTGGCATGAGATCAGCCCCACGGCACTAAGTTTTTCATCAATTTTTTGCTGTTTTACCTCTGAACGTTCTCAGAAAAATTACACTTGTTTGAAAATTTTGCATCATCAAAGGATTCTATCTCCCGATGTTGATAGTAATTTGAAAGTTTTTTTTTTTCTTGAAGAGTTTATAAATTGTAACCTTCCTAGGAGGAAATATATACAATTATCTTAATGTATGTACATAAGGGTATATAAAAGTAACAACTAGATGATTACTTATTTCTATAATGATTATAGTTAAACTTGTGGCTTAATTTTAAGATTAATAAGGACTCATAAGGATTAGAATTTTGAAAGTGAATAGGTAAAATGTTCTAGATCTAAGGGGGGCGGCAGGCATGCCCCACTGGCTGAGTGGAGGCGGCAATTTACCCTTTCTACAGTCTTTTGGCACAGGTGGACTTGTAGTTCTCATTGCAGTCTCCACAATGCCGATGCAGCTGTCCCTCTAAAATTAGCTAAATCGCTCTTCTGACTTCTGTTATGAAACTGAAAAATTGATAGCATCTTCACATGCACCATGGTAAAATGGAAAAATTGACCGACTCAGCACATGATGGGTAATAAACCTCTATGTCCTCCCATGAGATAATTTTTCGAAATAGTTTTATTTTTTATTTTTACATTTTGTACATGGAGCCTATAATTTTTGTGGGCTAAAAATACACGTCATTATACAATTTCTTAGCAGATTTTACTGACTAATTTGTTTACAATTTGCTTTTTCACTAAGTTCTTTCAAGGAATAGTATGGGTTAACCTTCAGATATTCCTATAATTTTTTTACAAAATGAATAGTAGGGTTATTATTTTTGATCAAATCTCTCAAGCATTCTGGCAATTTATTACACGGGTTTTTGGCTCTGCAGCTTAGAAAATCCTTACTGGATTCCCTGAGGCTTTTTCTCTGTACGAACTTATGTCTCGTGGCGTAGTTATGAGTAGGATTAGTGTTCACAGTATTTATTAATCCTTGGTTTACTGCTGCTTTTATTGTTTAGTAGATATAGAGGGAGTGGATGGTCATTATTCCATACTTAACAAACAGCTCTTTACAGGGGTATCGCGAGGTTTATTATCAATTATTCTTAAAGCTGTTTTGTGAGACTTCAAAATTTTTTCTATTTCTTTGGAGTATCCCCAAATATATACTCCGTATTGGATTAAAGAGTGAATGCTAGCATAGTAATAGGTTAGCATTGTCTCAGCATCCACCTCTCTTTGGAGATTTCTAAGCAGCCATAATCTACTCCTAACTTTTTTGTTGACTTTTTCCACGTGGTCATCCCATGAGAGTTTACAATCTAAACAGAATCCTAGGTAACCAGCAGTACTTGACGTTCTAACTATATTATTCTTAAACAGAAGATACTCTTCTTCAAGGAAATTTTGGGTGAAATTCATTGCAATAGTTTTATCAAAATTTATGAATAGGTTATTCGCTGCAACCCATTCATGGAATTTGGCAAATAGCGTTTGAACTTTTTCGAGAATAATCTCACCAACAATAATAATATTGATGTCATCTGCAAACATTACTAGTCTTACATCAATTTGTAATGCAGTTAGGACCTCTGGTGGATCATTGATGAAAATTAGAAAAAATAATGGACCCAAAATTGACCCTTGTGAAATCCCAGCTATGATTACTGTCACGAAGTTTTGAGTCATACATATATAGAACTCCCTCATTGCAAGTGGAGACAAGAGTCAATCTCAGACTACCCCCAAATCGACATTGCTATAAAAGTTGATACATGAAATCGGATGGCACACTGTTGATGGGAGATGACATAAAAGATACTTGACTTTTGTCTGAGCACACCATGAGCAAGCTCTAGTTGATGTGATAATCATACCTCCATACGATAATTTGAAGAACCATAAATTTCTTTTTAAAAGATGTCAAAAAACATTGAAATTATTCATAATATGCTTACCACAAACCCATAACCATTCTTTAACAGGACATCTCGAATGCGGCCAAATCCTTTGAAAAATCTCTCCAAATCTCTTTCTCTGACACCATACGGGAGACCACCGACATAAACTCTTGAACCTGTCATTCTGCAGCAAACAATAAACAAACAAATACTCATCAAAAAGTAGCCCATCTGGGAGTCAAATCGATCAGTGCAAAGACATGTCAAGTCTGTTTTTGACACATTATCGTTATTCGCTTCTTAATCTTTGAAATGCAGTAATTATTGTAATTAACACGAGCAGAACAGTGGTGCAGAAAATTCTAAGCCTTCCCCCGAATTCAATCAACTTTCCCTTGAAGATTAAAAGATAAAAATCTTCAACCCAGAAAATCAGATTTTATCACCACTCAGTAAGTTAAACCCAGTATTACGCAAAGGGTTCATCTGCTTTATACCATGTTCATGAGGGTTCCCCTGATTCTTCTTATTCTCCGAGAATTTTCCCTATTTCATGTGACCAGCAAACAATGGGGCCGATTGAGTGGGTGGGGAACTTCTGCACCCTTGAAGCAAAAGATGCATGTTTATAAACTTGGTTCTTCGGATGGAGTGCAAAAGTTCATGACATAGTAGTCCTGTTTTGGCTAGGGTACCTTTGAGAACTTGGAAGTGTGGCTACAAATTCAGCAACTAGCACCTAGTCTTCATGTCTTCCGCTACTATACAGTGCACTTTAATCTAAAAATTTTTGAGTCCGTGTCCAAAAACTTAATGCATTAATAAAGAAATGCCATAGGGATGTTTTTACCCAAAAGATGATCCGAGGGAAGCAATGTCATTGGAGCCTGGTTTGATGATTCCAAACTTAACAGAGGGGGTCTCTTAACCTAAACTGAGTTAGCTTGTTTTGAACCGCATAACTTTTAATTATCCCGGTCCACCGTAGCAGTCCAATTCCCATTCTGTGCGTTCTGGTTAACGGCTTTTCGTAGACAGATGTCAAGCAGTTAAGTACATACAATCCTAAGCTCAGGCAGATTTGCTTTGAACTGCAGATAACCTGATCCATGGATGGTAAAACCATCTGGGATACGCAGTAAGGTAACTTAGACATGATATGTAGCCACTGCGAGGTAAGCCACAAATAAGACTCAACATTAGATCTATTTCTGAGGAAGCAATTCATACCGCCGATGTTACAGATAGAAATAACCCATAAATTGGTGAGTTATCAATAATCATGCGGCTAATATGAATTACACTGCACCAAAGTGCGACAAAAATGAACAGCCATCTTAGCACGAAGTCGCGCCGGAGTATGGCAGTTGACCGAGTATAGATTGAAATCATGAATAAATCTTACGTGAAAAAAGCTCGGCACGAATCACTGAGGGTAGCTGATGGAGTACTAGTAGGACTGAAACTTGATACAAAAAAATGCGAAAAGCCGCATCAGATTCGTCACCGATGTACACACTAATCACTAATAAATATTACAGTTGCAAACAACACAATATTTCAGACATTTTTCAGAATCGAAGCCGAGGCCGATGGGATAAACAGCTGATAGAGGCATCTTCAGTCTAGCAGCCGTCATTGTACGTCATCTGGGCGAAGCACGGACTAGAAAAATTCAAAAATTTCATGTACCAAAAACCGCGCGGTAGATGGCCTCTGAATTTTAATTGGCGTGCTTCTCTCCTTTATTACGTCACATGGTGCAAGCAATTCAATGTGGCGTCCTGCCCTCCACTTCTCCCCTCTCCGATGTTCGCCATTCTCCAATTCGCATTCTCCATTTTCTTCGGTCTTCCTTTTGTTCGCTGCGTTTTTTCGTTCTTGTTCCGCTGTCGCTCGTTCTGACTTGACGTGTACTTGTCGCTGAAGTTGGAATTTTCCACTTTTATTTGTGAATTTCTGCTAATTTTTGTTCAATTCTGTGAGAATTATGGCTGCTACCGCTGAAACTGTCCCGTAAGTTAATTTTATCTACTTTCTTGACGTATATTATTCCATTCGAACCTCGGCACGTCAATACTGTCAGTTGGTGGATTTCGAACAAAAGACTCCATTCCCATGAAATGGTTTTACGGTACATCCTTACATTTAGTCAAAATTTCCAACAAATGCATTTAGTTTAAGATGGACTGAGCATTATTTCTCAATCCTGTCATCGGCACTTACTTTCTCTTGTGCAATCTTCTCGGAAATAATTCCGTTGCGAAAGCGTGCTTTGAGGCCGGTATGGATGTCTGCCGCCATTTTCTTCACACTGTGCTTCCCGGTAGCCGCGTTCATTTACCGGTTCGCGTGGTCGAGGCTGACATTTCCTTTTTTTGTCAGAACTACTCTCAACCTTGAGCTTTTCTGTACCATTATCGGCACACATTTTTGTGCCTATTCTCTATTATTTTCCCCCTTTCATCATGATCCTTTTCCATTGAGGCTCAGAATATCATTGTGCAAATCCTTCGTGTTGTAGAGATGTACAAGGTGATGAACAATAGCCTCTGGCACTTCATCTTCTACGCACCTACCCATCTTTTATTGTGACCATTTACACCCCTTATAGTGATAATTTACTTTTGACGGCTTCAATAGTTGTCAACTGGTAACAGTTACTTATGCTACTTGGCACCAATGGAGTTCAGGCCAAATCTGCAGGCTTGACAGTGCAGCAGGTAGATTGGTCGTTTGTTAGGCAAGCAGAAAGTTAAACTGACCAATTATTATCCTCATCATAACCTCAGTAACTTGGGATCATACTGGATTTTCTACAACGGATGATTTAGCGTTGAAATTTTTGTCAGTAAACTCACCCGAAGAACGGTTAGGTTTTAAAACTGGACACAGATTTTCCATCAGTTGCTTCTGAATTCGATGCAAGTCCCCTCATTCCGCAACAGTCCTGTAAGATACCGGTGGAACCAACTATCCTTGTCCTAACCTAATTTTTTCCCCTGGTGGGTTACGAAATTCACCATAGGCACAGCACAGGATCACATAGTTTCTAGATCGTTAAGTTCCTGCCATCTAAGACTTTGTTCTTTTAAAGTGCAACAGAAGATCAGCTGCCTTTAGTTAATTCTTGAAAGTAAATCAAAGAATAAAGATTGTGGATCTTCTTTCTCACTGTAGAAGTGCACAAACCTTTTTGGCGCAGCCTTTAGTAGAGACTTTTTGCTTAGCTACCATGTTCCTTCCGACCCAATGTAAGTTACTTAGTTTGCAAGAGGTTGCATTTTGGAAGTAACATTTAAGTTCCATTTGTAAAATTCCAATCTGGCCTTTCTTGTCAACCTGGCTTTAGCTCCTGAAAGCAGAACCTGGGTTTTCGCTTGCCCAAAAGCGTGTGACTTGACTCAACTTCTTGCCAAAATTGTGCTCTTATGTGGAGTCTAGATAATATGAGCTTTAGGGGCTTAGCGCAGCTGAGTTGGGGCTTGGAGCATTGTCCATGCTTGATTGGCTACAAGCGTAGTGTAGAACAGAGGCACTATTAAGTCCTACATTTTCCACTTTCATCTCAATTCTGAAATCAAATGACACTTCATTCACTCAGTTTGGGCTAGACAAGCAGTGATCTTGAAACTGACGGTTTGTGTTTTTCACTTAGCCCTATGAATTAATCCTTCTCATTTTCAAAAATACCTCTCAGTTAGCAATAATAACAATGCTGAAGCTGAAATCAATTTTGAACGATGCATTGTCAGTGATGCTTTCCCTTGCTTTGTTCTCATTTGTTCATTTTCTATTTTCCAGAGAAACAGTAGCTGCTCCTGAAAAGGAAACAGAACAGAAAGAAGAAGTCTCCAAGTCAGACGTAAAAGAAGTTAAGGATGAAGAACCGAAGGAAGTTGCTGAAGAAAAAAATGGTCACAGTGAATCTGACGAAGGAAAAAAGAATGGCGTGGCTAAAGCCGAAGAAGAAAAAACGAATGGCATCACAAAGAATGACGAAGAAAAGAATCACACCGAGAAAACAAATGGAACTACCGAAGAAAATGAATCAGAGGAAGGTTAGTATCATTTTCTTATCTTTAAGCTGTTGCCTGGACTCATATTTTCTTATTTTCTTCTGAATGGAACCAATCGTCTCTTTTCTGCCCTTGGTCCGAGTATGGATTGCTTCCAGTCCACTCGGAAGATTGAAACTTATGAATTTCCATTACTTCTGATACCATGCTTGTAATCCTTTTCCTTTTTACATTTATGAATCAAGTTGACCTTATCCAAAATTATGAACACATCTAAAGCGGAGCGGGTAGTTGCATTCGTGGAAAAACGTGTGCAAATATCCTAGAACTGCTGTCCTAACTTTCCCTCTCCCGAAAGAATTTAGCAATAATTTGTAAAGTATGCATTGAATGAAAATCAACCAAGTCTTTGCGTGAAGGAGAAAAGTATACGCTGATTAGAATTCAGCAAACTTTTCAGTAAGGGTCTTGCATTCAAGTAAAAGTACGCATTGACCGCATTCTTTGCAGAATAAAAAGGTCTCATGTCGTAGGGTGTCTACAGGTCCGAGAGTTCAGAAATAGTACTGATTTTTTAAGTGGGGTCCAGAAGTATTGTAAAAGTGCAGAATTCCGCCAGAAAGTCTGGAATTTTTTATTTTTGTCGCAACTTGAGCAGGAAATTCAAAGTTCCGAAAGCTGAATTTCGTCATTTGGAGGTACACCAAAAGTACTGAACTTTTCTGTTGAGGAGGTACTGAATTTCTTGGGATTGCACTGAAAAAGGACTAATTTTGGGCCAGCCTGTTGTTGTAGACCCCCTGTGTTCCCACCTTTTCTGCTTGGGTTTGGGTTTGGGGAGTTCAGATGCTTAAGTTGACTCAACATCCAAATAATTTTACGGACACCTTTACTTATATTCAGTTCTCACTGTTCAAAAGACGATTAATCACATGAATCAGGTTATTGGATGACCCATGATTAACTTGGAAAGTAGGTGTATCTGTGGTAAACTATAGTGAGAAATAAGTTTCTCCTGTTACATGTTGCTTTTCGAGGTATTCCAGTACCTATTTCCTGCTAGATCAGGAAACTACGTGAGAAATACCCCTCCAGAAATTTTGACAATGAGCACTTGACACAGGCCAGGCGAGGAAGGCACCAACCATTGGACACTTGGAGGAACTGCAGATGCACCTTAATGCCCAGAGATAACGCGCTCCACCAGCTGATGTGCGAAATTCAGCCACTAGAGTGCTGCGCCAGTTGTTAGGCCCCACAGAACACATTTAAACAAGTGGAAGGGACCAGCAAGTCAGGCAACAGATTATAAACGTCTTAACAGCCTTGAACAGCATAATGAAGTTAAAAGTGTAATAATGAATAAGATGTTTTTATCGCCCTCCAACCCATGACATATGATGCAATGACCCATGGTTTCAACCACCGCACTTAAATTTAACTATAGGGTTACCACTAGCTGGAAAACTTAAGAGAGAAAGGGAATTTTGCAAGCAGTATCCAGCTGAACTCGTCATAATTAAAATGAAAATCAATCTAAATAGAAGTTTCGTCCAAACGTCAGAAAAAATTAGGGAGATTGAATATCTCAGAGTTGGGAAAGTCAGAGAATCCATGAATGAAAAAAAATTATTGAAACCCTGGATAGACACAGCTGCCATTCGATCTGTGCCTATATTTACTTCAACCGCTGAAACAAATCTTTACCACTGTTGATTATCATAATGAGGAAATATAATGTGGACATGCACTTTTTAGGACAGCTCCTCGGTGATTGGGGAAACAATTGAATTTGATGGCAGGCACTGAAATGTCTCTAGGAATTTTTTGCGCATGCCAATATGCTGCAATCTTTAGGAACATTCAGAAACTTGAGGAGATGCTTCTTCCACTTTTTGCCCCTCCCCTCCCCTCTATACTCCATATGTTGCAGGCATCTATACTTTCCCCATCACTGTTATGCACTGGGGAGGTGACTCCTTGTCCGCAAAGTTGCTCACCGATCATGTCTGTATGCTTAGTCGTAAGCTCTGGAAGAGCAACCTCATGAAATAATAAAAGTGCCCTGATTACATCTGCTTTGTTCTCCATAGCTCCTACTAAGCAAGTCTGTTGAAGATAATATGTACATTAATACCTTTTTCTTTTCTCAAGTTTTGAAAAAACTCCTATTTATGAAGTCTCTGTTGTAGACAATCAGCAAATCAATTTCCCTCCGAACGTCTATTGCACTCCTTTAATTTACCTATACCCATTCCCTTTCTGAAAAATACTCTCTCCATTAGTTTCAGATGCCTGTCCAGTAAAGAGGAAATCAGAAGCTGCAGACATCCCAGACTCCAAAGTCTCAGAAGAGGATGCTGTCAGTTGTGAGAAGAAAGCTAAAATCGAGGAAAAATTAGCTGCAGCAAAGGGTGAAGAAGTACTTAATTCTGAAGAAGCTGAAGCAACCGCTTAGATCTCTTCCTTTTTGAATCTCCTTTTTCATTATCTGTGAAGTCGTAAATCTCATCTACCAAGCCAACAAATGTGTCTGTCATCATATCTGTCAAACTTAAACTAGTATTTAACCTTTTTCTCTTTCTTTATATTTTGTATGTACTATTCAAGTGTGGTATTTATTGAGGATGATCGTACTTATACCCATATTCATCTAATCCTGTGAAAATAGTCCATGAAAGATGGAAGGCTCAGTAGGCCCCTCATGCCAGTCTGACAAGAGGTCCGGGTAGTAGATTCCTGTCCTAAGAGCTGTTTATTTCTAATTCCCTCTTGTCCCTCATGACGCAGTATTTTTCACTTATTCAACTTTTCTCTTAGCTCTTCAATATCTCCAATTTTTGTAACTACTATTCCTCAATTTTTACATTACCTACGATTGTTCCTCTGCTATAATTTAGATGTATTTTGTCAGCATTATTCCACTTTTTTATCACACCTGATGCCTCACTATTGAGCTGAAAAAATTGTGAGTCACAAGCCACTTCACCATCTCAGTCTCTCAGTTAAAGCCTGCCGGATCTCAAAGCCCGGTTTTAATCACAGAGACCTTTGGAATTGGTTTGTAAAAACATTTTCATGTGGCAGTTGATACCTCGCCGTGAATATGCTGTTAAAAACAGGAAGTTGAAATCTGACAAACGGCAACACATTGGTACTTGATCATCAGGTTCCTAAGATTTTCTGCTCAGTTTTTTGAGCACTAAATAATTTTTATTCCTAGACGATTTTAATTTTAGTTTTTGTATGACGACTTAGACGTTCAAGAAATAATTTAAGCTGCATTTTCAGTATTAATAAGGTAATTGAACTGTTGGATCCTTCGCCCCTCAGCTCTAAAATGAGCATTGTTCTTACCTCTTGCAGAATCTTTCGTATGTAGCTCACATGTCCTTTTTCGGTCCCGGTATGTTTTATTTTCTTTTTGTCTCACAATTATTGTATTCGTTTCCTACTCTTCAAAAAGAAATTAAAGAGAAAATTACGAATAGTTATGGGGATATCGTTAAAAATATTTTTAATTTTGGTGAAGGTAATTTTTATGTTTTCCCTGTTTTAGCAAATATCTGTCTTTTCCTCTAGAATTCCTCTATGGTTAAAAATTAATTTCAGCAGGACGATTCAACTGTTCAAAATAAAGAGGTAGTAGGAATTGCTCCCAGTTCTGGAACCTTCATGAGTTTTATCTATCTAATTTTTCCTTGAATACATCTTCAATGATAGTTTTCCTCTGAACCCCTCGAATCGATAATTTTATTACAAGTCAGTCTTTGGCCTTTTTTCAGTGCTTATATTTTTGTATTTCTTTTCCTGGATATTAGCAATAAATGATTCCTTCAGAACTATCTTTGTAAGCATTTTCCCTTTCATGACTTTGGAGTCTCAACCTATCGATGAAAAGTTTTCTGCAATAGAGGCAGGTACCTATGAGCCCCTTTTCTCAAGGCGCAGATACACCTGCAAGCAAGACGAGTTTCCTTAGACGAGTAGGCGTCCGTTTGTGTTTGGCAATCTTCAACTTGATTGCAACTTGCTCATAGTAGAATCGAATACCACTGTTAGGGTTAAGTTGCACGTTTAGTGTGCGGGTGTATCTGGCCCTTGAAGAGAAAGTAATCTCAAATGCCATTTCGTCACCTTCTAGCCAAAGTATCACAAGCGCCATGCAGCATTTCAAAATTTCCGCCGACACTTCATTTTTTTACAGAGAAATTGTTTAAGAAAGCTGTCCCAAAATTGCACTGAATTTTCTGTGTGCTGCCGATAAAATTCAGTGAAATTTATGGACAGCTTTCTTAAATAATTTCTCTGTAAAAAAATAAAGTGGCGGCAGAAATTTTGAAACGTCGCATGGCGCTTGTGATACTTTGGCCGGAGGGTGACGATTTGGAGATGGTTGGAAATCAGATTCACGTTTTGCTGATGGAAATAATAATGGATGTATTTTTTACAAATACCTAAAAATACCTGAATTTTAAGTGAAGTCATATAGAGGTGTTGTTAGCTAAGTTGGCAGTTGTTTACTTTCGGTTTGCCGGTGCCAGCAACGAATTCAGGCCTCTGAACGAAGCTGCGTTCGCTACTATCCACATTGAAAACATCAGTCTCATGATTGTATCGTAAAAAAACTACCCATCAGTCATGATTTGCGACTTTAGTGGTTGTGTTTTCTGTGTGGCTTAAAATTAAAGTGTTACAAGGTTTGAAAGTATTAAAAAACTTATCTAAGCTTGTGTTCCTACTTCTGAGAGAGCCAGATGTTTTCATGTGGATAGTAGTGACGCGAAAACGCCTGCAAACCAAAAGTAAACAACCGTCAACTTAGCTAACGACACCCATATCCCAATCAAAGACCTCAACAAGGGACTTCGAAAATGCCACAATTAACTGTAAAGGGATGTAGTAAGTTGAAACTCTAAGCACACTCCAGTTGAGAATTAAAAACCAACTTCTTTTTGATTGTATATCGATGGCCAACGTGCAATACCGCCAACCTGTGAACTGATGATTTTGCAGAACGAAGAGAAAACTTAGCCAATTTTTCAATACATCACAGTGTCATAGAAGTGCTCCCCTACAGAATTGAGGAAAAACTTAAATCATCAGGCTGCGTATTGTATATTGTTGAACACAGCAAGGTTGCTAACTCGTTTTTGCCAAAATTGTTACTTATGTGGTATTTTTTGTCAGCTTTCGATATGCACTGGCGATTTTTGGTTTTTGAACATGGCACCAATCGAGAAGTCTTTGAGGAAATTGCTCAGATTCGAAAGGGTTTCGATGCTGAATTAAATTTGTTGTTTTATGTTCAGATGTTCCTTGCAACTGTCAGAGCCCAAGTGTCGAATTAATTGTCTTAGTGCCAATTTCAGAAAAAAGGGAATAAGAGAATCTTTCAACACTTTCCTAGCATTTACTGAAGTTCTAACACCGTTTTGTTGACCAAAGAAAGATCTCCTTTCCTTGCTGGCCGGGGAGATCAGACTGAAGCTCGCCTTGTTGATCAATTGTAAGTGTTGTGTATCTCTATCATCAAATGAATGAAAAGAAAGTCAACGACTCATTTTTAGGCCCTGCTTTTCTCAAAGGCATTTTGAAAAAAAAATTGTTTGAAGTTCAATGTTCTCAGAATGCTGTGGAGATCCTATATCAACGTAAGCAAATGCTGTCGTGATCAGTAAGATTCTCTTTGAATTTCATGGGTTGAGAAACCTTATCCTCTTCAAATTTTCATAAATATTTACCAGTCCAACGTCTGTTTACTGACAGTCTATTAAATATACATAAAAGCTAGGCCTTTGATTTTTCCGTTATACACTGATCGTTTTTTATGTTGATATTTGAACCAGTCTTGTAAATTTGCCCCTAAAATAAATTGATTCACTGTATGAGGACATGTAGGTCTAGGAAGGGTTCCAACTTTTCAGTAGCAGAATATTCCTGCTTAGATAGATTACTGAGGGTATGTCTCTGGAGATACACTGAATTTTATTGGTTGCAAGAAGAATACAAATTTTTCAAGAGAACTCAATTTATCATCTGATAGTCAATTTTATTATTTAGAAGAAGCTGACGTTGCATCATGGCTTGAAATTTTCATACGAAGAAGAATAGTCATCAAAGTTTTCAAGTAACAGTCTAGAAGATGAAGTATGATTGGAAGTTTACTATGCTGCCAATAGAAATGTACGCTTCTGGCATATCCCTGTTGTTATAATGCCTTAATATGAACAGACAATAGCAAGCGCAGCAAAGGGGGAGATACTTTTTGTTTCAAGCCGTCTACTAGATTTTAATGTACTCTTTTCTGAAGTCTCCATGAACCGTGCCATAATGCACCTACTGAGGAATTTGAGATTAATAGAATTTTACTTACCGTACGGGGGATTGTGACTATCAACTTCGGAAGTAGGTACTTTGTCTCAAGAGGAAATAGACCTCTGGCACAATGGATACAACATCCTTTTTTTCGTCTAACTCATCCACATTGAACTTTAGATCAGGATGAAATGGACCGAGTTTAACAGAAAGGAACCAAGCCACATCAGCGATTGTCAAGTTTAACTGGGCAATTAAATTTTTTACGAGAGAACGGTTGTTCGGATTTCTTTGATAATTTTAAGGAATTTGTCTCGCACCTCGGAGAGTTTTCACTGAAATTTGCACGAAAATCCACACAACCGTTTTCATGTAAAAAATTAAATTGCCCAATTAAATTTGGCAATAGCGGATGTGGCTTGGTTCCTCTCTGTTTAACGCGGTCCAAATTTCAAAAGGCTAGCTTACTATTCAGTTACTCATGTAGGTATACCTCATCCATGAAAAGCTGAGGCAGGGATCAGACGATCGGCAATATTGCAGCATTCAATAAAAAAAAAAAGAAAAAAAAAATGCTGTTCTTTTAATGAGAGAATTACTTCGTGGTTTCGGAACCGAAATTCTGCCGAAGTCACCTCCTGCTTACTGCTTCAGGACTTGAAAACGTTAAATATTACTAAGGATCTAAAAAATTATTAAGTAGGTAATGGAGGATTTTCTGAATTTGATAGGGTTAATGTTAGCTTAGTTACCTCCAATCAAGTAAATGCTGAATCCACAGCTACTTAAAAAAAAATAAATCTGGTAATTTTTTGTCAATGACACTCTAAATTATGCAGGCAAAAAATAGACAATTTTAGGTGAGTAAGATTAGTGCTGCCAATTATTAACACTTAGGACTGCGAACGTAAAACTCTAGATCGGACACTAAAATTGGCCAATCCTTTATTGAGGCATTTTCACAAATAATAATAGGAGTTAAATATTTAGAACATATTGTAACCTTTGTATGGAAAACATTTATCAATGGGCAAAGTGCAAATCCTTGCATCTCTGTTTCCGATATTGCAGACTTCCAGTCATACTTTATTTTTTCCTTCGAAAACTTGTCGATGTTATTTCTTGAAAACTACCTTCATTTTTCTTCTCTGTTGGCAGAATATGCTGTAAGTATAAATTCCAAGCTATTAGGTACTTAGGGCTGTTTCTCGTTAAAAAATAAAATAGGAGCAGAAATCTTGAAACAACACAATAGAGATACGTCATTCTGCATTCTGACCAACAACTCTTAAAAAAACTGATAAAATTCTGTTATTAGGAAGCCCTTTCCGGCTACTTTTTTTAAAGTAAAATACAAGTATGAAGGGTAAAATTTAAGTAAAATGTGTTTAAAAAACTCTTAAAATATCAACTGAGGGGCTTAGAGAAGGCGCATAAGAGCAGTTTTTGAAAAAATTGAGATATTAATATAATTTCAAGTAAAACTAATCTTAATGCACATTCCGTGAAAAATTTGCTCCGAGTTTTTAAGCATCAAAGAGTCAGTACGCACTTTCTTTCCGCCATGAGGATTCATGAAATTTCGAGCCTTTCAAACACATATTTCTCAAGATTTCAAAACCTGCACTAATGCGCTATGTCCCCAAAGTCCCCCCCCCCCCCCCNGGACTGTGGTTCTTCAATGCTAAAAAGGTTTGAAAAAAAGTTACAAAACTACATTGATATTTAAGAGTTTATTTTAAACACTATTCCTTTAAATTTTACTTGAAAATAGCGAAAAGGGTTTCCTAGTGCGCAAATTTTAACAGTTTTTCTAAGGGGTTATGAAGAATGTTCTAAGAGGTCATTGCTATTAAGGAGAGATTATGTACAGGATGATCCAAAAGTACTGCATCACCAGCATCAGGAATTGCCTCTTTAACTTTTAAATACATTGAGATGGAGACTCAACATTTTTTGAGCGCTCCTAGATCAAAGGGATTATAACTTTGGGGATATCCCAAAATTTTAGGGAAACCACCCTAAAAAGAGGAAAAACTCTTAGGAATTGTTGGGTGGTGCAGGACTATTGAATCACTCCGTGTACTGCCTGTGTAAGACTGACTAAAAATGACTGCTTGAGTACTTAAGGTCAAATTTTCGAGACTCTGGCTGCAACTTTAAAAACTTAAAAATTATGACAAACAGAGAACGAGAACAGCAGTTTTAAATATTTTCTTTCTTTTATCAGATGTAAAAAAAAAAAAATTCCCTACATTTTTCGTTGATTACTTATGGACATTCCACATTTCATTTTTGCTAAAAATGACTGAATCTGATGTTTCGCTCCTTTCAAAGAAGATCCCAGACCTAATGGTGAATGAATTTACTGATTTCTAATATACTTGATCCCATGATAAAATTATTATCAGAGAAAAAAAATGGAAATATTGCATGAGAGGTACCTGAATTGAAAAAAAAGGATACACAGATCACCGTGTTATTATGCATTTTTATCTTTTACAAATAACAGAAATTTTAAGATTACTTCCCATAAAAAGGTGAGGGATTTAAAGCAGCGTAGTCATCTTGACTGATCAAACAAGTTTGTTGTGAAATGCTATAAATACAATACGTAATACTGTAGAGTAATTTTAAAATAACACTACAGTTGCTTAAACCGACCCTGACATAAAGTAACGAATTACATTGATTCTCTATTGCTTGAGCAAGGGGGCTGAAGTCCATTATTTGACTTTTCCATGAAAAACAAAAAAGAAAGTAATAGCTGAGAATTATCCAAATTACGAAAATACCCGCTAAACGTTGATTAACGTATGCATAATTACATGAGTTAACAAAGAAATTCATGGCACAGGAAATCTCTAGAATAATAGAAATCTTTAATAGCAGCGCAGATCTTGCTTCCAAACCTAGGGTTCGGCTCACATTCAGTGATGAAAAGGTAGTTACTTTAGGAAGCTTTCAGAGCGTACCAAGGCAAATTCGAGGATAAAAAATGGCAAAAGGTGTCATACAATGAGATGCTAATTAAAATTAACACCTAAAACGAACACTGCATTATACCTGAATAGGTGCACACACAATGTGTAAGTGCGAAGTGAGGAATTTTTTTGATAAGTCACCATCCCGTAAGAGTCGTGCTTTTGAGAGTGGCTAGTATATGTTAAGAAGATAAACCAATCAGTAAAATTTATGAACTTAGGGTTGCTCTATTCTCTCTAATAAAGTCATGTCCTCTAGGATATATCCGTGAGGTTTCTTCAAATTATTCTGAGATAAGAAATTTTGATACCTGTTTTAAGATTGAAAAACAAATTCTTCACTAATAATTTTTCTAATGGGGTTAATTCTATGAGTTTTGTAAAACTTCAGATATCAGCTGGGATTTAATAAGAATCTTAAGCATCCCAAGTTATGACAGAACATTTATCGGGGACTTCGGGAGAGAAGATAAAAAGAGGGAGGATCAAAGATAAAATTTTTCCAAGACTTCCAGATGCATTTCTATTAATTTTGATTACAACAATACTGCATTCATGTTCACTTTTTGATATTTCTGGAAAAGGACTTGAACCCTTTTACCCAAACACAAGAAATTTCTATAGCTTCGTAACATTTTCATCACAGAAATCAGTTATGTGTCAAGCTATGAGCGTTGAGTGTACGGAAGCAACACTGCTTCCTTTTCTTTAGTCTTCAGAGACCTTAATGGCTTACGAACTGAACTCTCGACCAGATGGGTACGAAGAGTTTCGTATCTCTTCACATTGGATGAGGCCCACTGGTTCTCTGTCCTCAGCAGCAAACCTTCTGCTTCACCATCACAAAGACATTGGTTATGTATTTGACACTCATTAAGAAATAAGAAAGCTCATGAGGAGTGAAAAACTAAAATGGGNGGGGGGGGGGGGGGAGGAGGCAACAAGAACAACAATATAACAAAAAAGGACTTGCTGAATCAGAAAAGGAGAACAATGCAGCTTGCAATACCTCAAAGAACATTTAAGAGATAAGTAGTCTATACTACCTTATTCAAAAAACGTTCAACTCAATTTGAGACACGAGGCATTATTTATTTTAAAATCATTTAGAGAGGAGGAAAAATATTGAGAGAGAAAGAGAGAGAGAGAGAAAACAAAAGTAATGATAATAATAATAATGATGATGATAAAGAGTAAACAAATGATAATAACTTATAAATAAATCTATGAAAAAAGAAAACACCTACTTCAGACAAGCATCAATTTTGAGAAAATGGGAACAAAGAGAATAACTTTTATGAAATCAGAAAAAATAACAAACAAAAAAGAGAAATATATATAAAAAAAAATTAGAACAATTTTAACATTAATCTTTTTCACTTTTCAATTACAAATCTGCATAAAAACAGACAGAGGCGCTTATCTAAATTTTGCTACATTATTACAAAGTTCCTTGCATGCTCCTGGAGATTGAGGAGACCCTGATATTTTCTATAATAAGGAGAGTGGATCTGACGTAATTAAACAATAGATTTAGTGCGGTTAGTGATCCAACAGCCAATTGATAACTCATAATTATTCTTAATGCAATTGTTGAAAAATCCGTGAAACTCATGATTCCATGGTATGTCAGGTGTGTTTATGTATATGAAATTTGATTATACTTAAAAGAATTTGGAGTAACTCTGCAGAAACAGCCCACTAAAAAAATTAGACAATTTTCATTTTTGATTCCTCATTTTCACTTCAGCAATATTTTCAAAGTCATTTCTTCATTAAACTTTACTAATGCTTGTAATTATTTGAAGACTACAAAGAGCAGGACTTCGAGATTTTCTTTTTGAAAAAAGATAAAAAACCGCCTCCAAATTGTAATTGTTGGATTGGTTTCTTTCATACAGAAGGGGTGGAATTTAAGAGGATTCAAATAGTTGTTCTATTGATTAAGACAACTAACAAAAAAAAAAGAAAAAAGAAAAAAAAAACAACCCGACATACTGCAAATTAATTGAAGTCTCCGAGATTTTTTAAAAAAGATCCACAAATTTAGAAATGATCAAAAGATACATCAAATTGCTAGGCTTTCATCAGTAGAACCTTCTTAGATATAGTGGTATCATTACTTTGATGTTCATGCCTTGATTAAAACTAAGAAATTGGGAGAAACCTCTAGCACTCAAAATATTTCTGGGGTTGTATGGTAAGAAGTGTGCATGACACTTTCACATCATGAGTAATGATTGTTTTAGACAGAAAATTTTTTTAGCATCATTATATTTTAATCTTCATGACATGGAAATTTTTAAATACTTAATGAAGCGTCAGTTATAAAAGATCGATCAGAAAAATTTTCTACTTTCTATCAAGAGCATATTCCATGAAAATATCCATCAACATCTTAAAGTATGTATAATGTTTTTACAGAAGAATGAAACAGGGAAATTTTTTTGAATTGTTAACAGTGTGAGTGTTTTCACAACATTTCGACTGTGAAATAGCAAAATCGGGTATCTATTTTTGCGATGCTGCAGGCTACTGGTCATACTTAGTTTCTAAGTAAATGGAAAAACACTTGACGTCATTCCTTTAAGACCTTTCTGAGTCGTCTTCTCTGGGAAAATTTAAAAAAATATAGTGTTGGTCCATTCTTCTTCAATGAAATAAAATAATGGCAGAGGTTTTCAGCCACCGCAATTAAGATGCACGTTTTGGCAGTTTCACAATTGATTTACTTAACCAACACACCTTGTAGGTATCGACTGGTTTTTAGGTTTGAGAAGACTCAAAATTTGGCCTTAAACATCAGATTGCAGTTAATTGATTGGAAGGAGGGGAGAGGGCAAAAAAATAAATTTTAACACAGCTTTTAAAATTTCAGGAAGCTGAGGCAGCATGATCTCTTTCGTTCCCACTACATAAATTAAAAGCGATTAAGAAAAATAACCAAACAACAAAAAAGAGGAGCAACAGTGCTTGGCTGAGAGTTTTAAAAGACCAAGACAATCCTAGACAGGAAACGTATTCTCCTCAAGAGAACATGCTTCGAATAGTAGCAAGAACATACGGAATACTGTAATGAGCATTTAACAAAACAAGATGGAGAGCAGTAGTTCTATTGAGTACACTCAATTCAGTAGTAACACATTATCATTGAATTCTTTTACATTTTATTGTGATCTTTTATCTCTTTTTTGATATGGGATCTTCCTCACCGATGCCCAATGACTATTCGGAGCCTTCCCCCGCCCATTGCTAAAAATAGACAAATAAAATAATGTGAAGCAACAGCTTAAAACATGGCAAGTTCTTTTCTCAAAAACAGAGAATACTTTGTTGGTGAAACAGGGAATTAGCTGTACAAAACATGGTAGATTAAAAAATAAAATTAGGGACTGAACAATTCATTCTTTCTACTGAGTACTTGTTGAACCACAGAAAGAAAATGATTAAATAAGATAGAATAAAGAAAAGACACGGTCATTATTTATTTCACCTTTCTCTGCAGAGAGGTCATGTGTTCAACTCTAGTCTAGGTGGCTTTACAAGATGCTTATAAATTCTAGGAGCCGCAGTATGATTGAAGCTCCAAGGGATGAGATAGTTTTTTACCCCTTTCACAAATTTAATTCCAAGGAAAACCCTGACAGGTGTAAACTCCGGGGGATTGGTGTCTCTTGCCTGGAAATAATGGGAAAATAAGGCTAGGCGGGAGGAGGGCACTTCTCTCAAGAGATGCAAAATTTTAAAAACTACTTTACAATCAAAACTCTGACTATATATTTGATTATTATAATTTTCATTTTCTGGTGTATTTTGGGGATGAGAGAAGGAGGACGTTCCAGAAAAATTTGAATGCTCATTTCTGATTAATTTTGTGTTCTAATAGGTACAAAAGGTTTAAGATTCACCAAACTTGAGAAATTTTGAAAACTTCAATGAACCAGCATCAGGCCTCTTGCAGGATTAATGCAATTGACTGACCAAGTGAATACACCACAAATTCTTTCAATATATCTATGTCTCTCAGCAAAATGAGGCAGACCGCCTTGATTGCTTTATTTTCAGAAATTTGGGCAGGGAAATGTATTTTGATCGGAACTGTTACTTGAAAAGAAACATTGATATATCAAGGAAACCTGCAATGCAGTCACTGAATTGATTAAAAGTAATGACAAGCCTGAGCTCAAAAACATTGTTCATCACAACAACCATTTTTCTTTAAATAGGTGTGCAACTACTTTGTCATGAGGGTTGAAACACATAATTATACTTAGCGATAAAAAGTACAAAGTGGGAAATTCTATAAAATTTGAATCAAAGGATCTGGATCTTCTCGACGTCAGAACTTTCTTAAGAGACTTGCTCTTTGAACTGTCAAATTTAAATACATTATATGAATAACAGAAAAATTAACTCCTTTTAAATCGGTTGGAGTAAAAGTTGTCACTGGTTTAGTTCAATTTACAAAATGTACAAAAGGATGAGGGGAAGAGACAGTTAGTTATTGATGGAAAATAGTTGACAATAGACCATTGAAGTAGACGGATTTTCAAATTTAGGCTGAATACCTTAGCAGAGTGAGTTAATTAAAAGAGATAAAATTACCTCATTTGATACTATATTTGATCCATCATACTGAAAAATGAAAATGTGAAGGACAGAATGAAAGGGAGGCTATTTAATTTTCAAATCTATTATTGGTATGATGCTTTAAAACTACCTGACAGCCACTCAAAAGCAATTTAAGGATGCAAGTAGAGACATACATTTATTTCTCATACTTCATCGCCTTAAAATGTTAGAGAAAATTCAGCCACCATTTCGCACATCACATCATCTTGCTCTATAATCCTCAATTTTAGAAAGGCTGATGTGGTCATCGCCTTAGGGGTATTGGGTCAGAGTTGGAATCAAGTAATAATTTCAATCCCTGCTCTACTTGAATGACCTATTGAAACGATAATATGAAGAGGAAGAGGACAGCAAGGGAAAAACGAAGGAGAGAATATTCCACAACTCAAGGCATGGCTGCAGAATCTTCTTGACTTTCAGAATTCTCTGAAGAGCACCTCTAAATTTTTTTAGAAGTGGATGGACAAAAAAAAGAATTATATGCAACTTTCTGCTATTGTTAGTAAGAGGTCAAGGTTTTAGGCTAGTAAATTTACATAGAAATAATTCTCCTTAACTATGTTTGTCTTTTAAAGGTATTGCTCCGTAAAATAAAAAGCTGTAAAGGAAACTTGTATTAAGCAGCGACTCTTGGAAAAAGGAAAATTAAGATAGCCATCTTTTCAGTCATTTGTTTTGTAATAAAATGATACATGAAGCATATGCACCCTTGATTCTACGTCATGCTGTGGAAAAGTCATTACTAATACATAAAAAATAACAACTTATTTGAAAAAAATTAACCTTGGTCTTACAAAATGTTAATTTAGAAGATGACGGTAGGATACACAAAGGAATATACATCAGCAATGGCTAAAGATTTGCCACAGGGTTTAAGTGTGATTCTTAATCAGAGAATATTGAACCTTGCAGAGAATTTTGACTTTAAGTTTACACACAGAGCTCAGGACAATTTTCTAACTGTATGCTGCGGGGACTAATTCATATTGTCAAGGAATTCACTACCTTTTCTCAATCCACAACAATTAATGAGTCTTAATGATCTTCAAGACAATTATAAAGGATGTTACCGCATAATTTTTAAGTTTATGAGGAATTTTGATTCAATTACGAGGAGCTTGACATTTCAGTCTCTGTAAGGAGTGTACGGTACAAGTATAGAAATCTGGTCAAATTGTAAGATATTAAAACAATGGTTTGGGGGCTATGTTAGTGATGTACTCCTAAAGTTTTGAAGGCCCATAGAGAAGCACGGTAGCGGTCATCCTCCCCTACCTAACATGTCCTTCTCAAAATGTTTCTGGGTACATCACTAAGTGGCTAAAATGTTTCAGCCTTCAATAAGGTTTGGATAGAAATTCTCACAAAGAATGTACTGTTTCTGAAAGATAAAAAGAGGATTTGGCAAAAATATCATAGCTAATTTGATAAAGATGAATTCATAATCATGAAAAAGAGGAGGAAGTCACTTTCAATGATTTACTGAAGTCATTGTTGAAGGAATTAAGTTTTAAGGACTAAATCGAACCAACTACATAAATTCGCGTCTTACGTTTGGTGCATTCAAATATTATTATCAAAACTTCACATTTAGTCAGATTATTTACGAAACTTTCACAAATTTCAATTGCAGTGACAAAAATCAAGTGACAATTTGTTACAACTGCTTGAATTGCATTTTACCAGAGGAGGTAGAGGCCTACTCATTATGCAATAAGGCAGCTTAATTAATGGACAGTATGATTAAATCAAGTTCATCAACTATGCAATTTAATCGATAACTTTACACAACACATAGAATCTATGCAAAAACTGAAATAAGTGCTTTGAAAAAAGCAATAATATTTGCAAAATCATGATCAAATGACTATGGCATGAATTGAGTTTGCTGTGCGAACTGCAAATAGACTATTTGATACAACAGGACTATGGGATGGTTATACCTATACACAAAAATGCTAAATTTGGACTCATTACAAACGAAATCAAAATGACTACATTGATCCAGCTTAAATCAATGATTAAAAGCTTGGAATTGCTCTTGTCCGTAAATTCTCCGAAAAAGGAGACATTTACAAATTTGATTAATATTAGTAAATAATTACCTACCATTTCTTTTACAAACATATTTACACATTTTACTTTACTCAGTTATTTTTTCAATCTTGTTCTAAACAAAATCTTTTAATTTTAAGGAAGACACTTGGCATATTCATTAGAGAAATCATAAGACGAGAGAACAGAGAAGAAAAACACTGTGGCTACTTGTTTGGTTAGGATGTGTGATGTGCTTAAGATATGGCATCAAGTTATACAAGTTAAATAAGGTATGAACAACTTCACAATAATGATACTTGGAAAAAGAAAAAAAAAAATGAAAATAATGAAACAAGAAAAAAATAAAAAAATAGATGAATTGAGGTTCAACTCAATGAAATTATTACTTGTGCTGAGATTGAAAAGAGACAATCTGTCCGAAACTGATTTCAAATGATTCAAGATTATAGCTCCTTTAAAATTTCAGCTGATCAAATGAGTAAAGTAGAGCAATTTCCAACCATTTACAGAAAACGCACGATACTGAAAATGACATCACATACTCAGGACTGATATGATAATACTGCAAAGATTAAAAAACGAGAGACTTACACAGATTACAAAGACTGTTGACACTTTCATAATCGTGAAATTGGTCCAAATAAGTTAATTGATGTATGACAATAAAACTTTAAAATTCCGCAAATTCCTTGGCACACTTTTCGGTGGATGAGATTCTTAAAGCCTCCTCTTCATAGTCATCAAAATTACTAGTGTCCCCTGGTCCCTTACATCTAGGAATAAATGGCGCTTCGATCTTCTTTTGAAAAACCGAGATCCAATCTGTCGACCCAAACCATTTGTGTCCTTTGATGTCGTTGACACCATTTTTCAGATTACCATAGCGCTTAGTTAGATCAACCTGCAGTAAATTGCGCAGCAAATCCTTCAAGTCTGACCCAAAATGTGAAGGGAATCTGACTTTGCCAGATACAATTTTTTCATAGATTTGAATAGGTTGATCTGCAAAAAAAGGCGGATAACCAGCAGCCATTTCATAAACTAAAACGCCAAGGGCCCACCAGTCTACCGCTTTGTTATAACCTTTGCTTAGTATAATTTCGGGTGCAAGGTATTCTGGTGTACCACATAAGGTCCATGTTCTGCCTTTAACTCTCTTAGCAAAGCCAAAATCAGTAACTTTTAGATAGCCTTGCGAATCTATGAGCAGATTTTCAGGTTTAAGATCACGGTATATAAGGTCTAAATAATGTAAGTATTCAAAGGCTAAAACGATCTGGGCTGCATAGAACCTTGAATGAACTTCCGTGAATCTGCCAACTTTCCGCAGATGTGAAAACATTTCTCCTCCAGGAACATATTCCAGGACCATGTAAAGATTTGAATTGTCTTTAAAGTGAAATTTAAGACTAACCAGAAATGGGAAACTGATCGCTTGCAAGATCCTTTTCTCATTTAATGTATGTTCCACTTGCTTCAGCTTTACAACCTTTTGTTTATCTAAAATTTTCATTGCATAGTATTCTTTGGTAGACTTGTGTTGGACTATCATTACTCGGCCGAATGATCCTGTGCCAAGTGTTTTGATCCTGTCAAAATCATCTAGGCCTGCGGTGTTTGTTGGGTTCTTTTTCCATTTCTCTTCGAATTCTTCTTTCGCTTGATCTAGAAACTCCTTCACACTTTCAGCTGAGTCTCCTTTTTTATTGGCCGTTGCGGCATTGCCCATTTTAAGGACTTTTATGCCTTCCAGGGCTTCTAACAACTTGTTTCACGTTTTTTCGACTAAATAATCCACCAGAACTGTGAGTTCTGAAAGTAGGTAGCCAATTCTAGGTTTCCTTGGGACTGCTGACTATCAGTAGGTGGAGTTGGTGAATTGTTAGATAGATATCCACCTACCTTACGCCCTCAAATTCCATTATAAATTTCTAGTCCACCGATTCATAAATACACTGAATAACTCTTAATAAGAATCAACTGCGATCATTCGAATCACTTGGTAACAGACTACACAAATAATTCCCCGGGTTTCCAATGGCGAACATATTCATTAAGATGGCGAATGCTGAGTTAGATTCACAGAGTAAACAAGCGCTCTCTTCGGCTACAATTTGTACTAAATTAGTTTTTGATCACAAATTTAATTCTTCGTTAATTATGTTTTGAGATCACGTTAAAATGGGAATCATGACTCGATCTGCAGAAAAAACGTGCCGATTCAGATTTCAGGGGCACAAAATATGATTGAAACAGAGCGAAAACTTTCAATATTATAACATCAACATTTTAAAACGCGAATCGTTGACCTCATAGATTGACCTGATGTTTTGGCAACGTTGCTTTGATCCTTACTCCATAAAGCGCTCTCTAGCGTGCCATGTTGAAAGTATTTTGTCAATATTGGCTATTCATCACTTTGCTTCGTCGAAAATTTTGGTGTGAACTAGGAAGTCCATTTTATAGAAGTAATCTATTTCTCTCCGAGTGTCTCATTGAAAATTATCAAATTACAATGGCCGGGCACGAGCAGAAAGCAATGGAACTCATGGCTGACGCCGATAAGAAGTTGAACTCCTCCAAAGGCTTTTTTGGAGCTTTATTTGGGTAAGGTGCCATTCGTACAGTTATCACTCAACTTATTTTTACACAATGAGTCCTATGGATCAACTCAGTTTCTGGTGCTATGCCTACATTATTATATCTGACCTCCTAGCAGAAAACTATCAGTCTATAACTCTCATTGTTTTGGTATGTCATATTCTAGTTGAATCACAAGTCCAGTAAAGCGTGTGATTAAACTTGCGAATAATGTATCTAATCAGTAATCCACACAAGCAGAGCTCCATTCGGCAAATCTGGTTTCATCCGACCATGATGTAAGCGCCAATCAGCTGCCATCGCACCAGCAGTGTGACCGCATCGAGAAAAAAAAGGTGTTCGCATCTCGGGCATCTTGGAATTTTTTTGATGACGTAGGTCGGTCCAGCGACGTTTATCATCGATTTTCCTGGAAATGGTGTAATTTATGGAAAAAAGTCATTCTATAAAAAGTGCTTGAAATTATATCATGAGTTAATTTAAGCAAAAAAATGGGACATTATGGTCTGTTTTTCATACTTCGAATTCCGGATTTCACTGGCCAGGTTGTACCGACCTACGTCATAGGGTAAACAAACCTCAAGATGCAAACACCTCCTTTTTTTTCTCTATGGTGTGACACTTTTGCAGGCTAAGTAAGTGGTCTGTCAACAGTGGTCCACTGCTGTCTCTACAGTCTCTGCGCATGTGTATCGTGTCAGATATACTTACTATACTGTCAGGACTGCCCATTTGATTGCTGCTTTTGACTATGAAATTAATTTCTTGGAAAATACTGTAACTGTACAGTAAAACTGTACTCAGTTTGTGACTTTACCTTATCAAATTGCGGTAAGCATCGTAAGTGTAAAAATTGAAAAAATTTGTTTTTGATGAATGAAATTCATTTGGAATTGCCAGAAAAATATTGCAAAGTCACTTTCAAAATTAAGTTTTTTTCCTTGATATTTTTCAAAATTCTTTAAACTATTTTAACAAAAATGTAGCCCATTGAAGAATTGCGTTTAATGAAGGTTCCTCTTTCATTGATTAAGTAAAAAAAAAAAAAATATCTTTAAAAAAAATTACAGTGTCAAGAAACTGTGTTAAAATCATATAACATTTTCTTTCAGTGAAAAAGGAAAAGCTAGAAAAATATGTGCATGGCCACTCTCAAGATTCAAGATTTATTTATTTCGAAAATTTAAATTTAAGTACATAAGTACAATAAAACACAACATATCCATTTGCCAAAAGTGTGCTTGTTTGGCATATGTCACTAAACCAAATGAAATAAACAACAAGAAAATAACTTAACAATGGTTGGCATAGCCTGATAGAACAAAATAATATTTTTAAGGCTCAATAGAAAGGGAAAAATTCACGACAAAAAAGTGAAACTGTATATGCAGAAGAAAGACAAAGTATGAATGAATAACTAGAAGGAGTGGTACCTTAATTAATTGTTAAATTAAGAGGAAAATGAACAGAATTTATTGAAATAGAAAGCTCTCTCCAAGACGTTTAACTCTTGATTGTTTAATGGAGTCATACGATCTCTGATTATCACTCCTGACATCAATCACTACTTTGCACTCTCTTTTCTTGAAATTTCTCTTGCATACAGTTCAAGCATTTCTTGCTCGCAGCAAGGATAATGCAGCAGTTGCCTTTAGGGTTGAAAGTCAACTACTTTTTTTTGCCTGTCAAACCTCTTACTCATCAACTAATGTGCCTTTATTCCTTGAAAAATTAAACCTAGGCTGACTTATTAGTTGCTACTCCCGTAAGTCTACTAACTGTAAATTGCTGAATTTCCTAGCAGTGGATCCTCAAAAGTCGAAGAAGCAATCGAGTGCTACCAGCGGGCAGCCAACTTATTTAAAATGGCAAAGAAATGGGGCCAAGCAGGTAGTGCCTTTTGCGAAGCAGCATCACTACATTCCAAAGCGGGGAGCAAGCATGATGCAGCCACTAATTTTGTCGATGCAGCTAACTGTTACAAGAAGGTGGATCCAAATGGTTCGTAGATATGATAAAATCATTTTATAGTATATTAGGATAGAGTCATGGGGGTATTGCTTTGACCAAGCAATATTGCAAAATTGCCTCTGGTGTTCATTTTTTTACTTGGAAACCAATCTCTATCACCTACCGACAGAAAGTCCCAGCAAGTATTTCAACAAGTTTAGCTAAATGATGCTGGTCGATAATAACTGTTCTCTCCTTAGATTCTTTGACCCTGAAAGTCCTCCATAGCATCTAGTATTCTGATAAAATCTTGTTCTTGTCCACACTATCGAAATTTGGATGAATCAGTTCCTCGAACTGGGAGATTCAAGGAACAAGTTACAGATGTTTTAAGTACCTGGAACAAGTTCGCCCAAAGTTTCACTTTTGTGCTTGAGTGGACAAGGCCTTATATAATTTTCCATCTTAAACATGTGAAACAATAAAAAATATTGAGAAAAATTGTCACAAACTTTGGATATTGCTCAAGGCATTCGAATTCTGAGCTAAAACAGCTTAGGTTTTAAAATGCTCCCAGTCTTCCCTAAAAATTCCTAATTTTTGTGCGTTTTGCTCCATATCAATGATATTTGTGATCTTTTCACTAATCAGCAATGCTGGAATCACGGCACCCAGCTCACCCAAAGCACAAGGTTTTACTGTCATCCCAACACCTTAAATGATCTCACGTGCATGGAGTGTTCCTTTTTTTCAATTTTTCCCTTTCCTCGTTTTTTTTTTCAACCTCCATTTTTTTACTGCATTAAATTCTCTTTGCCCGCCAAAAACTCATTTCATGTTCTACCTTTTGACTTGACAGAAGCAACAAGCTGCCTCCTGAAAGCAATAGAAATTTACACAGATATGGGGAGATTCACCATGGCAGCAAAACATCATCAAAGTATTGCAGAAATGTATGAAACAGAAGCGGTAGACCTTGAACGAGCTGTTCACCACTATGAGCAAGCTGCTGATTATTTCAAAGGAGAGGAAAGCAATTCTGCTGCAAATAAGTGTCAACTAAAAGTGGCTCAATATGCAGCTCAACTGGAAAATTATGATAAAGCCATTCAAATTTATGAACAGGTAATTTTTTTTTCTATACTGTTATTAACAGTTACATCAAGATTAATACGCATATCAGGGTGATCTCAACAATATTTACACTGCAACCGGGCTAGCATTGTTGAGTAGTACAGAGTGACAATGGATCACTAGACAAGGCACGAATTCAAGCATTCCGATACATGTTTCTAAACCAGAATTTCACGTAGAATACGATTCGCGCAACAAAAATTACTGAAACCAACTCCTAACGAAGATACTCACCTTTTCATTTCACATTGGTTACGCGAATTTGGAACTGCCCTCTCGCAAGAAACTCAAAGCTCTACATGAGTCAAATCGTACACTACTACAGTTTCGGCAAGCCTCTCAATCGAGCAATGTTCATTTCCCTCCGTGTGTTGTTCAAACTGTTAGCAATTTGCTATAGCTGAGCCAAAGCGTGAAGATTGGGGTTTCCAGATTTTTATATCGCAAGAGACTGTCATGATAACGTTTAGCGCGCGATGTGAATCACGCAGAGCATTGAGTTTTCATGAGCGGGTGGTTTGAATTCATGCATCAAGAATCATTAAATATCTTCGTAAGGAGTTAATTTCGGTAATTTTTGTTGTGCGTATTGTGTTCTATGTGAAATTTTGGTTAAGAAACATGTATCAGAATGCTGAAATTCGTACCTTGTCTAGTGGTCCATTTGAATAAAAAAAGAAATGTAGACTGCCTTCGGGTAATAGTGGTCATTTTCCCTCACCTCATTCATCTCTAAAACCAGGGCTCAATGCTTACGTGTCATCAAACACTGTCAGGTAATTATATACATTATTACTTAGCAACACTCTTTAGTGGTAATCTTACCCCAGGATACAAGAGGAGTGTTGAAAGAGTTGAGAATGCACATTTCCTGGAGGTGCTGTGACCTCAAAGTCATGTGTATGTTTTTTAAGGACAATGCAAGGCCCCATACTTCTACTTTTAACTATTCTGAAATTTCTAATGGAAAAAGGCTGCTCATGATGTCAGATGTAATAATTTTTTTTTATAATCTCACCAAAATTTGCCAACTTCAATTACATGAACCGTTTATGACGTTAGTGTCCTGGATCATACGACAGCTCCATTGATGAATTAAAATTTGTCATTCTTTCTTTCACAGGTTGCAAAAGCCTCCTTAGAGAGTTCTCTTCTGAAGTATGGTGCCAAAGAATACTTCTTCCGTGCGGCCTTATGTCATTTATGTGTAGATGTTCTGAACGCTCAGCACGCAATGGAACGATATGTAGATCTCTGTCCAGCATTTCAAGATTCCCGTGAATATAAGCTGTTAAAGGTGAGTTTTATTGAACCAGAGCCTTACAAAGAGATATCCATCCCCAGCAGCATCTACAGACCATGGGGTAGCAAGGGGTTCCTTGCAGTAGCGTTATGTGCAAAAATGGGCAGCAAAATTATAAAAAAAAAAGAAGCCACCAATCTTGTAGAGTGGGTACTGCTAAGGGCCCTCCCTCTTTCCCCATGAGGGGTTAGCCCACTCCTCGAGTGAAAAAGTTATGCTCCATCATTTAAGGGATTAACAATTTTATGATATTACCCACCTTCTCTGCATTATTGGCGAGAAATTGCGGGGAAACGGTCATTCTCGCGGGAATTTGAGATATTTTGACATTTTAAGCCCTCCCATCTTGAAATTGCCGCGGATCATGGCCAAAGTCACACACAGCTTTTCTGTAACAAAATTTTCTCGAGCTTCCAGATTGGTTATTTGGAGTTTAGCCTTTTAATCAAGCCTTATTGAGAAAATGGGAAAAGTCTGAATTCTGAGATATTTTGGGGGGTTTAGGGGAGGTTTGTTCCCCCAACCAAGGTAGATTTTGCGAAGACAAAAAAATCTTATTCTACTAGTCGAGTCTACCAGTTCTTTCTAAAAAAAAGTTTTCATTTACAATGATAGCACTGCCCAACAATTTTCAGGGCATGGTCTGTCCCTCAAACCAAACTAATTTTTTTCAATACTTAGGTGCTGAAAAGTCCAAAACTGCCTGTAATACCCTCAGAAAAATTGTCTGGTACTCAGTATGCTGCCATGTTGAATTTTGCAAAATGGAGAAAATTTATCAGCAAATTTGCAAATATCTCCTCTACGGTTCATCCCAGGAAAAAAAAGCTTTTTTTCCTTCCAGCTCATGCATATAACAGTAGACACAGGGACATCAAAAATGCTTACAAGGGGAACTTACGGACCTGCCGCCTCCGATTGGGCTGAATTTTTTTTTACAGACTCTATGGACCAATTCTAGAGGTCAATTTGAGCCGTTTTCCCGAATGCGCAATCGGAAGGGCGTAAAAAATTCCCAAAAGTTGCGTTATCGGCGTGTGATTTGGTCGTGTGGCGCGTGGCAACACTGAAGCAGCCTCTTGAACCGCTTTATCGGCCTGAAGGTTTCAGCAGAGTCTGGAGCCCTACTGCACAGGTGCTGGTCTCATGATAGTGATGTCCCGGGTTCGATTCCCGAGTGATTTGTCTACTTTTTATTTTCCGCATGATCACGTGACATTTTATTTTTAATTCTTCATCCGCATTTATAAATCAATCAAGCAGTTTCGATCTTTACCCCNACGTACACTCCCCCCCCCCTATTTACTCACATTGACCGCCAATAACCGTATGAAACTTCATTGACATAAATTAATGAATTAAGAAGCAAAAGGAAACCTCATTTGTTACTACATTATCTCCCAATGTTTTCCTGGAAAAAAATGTAATGTGTAAATAAATCAAAGAGTAACCCCAAACCCATGTGCATGCAAAGGACCGCCAAGAGACACATTATTTTGGCCCTTTGCTTTTTAATTCATTAATTTATGTCAATGAAGTTTCATACGGTTATTGGTGGTCAATGTGAATAAATATCGGGGGAAAATATACGTAAAATGAGGGGGGGGATAGTAATCGGAACTGCTTGATTTATAAATGCGGATGAAGAATTAAAAATAAAATGTCACGTGATCATGCGGAATATAAAAAGTAGACAAATCACTCGGGAATCGAACCCGGGACATCACTATCATGAGACCAGCACCTGTGCAGTAGGGCTCCGGACTCTGCTGAAACCTTCAGGCCGATGAAGCAGTTCAAGAGGCTGCTTCAGTGTTGCCACGCGCCACACGACCAAATCACACGCCGATAACGCAACTTTTGGGAATTTTTTACGCCCTTCCGATTGCGCATTCAGGAAAACGGCTCAAATTGACCTCTAGAATTGGTCCATAGAGTCCGTAAAAAAAAATTCAGCCCAATCGGAGGCGGCAGGTCCGTAAGTTCCCCTTGTTAATTTCCTCTTTCTTTAACACTGTGTGGTGCCAAGCTTTTGTCTGTCTGAATGTGTAATCCTCTCCCATGGGAGAACAAAATTGTTAAATTAAGAGGAAAATGAACAGAATTTATTGTAATAGAAAGAAGAAGCGCTAAAACTGTTACAGTGCGTCATTTGATTCACGTTGGCTCTGGTCCTTCTTGTGAGCGGCAAATTCAAATTTTTTATAACCAGTACTCGATAGAAACGTTTATATCTTATTTAGGAGATACTTTTATTAATATTCAATGTGCAAATCATATTCTTAGTGAAATTTTGAAGAGAGAATGTAATGCTTCAATTTGTATCTCGTCTATTATCTACTCTGGTGTGCCAAGAAGGAAAAATGTAAGAACATTCAAGAGTTCCCAAATTCACCTGGATAATACATGTAATTTTGAGGTTAGTTACGAATATTTTGGAGGGAAGTTATTTGTACTTTTAGTTAAAATTTGCAGATATTTTATTTTAAATTGCAAACAAAATTGTCTGAAACATTCACAGAAGGAAGCTTTCCCTGAAAGTTCATATCTTATCAAGGGTAATTTTGCAACGCCTGAAGCCTCGTAAGGCGTTCTTCCATAGCGTGGCAGTATTTTGATCCATTGTTATCACTAGTACTAAATTATTTATATGATTTTTTCAGGTATTAATTGAGCATATGGAAGAACAGAATGCAGATGGTTTTACAGAGGCTGTTAAAGATTATGACTCAATTTCTCGGCTAGACCAATGGTATACAACTATTCTACTGCGCATCAAGAGACAAGTAAACGAAAATCCTGACTTGCGTTGAATTACTCCAATTCTAAGCAATGTAGTACTCATCAATTTGCATTTGGCAACACATTTTATATGTAAAAAAAAGAATCCAAATACCTGTGTTTTGTCCATTCATTTTCTAGTGCAATTTTTCTACTTGCAAACTTTAAAACCTTGTTAAATTTGATGTTTTGAATTCAATGGCAAATTCAATTTTTAAACGCAGGAATCGATCCTTTTGAACCTTTTTCTTTGTGATATTTTCTTGTTGGCTGAAAGCTTAACACTAATAGTGTTTCAGTTTTTTTATTTATTTATTTTTCTTTCAAATTATCATTTTTATTCTAAGTTTTTCATAGTAATTTAATTTGTTAGAGCAAGTTTCTCTTTTGTTCAGTTGTTACCAAAATTATCAAGCATGTTATTAATGCCTATACAATATAAACGTGAAGAAATAAGGTGCATTAGGTTTGGATGTTGGATCAAAAGCACCGTTCCTGTGAGAATAGTATAATTATATTTTTATTTCGTACTTAGTGGCCCGTATCACTGCATTGTATCACTACTTTGCATGCTTCTACTTTGCACTGATTAAAGTCATTAATGCATGGATGTTCGTCAGAAGAGTTGAAATGTTTGTTCCTCCTTTTTCCTTGCCTATTGCAGCAGATATGTATTAATGCATTGCGGTAATGATCATCTTGGCTGATGCTGTTCTTGCAGATTCCCCTCGTGCCAGAGTCTGTTGTAATTTGTTTTGTTTTCTTATATGTATTATTGAAGAACCTCATAGTCTTCTGTCAAAAAGTTGTAAAAAAATTCATGTATTTATCTTTTTTCCTTCTATTTCTTAAAATTCATAATATGCCCTTGCAAGAGCTTCATGGCTTTTCCTGAAGGTGTAAATGGATTGTGATTTAACTTATTGATTCGTCAGTCCTGTGAAATCCAACAAATCGAGATCTTACTGTAATCCCTAGTTTGATTCCTCTTTACTCTAAAATCGCTACACAAGGAAATCGTTTGTAAGTGCACTAATAGATTCTTTCGAGTTAATGAATTTACTATCTCCTACTTCTGGCTTTTGTACACATAGTGATTAAAGTGGAGTTAGATCGATAAAAATCACTGTCTTAGTGCTAAGCTGGTGCAGTGTGTATGCAATGTAAATTTTAATTTTTGAATACAAATTGATTCCAACAAAATTCATATTGCCATTACAGAAATTGTAACTAGCTCATCGATAACATTTTATTATTTTAGTAGTCTAGCTTCATCTCTGTACCATAGCATTACAAAATTCATAAGTGTATAAGTGATTAAGGGTTACGTTTATTTTTAGAACAAATGAAAAATCCAAACCAAAATCTGACATTGAAAAATGAAGGTGCCTAAAATCATATTCATGAGAAAATATTCAAACGTAAAGTACTATGTGACTGTCCTTGAAAGAAGGAGCATGGTCCATGGAGGTAATTTATTCGCACAAGCAAAGATGGCAAGAGGGGGTTAAAAATTTGGTTTTAGAGTCTTAGAAGGAAATCTCTCTCTGTTGTCCAGAACATTAAGTTACAAGTGGTTCATTTCATTTTCACCTAACAAGAGGGCAAAAAATGCATCATAATTTGACAATTTTGAGCCTCAGACATGGTAGAGGAAACCTTGAACCAAACCGCTTTCGCTCCAACCCAAGTTTTCAGTTGTAAATTCCAATCTTTCATAATTCAAATTTGATTTGACATTAATGGGCGTCTTTGTGCCAAAATGTATGCCACAAATTCCCATATATAGCGGTAACTGTATTTGATCTGTTTGACTCTGATATCTCCTCTACCTACTGTGGACAGTCACATATCAAGAAAAGTAAAAATTATTCTTTCCAAAAAGTCAAGAAAAATTATCTGTTTTAGCAGTCATCTATTTAAAATATTTTTGTCCTCTGAATTGCACGTACTAAATGAACAATTATTCAAAATTGTCTCAACTCACAATTTAATGTGAGAAAAAAAGAAGCTCAATAGTCTTGATTTCCTTCTTAGTATTGGCTGACATGTTAATCTTTGAACCCTATTGACTGCATCATTTCCTCCTAAAAGCGCAGAATTCAAATGAGCTGATCAGGTTCTTAACTGCCAAGCACTTGTTAAAAACCCTGATCATATCAGAAGCCTCTGAGTTCATCACTAAAATAGTTCATTAAGCACAACCAGTGGCGCTTTCCTCCCCAAGAAGTTCTTGTAATACTGTTTTTGTACGTTTGCATTTTTTTTGGTAAGTTTCGTCTTGGAATAATTAATTATTCTCTAACCAAGAAGATTCATCCTGGTTTCTGGCTTGATCGATTATATAAAAATTCTTTGCAGATTTTGAATTTTAGCCTAAAACAGGACGATAGCCCCTGGGCATGAGTCCAATAAATCATTTTCAACTTGCATTTGATAGAGTAATTGACTTCTGTATTGAATGCTAGGTTTTATCCCAAAAAGAATCCTGCTTTCATTTCTCTGATTTCTACCAACTTTTTGGTTGAGAATGATTTTTTGGGCCCATTTCCAGGGGCTATCGTACTGTTTTTGTCTAAAAATTCAAAACTTGCAGAGATTTATTACTCAACCGATGCAGTATACGCCAGAAAGCGACACAAATCACTTTAAATCAACTGAGATAATTTTTTTTCGTTATGTCCTGGTAATCAGCTGCAGGAAATCAATTTTTTCTATTTTCTATCCAACGTTATGTATCAATTGGAACAATGGTAAAGGTTAAAGCCTTTCACTTTGAAGAACTTAATTTCGTTTTGCAAGCCTTAAGACTCTTTTGTGGCAAGCATGCAACATCTGTATGTATTGATCTTTTGTCTCATATTGTGTCTTTTTGCCGTATTCATTTGTAGTAATGTAGTTTATTAAGCTACTATCATTATTGTAAGTTATAATCAGTCTGTTTGTATAGTTATTGTACATTCATCAATATATGTGCTATTCCAGTTTGTTACTTCATTCCAGCGTTGATTCAGAATTCCTCATTGCTGAAACATTCGTGCCATTCATTGCTTAAGCTGAGTAAATGAATGAATTGGTCGATGATAGAAGGTGACAAGCCCATGTTGACAGGTTCAATTGTAACCTACCTATTATTGCTGCATAGTAAACACAATTTTGGTAAATACCCCAATTTTGCTGTCATTTTCTTTTTCTTCTTTTTTTTATATCAGCGAGCAATGCTCTCAGTTGTATAATACAAATACCCAACGGAATTATTTCAATAAAGTGAAATTCTACATGATAGTCTTGCAAGAGTGATTAAAAAATTTACCATTCACCTGCCTCTTAGAATAGATTAGTTGTGCTCATCCCAGAATTGCATTTTGATGGTTGCCTTCGAGTTTAGAAAAAACAATTCGAACTGTCTAAATACTGAGCTTCCATGTCCCACTAATGACCGCAGAATCATCCTGATGAAAGAAAAGTGAATAGCACCATTCATTCGGAATTCGTTCGTTCGTTCGCATACCATGATTTCTGCTACCTAGGCTACCTAGCCTTTCTTAGAAATGAAGAGGGAGCAGTCAGTGCAAATTGGTGCAGTCGTTGTGTCTATGGGTGGTTTCACAATAACTTGAATAGTTTTGTCGCCGTAACAGACAACACTTTTTTCGGTCATATTTTTAGCACCTAGTAATGATAATCACTCGAAATTTTTTGCATTAACCCAAGTAGCAAAATACAATTTTTTTCTAGAAGAAAAACATTAAGAAAACTTCTTGAAAATACCAAGAAAATCTAGAAAATAGAAAGGAAAAACATTGCGAGTCAAAAGTCTGACCAAAGAAAATAGATTTATTTCGTAGGTCTTGTTTCTGTCAACTTTCCATTTGGAAAAAGATAGAGAATTTATTGAAAGTCGAATTATTTTCTAGCCAATTTCTTAATGTTCGCTTTTAAGAAAATGAAAGGAAAAAATGTATTTTCTTTCTATTTTCTAGATCTACTTTATACTTATTTTCTTTCAAGAAAATTTTTCTATCTAGAAAGAAGACATTTTCTTGATGAGCGCCACCTAGAAAGTAGATGACAATGCTGTTTGGGATTCTACACAGCGTTACGGGTTGTAACGCTTTTCAAAGATTTATTACTCTAAGTTCTTTTCAATTTGAATAGATATGAAAGTATCGATAATTGGCAATCCACCTCATCTAGATGTGAAATTCTAGTGCAGAATTAAGTAATAATCCAAATGAGAATGAATAATGGTGGTATTAAATAAAACAATTTCCTGACATTATTTGTAGGAAAGAAGTGCCATGAATGATCAGAATGAATTTCGCGGTCCTGGTCTGGCATAGAGAAAAAAAAGGAGGTGTTTGCATTTCGGGCATCTTGGAATTTTTTTGATGACGTAGGTCGGTGCAGCGACGTTTATCATCGATTTTCTTGGAAATGGTGTAATTTATGGAAAAAAGTCATTCTTTAAAAAGTGCTTGAAATTTTATCATGAGTTGATTTGAGCAAAAAAAAATCGGACTTTATGGTCTGTTTTTCATATTTCGAATTCCGGATTTCGCTGGCCAGGTTGTACTGACCTACGTCACAGGGTAAACAAACCTCAAGATGCAAACACCTTTTATTTCTCTATGCTTATGCTGGTCTGGTCTTTCTGTTGTGCTGCGCTGCGCTGCCGCTGAGGCGCTAATGTCGCTTGTGCTGNTACGGTGAAAAATTCGATTTTTTGCAGTTATACGCGATCCTACGGATTTTAATGAAGTCCAACAACTGATAACAGCAGTGAGTTGCGAGGATCCTACGCGAGAATGCAGCACTAGTACCTGCTCACGAATTTTTACATTGACTCTTACGGGAGTCCAGGGTCCTATAGAACTGGTCCCTGTTTGTACCCACCTACGTCATCAATGTAAACAAGACGCTCGTTGAGGGTTATGTTGACGCTGTAAAAACGGACCATAATGTCCGATTTTTTTACTTAAATCAACTCTTTATTTAATTTCAAGCACTTTTTATAGAATGACTTTTTCCCTTAAATTACACCATTTCCAAGAAAATCGACAGGATAAAAACGTCGCTGTACCCAATGACGTCATCAAAGCTGTAGATACTCTATGAAAAATTCCAAGATGCCCGAAATGCAAACACCTCCTTTTTTTTCTCTATGCTCACTCAGGTCAGGTGCAGAGGTGCAGTCAGGCAGCTCTCGTCTGGACCATATTCGAGGCTTTTTGTGCCCTCAGATTAATTCCTTTTGTCATCTTGATATCAGTTTGTTTAGTTGTATATAAATTTTGTCAGGAATTGATGCAAATTTTATAGTTGGAACAATGGCTGCTGTCAGTGAATGCTTTTCCGTAGGGAGTACGGTGTCCTGTGTCACTTGCTATAAGAAAGAAATTGAAGGCGAAGTGTTAGCATTTGATTTTCAATCCAAAATGCTTGTGTTGAGTATCCTTTTCGTACAAGTGTATTATCCATGATTTTGCATCATTTCTTCTCCCTCAGCTGTCTGCTTATTTTGATGCAAGTCTAATTTCGCATGGTTTTTAGGTGCGAAGCAAGGTTTGGCATCCTAGCTGGTTTAAGTAAATGGAATCCGGTGGTTACCAGTGACTCTCTCGAAATTTCAGTTGTGTTAATTCTTTACACTTAAGCCTCATATGTTTTGTCTTTTCTTTTGAGCTACTTTCTACACGCAAAGATGCTGTAGGCTTAATGTTGAGGTCCTCCAACGATGGTTGACCGAATCTTTGGTTATGTTTACATTCAGTCTGTGTTGATGAGTGTTCTTCTTGAGCGCTTTTTATTCTTGTTGCACCACTGATGAGATATCTCTGAAACCAGAAGCCCGTTTTTGAAAGGGCTCTAGTCTTCCTAAATATTCTATGTTCCTTCCAAGCTCTGGTGGACGCAGACGCAGAGTTACAACTGCTTGAAAACTATTGAATGAAGAGCACTCGCAAAAGTCTTTTCAGTCACAAAAAAGTTAATGGAATGCAGTGGAGCATCATATCGTCTAAAATCCCGTTCATTTTAAACTTAGATCAATAACACCGAGGAATAATGTGTCAAAATTTAACATTATCGATACATGTTCTCCAAAATCTTTGAGATGATGCATTACTACAGCGAAAATTTTGAAAATGCTGTATTTTGATAGCAGTGCTTTTAATTATTGCTCATCTTTATTTGCCGACAATAAATCAAGTTTGAAATGACATTTTCAAGTAAAATTTTAGTAGGACATTCACGAATAAGTTGAGAAACTGTACATAATTATGTGTCCGGCAGCAAATGTTACGATAATAAGAAATTTGCAACCTTAAAACCGAAGATATGATTTTAGTTCAAGCTGTATTATTGATTCGTCAGTTAAATGACATGGCTTTGTCTCAGATAAGTTCATTCTCTTATCTGCTTTCATTAGTAGCAGTCACTGCATTATCCGCACAGGGCCCAGCAGTGGACGAATTTCCGTAGCAGAAATTGTTTTGGAAGATGAAGGTAGGCATTAAAAGTCTACTCAGGTGTCTCTGGAAAAGTAAGCCTTCTCTAATACCTGAAAAAAGCTTCCAAATTCTCAGAAAAAAGCAAGGGGATGCACTGCTTCACGCCCTGCATGATCTCACGACTCTAATTAGACCCCTGGTTGCTAGCCGTAACATAGAATCGTACATCTTCTAGCTTGTCACCATTTCTGTATTTTCTTTGTTGCTGGAACATATGTGCACGCACATGTGTCAACTATGAAAGCGAATTTCTAAAAGAATAATATCAACTAGTTAACCCTATCAAGAATTGACACCCCGAAAAGTTTTATTTTTCTCACAGTTAGTTACTAAAATTCCTTAACTTTGTACTCAGAATGTCCTGCCAGCAATGGACGCCCGTCCTCTAACAATATTTACATAGTCAATCTATCTTTTGTTAGTGATGTTCAAGTGAAAAAAGAAGTCAGCCCCAAAGTAGAACCGCCTCAATCTTTGAATCTCAATAGAGTAAGTATTCGTTTCATTTTATTGTCCAGTTCCATAGTGGTCTGCAGGCCGATTATTGAGATTTAAACCAGCCCGATAAGACATCGAATTGCGATATATTGCATGGTTAAGATAGGGCTATGTCTTGTCGTGTCGGGCTGACATAGTCTCAATAATCGGGCCGCAGGAGTTTAAGTTAGACGAGTTCATTGTCATAAAGCTTCAAATTCGTCATGTGAATAAAATATGAAAGGACGACGGTCCAACCTTATGGAAAAAGTGGGCCCGGTTAAATCGGCTAGTTTTTTGATATGTTGTAGGTCTTAACCTATTGATTAAAAGTATCAATGGGTGTTTCTTCCTATCTTGAAGTTTTTCCTCCCATTTTGGGGGTCAAAGTTGCCAATGGGCCTGTTGCAAACTTTTGCTAGGGCAAAAATAAGAATTGTTACTCATTGAAAGTGTCTAAAAAATCATGATGAGCTCATCAGCAAAGTTTGAAATGCACTTCTTACTTCACAATTTGCTTAAGAAATTTGCGTTTTTTTGAGCTTCCCCCCTCAAAAACGACACCACGGCATTGGCAAACATTTTGTCAGAAGAGTCATTCCATCCAACCCCTTCTCACAAGAATACTACGCAATATTCAACATAGCCGACGCCAATCCGCCTAAATACATGTGACAGGACAATGACTCTAACCACCTGAAAACAATCGGCGTGGTCACATTCCCATTTTTATCAAGGTGATAGATATCCGCCTTGATTGACTTTGTGCTTTCTCAACTTGGGCGAGGAAGCATCAGCCATGTTGAGCAGGGGTTGAATGGAAAGACTCCTCTAACGAAATGTTCACCTGTGCTATAGTATCCTTTTTGAAGTGGGAAGCTTAAAAAAACGCAAATTTCTTCGCAGATTGTGAAGTTAAGAGTACATTTAAAAGTTTGCCGATGCACTCGTCGTGATTTATGAGACATTATTTATAAGGAACAACTCTTATTTTTGCTCTAGCAAAAGTTTTCAACAGGCCCATCCAGTGTATTATTGGTAGTTTTGACACCCGGGTTCATTGGTCGCCTTTAAGATTCTTTAATGGTTCATTGAGCCAATTGTATGCTCTGAATTGGCTAGAGACCATCCGAATCTAAAGACTGAACAATTTTGCCTTATGGGGAAGTAGGGGGGGTGTGTGTTTATACCACCAATTTCAGCGTCAGCAAGTCACATTAAACCGATTCTTTTGCCGTGTTTTGGAGTCTTTTTCATGCCAATGAGACCGACTGCATCTTGGAAGGTCGACTGAGATGCAACTCAGAACATAGCATCTCAGAATTTTGGTGAGGGAAGAGGTTAGTTCCTTTTGAAAAGGAAAAAAAAATATCTAAAAGGAGAAGTACATGACCATGCTTTTTTCTCAGATTTTCTAATTTTGTATAAAAATCTGAGAGAGCTCGCCTCACTTGATATATAATGAGAGCTTCCAGGATTTGATCCATTAATGATGGAGCTGCGGTAGGAAGAATAAAAAAACCAGAACCAATGAAATACCTTCAGAACTGATTGCAGTACATAGATTGCCTCCCACGGATTGCATTATTAGTACTTGTGTTTCACATACAATCTAATATGGCATCTTCCTCAACGCCATCATTTAGGGTAGTGGTTGGAAAAAAAGATGGTGGTTGTTTTGAGGTTGATACTTCATGGATTAAGATGAAAAGTAATTTGATCCTTTCCCTCTTACTCATTTTAGCAGAATTATCAAATGGAGGGGGGTGGAAATTATAAGCATTGACAGTCCATTTCGATGGTGCAAGTCGGCAATCACATAACTCGGTTTGCGACGTTGCAGACTTCCTGTCATACTTTATTTTTTAAATGGAAAACTACTCAACGGCAATTCTTTAAAACTGTCATGATTTTTCTTCTCAATGCGAGGAAAATTCTGCAAAAACTTCAAGAAATAATGTCAATTTGCTCTCCTTTAAAAAAATGATGTAGAGGCGGAGATTTTCAGGCACCGCAAACGAGTTATGTGATTGCCGACTTTCACCGTCGATAAAACACTTGAAATTATGTCTGCTGACCCTTCATTATTGGAATGAAGTGGTTATGACAATTCACTTCAGATTGACTCAACAAATTTATAGTAAGGCGTGCAAAATTTGCGGGAGAAGTGCAGGTGCAGAGGAGCATGCAACCCTGACAAGATTTATGTGAAGAAAGACATAATATCCATGCAAAGTAACTAACTTTCAACTCGGTTGTGTGATATTATTCTTTGTCGTATGCCTAAGTACGTAATTATTATTTTTTTTTTTAATCTTTTAGATAAATACTAGAGTTCGAAATCAGTTAGAAGAAAAGCAACGACTAATCACAGCCCTTAAAGGTGGAGTGTCAGCAGAAGGCAGGAAATTATTCTTGTCAATCAGCAAAACGTGAGTAACTCATAAATCTCCCTCATAAGTGTGATTTTTATTCCTCATTCATTATATGCTAGCCTCTAATTACACCCAGGAATTAAAAGTCTTCTCAGTACAGAAATATGGCAACCTCGATGTTGGCGCTTTAGCTCAGTTACCACATGTTGTTCACACTTCGGACAACACAGTGTGGGGAAGGGAGACTGCTTGATTGAGAAGTCTTCCAAAACTGTCGCTGTATACAATTTAATTCAAGTAGAGTAGTTTTCTTGTGAGCAAGAAAGAGCTTAATTTTAGCTTACATATCTTAGAAGTAATGTTTAAACGACATAAATTATTATATCATAATAATCTTTTTATCAGGCATTATAAAGTAGTACATTCTTCTATTTTTCGTGACCAATGCTGAATGCTGACCAATGACCAATGCTATCAAACAAATTTTGAATACTGAATGAGAACATTATTATCTTGATTTAGAGCTAGTAGGTATCAGTTATTTTCAGTGCTTGCACTGTGTTCTATGTGAAATTTTGAAGAGGAAGCATGCCTGGAAATGCTTAGAGTCATAAATTGTCTGGTGGTTCATTGTATCCAAGACTAATAATATTGGATTGTAATATTGAGATTGAACATGGACAGGCCGAGGAATATATTGACGGTGAAATTATGAAAACATGTATAAGGATATTTTTTTGGTTAACTATCTTATCCTGTAAGTTGTTGAACAGCTATCAAGGTAATGGAAGACTTGCACTCTAGTATCCATAATAGTGTTTTAGTGACACCTTGGTCATTTAGGTGGTTTTAGACTGGTCACATGAGGAAGCCCAACTCAAACGGTTCCGAATGTTGTCCATGAACTATGAGGATTTGAACGTAACAAAAAAGTACACTTCATTATATGGGACCCCTCTGTATGTAGTCCCTCTTCATATTGAAGCAAGGAAGTTTGGAAAGGCACAAAGCGAGATACATGTTGTCTTGTTTTACCATAGATATTCCTTTGTATTGGGGGCCGTTAAAAATTACATAATCCTATAGGGGGCAGCAGGTCAAGGAGAGCATCACACCACTTTGTTTAAAGTGTTAAAGGATAGGGACCTACATCACAAAAGCTTTACAAAGAGGATGGGGAGGATTAAAATGCCAAAAAAGTGCATTACTTAATTTATGAATACTCCTTTATTAATGGAAAGATTAATATGACCAGCAAAAATTGGTAAATGGCTCAAGTTCAAAGAAGATGGTGATGGAATGGCAGTGAAATTTAAATTCAACCACTGCACTCTCTCAATCAAATTGTGATAAAGTTTTTTGAAACATTAACACCATCAATGAGTTATTTTTAGTCTTTCTTGTAACAAGTGATTCGTTGCTTTTTTCAAGAAGGCTTATAGGGGTGTTTAGATAAGTATTTCATATTTAGGGTGAAGTTGGATCATGTATTGCTGTTAAGTGGTATGAAAATTCCTCAGAGAGGAAAGTAACACAAATTTAAACAACAAAATTAGGATTACTCCAAGTACTTTACCCATCCAAAATCAGACGCTTCGTGAAGCATTACCTCGAAAATTTGGGATGCGTAACAGTTTAAATTAATACCAGATAATTTTTTTTCAGAATACCACAAATAACTTGGCAAGGACCGAATATTGTAGTTTTAAATCAAGTGACGATAACACCTCCGTACAAGCCAGAAAATGTCAGTGGAAAAGATGGGAAGGCACATCAGCATATCAGGAAATTGGTGAGTACAAGCTCAGCGTAAAAATTATATAAGGAACTTCTGTCCCTGGCTTACTTGTAAATCACATTTCTGCATTAAAAAGTTAATGGCATGCACACTGTTCCTAAAAAGAGCCAGGAAAGTGAAGTTTTTTATTTCAAAATTTAGTAAAATTACTCATGTAAGCCTTCAGAATTTTTTCCTGTGGGTAGAAATACATATATATAGGTCGCTTTACAGCACTCCCTCGCGCTCTACGATCCCCAACCTCCACTGCTCTCTTTCAAACCACAAATCTTGGGGGATTGAGCACCTTAACATTTCCGCTTCAATCCCTTCCCTCCAACCTTTCATTGGGCGCCCTCTGCGTCTTCTCCCAGGAGGAACCCAGTCAAGGACCTTCTTCGGCAACCTGTCTCCTGCCATTCTCTGGACATGACCATACCAAATGAGTTGTTTTGTCATAATGTCATGCACGATGGTCTGCTTGGCATCCATGATCTCCCGTACCGTCTCATTTCTGACGCGATCCTTTCTGGAAATACCAGCGGATCTACGCCAGAAGTCCATCTCTGTTGCCTCTAAAACCTCCCGGGTCCGCTGTTTCATCGGCCATACTTCACACCCGTAGGTTACTATGCTCTTGACAATCGCGTCGTAGATCCTTCTTTTGTTCTCTTTGGAGATCCTTTGGTCCCAAAGGACTCCATTTAACATAGCGATTGCCCTCCTACCCTGCATATTCCTGTTCTTGATGGCCTGGTCTAATCTTCCATCCTGGGTTAGAAAAACTCCTAAATATTTGTAAATATCGCAGCTTCCAATTTGCCGCCCATCCTCTAATTCTATACTTTGCTGATTCCCGCCAACGGTCAACTTCTCGGTTTTGCTGACATTCACCTCGAGGCCCCATTTCCGATACTCAGCCACCAACTTTCGAGTCATGTACTCAGCATCATCCTGATCTTGGGCGATAAGTACTTGGTCATCAGCAAAGCATAACGTGTACAGAGTTTCTTCATCATTCAGAGGGACACCCATTCCGGAACATTTTTTCTTCCATTCACGCAGTACATTAATGTGTAATATGTTGTATATTTTAAACAAGGTGGGGGAGAGGCAACACCCTTGTTTTAGCCCCTTTGTTACATAAAAACCCCCCGACAAGCCCCCTTTACATTTAATTCTTGCGAAAGTCCCTTGATAAAAAAGCTTAATTGCATTAATTAGTCCACGAGTAAAATCTAATTTTTCCAAGGCCTCCCAGAGTTTCACTAAAGGCACGCTATCATAGGCTTTTCGCAAATCCACGAACACCAAGTGAAATTCTTGACCAACCGCCATCTTCTTCTCAATAACCTGGATGATGCAAAATAGATGGTCGACGGTTGATCTGCCAGCCCTGAAACCCGCTTGCTCTTCTGCCTCATGATGAATCCATTCTTCTTCGATTTTAGCTTTCAATATCTTACCATAAATTTTACTGATCGTCCCGGTCACCGACAATCCACGATAATTATCGAGATCGTCCTTTTTCCCTTTTTTGTGAAAGAAAATAAATAATTAATAGAAATAATTTTCGGTAGAAATAATTTTCTTTTAACAGGTACCTTAAGAGTGCCAATTAAAGCTCAATAGGCCTAACGCATTTAGCCTTAAATGCCTTGCAACTAAGTAATAGCAAAATAACCGTCCATGCAGGAGGAATTAAGTGATGCTCTCTGAATGTCAGACAAGGGACCTCTAAGTCATTATCCCTGCGACCAATGGACTTCAATTGACAATAGTATTCATGGTAGAGTAAATTTCCAAATTCACTGCGATATTACTATTGACAATAAAATCTCACAGAAGCAAGGATCACCAAAATATGAACAATTATCCTTCATCATTTAACGATAAAATCACAAGATGATTGTGAATGTTAGAAGATCCTTTCAATTTACGAGTTTATCGATGATTAAATGGCAACTTCATTTCAATAAATTGCAATAGACTTGTTGACAATTTCCACCTGGGAAAATTTACAATATGGTCTTAAAACCACTACTGTCAGTTTTCTAATGAGATTTATCCTTGTTTTTCGGATGACCTTCATAATACTCACAGTTTTTCCTAATTCTTCTTTCTATTTTAGGTCGAAAAGTATGAAAAAGAAATGCAAGCTGAAGACTCATTGCACTCTGTGCCAGGACTTTCAAAAACATCAACCAATCACCTGGATTAGTTCTAGTCTATCAACAGTAAAATGTAAAAATATTTATTGATTGATTTTCTTTTTATTTTTTTTTTATGTCTAATTTTTTTTATTATTATTTTCATGGGGTGTAGAATGTAGACTAGGACATTCCACATTGCAGGCCTTTTTTACCCATTTGGGTTTGAATTACATCCATTTTAAAGCCTTTCTATACATAAAGTAATTTGCACCCTACTACTTGGGTGAACTTCTGTACAGTTGAAGGTAATCAGATAGTTTGGTTGATTTGAACTACTTTAAAATGAGCAAAAGCCAGTCAGTCAAACTGACAGAGTAAGTCAAAACCAAGATCAGTGGAAGTCAATTCATATAGCCTAGCCTTATAAAGTTCCATCATTTCAACTTTAAGTTCGTGTAAAAGAAGTCAAAGGACTTCAAGCTCTATATCAGTTGTTCAATTTTCCTCCTTAAATCCATTTTGTACTGCTAAAATTATCATCCGAGCCCCAAACGTTTGAGTAGCTTTTATCTGACAGTAACATTACATGACAGTCACTTTCTAAAAATGGAGAGCCCATCTTTGACAAAAATGTGTTTGATTCAGTTAATAATGCAGTGACTGCTCGTTGAAGTGTGTGGATTTGTGCCGATGGCAACATCTTATCCACTTTCGTAGGGCGGTTGTGGTGAATCGTGCCAACATCTAGCATTATCTTATTTGTATTTGTACATGAACCTGTTAATTTATATCTTAATTAAGTCGTGTTTGCTAGAACAGATCAATTTCTTCTGTTTTGTTTTTTCCATTTCATAGTAAGAGGGGAAACTATTTGATTGTTCGATGAGCAGTTGCTTGCACTGAGTCATTGTTCAGGAATGTATAGTTGCATTCAATTGTTCATACAAAAGTAGAATGATCTGTTGCAATGCTAAGGTACCAATCTATGCTATTATTTATCAGCCACTTTTTGGTGAAAAATGTGCGCTAATTGATTTCTTTCTGTTCTTTTTCATTCATCTCTGTCTCAATCCCTCTGTTATTAGTTCATCCCGGCACATTTGTTGTTTATTGATTACAATTCAATCATTTTGTTTCTTTCATCCATGATTTTACTTCAAATTATAAAACATATTTTGTTATTATATTTTATAAGAGGATGAATCCCATGGGTTTTTCTTTTTTACCTAAGGGTGCCCTATTGATTTTCGGGAAGCTATCGTAACAGGTCGTAAGAAGTCGCAACAATGAGAAGATCTTTACAGATAGCAATTAGAGTTTGAAGCTGACAACACTAAGCTGTTGCCGTGTGTATCAGGGCCAAGCAATGAAACGAGTAGATATAACGCACAACGTATTGATTTGAAGCTCATACAGTTCCTTGCACATCAGATCCCTATATCAACGGTGAAACTCCCAAACGACGTATCTCGGTTTGTGATGTCGCTGAGTTCCTATCATACTGTATTTTGTAAATAGAAAACTACTCAGTGTCAATTCTTTAAAACTTGAGTGATATTTCTTTCCTGTGCCAAGAAAATTCTGAAAAAAATTTCAAGGAATTATATTGATTCCTAAAATGATAGTGAAGATGTTGGAAACACCGCACACGAGATAAAAGGTGCGGAAGTTTCGCCGTCGATATCTCTTTCATTTCTGGCCCTCAGTCCGTAATCTGTTAAACCAGCTTCACTACAACATTAAGTTTTTGCAACTTCTTTTGTTCTCCAACAATTCTTTACTAACCTATGTTGATCCTCAGGAAGTCTTAATTCCTATGACCCTTTGTCAAAAACTTGCATAATTATTTCTATTTTTGAATCCACCTCTGTAGGTAAACTCAGGTAAATCGTAGCAATCTGTGACCGGAGAGCAACAAACAACAGCCGTTAACATGGTGCTCACTTAAAGTACTGTTTATATAAGTTCCCTGACCCGTCAAAGTTTTTCCCAATGAAAATTATTGCAATTCCTTTGATTTCACATGAAAAATTTCCATGTGTACTGCTGTGAATGAAAAATTTTTGGCCTAAATTTTTCTGCCACTGACAGAAAGATGTTAGCTTTTCTTCCTCAGGATCAAGCATTAATCAGTGAATGGTTCAACTTTGCAATATTGCAACCCTTCAATGAAACTTATTCCTCCGTTCACTACTTGGAGTGTAACTCAGAGCATTGAACCCCGAACCAAGCTGAGGTTCAGTTTGATAGTGTGGACAGCACTGGTTTTTTTCTAGATTTCTCAAATTTCCAGTCTTTTCCGTAAGATTCCCTGACTTATTCCTAACGACGTTATGAAATTCTTGATTCTTCATACCTACCAACACCCTGTGACAATGACAATAACATATCATTGAATAAATCACAGTTGCACCGGCTGCAATACATTGCAATTACATGAAATATTTGTCGCTGATGTATCGGAATGTTATGTGCGTTCTTTATTGATCAATTGAAGGGGCTCCTCTCACTAACATTTATTGCAACCCAATTGAAAGAACTTGCAATCCCCTCCATTGCGATATCTACCCATCTTGTATCTACGACTCATTCAACTGATAATTTCAAATCTTCATTCATTAACCAAATAGTGTAATTTCGATTTCACAGTAGAACATTAAATGCACATGTTTTATTGCATTAAATTACAATACTATTTAAATACCTACTAGCTGTTCTAGATACGCTTTGAGCTTTATTCCCTGTGTTTACACTGCTAAAAAAATTGTAGGGAACTTAGGAAAGTTCCATAGATGACAGATGGGGCCTCCTTTTCTTTATGCTTCCCTTCAATAGAGTTGGAGAGGTTTTTGATAAGTTCCTGAAAAACTGCCACTCTTTGCCTTGCGACAATATACAAAACCCCATGGAACTCTAAGTTCTGGAGAGGACCTTGGTAAGGTATCCTCTTACTTACACATCTTTTTGAGAAAACTCGAGAGTTCTTGAAAGTTCAAAAAGCAACTGCTATTTGTCGCTATGTGGCACGTCCCTATAATTTACGAAAACTCTATAGAGTTGGTAGAGCTTACAAAGAGAAATTGAAGGAAGCCACAGTTGCATAGAGTGAAGTGCATTCCAGCCCCCCTCCCCCCCGAACATAAGTTGCCAGCCGAAACTAATGTGTAGTGGCTATTAATTTTGAGTATCAGAGGTAATAGCATGAACAGTGCTTCATGGGTACATTCCACGTAACAAAATACAAAAATTATTCTTAGAACAGTTTCCTGTGTATTTTTACTTTTATCGGTTGAGGAAAAGTAGTTTTTCTCAAAACATCATGCAAGTTCTTAAAAGGGAGTGTGACAAGCATTTGACTTAGTTTGCCAAATTAGGAGAAAAAACAAATAATAACTAGAGTCCCTTTATACCCAGAGTAACGACAACTCGATTATCAGCTGACTGGCAGCCGACCTTGGCTGGCCATGGAGGCCGAAACTAGTGCACTCAAACGAACGATATTGAGGGATAAGGATCAGGAATCCTGCGATGTCTGTCACACAAAAACAACAACATCAACAAATTGATCAATTAAAAAGAAAATGAGATTGGTTTGTGAATAATTTCTTATTCTATTTTCATTTTGGACCGATGGAAATAACAATTTACTCTCGATAAACCACAATTAGGTAAGATTTTCATTATTCTTGCTCACATTCGAGGTACCGCCATCTTGGTGCACTAGTTTCGGCCTCCATGAGCGAGAACCAATCAGAATTGGATTTTTTTTTAGGCCACTTTCAGCCCAATCCTGGCCCAACCAAAAGTGAGTTGTCGTAACTCTGGGTATAAAGGGACTCTAATAATAACAACAGACGTTTCAATTCAGAGAGCATGTTTATTTGGAGAGCCAATGGGGTGAGGTGCAACCAGCATAAGTAACAGTCAAGTGGGATTTAATTATCGTGGTTTTACGGAGATAACCTCTGAACTGCTGATGGAGTAGGAACAATAAAATAAAATTCATTCCTTCTCCTCAGGACTGAATTTACAAAATATCTTTTAACAAAAACTTGGACACAAAGCAAAGAAAAATGATCAGAAGAGAGCCATTCTGAAAAATATAATCCATCTATTCAAGGCTTAATTCACAGATTATCTTTAAAAAATTGGTAACATAGCGAAGGAGAATAATCAGAAGAAAAAGACTATTTAAAAATTTTTGTTTCGTCCAAAATTTCCCGACACACCCAGTTGGTACGGTTGTTTCGTGCGTAAAAATCAGGAAAATTCAACTCCTACTTATATGCGGACAAAGAACAAGACAAAAGAAAGGAAAATAGGGCACTTGATACTTGATGATAATTTACTAATGTGGAACAAAATCATAGAAAATAAGTATTTTTTGAGCTCTAGTGGTATGGGCTCTCTAGCTTATGTTCACTATATTTCACAAAATCTTCGACAAAAAGAAAGCTGAAATCTTCCTGAGAGTCTTCATACACATTGCTGTGATTGACTTTTTTTTTAAAAAAAACAAAAAATTGGCCTAGCCTCAATTTGGCATGACAATTTCTGAACATTTCTATTTGACTTGAGAAAAAAGAGGTTATTACAGGATATTCGTGTTTTTTGCAAGTTAACATGCAAGAAACGTTCTTGCAATTCTGCAAACATACATTGATGCCCTTCCCTTTGAATCCACGTACTTTTCACAGCGATGACTGAGCCTAAAAAATCGTATCATTTCTCTATTATCCCATTTCATTTTCCTGTCCTAATGAAATTGAGTCCGCCAGAAGAAGCTGCAGGAGAGAGAAAGTACCAAAATTGAAGCAAGAAATGTATGGACAACAAATCGGATCCCTTAGAATTTCCCTTTTAAAGAATGAGCGCATATTTTTGGTAAAAAACCACCCAAGACTTAAGGTGCTTGAATTTTTGTAAATCGAAATACAGAATGATTATGTATTTAGTCGACATAAAGAAGTTCCGGTGGACCTTCCACCTCTTGCAGAGTTTTTCTTCGAAAAACCCATTCGAAAGAAATTGAAGTCATTTTCGGATTCAGCAGCGAATAGAACATAAAATAGCCTAATGTGGACTTCGAAGAAAAATATACCTTTTGGATAGCAAAAAAAAAAAAAAACAGATAAGATAAATATTGGGCATCATAGCAGATTTGGTCGTAGGATGGAAGAAACATTGTTCTCAGGAAGAGAGGGAGAAATGCTTAGACGTGTCTTTTGCCAGGTAAAGTATTTATGGCTATTGAATAAAAATTGACCTTAGTTCTAAGCGATCATGGGCCAGTTTCCTGTAAAATCAAAGATTTTTGAGGAGGAACATGATGAGTTGACAAAAATTTCCGGACATGATAAGACAAATCCTCGGCATTTTCGAACAGGGTGCTAAAAAATGCTGAAAAGGTGCTTACATTAAAATGAGATATTTGAGTAGATCATCTATTGGTGGTCCTTAAATACAGATTTTAGAATAAAAATAGGAATTTTTCGAGTAAAGCCTCTAATAGCATGAAGGTCTGTTGAATCCTCTGAATGTGAATAAAATGCTGAAGTGTTCCAAGTTAGTTTTTACATGGATTGGAACATTGTGATGGGATCCTATGTTCATTGTGGAATTTATCGGTCAAATTTGTTGAAATAAGCGTAGCCCCAGGGTTCCACCTTGCTTACTGTTAGAATATTTTGAGTAAATGGTCAAAGAAAATTGGCTCAAAATTTAAAACGTCAAATTTTAACATGAGATTAAGATACCCTAATATAATCTATCATATTTTCTGTTGGATTTTTTCCTCTTCTTCTTCTCAATATATTTTACTTTGTCATGCTATCTTATCACATTCCTAAGAGCTGCATTTGTAGAACTTAACATAATTAATAAACAGACAATTTTCTCAGATCAAAAAATTAATCATGTTGCCTCTGCCCAGTGCAAATTCCTGGCTAAAACTTGCAGGTTTCATAGTATTTATGTATTATCCTCACTTTAAAAATTTCTCTTCAGACTCACTCAAGGTGATGGAACGAATGTTTCACCAACAAGTACCATTATTTGGTGAAAAAGACCCTAATTGGGGGAGAATGTTACTGATAATAAACTTCCAAGAATGAAAATGCTTTTCCCCAGGGACAAACCAAGATTTTCTCAAAATTACTTCACCCAGTTTTTGAGGCCCCAAAAACCTCTTGCTGAAAATAAGATAGAGCGAAGATGAATTCTTTCAAATACGCAAAAATCACGCAATGATTCAAATCATTTAATTCTTCTTTAAATATAAAAAATAATTCTGTGACCAGTTGTGACAAAAATGATGGGAACCATTAAAGTAATTTTGAACAAAACATTTTCAATAAAAACTTTACAATTCATAAGAGTTAGCAGTAAGAAATTTGGAATTTTAGATCCGAGCTTCCTTAAACGGAGAGTGAAACAGTGTCTTGACCCTTTACAGAAGGTTCCATCATTACTGCTGCACTCAAGGTATTCATGTATTAAAATTATTCACAATGAGTGACCAAAAAAGATATTAAAACCTAAGTAAATGAGTAACTTTTTTCAGCGATTTATTCATAGCGTGTCAAAAAGACTTCAAAGATATCTTAAAAGTACGAAAATTAAAATTAACACTTCCAAAACATAAACAGTGCTAATTGTAAAATGAAAGGTACAAATTTTACAGCAATTAACTGCAATTGAGCAATGATCGAAATGATATAATTTTTCATTTACCACAGTTTATGGACCAATTAAGTATTATGAGGGCTACTTAAGGGGAGAGCAGTTGTCTGAGCTTGCTTTAGGAGGTCTTTTAGGGATAAGTAAGGGGGGGGGGGTGGTGCCAAGCCCATTCTGATGCAAGCCTCCCAGTCAAAAGAAAAAATAATATTTTTTGATCAAAATAAATTTTTCAGCTATTTTTCGAGCTTCCTAAGTTTAGGATCAGGCCTGTCGTACATAATGCACAAGTGGGGGTGGTTCTCTAACAGGTGTCTTATGGGGGATCAAAAAGTCCGGCAAAATTGCTTACATAATACTTGCAAAGCCCCCTTACTTCATGTTGCCTGAGAAAAAGGAGGATCGAAAACTGAGACAGGAGAACAAAAAAAAGAGCTCAATATAATTGACAACTGGAACTTCCGCTATGGCATTTCAATTCAATCAAATTACCTCAAGTTAGGTTTAGTTCAAATGCACGTAAACTTATTTATGAATCATTGATATATCTTTCAAATTGAGTCGATTTCTAGGTAATACATTTGATCCAATATAGTTCATCAATTGTAATTAGGCCTTAAAACTTCAGATAACTTTCGCTGAGGTAAGACTGAACCTAGATTGTTACTCATCGAACAAAAATCAGTGATTCTTGTTTGATGGTGCTTATCTTGGCTCCTGCAAATCGGTTTGGTTGTGGAAATATTTTCTTTTGTCTCATTCATTGATTTCTCGAGAGCCTTTGTGACACTCGAGCTCCTCCATTTTGACATGGTTTCTTTCTTTGAGGATCCTTTGCCTTTGTCCCCTGGGTAGGCTGCAGGGGTCAATCTTTCTTCAGTTATTAGCCTAGTATTTTTTTCAATGGATGAACCATTAAATTTTTCAAAAACCCGAAAAAACTGATTTATTGGTGGACTGGTCTTTGCTGCAATCACATTACTATCACTCGATTTTCTATTCGAAATCTTATCAAAATCTTTTGAGTCATTCTTTGCTTGTGAATTCTTATCAGACCTGAAGGATCTAATTTTAGGGAAATCTTTTGGCGCCTCCGTGTGTTCAGAGCTTGTATTCGAAAGAGGGTCTTTGTTATTGTTCAAGAGCTTGGGAATAAAACTGCTTGGCTTTTCTGGCGACGTATTTTTGGACAGGGATTTATTTTTTGGACTAATATCACCAATTCTAAAGTTCTGTTTGGTTTTTTTAGGCTTAGGCGGAGATGTCACTTCAAAATCAAAGAGTGGCACTGATGGATCTTTTTTTGAACTTGTTCGAGGTTGTTGAATTGTGGAAGAACTCTTTTCACATTTTATTTTTTTAGAACTTGAGGGGCAATTATTATCCGAATTTTCTCGTTTGAGATTACTTTCATTCGCCTTAGAATTATGATGTACTTTCACACATTCATTATCAGTCTGGGCTGTAACTTCATGCAAAAGTTTTGGTCTTGTGGAAACCATTCCCTTATGCCTGCTTCGTTTGTCTTTGAATACAGTATCTGAGCTATCCAAATCCTGTGATTTCTGAGAAAGTGATCTCGATGACTTCGAATTTTCTCGTTTGAGATTACTTTCATTCGCCTCAGAATTATGATGTACTTTCTCACATTCATTATCAGTCTGGGCTGTAACTTCGTGCAAAACTTTTGGTCTTGTGGAAACCATTCCTGTATGCCTGCTTCGTTTGCCTTTGAATACGGTATCTGAGCTATCTGAATCCTGTGATTTCTGGGAAAGTGATGTCGACGACTTCGAATTTTTAGAGCTCACTCTTGATTTTCTTGGAGGATGACTCATTGCTGGTTTACCGGGTTCCTGTTTGATGTCTGTTAGCTGGGCCGATGAGGTTTCTCCGATGTCAGAGCCAGAGGTAGAGGCTAAGCTTAGTTTCAGAATCCTTTCTGCTCTTTTGCTTTCTAATACTTCCGGAGGATCAAATAATGATATTGGCACTAGTCTTCCTCTAGATCTGGGTTCAGAGGTGGTTCCAGGCTTAGTATCGATCATTTTGACCATTGTTTGGAGGGATGTTTTTTTCTGATCTGAAGAGGAATTGCTCGATTTGTTACAATCTACTGTCCTGATTTTGGGAGGGTTGGTATCATTTGCTTTATTTTCTGATACCAAAGTTTTGAATGACGATTTTTCATCTGGCTTGCTTTCAGAAGCTGAAAAGTATTGACCTATGACAGTGGTATCTGACTTGGCATTATTACTTCTCTTCAATTCAAATTTTTTAGGAGTTGTAAGAGGATTAAGATCAGCAAGTGCTGAGCCAAGCCATGACTCACAACTGGTAGATGAATCTTCTGCGAAACGGATTTCAGCAGTTTTTTTTACTGTTCCGTTTGATTTTTTATGGCTCTTAGAGTTCCTGTCAGTCTGACAAACATTCAAAGAATCACAAGAAGGAATTTGTTGTTTTTCATTGGGGGTTTGAGTTGATCTTGGCTTGGGAACATCTGTTGAATTTGATTTGCATTCCTGAGGAAAATTAAAGGATTTCAATGATTCCTTGTCATTGTCGGTACGATTGAGCTGGTCATCATTCATGATGGGAGCTAATTTTTTGTCATTTGAGGGGCCAGCTTGAGAGCGTTTGAAGTAACGCTCTATTCCTGAGATTTTACATGGTTCTCCAGAGGCCTTGCTTATCTCGAGCTTTGGAGTCGACCGTTGACTTAGGTCTGATGATGTTTCCTTGAACTTTTTGGCATCTGTTTTAATAGAGGTGACATTGGATTTTACAGTTTTATCTTTTGTCCTGGGTGTTGAATTAGAGGCAGAAATTTTAGTCTTTTGACTGGAAGACATACTTTCAGTGGATACAGTATTGTTCTGTGGTTTGGTTTTGACTGCTGAGGATGATCTGCCAATATTGTTTTGAGTTGATGCCTGGTTTGAGGAACGTCTCCTGGATGAGATATGATGATCTGTTTGAACATTACAAAGATCCTGAAGCAGTTCTTTTAAGGGTTGACGACATTTTCTAAGTCTCCTCTTCGAATCGTAGGATAAACTTGCATAATTTTTGGCTACGATTTGATTATCATGGATCTGTAATTGGAGTTTGGTTCGTTTCCTTCCTCTTTTCTTACTTTGGGATGGTATTATGGTCTGAAAAATAAAAAATCGATATTAAAAAAATCATACCAAATCGAATCAGCTAGATTTTAAAGCGATGGATCACTAGACAAGGTAAAAATTTAAGCATTCGAATGTATGTTTTCTTATCAAAATTTCACATGGAACTTGATTCTAGAAATGGAAATTACTGAAGTTACCTCATAATAACATAATTAACGTTTTTTGATACATAAATTCAAACTTCCCGCTCATGAAATAACAAAAGTCTACGTGAGTCAAATCACGCTCTTAACATTATTGTAACAGTTTCTACGGAATGAAAATATGGCAACCTCAATCTCGGTGCTTCAACTAGATTGTTGCACGTTCCAAGACTTTGAACAACACAGGGCGGAGGAAAGAACACTGATTGATTATGAAGCCTGCCAAGGCCGTTGTAGGGTGTGAATTGATTCAACTAGACTATTGTTCTTTTTGTGAGCGGGGGATTCATAACTCCTGTAGCCAATGTAAACTAAAAACGTTAACATCTTAGTTAGGAGTTGATTTCAGTGATTTTAGTTGTACGAATCATGTTCTGTGTGAAATTTTGGTTAGGAAGCATGTATCAGAATTTTCTAATTTGAACCCTGTCTAAAGGTGCATTGTTGCTCAAATGTCTCAGGCAGTCTTTACATTGGGATTAAAAAGTTCTAAGAATTCAGAAGACATGATTATGTTTGAAAGGATAAGTTTGCCCTGAGAGGGGCGTTTAAAAAAGATATCTTATTTTGAGAGAAATGCATTGGAAGTTTCGATTCCATTCCACAACCTGCCTACTTTGATGAAGAGATAAACCGAGATCATTCATCTTTTGTCAACAAACCTTGGACTGAAAACTGAGGATAACTTATACTGCCAACTGCTTGTGCTCTTCTGAATACGAGAAAGTAAAGGCCCACTTAAGACATGGGTGGCAAGAAATGCACTCAAATCTAGTGCATATTTTTGTATAGTGCCATTAAAACGAAACTGGTTGAAGGGAACTGACATTTGTGATCAACTGAACATGATATTTGTCAATATAATCTGCAGATTGATGAAAGAGAGATGGTGTGCGCAACATTAACAATTGTCAAAGATCTTTTTTTGCTTGTAAACAAAACAAATGAACATCAACAATGAATCGGCAACCACCAAGACAGCCTGAAGTTGCCGTCTGCTCATCTCTGGTGACTAAAAAACTGCCTCCAGATTCAAGCAATTTACGAATTGAGATTCCAAACTAAGAAAATTGTGCAATAAGTAGTGGATTTTGAACGTTTTTAAGGTGACCATCGTGATTTTCGTGTCATCTGAATCCTAGAAATTCTACCCACGTGGCTGTGTCTCTTGCTCGCAACAGACCCATTGGACCTAAACCACATCCGCAGATGCTTTCCTGCTTGGTTGTAACTAGTGTTGCACCAAACGGCATAACTCTTTAAAAAGAAAATTTATGCTTAGATGAGCTTCGTCTCTTTACAATGAAAATATCGGTTTTATACTGAAATTTTACACACGTTGGCAAAAACACCAGCACTCTGTGTAGATGACACGCGCGTCCAACTGCAAGCAATTTCCTACGAAGCAATCAGTTCGTAGGAATCTTTTTTGTATTTTTTTTTTCCTCTTTAAATCTACATACTTTCAATAGCATGATGTCAACTATTTTTTAGAATCCAATGAAAAATAAGCCTGATATGAAGTTCTTGTGTGAAAAATGCCCCTTTCTTTTTTCTTTTTTATTTGAGATTCAAAACAATGAATTCTTCAATAATACTAAAACTTCAAAAATTCAAGTCTCAGCGAATTTTTGTACCTCAGATCTGATATTTTGCAGAGGTTAACCATTTGGTGGTATGAACAAGAAAAGATGTATCAATCAAATACGAGTTGATGGGTTGCATGGTTGGTTTCATATCAAATGATCGACTATGCAAAAACAGTAGGCATGAAACAAGTTGATATCATTGTCTGAAAAGAGCTCAAATGCTCAAATACCTATCAATTGAAAATATATTGGGATGTATCTTGCCAAGCTGGTCATAGTGCCTGTTCTCTAAGTGTTCGCCAGAGGCCAAGGCAGTTACAGTACCTAATCTTTCGTGTAATGTGTTTCTGCCCCTTTGTTAAATAATAAGAAATCTACTTGAAGGTCAACTGTAGCACTAATTCTGATGTAAGTGTTAGGAATCCAACAGAGCGGTAGTGCTAACATTGCAGCTATAATTGCTAGCGTCAGTGTACTGCCTAACCATTATATTGTTTTTCTGTTTTCTTAGCATGACAGGGAAGAATATGCAAAATTACATTAGCAGGGAATGTAGATATTACAGTTTGTAAAATGAATGTGTACTCACCAAAAATCGGTTCTTTCCAATTTGACGGAATTTTAGAGGTCGTATCACAACATGTGCTGATTTTAATCCAAGATGACTATATCGTCGGAGGAAAATCTCATCACTTGTAGAGGGTAGGTCGGTGAGACTGCATAACACAGAGGAAATATTTTTTCAATTACTAACAATATCAAAATTGATGAGAGATTCTGCATTTCAAGATATATTATTTTCAAAAAATTGTTAAACCTTTTCCTAAAACTTGATACATGACAGCTAACAAGACTTTTAAGATAATTTCATACAGGGTGTCCCAATTTACCTGTGCCAGGTTTTTTTCTCAGTTGTTTTAAGTCGAACTAAGTCGAGGGCCGAGGGGACCCTAAGGAATCCAGCTTTCATCATCCTGAAGCCCCCCACTTCCCCTTGGGAAATGTGAGAGAGGTTTTGATTTTGAAAAGCAGGATCCCCTTCACAATTTTGAAATTATTTTATCAAAATCAGAAAGAGCAGAAACTTTTTAAACCTAAACAAATACCGAAAGTCCAAAATCGGCCCATCATTTTCTAAAATACTGATCTACTATTTTTTTGGAGATGTAAGATACTTAAAAGAAGTTACTTGGGGGAGTTATTTACCTGTCGGGAGGTCGTCGTAGCTCGCATGTTGATTCAATAGTGGCAGAGTTGAAGTGTCTGGAAGCTGTTGTTGAGCATGAGACGTCTGAGGACAGTTCGTGATTGTGAGACCCAGTCTGTTGGAATAATCGGAAGAAAAAAACTGTGAAAAGATAATCAAAAGGGAGGGATCACTTTTCTGTCCTGCCGTAGCAAAACACACAGAGGACAGAATAAAAATTGAGTACTACTGATAAAAATTAGAATTTCAAATTGGGGAGACAAAAATTAGTAACAACAAAAAATGAAAAATAAAATAAAAGAATGTTAAAAAATTGAAAACAGGTATGGAGGAATGAAAAAATAAAGAGTGATGAGAGAATAAAACGATAAAAATAAATAATAAGAATGAGACAGAAGTAGAACAACCAATCGAAAAACAAATAATTATATACAAAATAATATCAAACAATAATAATTAGTATTAGGGCATAAACAAACAACACAGTGTAAAGTGCTGAACTGAGAATAATGATAAATTTGGTTTGGGCCTGTCTGCAAAGAGCCCTCCCAAAAACCCTTTTTTTTCCCCAAGAGATTTTTAAACACGAGTAAAGAAATAATAAAAATATTAGTGGAGAGAACGTTTACTTAAAGAGAAAATTGTAAAATACAAATTTGTGCACGATAGTTAGACAAATTGGGAAAGAAATTTCTACGCATCTGCGGTTAAGAGTTGAAGACAAATAACTTAACTCTAAGAAAATTAGAGTTATACTCATTTTTAAAATGCTTCAAGGGATGTGTAAACATATTAGTGGAGATACCTATAACCAGGCCTTGAAATACAAAACGCAAAAAATTGCGAATTAACGTACACATCCATGCAACGTAAACACTTTTTCTTTTTCTAAAATTTCAGCCCCTAAAATGGAGGTACTTATACTACTTCCCATATTTAGCCCGGACATTACTGATCAAGGACAGGTCAAGATCATACACAGTTTTGAACTTAAGAACATTTTGGAGAAAGAAATCGTGGAGCATGTACAAACTGATGTATATTACAGCATTTTTCAAAAATCTTGGAGAAGAGGGCATTTTTCTTAAAAATTATCTTAATAAATGTAGTGGGTACTATACACTGTGATGTGCAATGGATAACTAGACAAAGTGCAAATTGGAGAGTCCTGATACATGTTTCCTAACCTAAACTTAACTTAGAATATGATTTGCGCAGCGAAAATTACTGAAATCGACTCCTAACTAGGATATTCAACCTTTTCTTTACATTAATAATGGGAAATTTAAATTTCCCGCCCGTAAGAAGAATGTGATCTACTGAAGTCAAATCGCACACTACAACAATATTGGCGACTTTCCTAATCGAGCAATTTTCATTTCCCAACCTATGTTGTTGGACGTCTTCAAAACGTGTAACAATTGAGTCAAAGCACCGAGATTGAGGTTGCTATCTATAGTATAAGCTCCGAGACCTCCTAATTTTGCGTAACTGGTAACGCTTAGTTCCCGCGCTCTGCAGGGCCGATTATCATGATTTTTGCGGCTATCGATGGGCGATTGTCTCTAGATGAGCCCGCTCTATTCAGATTATCAAAATATGGTCCAGGTTTTTTTATATTACGTAGTTAAGTTGCGAATTTTCCCATTTAAACAATGTAAATTTATGTTTATGGTCATAGTTCGTTTGAGCGTTCTACCGGGCCGATTTCCATTATTTTTGCGGTTATTGATAGCTGATAGGCCCTAGATGAGCCCGCTCTAATTATATTTTGGAAATAGGATCCAGATTTTTTTTACAATCAAGTTATAAAAGTGAGCGAATTTATAGAATGCTCTGCACCACGCTGCCGCTATGCACAGAAGGTTGCGCAGTGGCTGAGAAGCCTGCGCATCAGCTCTACTTATCAACACAAGATTTGCCACAGTCACTTCAAGATGAGCGGAGGCCCAGTCGTCTAAGGCGTCGGCAGCACCCACATGCCTCAAGATGTGGGTTTGATTCCTGACCTCTCAGCTACTTAATTATGACCTGATCATTTGTTGTTTTACTGCAATATTTAATTAATCGGTCAAAATGCAATAATAGTAATCAGTCAGATTCAAAACGTATCCTTTTGACTTCAATTTTTTTCTTCTTTATTCATCAAAAACAAAAACAATTTCATTCTAAAAGTAATATATTCCTCATATCGTAATTTTTTAGAGGAAAAATAAAACCAACATTGATAGGAGGCTAAAAATAGGGCTGCAAAGCAGCCCATTGATCGCGCGGAGCGCCTTCAGGGGGTTGGGCCGCCAAAGGACATAGCCCCCTAGTATTTTTATACCTCAGAAACTGTTACAGTAATGTTAAGTGCGCAATTCGACTCTCGTAGACTTTTGTTCTTTCATAAGTAGGAGGTTTGAAGTTATGTATAGAGAGACGTTAAATATTTGCGTGTGGAGTTATTTTCAGCAATTTTCGTTACGCGAATCGTTTTCTATGTGAAATTTTGATAAGGAAACATACATCCAAATGCTTAAATTTGCACCTTGTCTAGTAGTCTGTACTCAAATAAATAAGATACAAAAGGAGCAATAGAGCTTCTGGGTAGTTTCCGGCTGATACTTGCAACAAGCAAAGAATGGTTCTTTGGCTCTTAACCACAAGAATATAACTTGGTTTTTAAAATAAAAAATAATTGAAAAAAAAAAATATAAGGACTCAAAGTTCTTGATACAAATTTGAACTTCCATCTTAGTTTTCAAATTTTCATGAAGGAGAAACCTTACACAGCAAACTTCTCAGATTTTTACTCACACTTTACCTGAGACTTGCACCAATAGGCAAAACGTATTTCATTTGAAATTTTCACTAAAAGTTCATTGTCTTAATACTGACTTGGTAATATGTTCTGACTTTTTAAAAATAGGTAGAGTACTTTCGAAAAAAGGGGAAAATGTAGATTTATTGATCACATATGTTACACAATGAACATCTTAAACACCTTTCATGGTAGGTTTCAGACAGGAGAAAAGTAAAATTTTCAATTAGAAAACAAAAAATTTAAAAAAATGACTTACCACTTGATTCTGATTGTTTCCATTTGAAGCAGATCCATGAGCATTCAAATTCCTCTCACTACTGGAAAAAATTCTATCACTTTGTCTGTTTGAATTTTGCATTTTAAGATGATTCTGATTGGCATCAGAACTACCATCTAAGATGAAAATTCCATCAGACCTTGACTCGGAAGAGGACAGCGACTGAGTAGAGCTCATTTCAACGACTGAATTCTTAAATGAGGCAGCAGGGACTGTGGTTACACCGCCTGAAGGGTTGTGAATTCGAATGAAAGCGGTAGGTCCTTCACTTGGCTGCTTGGCTTCAAAGTGTTTTGAAGCTGAGGAGGCAGTTATGACAGTGGATAAAACATCAATATCACTAGAAGAGTCTTCATCTGCATCTCCTTTGGGGATAAATGATGAGTTAGGTTTTGGGCTGTCCATTATCTAGAAACCGACAAAATAAATCCGTCAAGCCTTAATTACTGCAAACACTCAAGAGATTTTTTAAAAACAAATTTATTTTAAAACTTGAGTTTTCCTTGTGACCAGGATTTTCAGAATTAACTATCCTGATTTCTCTAAGTTTTCGTAAAGATTCTCCAACAAGAGTCTCCACTAGGTTTTCAAAAATAAAAAATATTTTCATGACTACTTTAAACCAAAGATTTCCGAGAGCTTGTGGCAAAAGTTGGTTGAACCAAATTAGATACAATATTGATGCGGGATGAATTTATTTTTTCAATTTATGAGAAGATACTTCTTGGACAGAAAAATGCTGGGTTAATTGAATTATTTTCAATTTAGGTACTTTACCAATGGGAGTTATGTATTTTTGAATTTTATTTTAACTTTCGCAGACTATACAGGCAACTAATGATCCACCAGAGTGTCTCCTAAAACAGGCTGCCCAAAAATCAGTACTATTGCAGTACTTTTTAGTATATTTCCAAGAAATTCAGTACCTCCTAAACAGTAAAATTCAGCCTTTTTCCTATGCCTCTATTCAAAGAAATTTAAAAAATTTCGAAGATTTGAAATTCTTGCTTGAATTGAGACAAAAATGACGAAACACAAAATTGCATTGGAAGCTTGAAGATTGACTAACTGAACAATTGCAATATTGCAGACACAAACTGTTCTAGGAATCAACACGCAGGGGATTGCATACTTTTCAGGCTTCACAGAAACACGTGTGGTGGAGGAAAAAATTCTGGACCTTCTTGCGGAATTTCCGTACTTCCAGACTGCCCTCAGATAATCAGTACTATTTCTGGACTTTCCGGACTAGTAGGCACCCTGTCCACAGATAATTAGATCACAAAGAATCTGATTCCCTAATATACATAGGCTGTCATTCGAGAACTACAATAGATATCGACATGCGGTTTGCGGGAGGTGATAGCTCATACTTTTACCTCTTTAACGAGCTTAAGTTGAGCTAGCTTGGTTAAAAACTCAACGAGTTACATCAATTTTCCCAAGACGTGTAAGAAATACCCCTACGGGATTTTTCGGTAATTTTTTATTCCTTGACTTTGCCTCCGCAAGTGTGCAATTGGTTCAGACGTTATGAATCAAGTTTCCACTTCTCTGGATGCAAGTTTGAACTTCTCAGCAAGTGTTTCCATCACAGCCGAGAAGTTTTTTTCTGTTTGCAAAGTCGGTTTAGTGAAATTGTCTGGCCTGATAACGCGTTTTTTTGTGTTTCGTCATGAGTTCACCCGCGGATTTGAAGCAAGAGCAAACGATACGCAATTCGATATTGCGTTCGTGAATTATCTGCTTCTGAAACACTTTGAGCCACTGTCATTTCATTCACAGTTTCAGAACTGACTCAACTGTTCCAACGAACTCATGACAAAACACAAAAAAACGCGTTATCAGGCCGGACAATTTCACTAAACCGACTTTACAAACAGAAAAAAACTTCTCGGCTGTGATGGAAACACTTGCTGAGAAGTTCAAACTTGCATCCAGAGAAGTGGAAACTTGATTCATAACGTCTGAACCAATTGCACACATGCGGAGGCAAAGTTAAGGAATGAAAAATTACCGAAAAATCCCGTAGGGGTATTTCTTACACGTCTCGGAAAAATTGATGTAACTCGTTGAGTTTTTAACCAAACTAGCTCAACTTAGGCTCGTTTAAGAGCTAAGAGTATGAGCTATCACTTCTTGCAAACCGCATGTCGATATCTATTGTAGTTCCCGAATGACAGCCTTAGTGCCAGTTGTTTTGGGACAGCCTATGTACCTTATCTCTTTTCTTGAACGTTAAGTATGTCTTCATTATGTCACCAAGACAATTGTACTTATAAATGAAACCATACAAAATTAAATTTTCTAATTATAGAAGGTACAAGAGAAGAAAAGGGCAACAGAGAAGGAGACAAAATATTGACATCAATTATTATTACCTCAATTAAATCATCGTCACTACTGATTATGATTATATCGGCATTTTCATCAGGTACATTAGTATTGCTATTTGAGCTGCTATTGGACAGCGGCCGAGAAGAATCTCCAACAGCAATGGATGGGTTTGAAACTTTTTTGTGTTTTTTCCTCCTGATTTTCTTGTTTTTTATTCTGGATCTGGAGATAAAGAGAGAGATTATACAGCTTGGGTTAGTACTGACTGAGCAAAAACAGATATTCAGGTTCTGAATTCCTTATCAACTTAGAAGTTTGAACAGTAAATAGAGACATGCTTGAGGACAAACATTTGGTACAAAATAGACAATTCAAAGAATAGAGTGTAGAAACTAATGTAGGACATGATGAAAAATATAAAATTCCTTGCTGGTAGGTACTATTGTGGTGGCCTGCAGATAGGCCACACCCCATAAAAAATTTCAATGAGATATTTTGGTTGCTTTCTTCCAAGAAAGTGGGGCACAATTACACATTTTGAAGCACATTTTTTAAGTAAAATCGTCAACAATTTTGGAAAATCGGTAAGAAAAAGGTTCTACACTAATGTGACATTTAGAGGCGTTGTAAGAAAGATATGCATTTTTCAAATTAGGCCATCAACATACGAGAATCAAGGGATGGCTGTATTATTAGATCATGGCTCATGGCAGCACTGAAAAAAAAATTGAGGTATTTTTTGGGACTTCTAAATAGTAAAATCAAAAACTGTCTATAAAGTTTGGAAAATAAATCCTCCCCTCATTTTAGCTGCAGATCTGTTCTATACATCCAATACAAGTCCACCAAGATGAAAGGCACAGTGAAGATGAGTTTGACCTCATTGAAAGATGTACAGCGAACACTACATTCTAAGTTAAGTATAGTATCTTGACTTACCTGGATTTTTTTGAGACACTGTTGCTTTCATCAGAAGAACTATCATCACTATCTGTGGCACTGATTTGCTTGGAGGTTTTGGCTGAAGAAAAAAATAAAATACTTGTTAGTTGGGATTAAACCTGTAATAAGTTAGGAAGATAAGCTAAACGACCTTCAAAATGCAGTTGTTGTATTTTGTATTTGTAGCGTCTTGGAAACTTGTTTTGTTTGGATGTTGATTGTGTTCCTTGCAAAAGTCAATTCTAAATAGGAAGTCTTAGGTAAATTCGTAGCAGTTCAACAATACTTGCACCAAACCTGAACTGAGGAGCTTGGAGGAAGACGAGGCACGTAAGTGCAGTTTTCAAAAAAAATGAGATATTAAAGATGTCAACTGAAAATAGTCCTAAAATATATTCTGTAAAAAATTCTCTGCTAAAATCCAATTTTTAAGTATCAAAAAGTGAGTGAACTTTCTTTCCACCATAAAGCTACATGAAATTTTAAAGCTTAGGTTTCTTGAAATAGAAAAAATGCACTTCTTCACAATGATGGGAACAACTGAATATCTAAGAATTTTCAGGGGCCTAAAATCGAATTTCTCATGGTTTTTATTGTAACAAATTTACGATTTAATTAAGTTTTTTGCTGATCCCCAGAGATTTAAAGAGTTAAAGTTTTATTGTAGGATAAAATCAAAGATTGAGTGATGATGCTACAAACATAGGAGGAATGATGTATGCAGGATTGCCCCAGAATTTAGAAAATGAAATTTTGTGACATTTTCCTGATAAACTTCAAAAATTTTGGTAAAATTTCAGGAATTTTGACAATGCACAAAACGTTTGAAAAGTCATTAGTTAATCAGTCAATATCCAAAACGTTAATCAATTTCTAGGCAGTAAGTAAAGGTGATCCAACAATTTTTCCCTGATATGTCTTGGTTTTCGTTGGCTTTTCAAAATTCCCTGACATTCCAAGACCACGGCCAAACCCTCATAGAAATATGGAGGTATTGAAACTCTTATTTGAATTTTAAGCGCATATTGTATTCGTAGGATCATATAACTTTGCACACAGACATTTCTTACATGGGTGGCAAAAAACTTCTTTGATCTCTGTAATTTTTACGTGTTGTCAAGAACATTTCGAATTCTTGATGGACAAATAATGGACACAAAAGTTGATGCAGATTAACTGATGATAGCTCACCTTTTTTTATTGTTTTACAACATTCTGGACACTCCCAATCAGTTGTAGTAAATTTTAACCCACAACCGATATGAATACCTTGAGATGCACAGATTGAGCAGAGAATCAACTCCCAAATAGTTCCTGGTGCATTAAACCTTCTATTCTTTGGACACTTACAGGCTGGGATATCACAAGTGCTGTGTCTTTCCAGAAGCTCATGAAATGCGTTGGGTGCTGTTTCCCACGAGGCATCCCTAAAAATCATTGACCAATTATATTACTTTTCATGGTGTCATTAAAATATGCAAATTCAAGTTTTTACGGAAAACAGGCTAAAAGATACGCTAAGCAAAAAAAGAAATATGTTTAGAGCAAAAGGGTAGATAAGAAATCTAAGTCCACGATAAACCTCTTACGAGAAGATATGGAAAATAATGTTGTTAAAAATGTAACACGGAACTACTGTTATCTTCAACTAGATTCTTGAAACAAGGAAGACCAACAGAGGAAGCAATTGCTCTAGAAACTTTTAAGTCAATGGCACCAATTCTTTTGAATTCATTCTTTGAAAGTACAGAATGAAACTAAGCTTCTAGGAATTTTTCAGATTTTTTTCATCCCTACATGGGAAAGTGTTGTGTATAACAACCACTACCACCTACTAGGAATGTAATAAAATAAGCCCTGCTGAATATTCTTGAAGTTCAGTTATCCTCCTATAAAAGACTGATAATATAATTTGCTTCTTATTTTAAAAAACTCAACAGTAATCATATTTTGATTATTTTCAATACCTCTTTTACATAAGCTCAATAGATTATTTTATGTTTTAAAAAAATCACTGTAAAAACAATGGATGTGGTCTTTTCTTAGAGTCAGTGTACCTAAACTGACATTTGCTTCAAATTTAAAGTGCTAAAGCTTATTTCTAAAAGGAATATTTTATCTATAAACAATTCTGTGATGAAACCTCATTGGCTTTAAGTAGGGACTTCAATATGCATAGCTTCGAAAACTTTGAATGTCATTTTCTCAAAACTTGAAAACTTGACAAGCGCAATTCATACGTACATCATGATTGACTCAGACATAAATAACAGCCTTGACCTAATTGACAGTAGTTGAGGAGAAAAAACTTATCGAAAAACTGAAACAAGACCTGAAATAACCAAGTTAGAGGACAAAAACTTACTGTTGTGGGACGTATATTCCAAAGTTGAACATAGCTTTCTGAAATTTCTCTTTATCATTGCACAGTGGACATTTAAAGAAATATCCAGCACTGATGGCAAGACTCTGAAAAGGAGAAATAATTTAATGTTTAAGAACTCCAAACTAAACCAACACTATACCCATGGGCAATATTCAGAGAAGAAAACAGGCTTATTGGCTACTGCACAGAAAAATCTCTTCAGCAGCTCTCGCTCTCTACGAATGTGTCTTTTTAAGGCCTAGATACACACAGCAATTGATCACCGCGAGTGAAAGACGAAAGCAAATGGAGAGCCTTGATTTCGATCCATTGACGTCAAAATATCAAAATCAAGGCTCTCCATTGGCTTTCGTCTTTCACTTGCAGCGATTAATCGCCAAGTGTATCTAGGCCTTTACAGTCAGAAGCTCGTTAATCCTATAGTTATGTGCAAAGCACAATTCCTCCTTCAGTAAGGTCTTTTTTACAATTAATCCTTTCGTGGAAATAAAAAAAAAATTCTGGAGGAAATATATTCCATGGTGTGGGTCAGTGTTCCAACCCCACGAGCGCCATGTCGCCAAATGCTCCTAAAAATCGGCCATGGTCCCTAAAAAATGAAGACCCTGCGCCAAACGTGGCCCCTAAAAAATTGTCGCAATCCTAAATTACGGTTTGATGATTTCAAGATTCTTGTCAGTCAGCCTGGACTGAACGCGCATAGCAAGCAGTTGCGCGCGGAACTTCGTCGCGGCAGCGGCTCAGCAGATTGAGAATCGTACTACTTATCGTACATACTATAGAATCGTTCTACTACTTTTCACAATAGGAAGTCAGAAAAAGTATTATTTAATTGAACAAACTTTAAGTACACTAAAAGCTCCTTGTTTTAAATCAGAATATCATTCCTTTGGCCTTTCCCAAGTAATGGCTGCGAGCTGCAACTTGCAAGTCCTGTAACTGTATATCTTGCGTATAACTTTTCACTAAATGCGCCGTGATATATAGGCAAAAATTCAATTTGGCCCCTAAAAAATCTTCAATGGCCCCTAAAAATTGAACTTGATGGGCCAAACGGCTCCTAAAACTTGGAGGTGAAGTTGGAACACTGGTGTGGGTGGTAACTAGGTGCATGCAAATACAGCAAAGCAATAAGAGAAGAAAGACAAATTAGACATACAACAAATGTGTGGCTATCCGTTATCAATCTGATGTGTGAAAGTGCTTATTTACTTACTTGAATACATGTTCTATGAAACCATGCGTTTTTGCTACAGCATGGTGCCCACAGAGTGTTTGGACAGGCTTTTGCAACGACATCCTCGAAACAAATAGTACAGGTTGGTTTAGATTTCTTTGCTTCTTGAATTATGTGAGGTGGGATTTTTTGCTCAGGTCGATGTTTAACACAGTAAGATCTGTAAGACGAGATGAAAAAATGTATTGAGGGAGACTGTTCTCTTAAACTGTGTCTAGAAGCACTGAAGTGCAAATAAAATTCCCTGGCTTAGATTTTCCTTGACCAATTATTTGAAACATGGATTGTTTCTTAATTCCTAAAATGAGAAAGGAACTCAAAATACAGAGCAATATTCTGATCGAAGTTTTCAGCTTGTTTGATTGAAAAGCACAAGTAACACTGCAGTTATGTACTGCTTCTCTTCACTAGGAGAATATCTAACTCTCTCCCTTGTTTATAAGTTTGACTCCACTAATTCTCTGCTATGAATTTTGGCAAGCATGTTGATCAAAGTACAAGCAACTTTGGTTTAATTTTTTTAGAATTCCATGTAACTATTTTTGAGATATTGCTATTCTATACTTTACTAGATAAAAAAATAAAAATGAAACCTCCAATTTGGTTCAATATTATCATACGAAAATAAAGAGGGCATGTTAACAAATTCTGTGCTTCGGTGCTATTTTTGTGTGTAACATACTATAACCCACCTTCCTCTTCTTTTTTAGTGTATTTTCCAAAGAAAATACACTATCGCATTCTCCCATGACATCGGACCCAGACCTGAGACCTTGTGGAGAGCACCGATCACTGGTTGTAGATCACGAAAGTATATGCCATTCAAATTCATGTGTGTATATGAGTGTATATAATTTGTAAGTGTATAAAACATGTGTATATATAAAGTGGAGGGTCTCTTGCCTCTGAATATGATCCAGCTTGGTTGAACAATTCCAAAGTTACATATTATTGAGTAAGTTGACTTATGTCGTTCACCCAAACTTTAGGTTCTATAAAATTTGAGCAAAAGGTTGAAGAGAAATACTGCACACAGTTCGACTTCCCTGAATAAGAAGCCTCCTTACTTGCCAAATATCATTAAATTTTGAGGGGGCCAGACTGAAAGTTTTTGGTTTCACTAGACATGGATTGACAGAATACATAGATTTACAAAACCTACTTCTTAGAGAGCTCTTACCTAAAGGCACCAAAAAATTGATTTAAGCAGTCATTCCGCACTCCACAAGGCACATGGAATTTTAGTTTACACCTCCTACTTGCACAATAAACGGTAGCACCAGGGAGTTGGCAAAAATCGCAAAACTGAAAATATTAACATTTTTTTAATTACAAAAGAAAACAAATTGAGAGACAAGCTGAAACTAGTAAACAATTGGATGCTATCTATCAAGAATAAACCAAATTTTAACTATGAACGAAATGTCAAATATGCAGCTAGTTAAGGCTGTATTAATGGTGAATTTTGAAGACGAAGCGAATTCTAGTATTTTCTGGTCCTTTTTAAGCCCAAGGCACCATCACTTAATCTTTTTTTGAATGTAATTCCTCGACTTCTTCAGGTTTCCATGGACATCATGATACTCTATGATTTTCTTTTGTTTTATTTACCTTGACTGACACAAGCTAGTTTTATGTTATAACACAGTCAAATTTTTGGAAACAATAATAATATCCTAATTACAATAGTGGAGACTTGCAGTTTTTTGGGATTAAAAAAATATTCATATCCAAATATATGCTTCTTTTCGCGGAAATTAAGAGGATATGGAACATTGACATAGTCCATATCAGTCCTTACATCATGTCTGTGACAGAGGTTATACTGGAGAGCCCGATAAATCATTTGAAAGAACTTATCGATGGTGAAACTAACAGCCCTTGTATCACAGTTTGCAATGTTGCAGACTTCCTGTCAAATTTTATTTTTTAAACGTAAAACTACTCAACAGCATATATTTTCAGTAGAGTTGGGCCGAAATGGATTTTCCGCATCACTAGATACAGTTATCGATTCTTTGTATCCGGCCGGCCAGACACCCGATAATTCGCCAAGGTACGGATAGTGGTTTTACGCGTGAGAAAAATCTCCTGATTTTGCGTGAGAAAAATCTCCAGATTTTGCGTGAGAAAAATCTCCCGATTTTGCGCAAGAGAAATCTCCCGGTTTCGCGCTTGGGACAAGAGGCACACTGTGTATTACACCATTAAGACCGTCATCCACGATGTATGTGCCTTCGCACTGGCAGCCTCCATATTTCTCAATGATACACTATGAGTCGGCCTGCTAAAACGAATTCTAAACAACAGTGTATTTTCTTCAGAAAATACACTAGAAAAAAAACCTGGCAAATAAACAACATGCCTTTCATTGACTTCATGGTGTGATGGACCAGATGAATCTAATGCGCAGAAAGAGAGATATTATTAGAGGTGTGCCTAAACAAGACCAAAGTGGAAAACAGCGCTTTGATGCTGCAATAACAAACTGCGTATTGCGACATTACAATAATTGCGGAGTTACACTTGGACTAAAAACGTTACCAACAGGGAACTTATGCGCATGTTGGTGGCATTTTTTTTTTCTCTCTTTTGAATCTTTGTCTCAGAAAGTGAAACACGCGAACTTTCAGAATTAAGGATCATGTTGCAATCGTGTAAATGTGCAAGAAAAGTCCTTAATTCCGGTGATAACAAGTTTCAAAAAGTTGATAAATTGCAATGACTACTCAAGGTGCGCCGAAAATGCCAAAAAATCACCAAAAATTTCTCAAAATTTTCACGGCCGTAAAAGCACTATCCGGCAGATCCAAAAACCGGATAATCGCCGGATACCCAGCCCAACTCTAATTTTTAGTGTTTTTCTTGTTCACTAAAAATGCCCTCCAGGGGGTACTCCTGCCCTTTCCAGTTACAACCCTATCCCCTACAATCTCTTCTCATTATTCAGCGCCAGGCAATCATTATTTAAGACCATCAAACTGGCCTGACCTGGAAGCAAACCCAGAACTTCATGCTTGTAGTCAGCGCTTCAATCACTACTCCATAGGATTCAGACGCAACCACTACATCATAGGAGGCTGACACAACCACCACACAGGTCAACAAAATGAAAAACTACTCTTTGTCGATGTATCAGTTGCGCTGGTCACAAAATCGTGCCTTGATGCTTGATTCTTGTCTATAAGCTACAAATAATAAGATCTGTCTAAACTGCATCTTTCTATGTTCAATAATAGACGCATTTAGTGTGATATCACATCTCGATTTAATTTTGATATCTCGAAAGTCGAAACGTGCCCCAACAAACAAACATAGAGGAATTTGCGGGATTTAGGCAGGGGGGTTGGGGGATTCGCTTGATAACTGTCACTGATATTACGAGCTTATTATACAATCAATTCTTGTGATTGTGATCTTGAACGTTTTTGTAAATGGCTAGCTTTCAGAATTTTAAAGTCCCATGGAGCAATTGTTTAGTTTCAGGCAGTTTTAGCATTATTTCGTCAATTGTTCATTTTCGAGGTTATGTTTGTTTGTTGGAGCACATTTCGACTTTCGAGATATCGAACCAACAATATCGCTCCGTGACGTCACCACTAAATGCGTCTATAACCGGGATATTGCCCTTTGAAAAGTCGAGTTTTTGACGTCATCCACCACGGTAGTGACACCCTTGGTTTTCTCCCACATTGCTTTCATCCGAGTTTCATGTTTAACAACCAGTGCAAATATGCGTCACACTGGCTTATGAAAAACAAGGTGGAAGAAACCAAGAGTGTCACTACGGCAGTGGATGACGTCAAAAACCTGACTTTTCAAAGGACGATATCTCCATTATTATTGAATGTAGAAAGTTGCGGTTTAAACAGATCTTATTATTTTTAGCTTATAGACAAGAATCAAGCATCAGAACACGATTTTGTGACCAGCAGGATTGACCCATTCTTGAAAACTTCTGTGATTTTTCTTCTCTGAGGGGAGGAAACCCTATAAAAACTTGGAGGAATAAGTCNGGGGGGGGGGGGGGGGGGCACGTTTGCTCACCACATTCGTGAAAACTTACAGTTTTTTGGGCCCGCTTCTTCTCCTCTAGAATATCCGGCACCAAGAAGCCCAGTATTCCTTCTTCATCCTGGCCGTTTTGAACCATTCGAGACGAAAGAAGCTACAGAAATCAGGGAAAAAAACAAAATGAGTCGGTCGGGCAGAATCTGTTTTAATGCATCATTGAAACATACAAAAGGAACAGAGATAACAATAATCTGGTTCAATTTCCTTGATCAAAGTACCTGTTAGAGAAAAAAATGCGTTTTGGAAGGTAAATTAGCAGTCTATTATAAATTCTGGGATAGAGATGATCTTGGGACTGGAAACATATGAGGTTCCCTCAAGCTACGTCATTTTTTGTTGGCTCCGCTCCGAACCGTTATTTCACAAACATGCTTGTTTGAAAGCTTAGACAGTCTCTTTCAGATCCCACAACGGTCACAGCCACAAATGTAAAATAATAAAAATTTCAGCAACAGCAACATGACAGCGATGTGCTACAATTATAAAATGGATCAATTCCATTAACCCTTTAACTCTTGAGTTAGATTTTCACGCTGGGCTTTCGCACCCTGAGTTAAGAATGGGAAATTATGCTAAAATGACTGTTTTTAGTTTTCTTGTCAACTTTCTTTCTTTCTCAACTTCTTTACTCATGACTCCATCCAATTGAGTGAACTTTTCTGTGCTTTATCTAAAGGTGTGTAAGGGTGAAGATCAGTCACCATAAGTGAATTACCAGCACTTGATTTTTTTTTTCCCGAATGAATTACACCAAAATTGAAGCTTTTCGAAGTTCCAAGACTAAAATTCTTATCGATAGGGTCTCAGTGTAGTTAGACGAGGATGAGAATTCTTGGCTGTTGGAGTCAAAAGGTTAATATCTGTAGAGAGTTAATGGTATCCTCTAAAATTCAGAAGCAAGATGACCTCTCTATGACCAAGCGTTCCCACGACATTATGTTTGCAGATTTAACTTTGACTCTCTACTCTCTTTTCCTAATTCAGGTAGGGTGACTTGAGTTTGATGGTCTCAGGCAAGGATCACCTGCAGGCTGATGGTTGAAATTAATAGGCAAAGCTGTAGACAAGGAAGACAAGTGATCCTATTGGTAGAAGCGGGTGATTGCAATAGACAAAGGAGGTAGGCACTAGACTAATTTACGGCAACCCAAGAGAGACCCTATCGTTAGTCCTTCATTTACCCCCTTAGTCTAAAAAAACCACCCATTTCAACCAAAAGGATCGCTCCGTACTCCCTACGTCTGCTTCATCTATTACTATCAATTTCAACCATCAGCCTGCTGGAGCTGGGTGTAAGCGAACTGGGAGATTAAGCGCTGGATTAGCTCAAAGGACTATTTGCAATTGGTACAAAACAAAAAAATTGTTCGATTTTAAAAATTTTGGTTGCATTGGACTCAGATAGCAATTCTCAACCAACCATAAATGTATTATAAAGATCTGGTTGAGGTTGGAAATGACCGATTTCGAATAAGATTCTTGAAACTTTTGAAAAATGGTAGGATTCTTTAGGTAGTTTTTTGGCTCAAACCTGTCACAAGGTGATCGTCAACTGAGAAATATTCGTGGAGCTTAAATTAAGAAAAAAAAGGGGACAAAGTTGGGTCCAAAATTGCTTAAATGAAATTTCAAGGGCAAACTTACAACACAATAATGGTGGACGATGACATTTTCCGATTGGTACATGCAACCATACTTTTGTTCATCAATGACAAAGCTATTACAGAGGAGACATACATTTTCGCTTCGCTCTTCTGTCAATTTTGTACAGACATTTACAGCCATTTCGTCAATTCTATTCAGTTACTCCATACTCCAACAGTTACTTTCACATCCTACAAAAAGGAAATGGAAAAATAATTAACACAAGACAGATATCTTTTTGGGTTAATTCAGTAAATGGGTATGTCTCCATGGGCAGATAAGATGGGTATTTTTGCACCAGCTTTACTTTCTCCCTTCTATTTTGTCTAACAGTGTCTTTGGAGAAAGAACCAGGGAGACAATGTAACTATGGAAGTAAATTCGTAGGGCTTACAACGTATGAAAGTTAGTGCTACACATTCAAGGGGGCCATTTATCTCAACAATAGTCCGTGACATGGAAAGAGACAGTCAGGAGAGCAGTTCGGTTCGCCACTTACCAATTGATTAAATTCTGGATTTTAAATAAAAAATGAACCAGTGTACCATAAAATTACTTACTTATAAACGATAAGAACTCGTGCCAGATAAGTTGGCAGTTGCATACTTTCTGTTTGCAGGCTGCGTTAAAGTTGTCCAATAGCCATTGAAGATTAAGAGCAGGTAGTGCTTTTGCTGTATGCAGAGACATAAAATTGTCTACTGTGCTTGAAAGTCAATAAGAGACGACTACCATCTTACCTGATGCGAGTTTTGGTCACCGTTCTTCTGCAAAGATTCTTGTGCGTGAGTATATGTACTTAGGCGTTGTGTGGAATCAAGGTGCGCAATTGAGGATGACATGAAAAAAGTAGGTAATCCGAAAGGATCATTCAAGAAAAGTCTTAGGTCTTGTCCACACGAGCAGAGTTTGGACGAATCAGTTTCACGAACTGGGGGTTTCAGGAACAAGTTATGGGTGAGTTAAAACAAGTTAGCCAGAAGTTCCTCAAACTGCGCTTGTGTGGAAAAGGCCTGGGGGAGGGAGGGAGCTGACTCCACCTGACCCCCCTAGGCGTACTTCAACCCTCACATACGTCAGCAGCTCAGGCCCTTAAATTTACACCTACCCCTGGAAGTTTATAGATTCAAATTCAACACAAAGAAAGCTTCTCCAGTCCCACACAGGTGAGGTGAGCCACCGCTTGATAGGTAAGGGAAAAGCTTTGCTTAGATGAGGAAAATGTAAACTGTGTTTGAAAATGTGATCAATTCATAAGAATAGTACCTTGTAAATTTCCAATTCACACGCCAAATGATAATTTCCGTACCTGGATAGTAGGAGAAGTGAATGACATGACTCCACAGTCATGAATGCTGCAGCTGAGTGACGATAGGAATCAGCTTCAGCACGAGAGAATATGTTTTCGGCACACTCATATGAATTATTACTATAATAAAACAAAAATATAGCGACGGATCAATACGCTGAGGTATAGTACGTGAGCGGAAGCCAGAATTCGAGACAGATTTGGATGATTTCTCAACAACTCAACAACATAACAACCCGGGACGGGATGCTCGTCGAAACATGTCGAAACTCGAAAATTCCACTTCATGAATTGCGGCATTCCACGGTGGAGGAAAGGAAGTCGTGACCAGTAATGAATGATGATTCGTTCTCGGTGACGTAAGCAAAGGTCAGATTCATTGGATATCGCTGATATCAATAACTGATTCAGATTATTCAGAATTTGTTCGGAATGAGATCCTGTGACTTCAACTCGATCAATACCAATTGATTGAGTTGAAGTCACAGGAAAAAACTTAACCCGATAAAATACGTTGACGTATACGCAGAATTTTCCCTGGTTGAAACCCGGAAGTTCAAATTTTGCCGCGTACGCTTACGTCACACTTGCTACATGATGCCTCACACCTGCATACTTTATTAAAAAGTTTGCGCGGCAAATTTAGATCTGATTACGCTGGTCAACTACCTCGGGCCCAAGGGGCACACTGGGGCAGGAGGGGAGGGGTATGGGGAGGGGTATCAGCCTCAGCGTCTCGTGGTGGGATTGAAATTACTTCATTATAAACATATTTTATTATGTAATAAAACATTTACTCTAGGGCACACAGTTAGATATTGCAGCATTATGAACTAGTTCAGTTTTAGTCAAGAACTTAGAACTAGATATACTACTGCATGCCAAGTACATAGCGACGGTGAAACTACCAAACCACGTATCTCGTTTGCGGTGTTTAAAAATCTACGCTCACATTTTATTTTTTTGAAGTAGACCAAATGAATATCATTCCTTGAAATTTTCTCGGAATTTTCTCCGCACAAAGTGGAAAAATCACAGAAATTTTCAAGACTGGATGTTGAGTAGTTTTTCATTTAAAAAATAAAGTATGACAGGAAGTCTGCGACGTCGCAAACCGAGATACGTGGTTTGGTAGTTTCACCGTCGATAGGTTCCTCGCATAGGTACATAGGTCGATTATCGCATGTATGGCGATATACATCGCAAACAAAGGTAGCAACGGATGCTTAGCAACCGTGGGCCCGTTTCTCTCCCCAATTTTACCATTTTTTGACCATAAAATCCCGAAATCACGACAGGGAGAAAATTGAAATAGCCAGTGTCACTCGCCGAACCGGGGAGGACTGGTATACATATTTTAGGGAAGATCGGACAGACGGTTTGACCTCCAATTCGTGGAAACCGTCAAAACCGACCTTTACTTCATATATAAGATAAGACATTTACTCCGGGACACACAGTTAGATATTGCAGCATTATGAACTTGTTCAGTTTTAGTCAAGAACTTAGAACTAGATATACTACTGCCAAGTACATAGGTTCCTGTGAAACTTATTGGCAGATTGTTGTTAATTTTGTTATTATTCTGGCTCTTTCCTTGCAAAAATAAAAAATACATACGAATTCGTAAAGAGATCTCCATTTTTCTTTGAGAAAGTAGGTACTAGCCTTTGAGGGGACATGGAGATGGCCTTGCAACATAAGGGTGTTGCTAAGATTTTCAATCTTGGATGTTCAGAAATTGTGAGTCAAAACTTACTAACTTCGAAGTCTTTTAACTTCAACGTACCCTCTCCTTCATCCCCGCACCTCACCCTATAATAAGCTTTCTAGAGGCCTCTCTTGAGAAAAGTCCTTCTCAATATATTCTCTTTTGACGAGTCAAAGGTCAAGATGATCATAGGATAAGGAGAACAATAAGTTTTGACTTCGCATCTTGCATGATTTTTAAATCTTCGCGAAGTTATAGAAACATCAATTTTAAACGTGTAAGGCATACAGTATACACTTTAGATACATCACTGTTGATTGACTTAGAAAATATCTCTAACTTTTCAGGATAAAATTCAAGGTTTAAAAAATAATATGCCATTTTTGCATGAATTCAAACTGATCCGACAGAAAATTTGCTTGAATTGGCAAAACTAATTTGGTAGGGAGAGCGGAAAATGAGAAGATGATTCCTTTGATTAGTACAGAGCAAGCTTGATCTGGCCAAAACTTAACTTTTTTTTTTTTTTTTAGTTTTGCACTGTTCATGCAGTTTACCTCTTTTTATCTATTGCTTTTACATAGATGGTGAGATCCACCAGTCGCACAATTTCACTTTTGAACAATACCGCGCTGTCAAAATAATGTGTTAAAAGTTTCTGTGGACCCAAGAGGCCATCTCCTACATTCTGATTCAGTATACTTTACAAGGATGATATTGACGGTGAATCTAAGAAACCTCACATCTCGTTCACGGTGTTTAAAAATCTCCACTCCTATTTTATTTCTTCACAAGAGAACAAATCAACATCATTCCCTAAAGTTTGTTTCAGAATTCGCCTCGCACAGAAAAGAAAAATCATGGAAGTTATTAACAACTGACGTTGAGTGGTTCTCCAACTACAAAATAAAGCATGACAGGAAATCTGCAACGTCGCAAACGGATGTACATGGTTTATGGGAGTTTCAATATCAAAATGTGAGCCCCTTCACTCACCCAACAAAGTATTCCGAATTGAAAAAACAAAGAATTTTTGAAGTCAATATAATAGCCAGAATTTATTTGCACATTCTGTATTACAGTAGATTAATTACATACACTTTTTTTGAGAAAAGAGAGAATAGTTAAATTCTCATTGCAGTGACAATAGCGTAACTGTATAACCCTATTTACCTACATACATGCACAAACATAGACCGGCAGTTGAAAAGAAACCAAATTTTTGTCTCTGGAAAATATGGGGTTTCCAGCGAAATTATCTTCACGGACTAACTAAATTAGAAGCTGAGTATTCCTGCTGATGAAAATACTTTGGACTTTGACTAACAGTCAGTTTCCTTGTTACAAGAGGAACTAAGAGTTTTCAATGAAGTTTGTCCATATTTTAGTGAATGCCCCATCTCAATAGTTTTTGTACATCACTGGAATCAGAAAATTAATTTAAAAGTAATCCATCTTGTGAGAATAACCATGTATATAAAAATTTTAAACTAGAAAGATCACCACAGTGAACTCCGTAAAAAATTACATTTGCTTTGCATAGGTACTACACTCTCACCTTGAAGCTCCAAAAGGAATTTAAACCATCAAATAAGTAGACTAAAGACAATTCATTTAACTAAACTATGCTTTAGGATTATGACAAATTCTTGGAAATAACTACTCAAAATAAAGTAAGCCTTTTTCACATGAGCGAGGTTCGAGGTACTTTGGGTGAACTTGTTCCAGGAACTTGGATGACTTACCTATAACTTGTTCCTCTAACACCCCAATTTGAGGAACTGATTCGCCTTAACTGCGCTTATACAGACGAGGCCTAAGAATGAAAATTTTGAGGTGTATAAATTACAACGATTGGTTGCTTTCATACGTTAATTAGTTGTTTTTTTTTATCACAGCATGATCAAACTTTATGGGGCATTCAAAATGATGTATGCCAATATTCCGCCAAAAATTGCAAAAAATTGATTTCTTTTTAAACAGCCTCACAGATGCAATTTATAATTCATAAGATGGGCTGCAAGTAAATGAAATTTGAAGAATTGAACACATGACCGATGGCAACTCGATTGCTGGCAAGGCTATAATAGCAGGTCTTAATTTAAATAAAATAAAACGACAAGTAGGATCATTATTATTTCACATTAAAACGAATCCCTCGTGGTAAGAGACAATAAGGATATTTGCAGTAAGTAAGCTACACATGAGAGATAAATTCTCAAGTACAATGTATGTCTACTGATTCAACAGTGATTATTTCTTGTTTTTGGATGGGGAGAAGAAAGTAATTTGAATACAGAGAAAAAGATTATGATTAATTTGCTTTGATTCCGACATAGAGAAAATTATTTTCTTTCTGTAAGTATCTACTTAAGTTGTTAGTGCTATAATTAAAGCAAACAAACAAAATAAGTCAATCAATTACTGGATTTGCAAAACCAAGTTTATGGAGTGAAATCCTACCTTGATAGCGTTAGTGATTTCTCATTACTTTCTTCAAGGACTTGAGCGTAAAAGTTCTGTAATAAGCACTGTCAGAAAAAAATAAATGACGTTTTAACAATTGGTCATGAAAGATCTAACATTATGAGCATAACTACATATGAAGTTTGAGTATTTGTAGTCTCAGTTTGGTTCTTTTCATCGATTTTGTCTAATTTGTGTCAGGCTCTTAAAAAAGCAATCTTGTCTTGGAAATCTTGGAATTAGAGTTATTGGTAATCTGTAAAGTAGTGGACATTGGACAAATTTTTGGCACAAGATTTGTGACAGTTGTAAAAAATTACTAGGACTTGGAATGGAGGAATAATATGTTTGAAATTTTCAATCCTCCATGAGACTCAAGGTGAAAAACGAACTTGAAATCAAATTTTTGCTTACTGGATTACTTTTTGTGGACTATAAATTTTGGCAAGGGAAAATAAGCTTCTGAATAAAGTCCATGCCTCTATTTGTTGGAAAAAGTCACATGATTTTCTTGGCCGAACAAGGCCCATATGTGTTACAGCCAAAGGACTGAAAATGCTTACCGGTTTTTTACAAAGAAAAATTGAATTGATAAGGCACTCACATATTCTAGAAAAAAACCAGAGAGCATATATCATCACAAATTTGACACAGACAAAAAAGATGCCGACTTAGCTGTCCTTTCAATTGTTGAAAATATTGTTTTTCTGATGTATTGAATGCCCATGGTGCTAACTCGAAATAGTTCAAATGTTTAAATAGTAATTTGCAAGTTTGTTGATTCAAAATATTGCACATTCGGTAAAATGAGGAAGCCACAGTGTTACTCCAACATTGGACCACTGTTAGTATTTATTGTAAGTTTTAACATTAACATGATTATTCTTCTGTTATTTGCACCTTTTCAAACAATTTCTTCTGAAGGATAAGATACTTTTTCTCAGAGCCACTCATAAATAATTATACAATAGATAATGCTACATACACAAGAAAGCTAGCTTCAAAGGGAACTCATTTTCACAAGATACATGTAGGCAGGGATTTAAATATTTCACTAAGGCGCACCTCATTACAATTTGAAGTCGTGTTAACTTTGATTATAGAGAAATAATCTGAGGGCTCTTAGTCAATGCAACCTTACAAATACTTAAGATCCTTGATTGAAGCCAAAAAGATGGCATTGTATCGGTATTATGGTTCCCCTCTTCATTCCTCCTATACAACATAACTTTATTGGAGAGAAAATTTTAAGCTTCCTAACAAGCTTTGAATGCTTGATTTTCTTCCATATACTTTGGAGCTGTACAGGAGAAAAGCCCTCAGATGGCTCATTGATTCAGTACTTCATTCTACATATCAATTCAGATTTCAAACTTTACACACTCCAATCATACTAATCCACACTGACTTACAGATTTAAAATAACTCAGAGGTCTTTGATAAAAGATAAAAGCATTCGATCAAGAAGTTCATGGCTGACCAGATATACAAGGAATAAAAATTTCGACGGTAAACTGAACCCTCTTGACACCAAATTGTCATAAAAATAACAGTAATTGAAACAAATAATTCGAAGAACCACCTACTGAAAAAATACAAAGATGAATTTGAAGTCAAGTCCCTTTAAAGTTATGACTGAGAATTTCTGAGCTATGCTTAGAAATTATTATGCCTTGCAGCCAAGATCACATGAAGAGAGTGAACTTTATCAGAGATTTGAACGTCTGATAAAAATTTGATTCCTCTTTCAAGTGATGGATTCATCGTTCAAAATTGGTTGTTTCTGTCGTACACACTGATTATGATAAGACTCAAGAGGAGCATCTAAAACTGATTTAGAGAGCTTCAGTCCATTAAACAGAGCCTTTGAAATGTTTTTGCTCTGCCTGACTAGAGTGTTTACTGCTAAAAAATTTGTTAAACTTCATTGCTCCTTTACCGAGTGACCTCCATCCATAAAGCCCTACCTTGCAGTACTATTTACTGAACTGGGGCCCCATTATTGAAAGTATATCAGCATAACAAGATTAGACAAGACTGGACATAGCCCTGTCTTAACCATGCATAATACGTAGCATTTTGATGTCTCATCGTCCTGCTTCTGACAATCAATAATTAGCTCATAGGATCTCTGGCTGAGCTATCGATTGAGGTTCAATGTTTGGCACATATGTGTGTAGGGATAAAATATGACCGTCATATTTGCAAATAGGAATGAGAAACTCTAGATGAAAGCTGTGCTAAGCTGACATTTAGTTGAGAGATCGATTCTTAATTTTTTTGACCTCTTGACCCTTACACATGAATATTTAGAGCAAACATAAGCTGTCAGTTCTCGGTCGGGAGTTTTGAAAAGAAAATTTGCGTGCAATACTTTGCTATTGAGCTTGGTCCAACTGAAAAATTGAGAGGACAAGGGCGACAGGCCGCACTAGATAAAAGCCACTATTCAAGACCTTACTAACCACCCCTGCTACCTAGACAATTTGAACTCTTCTACAAATAAATCTCTTTCAGTCTATTTAAGTCACACATTTAAGAATAACGTTTTTCTTGGTATTTTGCTCATGATGTCTTGAGCTGCATTAAAAAAATAAAAACCCAATCTGGACTGTATTTTAATGAAAGGATAATGAGCTGTTCAAATAGCAATTCAGATCGACCAAGTCTAAGATTTTTTCTGCTCCAACATAATATTTAAAGAACACAGTGTGACAGTATCTCATAAACTGAACTGTCTTCTTACACTACCTCATGACATTTAGACACCTTTCAGCTGACATATAGAGGGAAACAGGCTCGAGGAGTATTCTCACATTGACATTTTGCACTATGTGCTTTCAGGCTCCTTGCAGCAATGTCATCATTGGATTTTTCTATTCATTTAACTTAAGCAAATAATTTATTCAGTCATAGCAAAATCTTGAGAAAGTTTCTTTGTGATAATTCCAAAACTTATACAGAAAAAAATGAAGCTCTACTTTTGAAGGGCTGGTTTCAATCTGCTTTCCTCATCAAGTCCCTTTACAAAGCACTTGAAAAAAATGTATTTTGGTTGAACATCTCACTTAGAGAGAGAAAAAATAATAAGATTTTTGAGTCAAACATGAGAAAAGAAAATATGTATAAACATTTTTATCACGATTTAGTAACACTTAACACTTAAGAGCTAGTCGACTAGTCAATTTACACAACATTGCCCGAGCGCATATTTACAAACAAGGTCACACTTATGTACAAAGGCATGAAAACAAGTAATAAAATCTCTACTGAGCTAATTATTCAAGAGAACTGAGCTCTTTAATGCAAAAGAGATCTTCTGACACAATAATTCCAAAGTAGATTGAGTTTATTCTTTTTTTGCAAAAAAGAGTTCACTTGATCACCATTCGATACATTAGGAATTTAAGATTGTCTCTTTACTTCTCGATGCTTTCTAATGAGAGTATGTGAGACTAATTACAATTACTAAGAGGATGATGAATTAAAAGCTCTCTTTCAAGTCGAGTAAAGCAGAACTTTTTTGTGTAAAAGGGTACACTGATAAGATTGATACATATTGAATACTGCTGAATTGAAAAAATATAGATAAAAATGAAAGTCATGACAGCAAGCAAATCAAATTTCATTGATTGAAAATGCACATCCTAACCTAACAGGTTACCATTGGTTGGTTAAAACTCGCTAGCATATTATTTTATCTTTTACCTTTAAATGGACCAATACATTTCAAGCTATTACATGGCATAAAGCCTCATACTTGGCAACAGATCGCTGAAGATAGGAGGTTGGAGCTTCTGAGGATGAGCTACTGGGTAAATTAAAATGTGTTTTCTTAAGATATAGCAAACACATGAATAGTTGAGTAATTAGATTAAAAGGGAAGGCTTAGAGGAGGCTGTCCCTGATTTTGATGCAGCTTGTGGGGAAAAATGGCTCAAGTACAGCTCATTGACTGTTGATTAGAAGTTTTTGCAACCCAGCCCTAAAACCCTTCAAAAAATAGTCTAAAAATATTTTCATATTTATAGATTAAAAAAAAACTATTTTTCTCTTGACTTCCTTTCCTCAGATTCAATATGCTCATTGCATAAAGTGAACTTCATACCACGATTTCAACAGATAATAATAAAAGGCATAAGAACACCCACTTTTTTCACCATGAGAATAGAGTGCCACTTTTCTGCTGAAAGTAGTCAAAAATACAAATTTATCAACTTCATGAACGACAAATTTTATCCAGGAAGTCGCACTTCATCTTTCGGAAGAGAAACCCATGCGCCAGGACTTGCTATCTATGTTTGTTAAATTGATGGTCCCTCATATCGTATGAAAAAAAAAGAGCTCTATTCTGAGGGAAGAGCCGGGTCTACAGGAAAAACTACATGAACCCACAGCCTCCTGGATGCAAAGCAAGTACTGCCTATGTCACCACACTAGTTGACGTGAACTAGTGGCTGACTTCATTGTTCCTTGGGGGATAATGATCAATAGAACATTTTTGGATACATTTTCAAGGCTTATAGCCGCTGTATCACCGTAATTGTTAGGAACCTATCAGACAGCTACACTTGAACTATGATTTGATGCTAACTGCAGTAAAATCAGAGATAGCCGTTTCTGAGTATTTCTTTATTGAGAAGGAAATCGACTAATACTGTAATCGAACTTGAAACTATTCTGCAGTAAAATCAGAGATACCCGTTTCTGAGTATTCCTTTATTGAGAAGCAAATCGACTAATACTGTAATCAAACTTGAAACTATTTTGAATTTAGAATCTGCTTATCTTAAAATCAGATGCTGGCTGAGAGAATCTGCTGAAATGAATTAAAAATTAAGAGTAAGTTATATTTATGATGCTAAATAGGGGCTGAAAATGATAAAATAAAGGTTTTAGCATGAGACACTGGGAAAAATTGAATGATCACTCTTTCCAACTGTCTTTACATTTTAAAAATTCTGTTAAATGATTCACAAGAGGAAAACAATTATTCGGTTCAACGTCGTTTTTTATACACTTTTAGTACCTACTAATTTTTTTATAATTTCATCATTTATACTGTTCGGATAGTTTTCTCTAAAAGTAGAGAGTAAAAAAGGAAAAATGTGTGAATCAAATGAGTCCCATACAAATTAATGCAATACAAATTTGTTGAAAAAACATGAAGATGAGTAAGTTAGCATCAACCAGAATCAACCTGAGGGCAATGAACGTCCCTAAATTCCCTCTTACGTTTTATTTTCATGAAGAAAACTCACCAACATTCTGCCTTGAAATTTTTTGAATTCACTCTTTAAATCTGAGGAAAATTCAAGAAGTTTTAAGGCATTATGTTGCTTTATATTTTGTGAAAAATCAAAGCAATACAAGAAGAAATTAGTTAACATAAAAAGCAGTTAGGTTGATTTTGGTTGAATTTGTCCAATTTCAAGTGCATTTTCCCCCAAGATCAAACACCACTTATTATTCAAAGGACCAGAGCATGTGAATGAACAAAAATACAGAGATATCTGAAAAATGAGACATTTTACAACCAATCTCTCTTTATTACCTCGCAAAAGCAAAGATCAGGACTAATGCATCGCTTTGCGGCGATTATTTTCAAGGTAATTTCCGGCATTGAAGTCAGTTATAAACTTAAAAAGATCTGAGGATATTCTCACTCAAAAATTCTGTCTTTGAACCTTTCTGGTACCTTTAGTCACTTTTTCTTCCCTAAAAATCGACAACATTTTCTGCGATAAATTATTGATTTGGACCCTCCATTCCTTCTCTGCTAGAAAATTTGTTTGCCCCTTTTCCAATGCGCATCAAACTTAAAGGGTGCAATTCACCCAGCTTCAAAAACTTAGATTTCCACAATATAAAAAAAGAATTTTCTAAAAGTTGCTACACGTGAATCTGCAAATTTCTAAAGGCAGATTCACATGCAAAAAATTGTTTTGAACACAAAACAAGAAAAATAGTTACGGCTCACATGAGTTGACGTCAGAGCCGGTTTTGATGCTATATAAAGAACCGTTGCGGGGGAGAGTACTGACGATGCCTTAACAAAGGGACTGTTCCATCACCTAAATCTAATTCTAGTTCACCAGCTCCTGCCGGTGAATTATCTTGGAGAGTTAATTGACTTAAGGAGGCGGAGGCAGTGGCCATTGCAACGTCCGGCATATTATCTGATAAATGAGCATCACGCAAATAATGCGATTCAGGCTGAAACAAATGAAGAAAAACCACTCATTACTTTGACTGAAAATATTCAATAAGGATGTAGAAAATTCTAAGCCTCTCTTTTTCATTCCTCCTTTGATAATTTTGGTGATCTAAGATCTTCCCAAAAACTATTAGACAAATGGTTTTCTTCAAAACTGATAGTATGACTTTAATGTAATAAAACCTAATTAGATAGATCAAACTGGAATCAGTTTAGCTACATCAGAAATAGCCTAATTTCTCTGATATTTCATTTTATAAACAGAAAACTTAACAACCCTAATACTAGAAATTTTAGGTAAGTATTCTTCGCGACCAATAATAAATTCACAGACAGTTTGAGAGTGCTTCATACTTCAGTTTTCCGCTAGAAAAATGAAACATGAGAGAAAATTAGGCGATGTGAAATGCAGTTGCGCTGATTATGACTAAATCCGTCCAATTAATAATTTACTTTTAATAAAACAATGCATTTAATAGTTTCTCCTTGTCTGAATATTTTTTCCTTTTTCTTCTTCTCTCATTTCGACTGTTTTCTAATCTCATGTATTTTGACAAGAACATGAACTGATTGATATCCAGCTGTATGAAAACGATGCAGTCCAAAAAGTTGGACAAGATGAACAAGACAGGGGTGACAAATTGTGACTCCTCTGCCATCCCTGGCAAGAGTGCTTATACTCCATCTTGGATTTTTAGATTTATCTTCGGTACAGATTTTTTTATTTATTTATTTATTTATTTATTTTTTTACAAAAATCAACCAAAATTCATTAATTTTATTTCCAAAATTATTGAGTAATCATTCTTATATTCAAATACAGCAACGACGATAATGAAGAGACCTTTGCAATCTTGATATATACTGTTAGTTCTGCCCTAATGTTTCTGCAAAGCATACTTACAGTTAAAGCATTTCTTCGTCGTCGTAAATAACCCTCGTTCATACTTCCAGGAGAAGTGTAAGCTGCGGCGTGAGGGTGATGAAGATGAAGTTGTCGCGGGAACGTCATGACTTTAGGTGGTAAGAGGTAAGCTCGGGGTGGGGTACGATACCGCCTCACATTCGTTACTTGCGAAACTGGTAATGTCTCCTCACCAACAGTCTCATCTTCTCTACCTACAATATCGTCTTCTGCACTAAAGTAACATTCAGCATTCTGAAAGGGAAAATTACAGTTTGAATTGCAAATAAATAGTGCTTCAATCATGTGTGGTAGAAAAGGACTTGAGAAAGTTGAACATCACAGGCTTACGGTGAGGCATAGTCGAGGAGGCAAAGGCTCACGGAGGGCTGTGGCGTTGAATAGTAAGTAAGACAGAACATAATGCTTCACTTAATTTCTACTTATTCAAAAATGTGAGGACTGCACTTAGGGCTGTGCAAATATTTGAAAATAGAGTTCAAATTATTTTTCCATTTCTTAATTCAAACTCGAACCTAGAAACCTTAAATAATCGAACTAACCGACCTAATTGACAAAATTTCGAAAATCTCGGGAAAAAGACCAAATATTCTGTTAAAAATTCACCCCAAGGCAATCTTACGTTTATACGCTACTACAGAGCCGTCAAATAGCAGATGAGCTAATCGTAAGGGTAGGAGACAGACAGAGATTCGAATCGAAGGAGATAAGAAAATTCCTTCGTTTCGTTGATGCAACACAGAAATAGAATTATGGTACTGCTCCATGCCACCCTGTTCTTCACAATGGTGCTAGACTGTCAGTGCAATAGTAGCATTGATGTGAACTAAAACTGAATAAAATGGATTTGCGGACGGTAAGCAGTAATTTTCTTATTCCTTAACATTTCAATTAATTGCTTCTCATTAAATAAAGGAAAAAAGAAATTAATTCCATGGAATTGTATTTGACTGTTACACAAGCGAGATTTTTCCGTGATTAGACAGCAATGCTGGCCTTGCGGCTGTTTCTCAGTAAAGACTGAGTCAGGTTGATTTTCAAGATTCAATTTTCCTTTGCAGTTGTGAGTGAATTATATTAAAAAATTTACAACCTTCACTTATGTTAAATGCAGAAAATAAGAATGTGACTTTAAATCTGTGCCAAAAATGTTGGGGAAAAAAAAATTATTCATCCGATATTTACTTTGATCGACAAAGAAGCTGGTTTAGGTCTAAAATAGGTAAAAATATTAAATTCGATTCAACATAAAAAACCATATTAGCACAGCCTTAATCAGGAGAGTCTGGAATCCACTCCTCATCTTATGATTTTCACATTCCACATTTTTAAATTCACTGCAAGCGTAGTGGTTGATTTTTTTTATGAGTAATTTTGGCAACCAGGTTTGCTGAGCAAGATTTGCAGGAGAGTCTTACTTAAATGCACAAACAAACTCGCAAGTAATTATCTATCTTTTTCATGTATGATTTTAATCATTATGAAGCATTTGTACTTGTCATTTTGGTAAGAAACTTGAAGAATTATTACCATCAGAATAATTTAAAAAATCATTTATTGCTTGCATAGTACCTAATCAGTTTTGAAAATTACTGTCTTGCAAAACAAGAGGTAAAGCTTATGCCATTATGTGAAAAATATAATATGAAATCAATAATTAAAGATGGCACATACAACATCTCTGTCTGCAAAACATGTCTGTTTAACCTTGACTGTCCTGTGTAGAGACTTGCGATGGAAGAGAGAAATTCATACTGATAAGGAAAATGGAAAACCTTTTTTCCTGCGGTGATGGGCAAATTTAATATGTTCTACTTCATTAGACAAGTACTTAAAATATACGTATATGTTTGTATAAAATAAGATTCTTCTAAAAATGTGTCGGAGGATAATAAAGTTTCATCACAAATACTTGCTATCCTTCAATTAGATTATAAACTGACAAGAGCCTGGTGTAAAATATTCAAAACTTGAAACAAAAATGTGAAAATATTAAGGAATGAAAATTGGTAAAGTTACCTCAAGCAAATCAGCAACAATATCCGGGAGATTAAATTCACGCACAACACGAAGACGGATTTGCAAGTTAATTTCATGCCTGGAGGATAAAGGCAGTGTTATTGCACGCTGGCAGCTAGGGGAAGATCGCAACTTATGTTCACGTTTCACCATTGCATGCATCGTTGCTTCATCAGGTACTGAAAATACAATCACTGAGGTAAAGGAGAGCAATGAACAAGAGCTGCAAGTTTTGTGAAATATAGGTTTCTGCCTTATATCAGAATCCCTAAAGCTTACATAGCAATACAGGCACCCGGATGAAATTCAAATCTGTTCTCCTTGAAAGAGTATTGCAATTTCAGAGGGGCAAAAAAATAAAAACAAGTTCAACATCTGAGTCATTTCACACAAAATCATCCAAGGACTGGACTGTTGCTCAACTGACCCTCATTTTTATTTTAATTCTTTTGTTTATTTTTCTATATAATAGGAGCATAAAGACAGTTTGTTATAAAAATAATGAAACAAATTTGCGTTGGTCCAGCAACAGTCCCTGGATGATTTCAAGTGGAATGAATGACCCTCCTGATAATTTTGACATTAAAAGGATTTGAAAAAATTAAAGACGATGGAAAAAAAAACGAGGATTTTGATTTAAGAAGCCCTCAGAGTATTGAAGCAGGAAAAGCTGATTGGGCAAAAATATCATGAGTAATAAAACGAAAACATGCTGAGGCCCTTGTTTCTATCATCAGTATGATTCATTAATACTAAGTTCGATTTTTAAAGTTTTTCACTGCCCTGTTTCATTTGACCACCTACCTTTGCAAATCCCTGACTAATGATCCAAATTGAAAGGACTTTGTGGAAATAATTGAAGGGGGTGTCATATAAAATTAAAAGTGGAAAGTGGATAGGAGAAAGAATGGTGTTGGACCTGGACTGCTAATCTTCCACATTAAGAGAGAACAGAGGCTAGGAAAAAGGGTTGACTCTGATCCTGAGATCAGCACTGCTTTCCTCGGCTTCGTGATATTATCGCAGAATACAACATCTAAAGTTGCAGCCCTTGAAAGGATAGATGTTGTAAGTGATGGCAAAGAGTTGGGAAAAACCCATCTATTCCATGGGTAGAGATTGAGAAATTTCGCCGCTGCGATTTGCCGCGAAATTTTCAAAATGTGCTAAGGAATCTAAAAACCAGACAGAAGCTCCGATTATAACCCCCGATCCCAAAAATTTAAAGCGAAATCACGCGAAATCGGCCATTTTCCGGATTTGACGCAAAATCGCTCGGATTCTGCAAAATTAACCGCAACATCGGCAAAATCCATATATTTTAATGAAATTTATATTAGACGTTTGCCGCGCTTTTTTTCAAAATAAAAAAATTACTGAGTTGTTTTTGAGCATCGGCCATCACTGGCTACAGCGTCAGTGCCTCTGTAAATAGGACTAGAGAGAGAGACTGAGCAATGGCTTGATGGCTTTAATCAAATTAATAGCTTTTTTTAAAGCTGCCAAACGCAAAACACGCTACAAAGATATCATCGAAATCAGCAAAAATAACATCGAAATTGGTGCAAAATGACAGCAAAATTTTCCAATCTCTATCCATGACACATTTAGAATTTAAATTGCTGTGGCAAAAAAAAAAAAAAAAAATGTCATCCTGTAACTGGATATTACTTACCAGGAATGGAGGCAATAGAGGGATTGTGAAAATCTGAGCGAGGCTTATCTTCAACCATGTATAGTGTGTCTGGTATATCAGCTATGTGCCTTGATCGCTGACGCATAATGATAGGTTCCATCTCTTGAATTACATGATCTTCGACCAGAGCCTGCAAATTATTGGAGAGTAAATTATATTTTTGAAACCGAAAAGCAAAACACCTATTGAACAAAAATCACCAGGGTCACATCAAAATGAACGGGTCAAGATAGGGTTCAACATACCAAGAATTGGGAAGAAAGTTACAAGCTAAAGCTGCCGTACCAGCTCACTCTGTCCCCCCTTGAGAAAAATTGACCGAAGCAATTTCCTTTAAACTTGGTAGATGCTTAGCAATTGTCGTGAGAAATTGATCAAAATTATTCCGATCCCAATACGCTGCCAAGGACGCCCGCAAGAGCGAAAAGTTGTTTCTCCATAAAGTGATGCATTGGAGATACGAGGTTGTTGACGCGCACCGCGCCAAACAGGATGAATCCTATTATCGCGTAATGTCACAGCATTATGGAGGGGATTTCAGGTTTTAGGGGTATTTTTCGACGGATTTAGGAGAAAATTGGTGGCAGAGGGTACTTTTCGACGGGAATTTTTAGTCAGATTTTGAAACTTTCAAAATCCAAGATGGCGGCCGTTGCCTGAAATGCTATCTCGGCTCCTGTTCGATGGATTTTGGTGAAATTTGATATAGATGGGTATTTTTTGACGGGAAACTCGAATTTTTTGTCGGATTTTCAAAATTTCAAAATCCAATACGGCGGCTATGGCTACGGCTAAAATGCTAAGTCAGCTCCTGTTCGATCGATTTTCGAGGGACTCAGTATCCAAAGGTATTTTTTGACAAGAAACTCGAATTTTTGGTCAGATTTTCATCATTTCAAAATCCAAGTTGGCGGTCGCGCTCTACAATGCGGTCTCGGGTTATGGACCATCGATTACTGTGAAACTTGGTGAAAAAGAAGATGAAGACGAAGATATTGTCTTCTCATTATCGTTAATAAAAACTGTGGGGCAGGGGCGGCTCGCGAAGCGAGTCGCAAGTTCATCGCAAAGCGAAGAACCAGGGGTTCAGGGGCACTCCCCGGCTATATGTGTCAGCTCGCAAAGCGAGCTAATCACGACTAGTTTAAAATAAAGACAATATCTAAGAGAGCCTAACGATGTGCTACTACAAGGATCTCTTAGAATCATTTAATTCTCTTTAAGGCAACTGAATGTATCTTGCTGCTTATCTCTCGTACAATTCATTAAATGTGAATATACTGGCTAGTTTTTCAAGCTTGAACTTTACAATTAATATTTTTCTTTATAATTATCTGGGAATGGCATCGTTTAAATCAGTTTGGAAGATGTCATTTCAGCCAATGATTACAGCAAGCCGCCTTAGGAATCCTAGAGCACAACGCTAATATTTCCCTTCAAGCATCTTTGCCACATTCCTGACTTATGACCCACCTCCTGAAGGCATCGCAGCAATGATGCTAGCAGTTGTAGGTGCATTCATTTCTGCATATGACTTGCACACAGCTGAGAACCGTTTTTAATGAATAATACAAAGGGAGAGGAAAAAAGAAATCTTTGTACTTACAGCTACTTTGACAGGACTGAGGGAAATCATTAAATTTTAGCATAAGTCAAATCGAAGTTTCAGGTTGCTTTTCTGATTTGAAACTAAGCCTGATAGAATTCCAAAAAAAGACACAAGCAGGTCAGGAAGACCTAGTTTGGCAATAAAAAATTGCACAAAAATGCAGAAGATCTATCTTATACCTTACCTTTAACTCTTCATAATACGGCATAAAAAGGCGAGGTCGGACAAATAGCCCATTAGCATTAGTTGTTGTTCGCACCCAAGCATTGACTCTGGGCAAACTTTCACTTTCATCATTTCCGATCATGTGGCTAGGGGGTGTACTAACAAGACCACGTCTGATGGCTTGATTGAGTATTTCACTATTAGTAGGTATCACATGATCCATTCTAACATGCGGTAAAAGCTCTGAGAGAATTTCCCGCAACTCGACATCATTGAGATCCCGCTTCTTTATTCCTTTCCGACTTACAGAATGAGCTGTTTGACTAACTAAATTTGGTTCTGAAAAACAAAATTGAAATAGGAGTCAAAAGTCTATTTAATTATGGTAAAAATATTTAATTTATTAGATAGCAATCAGACCTAATCCTTTCTTCAGATTAAAGAACTATGACTTGGCAAAAGATAGGACGCCACTAAGCAAGAATGAAAGAATAAAATTGAGGGAAATAACCAGGAAGTTTCTCTATGAAATGTATAAAGGGGAACATAGACCTGAACTAGACTTAGGTATTATAGTTTACATAAATATTAGATATAAACTGAGTAGCTAGCAGTAATGTATTGACAAGTTACATTTTTATCTTCAATTCTTAATGCCAAAGAAAAAATAAGAGCCCTTGTTGAATAGAAAAGGATCTTGGGATCCTCAATTTCCTGCCCTAACTTTGCTCAGTCAACAGTTTGAGGAATAAACACATTTTTGTGTTTTAATGCTATTGAATATTGAATATATTGTTACAGATCAAGCTGATAATTTTTAACCCATTGACTTAAACCGACGGCTCCCAGCCGTCCGCGCTGCTCTGGGCCAGATCTGAAGAGACGGCTCAAAGTCGTTCGTCGATTGTTTGCGTTATTTTGGCAATTCTCCGGTGGATTGCATTCTCATCAATGTTTATATGAGTAGTGTGGCCACCCTATGACTTATTGTGTACGGTAATTTCTTGTTTTGTTACGATATTTTCATATTACTGTGCGTTTGCACATGAAATAACCTCAAAATTTTCTGATTTTGCGACTTTGACAGCTATGAACCACAATAAAAAAATCATTGTGTTCAAAGTTTTCACCATTTTTCTCAAACCTTGTATTGTGAATGCTTATTGTGTCAATTTTCACTCTTAGAGAAAGAATTTCTGGATTATTTTGAAGAGTTCAAAGTTACTGATTTTCGCCAAATTAAAACGTAATTCCTGGTCCGGCAGGGTCAAATTAAATCATAAGTCAATGGTTTAAGAGAGAATTTCATGGAGCACAATAGAACAATATTGATGGATCCAAATAAAAGCTCTTAGGTCTGGTTATTTCCTTACTTGCAATAATCTTAATGTTCAAAAAGATGGTCAAAAATAATGAGCAGGAGAAGAAAATGGTTACACAGATCAAGATTTTCTGCATTTTTCTTGTGGAGTACATTGGAGTTGCCATGTACTGGAGTGCAGATGAAGTCAATTTTTGAGGCTTTTATGTCCAGTGCTCCTGAGGCTAGTGTGCGGCAACTGGCAATACTGTAGGCACGGGTGCCAAGCTCTTGGCCTCCTTCAGCGTTTTTAGCTATACAATTTATGAAAAAAAAAGCGAGAGTTCCATACATTTTTTAATTTGTCATGCCTCTTGTCAACATAATTTGCCAGAATTTGCCAGAATAATAATCAATTTAAATTAATAAATCTTGGAAAAAACTGCAGTGTGTGATACTTCCATAAGCTGCCACGTTAGAAAATGCTGCATGGTTCACACTTGATTCACATTTTTGGCGAACAAGAGGCTGGAAACGAACCGATCAAAGATTGCCTTCAGTAACGTTCCAGTGCATAGCGACTCTGATGTACTCGACGCTTTTTCCAGGAAAGCTGGATAAATTATACATTGATAGAAATGCTAATTCCTCCAAAATCAATTTATGAACATATCTTGCTGAAACAATGAATTGGATAGAAGGGGAATAAATGGTTTCTGATATATTGTGTTATCTCATGTCAATGGGACTGCTGACATAATATTTTTATATTCATTGTTGAAAACATGTGAACAATGAGAAAGCCTGCAGTTTTCCGTTTTTATTTAATCAAGTTTTGGCTGAAAAAAATACTGCACCTATGTATCCCTGGTTGTATGTAAGTAGTGGTAAAGTACAAAGCGAATTAGTAAGTAGTCTACTCTTAGTGCTTCTTGATATATTCTCATTTGAGGCCCTCATGCTTTTCATTCCCCCTTCTGGAACATGGAAAACAAAATACCTCTATCCTCCATCCGCCGTACCAGCTGTTGCTCACCCCATTTGAGTACAGCTTCTAGAACTTCAAGCTCACTTGCTTGAAGAAAATCAGACTGCAAAACATCAATAAGATGAGATTTTTCTAATTGATGCAAGACAGGACTATTTGAGATTTGAGAGAATTCTTCCCGTAAAAAGTGCTTAGCTTGCCTATAAACCCATGCTGAGCCATGAGGTTGAGAACTCCACCTGGAACAAGTAGAATGTATTATTCATGAGGTGTTACTTGGTTCTGTTTTAGACCAGCCGCGTATAAACATTTACTCATTTATTAAGTTACTTAATTAGCAACCACTAATATGTGTGAATGTGGTTTTATAGGAGACTTAGACCATATCCTTCTCCAATAGAAAAATCTGAAATATAGAGACATCCTTTTTTCTGAACTTATTAATAAATTTGAAATCTTCCCACCCTATAAAAAAGCGATAATAAATTGCTATTTGTGCTAGTTATTTTCTTCACTTATGCTCTTCCTATGGATACACCAAAAATTAAAAAAAAAAAAAGTCAGGAGCCCACGGACAGCCTGCGCAGGTGTTCTCAAAGGTTTGGGGAGAGAGAAATAATATAAAAAAACATTTAACTTTGATCAAACGCGAGGCTTGTCATAATGGATACTTTTAATTGTTTTTGAGGTTTGGTGTTGTTACTTTTTTGTATGAAGCAAAGCCATAATACACAACATATGTACAATATATGGTTTCTAATCTCATAATTTAAGGTTTAAGCAACTGAGGGACTTTCCTCTCCCATGATCTTCGAGAACTTTCAACAAGGAATCAGGACACCCTGACTATTTTGTTCTTTCTGAGGAATTTAGGGACATCTTCAGTTGTTTCCCAAAACCAATAGAAAAAATTAAGTGCCTTCTATGAAGAAAAAATTTAGTGGTTTTGGTGGATTTTCAAAAAGGAAATATACTATTGCGTCCTCCCCTAATTTCAGACCTGGACAAAAGACCATGTAATGAGCATCGATCATGGGTCGTAGATTACGAATATGCATGCCGTTTGAATTCATGTTTATATACATATTCATATTATATAATTTATGTACAATATCTGTTTATTTATGTATGTATTTTTTAAGTATTTTTCCCTCAGCTATCATCTGATAGTTTAATCAATCAGAAGAACTCAAAAATTCTAGACCATTCATATATTTGGTGTAAAATTCAGGACTTCCTGGATCGGAGGATATCCTGTGAATGAGATTTAAGAGTCAATTACGAAAAAAGCTGTTTGGTAACCAGAAACAATACCAATAAAAAGATTCAAAATATTTAGGTTCAATTTCTGCGGACTTTTCTTACCACAACTTTTTAAGCGATTCTATTTCTCACCATGACATCTTAAAGAAGAGACACTATTCATGGGGGATTTAAGCAAGTAATTCAGTGGGTGGGAGAACTGCCTATGGAGATGATCCATTGGCACGGCACCGACAGAGTAAATACACTTTGTGGATTAGCAGAAGCTTCTGATGCAGATTTTCTCATTTTTATGAAGGTATAAATAGTTGGGCTGCAGCAAACTAATAAAGTATGACTTACCTTAATACTCCTGGTAAAGAATGAATAGTAAGCCATTCAAGAATCAGATCTTCACAGCCTTGTGCCACAATGTCCAAATCAAGAAATCTACCTATCTGATACAACTCCATGGCCTCTTCTAATGGACTTGGCCTAGTACGGCCCGTATGCGTCAAAGCTTCAACCTGTAAAAATAATCATTCAACTTAGGAACAATTTGTATAACTTGAGATCTGTTTATTTTTATGCTTCTGGCATTGGATTTCACACTGAAGACAAAATAAATTTACACAGAACAGGGCCAGTAAGTACAGAGAATCATAGACACAGGTTACTTCACACAGATCCGCCTTGGTAATATCATGCCTGCAAATTACACGAAGTATTCTTACCACAGAGGGATAAAACTCATTTAAAGCACGATTTTCCCACTTTGAGTTTCATGGCATGTTAGTTACTGGCCGCCATGTCTGTTTGTCCTACATCAGTTGTGTTTCAATTTGAAGGATTTCCTAGATTGCAGTCGTGGATTTTTGACGCATTTCGCCTCTAGTTTCAACTGAAGTTTTGTTTCATTCTCTATGACTTGAATTAATTTTGGGTCTGGGATTCTGGGGGATATGAATTCATGATGTGGCTTTTGTAGAAATATGGAATACCAAATTTACTCAAAATTTTAATGATAATTTCTTTTTAAAAAAAGATAATTCTGAGTAAAAATTTGCAACATCATGCCACGGAGAGATAATTCGATTTTAAACAAACCAAAAAATATATTCTCATGACTAAGTAACACTATGCCATAGAGGGTTAAATTTTGTGCTTAGGTGTGACAATTAAATAGACAGTAATGAAAGCATTTTCCTAAAAAAAGGACACAAAGACGAGCTGTACTTCCCGAGCAGATAAAAAGATGCCACGATAATTTAAAGCGATGGAAGAGCACTTTTGGTCATTCAAGAATTAGAAAGTCAAAATGAGTAAGACTAGAAAACACTTGAAAATATTTACCTCGTGTAAACTTCTTGCACTGGTATCACAGTTAGAACCACAACGAATCAAAGAAAGATCTACGGTGTCCAAGTAAATTGCATGTAGTAACACACGGGCATAACGCTTTGGAATCACGCTCTTATCCAGAACAATTCTGTTAGGACAAAATATTTGGCACTTTAAAATTATGAAGCTATCTAGTTTTGAAGAAGAAACCATTGTGATTTCATCAAGACTTTTTATACTTTAGACGTCAAGCCTGGATCTCTTTTCACAAGCTTTAAGAGAGAGAAAGGATGCAAACTTCTCCAATTGGACAAGTAAATGAATGCACAGGCTGTGAAAATAGTAAAAATAGATTCCTTAAACCTTTCAATGCTGAAGTGTTGCAAATTGAGTAAGAGCATTGTGCATACAAATCATTGATTAAGTTACACATCTTACTAAATAATTTTTCGATGTAGCTTATTGCTCTGGAGTCAAGGAATAATTTAAGAGCAACATTCCTGAGTGCTGCAAGGGACCCTCACTCAAAGTGTTTAAATGCAAATTTTCTTCTACCTAATTCATCTTTAAGTACAAGCAGTGTAAGTATCAGGTTTTTCTTCAATCGAAATTTTGATGAAAGTTTTAATCATACTAATAATTTTATAAAGTCAACACAGAGGCCTCCAGTTTGTACAAGAAACAGGTGCACAAACCTGAACGAAGTTTCTTAAAACCTGATGCAATTCTTGTAAATATGAAGCTGCCTATTCTACTTTCTTGGTCTTGTTTGTCGCACAATGCAAAGTTTCAAAAGCGTTATTTTTCATAGCCTTACTCTTTAAGTCAAATTTTATCAAAACTGCAAAACTATGCCAAAATTTTGTTGACAAGTTAGGTGGAGCCAAAAGTTGAGGCAGGCATGTTGACTTTGTTACCGATTTGATCGCTGATTAATAGTTTGCACCATTGAGGAAATATGGATGGCTTGAGCTTGCTGTAAAAAATCTCAACTTTCATACAGCTTAAGTCTTCAAATTTAATTTTGCCGACTTAAAGTCTAATCTACAGGTTAGGTTTTGCGACTTGTAGTCAACCATAGCCAAAGACATAAAGACGGAGCGCTCGTATCTAAAAGCACGGGGAAAAAGTGAAGCTAGGTTTGGCGCTGCGCGCTTGTGTGAGTGTGTAAATGAGCGCGGGAATCCATGGCGGCAAACGGAAATTTGATTTGAACTTGTCCTCTTGATTTTTGCAAATTTCTTCTTTGAAACGTATTTTAAATTCCTAAAACGAATATACTAAGAAAGTTCGGTCTGCGTCCTAATATAATACACCTACTTTTGCTCGGTAACAGGCAGTAATCTCAGATAAAGTTACTTTTTCTTCTGCTCATGGTGGTTCTGCAGGTTCAAACAGGCCGTTACAGTTCTAGATCAACGTTACTCCCAAATGAAATTAATCGGTCGACGACGGACTGAAACTAACCTAAAGTTAAAAAAATACGAGTGTGTACCTGAATTTGGGCAAAAATCAACCTAAAATACTTTGTTTCCGCAATTTTATTTATTAGTTCCCGCATTACATTTGAATTCAAACTTGTCCCGATTTCGCCGCCAATCCTCTAGCCAATAGTAGAGGTGATTGAAAAGAAGCTCTAGAAGCTTCATTTTTTGCTTTTAGTGCTCCGTCTTTATGTCTTTGACCATAGCCAACAAAATTTGGGCCCTATTATTTTCTTTAATTTCAGTTGATTTGTGAGGTTATCAATTTCCACATTCGACATCCGTAAATTTTTTACAATTAAATCATGCTGGAACAGAGAAAAAAAAGGTCTATCTATTTGTGGCTGAGCAAATTTTTGGTTCCCAAACATTCTTAACCATGCTCTCCTGATTAATTTGCAAAAATTTGTTCTCTTCCGATTAACACAATTTTTGGAAGATCCGCACTCTCTCAAAAATTGATCAAACTTGCATCAAAGGTTTGTCATCTCTTAAAAATGTTCCAAACCTATCTGATGAGTGAATCTTTTCCACTAAAATAATAAAAGGAGCGATCGACTGGCATTGAGATGGGAAACTAAATTTCATATTTGTAATATGAATCCCTTGTAAGTTGGAGAGAATTTTTGTGATGATGGATTTACTTTGTGAGTCCTTAAGTTTATAAATTTTGGATTTAAAATTTAAAATATTTCATTGTAAAGAAAAGATTAGATACATTTGATCTTACCGAGTGGGTATGTGTAGCGCTCTTTCAGTTCGTTCTTCGCCAGATCTTGTCCTTCGTTGAATTAAGTTCCTAAAAAATGGTGACCGAGCACTTAGAATAGCTTTGTGACACGGAAATTCTAGTTTAGGTCGGAACCCATATTCAGAGCTTCCAGAGTCAGGCCTATGAAAATCTGAATTATCAGATGTAAAAACTAGAGCTGCATCAGCGTAGTCACCAGTTTCCAAAAGATACCTCAGATCATTTTCTAGGGAATTAGGAGTTCCAAGTTCATCCCTTAGTCTTTGTAGGAATACTAAATCTCGGTCTCCATCTGTGGGTATAAGGTCCCCAGTATACAGGTACCTTAAGAGAGCGGAGAACATTTCAACATCTATTCCGGGTGTGCGTAGATCTAAACGTATGCGTGCTTCATATCCAGGACATTCCACAAGAAGATCTCGAAAATAGGGGCATCTAGCAGACAAAATGGCTCGATGAACAGGGAAACAAACTCCCTGGTAAATCAAATCAATATCTGTACAATATTTATAATCATAAAGCATGGATAAGTCCTGTTTAAATGTTGCAGCAGGGGGTCGAGCCAGTTCTGCTTGCATTGAGAGATCTTTAAGAGCTGCCAAAGCCTCATACTCTTCAATTAGAGCAATAACTTCGAGCCGGGTCCAATCTGAAATTAAATCGCGGATGACTCGGCTGTGATCACAAGCTTTTGAGGATCTTCGGCGACGAATGAACTTTTTTCGTAACGTTGCAAATCCTGCCATTTTTAGCTTTTTCCTCTCCCTGGAAAAAATAAAATATTTAATTTAATATTAATTAATATAAATTAATTTAATATTTAATCAGTCAATCTTGTGATGATAAGAGCATTGAAGAAGCAGTCGCGCATTATCTTCTAGGCTTCCCTATTTTTTTGCACCATTTGATGGCTTTCCTTATTTTTCTTACCGGCTTTCAACAAAACTTTCTCCAAAATTATAAGTGATGATCTTTTCCTTTTTTCCCAATAATTTTTTACCCTTAAAATTTTCCCTCTCTCCACATTTCTAGGGCCTTTCCACATTTATACGTCTTCATCCGGGCTTTAGATAGGGTGATTTCTGTACCTCTAGCAAAAAATAGGGTTGGGTAAAAAAATAAAATTCATAACTCCCTGAGCCCTAAAAAAAACTTGGAGACTTTCCAAATCTACTTGAGACTTTGTTTTCTAAAAGAGAGCTTTCTTTCTCCTCGCACATTTGAAGCATCATAAAATATTTATTAATTACTGATCATAATCAGCACGTCCTTACTCCCTGTTTGCCAAGTCTTTGAGTGCTGAAATATTGATTGATGTTTAGTCCGCGCACATGTTTGGCCATTTAGCAAAGTTCAAACGCTCTGAAATATTGGTTGATTTTTAATTAGGGTGCTCTTTTTACCCTTTTGAGCAATCCTTTAATAGTGATGAGGGAAAGCTGAATTTAGGATCCTGAGCTGAGTGAGTCAGAAAAGAGACTTTTGCTGGCACTCACAAGGGGATGATGGATGTTTGGCTCGAATTTTAAAAAATTGAGGCCAGATAATAGAGGTATAGAAAGTGCGTGATCCTTAGGACCTTACCGAACGGGGCCTGCCAAGCGTTCTGAGGTATTGGAGCAAGTAATACCCGGTCCATAATTAGATGGAATATCGCAGGACGAGGAGGAGACTGTGACTCCCATTCTCTGAGTCATATGCTCATCACTTCGTTCCACAGCACAAGGAATCAGAGCTCGATAAAAATTCATTGCACCGTCACCACCATGGCTGAAAAGAAAAAAAAAGTTAACTCACAGAATAATTTAAGAGGAAAATACAATCTTCACAAGTTTTCTGTCACACTTTATTCTTTTGAAGAATTACCAATTATTAATATTGCAAACATTCACGGAATTTTTTTTTGTCTTTCAAAAAATTATTTTACAGAATTTGTACGAAAATTTTCTCCTGTGAAGTTAAAGTGGGAGTTGAAATTTGAAAACACTGCAATTAAGGTCGGTATTTTTTCGGTTCCAACTTCACCGATGACATGGAATATAGTTGGAAGATTCAGCTCACGAAGACCCGAGGACCCTCAAATTTGGCCCCTAGTGAAATGATTAAAGTGGAAGAGGTGAAGGGAGGATGAGGGCCTCATCCAGAAAATATTGAAATAATGATATCTTCTCACCAGAGCCGGATTTCTGGGGGAGCCCATGGTGCCATGGCACAGGGTGGCAAATTTTTGGAGGCGGAAAATTTCGATTTTTTTTTTTTTTTTTTTTTTTTTATATAAAAAGAAGAGTTTATGTTTCATGTTATTACAGCCTTTTACGTGTCACAAATCCTCATTCCTTGAAGAATCATTTTCCCCTCCTTAAACATTTGTTTGCAGCACTTTCCTGCACAAATGCGCATTTTCCTCACTATTGCAGAATCAGATTGAAAATCGGAAACTTATATTTCGAGCGCATCGGCACCGCGTGAATCTGATTTCTCTCTTGGCAAAATTTGTTAGGCACCAGGCGGTAAAACCTAAATCCGGCTCTGCCTCTTGAAATAAATTTGACCCATTTCATGTGAAGCTGTACTTCGTGGTTGTTTCTTGGCATACTGTTAAAAATTCAATTCACACAGCCAAGGTTTTTTTAAAGTTTTCATACAAAACAGGGAGGCTCTTTAGAAATGCAGGGTATGTTTTCCTAGATGTCTCATTGTTTTTTTTTTTTGACACTTCAAATAGCCCTCAAGGGCTAATCCCATTCAATTCCAGCCTACCTTCCCTACTTACCCTAACGTATTTGGCAGTGCGGAAGTTTGGAGTGATGGCTAAGATGAAACCATAAGTTGTTTACAAGTTTCTTGGCATGGTAAATGTAGTTTGTAGACAGCTTGCGTTGTCTATTTTGTAGTAAATTGTAAGTTCTCTAGTTGACTGGTCTAGCAGAAGGTGGTGACGAGGCAGCCACCTTCAAATTCGGTCTTGGCTTAGAGATGTACATCAACAACAAGGCTACAGCCATAGTGCAGACACTGCTTCACACTTACCTGACCTACCTCTGTTACAACTCCTTTAAAATCTGTGTTCACTTGCTTAAAAATGTACTTTTTTCCAGGCATTGTCACCTTCTGTGCTTTCCCACTTGTGCAAAGATGTGTTCCATCAGCAGTCGACCACAGCCCAGAGGATTATTGTCAAGAACTACATCATTAGAACTGATGATCAACCATTATCTCACATTTCTTGACTGTTTTGGTATGTCGCTCTTTTACTTTTCCTTCCTAAATTTTTCTATTGGGATCTTCTCAACATCGGCAGAGCAGCTTATGTCGAGCGCCCAGGGCCGCAGTCTAGGCTGCCTCTTCATAAATCCTGCTAAGAAAAGGCCAGGACCATAGTCCAGACCCAGAAACACCCTGACTTGATTTTCTTGACAGCAAACAAAAGTTTCAATATTTTTTAGGCTAGATATGGTGTGTGACCTCAGATTCAAAGATACTTTTTTGTATCCAAAACCTCCAGGACTTTTAAGCTCATATGTTTCAATTTAGAATTAATTGGCTTAGTAGGATGAACTTGGAATTGAACAAATTTCATTGAGAGAAGAGAACCACCTTAGAACTTTTGAGTTACCTGTAAGTGTAGTTTTGGAGCTCACACATCATATGTTAACACACGGATCAGTTGCTGATGCCGCATCGGCAATGGTGAATATAGCATGATCCTTTCAGCAGTGGAGATGAAAACTCTAATTTGTTATTAGTAAGTTTTCCACAAAAGAAAATCATGGGGTCTTCTTGCTATGAAAGGGATGTTGCAGGAACATGAATTTGAATAGTGATTACGGTGTGTCAGTGCATAAACAGAAAGGAGCCACTTGAAATATTGAAAGTGATTCGAGTCAATGGTACCTTCACAGACGTCGAATTACAGGGTATGGGAAGAGATCATTATTTCTGATCCCTTAAGTTAAAAATTGAATCATCAAAGGGAGAAAGTTATCAATTTCTTGAGCAGAGAGTGACAGAGTTTTTCACTGCTACATGCATGAACCCTCCCTTGACACAGTTAAGTTTGGATGGTTACACAGTAAATTAACCTACCTGATGATGAAAGACTCTCAACACATGGAAAAAGAGAGCAGAAATTGACGCACAAGCACCCAAATAAGATCAAGTGATGGTCGGTCATCTTGTGTTAAAGTGCCATTCCATTATCAGAGAATAGTCTAATTCCAGTTCTTCCTGAGGATAGTTTTACGTACGACACTCGAGTTCAGTTACATGATTTCGACTGAAATGACATCGCAACGTGAAGAGGGCACGAGGAAAAATCAAATAGTCACTGCAGTTTAAATACTTTGGCACTTGGAGACACAAGAATGGAAAATATTGATATAGATAAATTATTATTTACGACACTCGTAACTTCCACCATAGCAGCAAACAGTGAGCTGAAATAGCAAACAACAGTGGCGCTCTCTGCGTAGGAAGGAATTAGGACACCCGCGAAACTAGGGTGAATTCGAAAAGTAGAGCAAATACTTGCTTGCGTTGTGGGAAGTGTAAAATTAATTGGGTCAAAAATTTCCGATGCTCTTGTGGTAAACGGCAATGACATACCTGCTTCCAATTTCTTAATTTTACTTAAATGGAAAAATATTCGTACTTGGAAACTGTTTCAATCACGATGGGGGCCTTCAAAATTCAAAGAGGATTCATACTTTTACCTGTTGCTCAAATTAGGAAACTATACGTCGAGGTGAAAAACAACAGATGCCCAGGCATAGCAACAGAGTGTCCTCAAATATTTAGAGAGACCGAGCAATTAGTAACGAGCCTCATGAAAAAATTATGAGGGTAACAAAAAGAATCAATATTTTTACATTCCGTTTGTCATGAAACAGAACAGATTTTATGAAATACATTCCCTTTAGATGGACATTATTTAAATCCCTTCAAACTTTGTCTCAGTTCTTATCTTCAATACCTTCGAAGATTTACTCAACTTATGATTCAAGTGACAAAACACATCATAATAGCCTCTTCATCAAACTCTCTTAGAACATGAGGCTAAATTTTCAAAAAACATAAGAGACATTAAATATCTTAATAATACCTATCCAATCCATTAGAAGTTAGGTACTGATCTCAGGAAGGCTGAAGGAACTAAAACCTAATTCTATTCTCCTAGATTCTTCAGTCTTAAGTGTGTAAAATGTCATGAAAAGACTGCATTTACATAGCATTACGAACTGGTAAATCCGAATCATAGAGAAACATTATAATTCATTCACCAAAATTATCTGTTGTAGCATTTTGATTCAGTACTTGGAGAATGAAATTAATTAGAGAACTTAGAGAACAAGTATCCTAAAAACGCAAAAAGATTTTTTTCAATATTGAATAGTGTAGTTTTCAGTTTACGATGTAATTCTAGATTATTCTTAGAATATTTTAATTTTGAAGCAGTGACGTTGGTTCAATAATTTGAGTGATGATTGCATTCCCAACCGAGAAACTGAATTAAGTCCAGAATCAGATGCACTTTCCGTTAATTGCCATTTTTCATGTTTCATCATGTTATTCCTAGTTTCTAAATTAACTTTCCGTTGAGGTTGCCGAAAAAGCTGTGTATACTGTTATCCAATGGGTGACTCATTCCATAGGCAAATAGCGAATCCACATAACCCCAAATAATGTTCCTTTCAATCCAACTTTTTTTACAAGCATGTTCCTAAAAGATGTAGTCCACTGAACTGCTAAGAATTTCTTCAGTATTTTCTTGTAGTTTGCATCCCAAGGTTACAGAATTGACTTAAAAAAAATAAAATTCGATATTCCAGTGAGAATTGCAGCAATTTTGGTGTCTAATCACTAACCAGAGGAATAATCAAGTAAATTTTCAATTAAGAACGCCCAACAATTTTCTGGTATAAATTGGACCGCGTTAAACAGAAAGGAACCAAGCCACATCAGCTATTGCCAAATTTAATTGGGCAATTTAATTTCTTACAAAAAAATGGTTGTGCGGATTTTCGTGTAAATTTCACTGAAAATTCTCCATGGTGCGAAGCAAATTCCTTAAAATTTTCAAAGAAATCCGAACAACCGTTCTCTCGTAAAACATTTAATTGCCCAGTTAAACTTGGCAATAGCTGATGTGGCTTGGTTCCTTTCTGTTAAACTCGGTCCAATTCTAGGTGGCGGTAGCCACCCCTGCCCCAATCAAAAACATTCAGAACTTATAGTATTTGTCCATTTTTTCTGATTTTTAGGAAAATTTTGCTAGAAAGAAATTCCAGCATTACCGAGTGAAATTATTTCATTCTTCAGAATTTAACAATTTTCAAGTACAAAAGAAAGTTAAAGAGGAATCAAGTAACTTTAATTATTTTTTTTGTCACTAGGTGAACTATGTCTATTGTTTTACTTGAATTCTGAACAAAGTGATGAAATTTTCAAGAGTTTCAGTATTTTTTCTTTACATTGTTCGTGAAGATCACATACATCTCCTTAATCACGGGTACTTAAATAAAGTGTCAAACTTATTTTAAAACTGAGCAGTTCACTTCTGCTCTCCTCAAATAAATCAATTTGACACTCACTTTTTGCATCCTTCATTCATTAATACTGCTTTGGATTGGGATCACGGTACTTGAAAACGGCAAAACTTGTCCTATCTTACATACTCTGACAAAAAATATTTATCAGCACAGCTTTATCCACTACCTTTGACTGTTCATTCTAGGTGGACTAGAACCCATTACAATTTCCGCCAATATAAAAGTGTAATAATCTTGGGCAAATTCGCTGCACCCGTAAAGTTTGTTACATACTAAGGAGGAATTGAAAGATTAATACTTGTAAAAAACTTGAAATCCTGTTTTAATTAATCAAATTAAAAGGATGCACAATACATCAAATGAAAAATTTTAATAAAAGAGAGTCAAGGGTGAAAATGAGAGATGCTTTGAAACATGAGGATCCTGAGTTTCTGCGAGAGAAAATATTTGTGCCATAGCATGTAAAAATTTTGCCGAGTCGAGACATGATTGATCAAGTGTCACTCTTCCAGAGTTTGATAGTTTTGTCATTTTCCAATGCTGCAGAAGCAATTATATTTTCGGATGGATGACAGGACGTGCACAACACAACATCTGAAAAATGAGGCAGGAAAAGAAAATTAATTAAGTGAGCACCTCAACGAAAAGTACCTATGCTCCTTTTCTCCGACATTGAATAGTTCATCTCAGAAAAAGCTCATTTGTGAATAGGTGTACTTCAAAGTTTGTTGATCAAGGAAATGAAAGGCACATTGAAATATTAGAAGGAGACTTGCAAGTAGAGAGATCAAGAATACTTCAATATGAAAATTGTACTCTGTTTTAAAGACAAAAGCTATATTGGATCAAAACTGACTGATGCAAACTGAACAGTAGGAGACTAAAGATGGAAAATGAGTGAAACTTTCATAAATTTAGGGAGCCAACCAAAATTGTCTTTATTTAGAAAGTTGATATTCATTAAAAAGATGTTGAAAAACGCGGTGGACAACAGCATCCTCAGTTCAATCCTACAAATGTGGTGTCATGCAACCCATCCAGCACACACAACCTTTGCATAGCTTAATTTTGCTAAATTCGTAAACCACTGGACTTAAAAAACATTGAACGGACAATTTTAAAGATTAGATTTTCTAAATAATCTATGAGCAATGGTGTAACTTGGACTTATTTGTGAGCCGATCTGGTAACTTCACAATGATGAGGATGAGATAACATCCAGAGAGATACTGAGGCATCAGGTCTTGACTCCCCATTATATCTGGCTGAATTTTGCAGTATTATTACATCAAAATTCACAAACGCACTGGCAAATTAAAAAAAATTTCATGCCAGACTTAAAGGCGTCTGTAATTATTGTTAAAAATAATTAAAAAGGTCCAGTTTCCTGACAAAATTCAGCCACTGAACTAAAGACTACAGAGGCACTGTTTGCTGCTCGCCAGCACTGTTGGAAATAAGAGAGGTACAATCATGCCATGTGCTACTCATGCACTTTCATCATTCGAGCATGATTATTTCTTCCAAAAGCTTAGCAGGGTGCTACTTAAACCTCTAATAATTTTTTTTATCTATTTTAAGGCTTTCGTATTGGATGACTGTACACTTATCTGCACAGCTGTCGCATGCACGCTGACCGTTTGTAGAAGCTTACATTTCACTTTTTTCAAAGTCAGCCAGAGTAGTTGGGATAGTTTTATTAGTTTATAGGTCTGTGCCGTTTCAAATACAAGAGAAAGGAAAATATATCCTAACTCACTGCAAAAATTTGAAAAGAGGATGATGGATCTATACAATTGTTTCACCAGGATGAAGTGGTTTTCAATTTTCCTCAATCATTTCTCAGATGATTAATGCATCAAGATTTTCTCTTAATGTAATGAAAGAAACAAGAACGAAACAATTCATTATACCTGTATGACCACTGAGTTTTTGAACTATTTCTTTCGTTTGTAAGTTCCAAATGTACACCATATTATCTTCGGACCCCGACACAATCCACTGAAATGAATAATACAGATTGCAGTTCATTGACGCAAGCAAAAATAATTGATTTCTATGAAGACAATTTTGTGACAAATTCATCAGCCTTTCACGGCAACTATTACTTTTGAATGAAGACATCAAAGGAGGGCAGAAGTCTAAACATAATGAGCCTTGGCCTCCAGTGTTAATAATGTAAAGCATGGCTCAGGAATATTTGGACTTTCACCTTTTTCCAAAGTTAAAATATTCAAGTAGTTTTAACATTGTTCGATGATAGTGTTGAGAAAAAGGCAGAGATCCGAATAACCATTAGGCTTCATTAATAACAGAACCCAAGCGAGGCTCATGAGTTTTCTGACTTCTGTTCTTTTTGCATGTCTCGATTCATTTATGGTCAAAATTCAGCTCTGACGACTGAATAATTTATTTGCAAGGATATAGAAAAGTTGCTGATAAATTAATCTCTTTGCAGGCATATGGATTAGTTTTTGTTGACATTTAAACCATACGTGCAAAATTAAGATGTCATGTTAAGCCATTCAAAAGTTAAAGTGGATCAACAAGTCTATTTGACTAAAGTAGGAAATCAGGTTACAGCTATATTTGAGGTAATATATAGGAGGCAGGAGACGAAATGGTGTGACAAAGCTCAACATTCTTTCCATAATATGCGTTTTGCATGAGGCATATGCCCAAGAATTACAACAAGAACTTCCAGTTGAGGACGACAGAAGCTTACTCGATCCCCATTGAAAACCACATGTTTCTCTGGAGGGAACTCTTAAATGGACTGCATTTTGCAATTAGGAACTATAAATTCCGGCCCCGTTCAAAAACAACATATGCGCCATTAGTTTCCCTATGCACATAAGTGTTTTTTCAGATGAGCCAGAACTTATAGGTCCAAATTGCGAAATGCAGTCCAAATGACCCCATCTCTCTCCAGCCACGCACACAGTACAACCAATGAGAAAGGAGCAGATCTTTTGTCTCATTGGTCAAGACCATTGACGTATAATACAATCTAGACCGCGCATTAGGAAATTTCGGCAAAACTAGAGTCCCTTCAGAGGAGACAATAGGCAACCAAGCACAACCCATTAAGTGTACTGGCTATATGTACCGAGGAAATGGAAATGCCAGTCTTGGGCTGTGTCGTTGCCTGGTCCTGGTACACTTTGTCTGTATGTCCGGCTGTATCAACTAAGCTGAAGGCACGTCTTTGCCCTGATTTACCCCCCTAGCTGTCTTACCTCCCCCCGCCTAAAGTCGGGCATAGTGCGCAGTCTAGATTGTGTTTTAAGTCAATGGTCAAGACTGTTCAGTGCCCGACTACATAAAGAGGGACAGAAAGCAGGGAGAATCAAAATTTTTTCCTCATGAAGGAATGTAACTTTATTCTGAGGTTGCGAACCGAAGGGAAAAATTGATTGTTTTTTTTACGTAGATTTGGATGTATAATTTATGTATAAAAGTTTCATGATTCAGGGGAAAAATCAGTGAAATTTTCAGGGAGAGACGTCCAACAGTTTCGTGATAAAAAAATTTACAAGTGGAAACGTTGCTCTAATAATGTTTCTCTACAGTCTCTGACTTGAGATGGCACAATCATTTCAAGTTATAGCTATCACTTATCCAGGGCAGCAGCTCCTAGTGTTTACATAATTTGGTTTGGAAAATCTTTTTTACATACCTTCCCACCGGTGACAGAGAAGTTTGCAAAAATGCAGTACTTTTCATTTTTATGGCCAGTATAAGTTTTTAAGCACTTTCCTTTGCTATAGTCCCATAACTTGAGAGTGTTATCCAAAGTGGCTGCTAGGATGTATTTACCGTTGGGTGAGAACTTCACAAAAGAAACAGGAGGATTATCATCATCAATTAAAGTTTTCAGACACTGACCACTGGCTGAATCCCAAATTCGACTGAAAAAATAAAATAAAAGTGTTGAAAAATAACTACTCGATTCAAAGGAATGAACAAAAAGGAAAATTAGCAGAATGATTCTGCCCATACACATGTGTATTCTTGCGAGTTCGATCTGAAGGATCAAGGTTGCCATCAAATTTAGAGAATGAATTTCTCTGATTTCCCTGATACATTTTGGTAAAATCCTTTAACAATTGAATAAATGCCCAATGATTAAAAAGACATAATTTGAAATAGTTTTCAGACAAAATTTGTTGTTCGAAAAGTCAAACCCTATGACCTAGTTCAGAGGACCTAAACCTAGGAGACTCAGGATGGATTTATATAGTTTCATCTTACTCAGATGGGCTAGTTACAAAAAAAAAAAAAAAAAAATTACTTGATCTAGATTCTCATGTTGTGGGCAGTTGCTTGCTCTAGCGGAAACGCAAGAACATTGCTCGAATACATTATTCCTTTCTAAATTAAAAAAAGAAGAGAGATTGTAAGATAATTACCAAAGACCATCGTAACTGCTGGAAACAATCAATGCTCCATCTCGGTTAAAGTGCACAGCACTAACTGGATCCGAATGAGCGGGTAATGTTTTGAGGCATTTCCCTGTGCGGACATCCCAAGTCCTTACACTTTCATCGAATGACCCAGAGACTATGAGATTTGATTGAGGATTGAAATTACAGCAAAAAACATAATTGCTATGTCCTTTTAGTGTTTTGAGACACTTACCCTGTTGAGAAAGAAATACAAGCAGAGTATTGAGAAAATATTCATATAAAGTTTCAGTGCAGATATATGGAGCAGTCAAAGCCTGAATTTTCAATGTTGGCCCGGAGGAAGTAGATACTGTGATTAAAGTTCGCAGAAAATAAAGGAAGAGAAAACGGAATAGGAATGAGGGATTAATGATTATTCTTTAAAGTTCTATTAATTATGTTAGTTGTTTCTTTTAATTGCTTAATTTAATAAAACATAATGTTTAAAACATTACAATAACTTCAAAATTTTAGAACAAAAGTACACAATGTACATTAAAGTAAAACTCTATTTTTCCGTAAAGATACAAACAAATTTGTAATAGTTTAAGTAAACTTTTATAAATGGATACACGAGTAAAATTTACTTTCCTTTCCTTTTTCTTTTCTACTTAATTGCTCTTTTGTTCAAATTAATAGATGAAAACAAGAGAGTTACCAGTAGTGTCACTGAACCTGTCTGAGCTAAACAGATCATTCTTATAATTGAAAGAATTCACATTCCAAAAGCAATAAATATCAATCTTAAACTGTTACTAGTACTTGAATTTTGCCTTTAAGACTCATTGAAAATATTTTTTGTGCTAAGATTTTAATTGAAATCTGAATTTTGAGATAATCTGCATTAAAACTAAGATGAAATTTTTTTGGAAACTACTTTTAAAAGAGCTGCAGGTACAGGCTGCCAGCAGCTGTAAAAAGCATGGTTAAACTTAAGAAAGATAGCCACGGAAAAGACAAAATTGCATCCGGGTGATTGAACAGCTGAAGGCCTTTATTTACATGGCTGAGAATGATCAGTTGATTTTGAGTTGAAGACATCGAAAGCATTGAATTATCCAAGCATCTCAAAATTGCCGCACATTGAGGGTTGTTCTTGAAAAATTGCAAGTAAAGCAAGCACACTATCTCCACTTCGCAACAATGCACCAATGTAGAATTTAAAAATGGCAGATAGTTGTCAAATTGCAACAGTGGCTGCTCGAGTAAAATGATACTGAGTTTTAATTTGATAGGCATTTCTTTATTAAGAGTCTTTTACATTGGCATCGGCTGCTTGGGTAAAATGCTATGGCAGTTTACCCATCCAGTCATATTCTAATGAGTTACTTTGGTTACCGGTCGTCGGTAATAAGAGTTTTGCCGCGGCCGACTTCCCAAAGTATGCAAGCCTTTATTTAGATTTGTGTAATAATTCCTTCTTTTATCGGTCGCATGCTTAATTTCGGGTTTCAGTTCTTTATTTTAGCTTTGCCCTGGCTAAGAATAAGTTTGTAAATGGCCTGGAACATTTCGTAGGTGCTTCCTCCACTTTTGGCCATATTAAACCATTTTTTATGTATTTTTCATGTAATTTAGCCTGTGTTATACCAACTAACAATTTTTATATTTCTGGTATTCTAAATTTCTGATTTTGATCCTATCTCACAACTTCATATTTATTTCTTAAAAATTGATTAATATTTTGTTACTTGGCTGGCAAAAGGTAACCAACTCAGTTTGGCCTTACCGCGCATTCATTTGTAAGTCACCCAGGCATTCAGATAAGAATAGAGTAACACTTTTTTGCCAACGGTGTCACTTCATCAAGATTTCGGAAGAATTTGATTGATATTTCCTACATACCTGAAGTAATAAGAATAGAAATAAACTATTCATTTATTGATATTTATAGAAAGTATAAAATAAAGTGAAATAACTTACAGAGCTTAGTTCCCAAATTTTCAGCGTTTTATCATCAGATGCACTGACAAGTAATCTACTATCACTACTCCAGGCAACATCACTGATTCCTAATTTGTGCCCTGATATTGTCTTTTCATATTTACCATCATATGCACTCCAAATTTTTATTAATTTATCAGCAGCTGGAAACAAAAACAGATTACTTGAAATTTAGCCTTACAAGAGATCTTCATTCAAAATAAAAGTTCAATTCCCATAAACATACTCTATGTAGGAGACCAGGCTCTTAAAAAGATTTGAGGTTTTGGTGCTAGCAATGAGAAAATTGACAAATTTTCACATGCACTAATATTTTGCTTGTATATTAGTTTATCCAGATTGGTAGTAATGTATACTATTTTAGGAATAAATAATACGAATGGTGAATAGGGTTGTAACAAAGACTGGCGAGCTGTCAACATGCTCTAATCGCTGTGCATGAAGCCATATAAGCCCGGGTTTTGGTCAATGTTACTAAAAATATATGCATAAGTTAATAAACAGAAAACTAATTACTATGTAGCATATTGACTGTAATTAATTATGATCCAACATGTAACTGACGCCATACAACAGTCTCATATCCTTACAGGTTCTAGAGGTTTAAAAGAGATGACATCTACATGCTTTTTCCCCTAATTTTTGAAAATATAACGCTTCAATCCTCATATTTTATGTAACAATTTTCTTAAGGCTTTCCTCCTTTTTTCACTTAATTCTTCATACATGGCCAGGGGAAAGTCTATAATATGGCCACTATTCTACAATCTGTCGTGTAAGTATGGGTCCTTCAGGATATTTTAAGCCCCAGAGATTCCGTTTTACTATGACTCCGCATTGCAGGGCTACAGGATTGTTAAACTCGGATTCCTTGGTGTTGATTATCCATGAAAACATCTTTTTGATCAAGCCTCTGCATCAATTCAGCAAACTAGCATTCTTTGGAGAGAGGCTCTGCTACCTGGACCTTCAGCAGTCAGTATTTCAGACATGGACGAGCTAATTTTGGAGTATTTGGCATAAATGTTGGTTAATGTTTTCGGTACTTTCTGATTTTGATGGAATAATTTCAAAATTTGGATGGAAACCCCAACTTTCAGAGAGGATCCCCCTTTTCATGAAGGGAACCAAAGGAGGCTTCAGGATGATGAAATTCATATTCCTTGCGGTCAATTCCTCATTCATCTCCAACTTGATTGGATCTAGAACGACCGGGAAGAAAGCTTGGTGAGGCTGGTCTGGTGTGCCCTGAATTATGAATAGGCCACCTGGCTTAGGATGAAAGTGACGAAGAAGGATGCAAAAATAAAGCAAAGAAACATATAAATTAGAACAACTGAGGGGTTTAAAACGGAAAAATAACAACTTACAAGAGCTGGCCAGCCATTCTCCGTTTGGACTAAATTTTACTGATGAAACTGCTTTTGTATGACCAGCTAAAGTGAAAGTCAGCACATAATTAGGTTTCTGGAAAAGATAAAAAAAAACTGTGAGTTAATTGTTTAAAAAGTTGGTATTAATGAAAGAGCTTAGTTTCCTCTCAATGGAAAAAGAGAGAATTACAGTCACTGAGAGGACAATTTAATGGGCTCATGAGATTTCCTAAGACTAGGTACTTTGAATTTAGCAGCAAATATTTGAAGCATGAGGAACTCATAAACTACTTCTATGGCTCAACGTACTGCGCAACATAGCATACTTATCTGACATGAAGAATTGAATCGGTGCAAATTGATTGAACTACAAAATTGTTTCTTGTACATGAACTAAAGTTTAAGGTAGATCAATGAGTAAAAGCCGAGAATATAGGCTTAATGTTTGACTCATCCAACAGGCTAGTTGTGCTCAGTGGCGGGAAAAAAGGTAGCACTTGACTCCCCTGATGACAACCTTCATGATATTCCATAAGCATCGACAGTGACTGCTAACTATTGAAATTAATTTGTTTTCCTTAAAAATCTCTTGCTATTTTGAAATTTATTTTAATTCTGTCTAGTTGAAAATGTGGTTCATTACGTTTCTTTGAGACATCAAAGTCGTTGGAACAGCTAAAGTTCTTAGTCATGGCCACCCATTGTGCGTGTTCTTTTATTTTTGCATATATTGAAGGTGAAACTATCAAACCACTATAAGTACTTGATCACAGCATTTGCAAATTTCCACTCATTTTATATTTTCACAAGTTTATTGTGCAACATTTACTTGAGATTTTTTTAAAGCTCACTCTTAAAAGAATAGAGAGAACCCAGACGAAATTTGATGCAAAACAACAATCAGGTCTCACTTCGAAAAGTAAAATGATGCAGGAGATGTGAAAAGGCCAAAGCTATGCTCTTTGCTTGAGCATCTGTGTTTTTCTCTTCCTTGGCAACTGGTTTTGCCTTAATCAGTCATGCTTGATGTTTCGGCATAATCTGATAATGCTATTGAGAACAGGTATCGGCAGTTTTTTTACAAATTAAAAACCAGAAAAGATCATAAAAAAGGGTCCTCTTAAAATGGAGCCTAATTTAAGTAGGCTGATGAGTCAAATCATTTAAAATTCGATGCATATTATTTCATTAATCTAATACGGCAACAATTTTATTCTCTTCACTTTTGCTTCAGATTTGGCAATGTCGTACAGATTTGCTGAGTAGAAATCTCAGCTCACTATTTTCTAGCAGAACACGTAGAAAAACTTACAACAGAGGCTGTTGATGCTTTTGTATTTGAAGGCGCTGTGGAGCCCAAGGAATTGTTCACAGCACCAGGTGCTGCTGGACCAAGAGGAACCATCAGGAAGAGGCTTCAGACCTGAAACAAAATGTTCCAGAATTAAAATGGGTAAAATAGTTGTGAAACATAAAATTAGTTAATTTAAGTTAAAAATTAGTGACAGTTATAAATATTTGAAAAAAGCAATGAAATATGAAACATCTATGTTAACAAGATTTTTGGTAAGAAATAGGCGAACATAATAAGATTATTCACATTTTTTTAAACGTCAAAGTTATTGCGTTTTTGTTGCAATACTTGCAACCAACTGAAAGCTTGGCTTTTCTGCACTTTTTGCTGCTTGCGCTCCAGCTTAATGTTTACGCATTTGATACTCAGAGTGAATAATACAGATCTTTCCAAGTTGAAGCTTTAAATTTGAGGAGGATCTTCTGACATAGAATTGGGTTAGCAATTTCAGATAGATTGTTCCCATACACTGAATCATTGGCCCAAATAAGTAGAAATATAAAATTGTTTTATGGGGTCAATTTAAATCAGACTCAATTGTGGATTGATTACAATTGAAAATTTAATTAATTTTTGGAGATTGATTAAAAATCACTATCGGTTTATTTGGATTGTTGATAGATGATGATCAGCAAACAAATAAAAGCAAACTTCATGCCTGCACAAAGATAGGAAAACAATAGATTCACTGAATGCAAAACATCATGATTCCTTTCAATACTACTACCTAGCGTGACAGATTGCAAAATGATGGGGAGGTTTCAAACAGTCAATGGAGGCCCAAACGTTGGCATACAGGGCCTAAATCTTGTTGGCAGAATTATGGCTGATAGCAAGTTGTGGGAGGAACATTGACTTTGTTATGAGGCTACTAATTCGTGGTTTGAACCATTGAGGAACTGAGGCTGGCTTGATCCTGTGGTAGACCAAGCTCTGCTTGTGTTCAGCTTGAGTTTAGAATAGAGTTTATCCTACTTGAGATTGAACTTGATGGTTAGGTTTTTTTAGCTTGTGGTTGACCGTTGGCGATAAAATTCAGGCTCAAGCTTTTATTTATCCACAGAATGCGATAGATCTGCTGTTCAAATTGTTCAGCTTGGGGTGATAGCGCGGAATTTCTCAACGACCATCATGCAAGAGCAACACAAGCGTTCCACTGGAATGCATGGATCATGGTGGTAAACTGGGATAAAAAAGTAATGCTGTTCAATCCTGAGCTTTGGAGAGGAAAAAAGCCCTGAATACAACTTTGGATATGGGCTTCGACAGCTTTTTCGTACAAACAATGCATTGCCGCACTATAGCGACAGATCTGAAGTTTTCTGGTCTTAATAATCCAAGATACAAAACATAAACCTTACGTTGGGCTTTTTTTTAATCCATTAAATGCAATGAATTGGGTTCTTAAGGTTTTGCTTGTGGTAAGGATTGCACGTAATTGCTCACAACCCACCCTGGAAGAAGGATCTGCCACGGTTTCCACTGGAACGCAAGAAACTGGCCGAAATGCACCAATTGACTGAGATAAAAAAGCGATGCATTTTAGTGTTTACCATTGCAATCCACTGCAATTCGGATAAAAAAGCAGCCCTTGGGTGAAAGGCTCACATTCTAAGCTGCGGCCACGCAGGTCCTTAGGTCCTTTAGACCTTAGCTGCGTGGCTTAAAAGTAGGAAATTGCAAGATGACGTTATGAGAGCGACTTGGAAGTATACATTCAGCCGCCATTTCCAGCGAGTACATTGTTGCAGATCATAAACTTTGTAAGGAACAATTTAGTTTAGAATTTCACTACCCCTGTCATAGAAGACCTTGTCCACACAAGCGCAGTTTGGATGAATTGGTTCCACATACTGGGGGTTCCAGGAACAAGTTAGCCTTAAGTTCCTCCAACCGCGCTCGTGTGGACAACGCCGAAAGCTGTTAATACTGTGTTTTCATTTTTGCGGTTAGCTTCTAATTTTCAATTCCATGCAGCACTACTACTGTGCCAAATGGTAGGTCAGTTTTTCCTCTATTCTGTGTCAGTGGCTCTGAGATTGTGATCATGAATTTGAATATGGCAGGTGTCAAAACAACAACAAAGAAAATTCCAGCAATCTAGCGGCCCCCAGAGCTCGCTAATCTCACGTATGCTCAGCGGACAGCCCAGTGGAAGTTTCACAACACTCCACTTAGGCCACCAAGCAACTAGATGGGTAGTTTGCTGAGCTTAACAGCGCAGCTCTTGTTATCAAAATCCATTGGCTTCACAATTTAACACCAACAAGTATCATCAAAGAAGATTCACAACTAAATACGCTTATCATTTTCATTGTTAAAACGAAAATATAGCAGATATCTGGACAAAAAATAAAGTAATTCATTAGATAGAAGTGGTGAATATCAAACTAGACTGAAGCTTCTAATGATCATAAGAGACGCGCTGTTTGAATGAGTGTCAGTTGTCAGCAAAGCACTGCGATAAGTACTTATGATCAAAGTTTTTAGAGTTAAATCATACTTACAGAAACGGATAACGAAAGGAACAAAAACTGCCAAAACTCATGAGATGACAAGACGTTCCTACAACCAGATGAGAAATGCTCAAAAAAGAAAGGAAAAGGACCTAAAAGAGCATTAGCACTTTGTTTCGTTAGAACCGATCGTGAGTTAGAAACAGCGAATTTTACCGAAAGAAAGATTTGGACTGAAACTAATTGTTTGAGCAAGCAAAAACAAAACGAGGATTCAAGACAGGATTAGAGAACGACAAAATAAAGGAATTTGTAATTTAGTTTTATACTGGAGAACTCCACAAACTTCCTGGCGGCCTGGCCACTTCTTTGAAGCAGGATCAAAAGTGTAAATACGGAACCATTTTGAAAGCGGCCGGTTGGGACCAACTTTCATCAGAAATCAGCCCCTCTCTCACCGTCCAACAAAAAGCAACGTAAACAAAACGGACGTGTGTGTGTGCTAAGCTGTGTGTTGTTGTGCTATTAGTGTGTGTAAGTGTAATGTAAAGTGACGACAATTTGTACGATGATAAGATGTGTCTCGAAAGATAATGAATAACTTTTGCTGAAATAAAGGATTAATTTTATGCATCTTCTCATAATGTCATCATCTCATCTTTCGGCAGATCTTTGTTTCAATCACAATGATTTTATCCAGGTAAGTCATCAAAGACTCTACTTTTTTCAGTCTCCTCTGACAGTATCAATAGGTATTACACTACATGTCGACAGTGTAAGTCCGCAATCGCATAACTCGGTTTGCAAAGTCGCAGACTTCCTGTCATACTTTATTTTTTAAGTGGAAAACTATTCAACAGCAATTCTTTAAAACTGCCGTGATTTTTCTTCACTGTGCGAAGAAAATTCTGCATAAAGTTCAAGGAATGATGCCAATTTTTTCTCCCTCGAAAAAATAACCTAGAGGCGGAGATTTTCAGACACCGCAAACGAGATATATGATTGCGGATTAATGCCGTCAATATGTAAGACGATTTATCCAAAGCTGGAGTAATAGCTACGACTACATCAGTGTCTCAAAGGAGATGAAAGCGGATCTTGCGATCTGAATGGAGAGATCTGCGTTAAAAACGTTCGTGTGATTGCTGTCGTTATATGTGTATTTAACCAGCTTTGGGTTTGGTATAATTCGGACCAAGAAGCATACTGTATCATGAGGATTGCATCAAAAATTGAGGGTCATGTAATTAAGGACAAAAGTTGGGAAAAATAGAAGCAGGATCAGAAGGAGGAACGGAAAAGTGATCAAAGAAACTGAATGAGAGTAGCTCTTGAGAGCTATTTAAAGAAAAAAATTATGTAAGAACGCCAAAACCTGATTTGAATCTGAATTGATGTGAATATGCCCTTTTTCAAAAGCGCTTTATTTATACATAGACTGTAAGATCTGCTTCAAACCAGGGTCTGTATGAAGGCTCTTTTTAGATCCAATTGCAGCTACAATTGAATAAGTATGGTTATGAAGCTGGAGTTCATGTGAACCTTTATTTTTTTAATCCATAGTGAACCTGCACAAGGGTGGTCTGGATCACCTTGCACATAGGAGACCACAAATCTGACTGTATGAGCTAAGCAAACTAATAAAATTTTCCAATCACTGACAAATTTTGCATTGATCCTTAATTTTCAAAAGCCTTTTATTAACCAGAACAAGACTGGTTCTTTTGTGTTTGTTTGTTTGTTTCTGCTAGCGTCCAAAAATTATTTTATACTTTTAAGAAATGATCTGTTTTTAATAGCCTCTCTCTGGTTTTTTCCCAGGATTCCTTTTCGGTTGATCAATTTCTTCAAGATCACCGCAAAAAAGCTAATCTGGAGATGATGAGAGATGATCTTGGAATTTATTTAAAAATTTTACGGTCATCTATGATAGAACTGATTAATCAAGACTATGCAGATTTTGTGAATCTCTCCAGCAACTTAATTGCCTTGGATAAAAGCATTTCAACAATTCAAGAACCGTTGGAAACACTGAGCAGCAAAATTTTGGTACCTTTTTCCCATCCTTTCTGATAATTTTTATACATGAATACCTACATCAGTGATTGGGATGAAGGAGTTGATTTTCTTGCTCCGTACATACTTTCCATAGTGAAATATAAAAACGAGGTACTTCTCATGCTCTGCTCAAAACTGGTTTTTGCCATAAAAATATTGGCCAAGCTGCAACAGATATGTTTCATTTCCATTGCTCCATTTGATGAGGGCATATCATGATTATCGGATTTCAAAAAGCCAACTTTATTGCTTGACTTTTTCAGAGTATTCTTCAAATGCAGGATATTGATCCTGGAAATTTCCAAGAAATTGTATTGATTAGTTTTACAATGAAGAAATAACATATTAGGGTGATCTGAAAAATTTGTTTCCCTTTTTTATGTCTCCTGAATTTAAAATAGGATAAATCGGTGAAATAATTCTTTTCAAGTATACTCTCAACTTTAAAACGTCCCCAAGATTTTGCAAATCCATAGAGGGATGCACAGGGAAACTCAAATAAACTAAGACCCCCTCACCATCGCTAATTGGCCACCTCCTATTTCTGTAGCAGATCGTACCTATACCCATTTTGCACTTAGAAGCAAAGAGTATCAAACGAAAGACATTTTCAATTTATTTTGATCCTTAAACTCTCAGCTTTTTTGTCCTTTGATTTGATATTTTTTAATGAACCATTCAGGGAGTAGATCAGATTTTTTCAATAATCACAGCAACATGTTTACCTTCAAACGCTATGTCAGATTGCTCATAAGACTGCCTACTGAAGTTTTCTTCCCTCTTTGTAAAAGTTTACTCACAGCCTTCCATAAATGAAATAGAAATACTTACATGAATTCGCAAAGTTTTAACATTCTTCAAAAAATTTTTAGTATGGAGGTAATCTTGTGCTGCTGATGCAGATTCTTGAGAAGAATCTTATTTCCTTGCCAATGAGTTCATTAAAAATGTCAAAACAATACACCAAATTGAAGCTGAGAGTATGAAAATCAAAATTAATTGAAACCAGGTATTTTACTTCCAGTACTCTTCGCTTTTGAGAATGAAATTGGGAAACTTTGTGCAATCCGTTAGTGCATCAGGAAGTTGGCCTGAGGTAACGGCAAGTGGTTTCAGTAAATTTGAGTTTTCTCACCAAACCCTTTGACTTTCCTATTCTCCTCGCTCACTTTAAGATGCAGAATCTTAGACTTTTATACCGACTTTTAACAAGGAAATCTGAGTGCCTCAGATCCAAACGTACTCGCACAAACTGTTTTCTGAAACATGTCCTACAAGATCATCTAAATAGCCAGATAATTTATTTTTTCATTTTATACTTATTGTTAGATATTTTCAATTGCAAAAATAATTTAGTTTTTTTTTTTTTTTTTTTTTTTTTTTTTTTTTTTTTTTAACATTTTGTATCCTCATGATTTGGACAAACATTTTTTCTTACTTTTTTCATAGGAAACCAAGTTTGTTCTGGACAAGACCATAGAGGATATTGAGGCGCTTGTTGGGAAGAAGAAGTGTTTAGCTGCCAAGAAGGAGAGTTTGAGAAACTTTTCAAAAATGCAAAATGCAGCTTATAAACTTGAAAAGTTACTTAACATTGAAAATCTTAGCACTATACTTTTAACTAGAGCAGCAACAGAATACAGTTGGTTGAATTGTTATAGCAAAAAGTGTCAATCGCATATCACCAAAGATTTTCAACAGGTATGTTTAAGCAAACTGTTTCAGATGTGTTTCACGTAACAGAAAAAGCCAGCGAACACAGATACACATAACTGGTGAAACTTCCAAATCACTTATCTCAGTCTGCGATGTTGCAGACTTCCTGTCATCCTTTATTTTTTAAATTAAGTACTACTCCTTGTCAATGCTTAAAAACTTTCGTAATTTTTCTTCTTCCTGGGAAGTAAATTCTAAAAAAACTTCAAGGATAATCTTGATTTGATCTTCTTCAAAAAAATAAAATAGGAGTGGAGATTTTTAAACATCATCAACAAGATATGTGGTTTGGAAGTTTCACGGTTGACATGTATCATCGGCTGCCCTTTTTGTTGTTAGAACATGGATGTTGGTAAATTATTACAAATTACTGGAAAAAGAGATTTGTAGCAAACACTTTAGAGTTGCCCTGCCAATAACAAAATAGAGAATTTGCAGGTGTCTGAAATTTGATGAATTTCCTGTATAAGAGAAACTACTGAGTGAACTGAACACGAAGATACCCTTGGTTCATGAATTGAACAATTATTGGAGAAGTTATGGCAAAATTATCTAATCTTCTAAAATATGTGTGTTTAAATGGAAAAGCCGCCAGATGACGTCACTAGGCGGTGCATCTTCTCACTTTTAAATCTATTTTTATACTGTTTCCCATGTCAGCGAAAAATAATTATTAAAAAAAAAAAAACTGTGAAATCAGCTCTTCAAGCTTTTTCAGATGAGGCAATAAAAAAAAAAAAAATTGCATGCAAATTCTCCATTTTGAAGGTTATTTTGCCTTCTCTTTCAATGTTTAATGTGTGTAAGCAAACTTTACCATCATTTTAAGACCAAGCGTAAAGTGTTTCAATGTGCCAGTAGTAAAAAGTGAATGATGACTCCCTGTGTATAGAATTTTTACTTATTTTTCCCAACTTACATAGCATTCAACTGACCGCCCAGCAGAAAAGGTCAGTTTCCGAATCGGTCGCCCTGAAACATCTGTATTCAGTAAAGATATTTTTGCAAACAAATGAAACCAGCCATTGTGCTGATTCACCAGTTTGAATTCTGGAAAAATCATTACAGCACTGTGGAATGCGCTTTCTCCATATGGACACTTAAGTAAAATTTGCATTACAGCTAGTAGGCTACTTCCTCTTTTACAAATACAGATCCCGAAAATTTAAAAAGAGAATTAAAGTTTTCTGATTCAGAGAGAGCCCAAGAGACTAGTTTTGGCCTCATTGGTTCAATGTCTCCTCGATATTCTCTCTCTTTAAATCATAATGGTGGTCAAAGTACAAAACCATGTACCTAGCTCCATTTCTTTCTTCTTCCTCTTAAAATATCTGCTCTTATTTTATTTTTTTGAAGAAAAATAAGCCAATTTTATAGCCTGAAATTCGTACAGAATAATTTGCTAATAGAAAGGAAAAATCAAGGGAGTGTTTAAGGAATTAAGTTGCCTAGTTTTCCAAAGAAAAAATGAAGTTTGATAGAGAGTCTGCAACATTACAAACGGAGATATGTCGTTTTGCACTTTGCCCATCAATAAGTAGGAAAGTTCAACAGGCTATCAATCTGTTCTAAGTCTCCTTTTGTGTTTTCCTCGAAAATCAATCCTATTTTTCCCCGATGCTTCAAAAGATCATTTTAGCCAGTTTGTTGAGTAATAATATTTGCTTTCAAATATATCCTCATTTTCAGTGCTTTCATATTGTGTGTTCTTTTTCTTTTTTTCAGCTGCAGGATAAAATTAGTGATTCCCTATTATCGCATTTGAATAGACTGTTCTTAGAAGCATTTAAAAATGGTGAATCACAACTGGATGTCCTGAAAATCTCTTTGAATTTATTTGTTACTTTGGGAAAATCAGATGTTGTGGAAAATCTAATTCGGACACAGATTGTATCTCCAGCGATGGATAAATTGATCAGTGAAGATTCGCTCCTGAGTGATCCATGTGGTTTGGAGGGTTTATATTCTCGTGTTGTGGCCTTTATAGACAATGATCTAAAATATATTCTTCAATTAACAAGGCCAACAAAAGATCCACCAATTATCAAAGGATTTAATATCATGTGCAATAGTGTGTGGCCAGAAGTAGATCAGTGTCTAGAATTGAGGCTGAAGACAATATATGCACCTGGTAATCCTGATGTTTTTCATCAGCGTTATTCAGAAACCATGCATTTTCTGAATGAATTGGAGCATAGATGTGGAAATGAAGGTACGGTGAAAGCTTTAAGATCCCAAAGTCAATATCAGGCATTTCTTCAAAAGTGGAATCTGTCTGTGTATTTCCAGCTCCGTTTTCAACAAATTGCAACCCAGTTAGAAAATCTGTTGATAGATAGAGAAAAGTACACCACCATCATTTCAACCTCTAGGTCTCCACACCTTACAGTCACTAATACTGTCTGGCTCTGCATCAATCAATGTTGGGCTCCAAACATCTTCATCATGGAATTAGCTCACAGATTTTGGAAACTGAGTCTTCAAATCATCTCTCGTTTTTGTTCTTGGATAACTAGTGCCTTGAAAGAAACTGCCTTGCCATCAGCTTCTCTTTCAAATTCTCAGTTCCAATCGTATCTCTATTCCGATTGTGAATTTCTCATTTCAAGCTTACCAGAGCTCCAAGATTTGGCCAAATTAAAACTTGTTGATCAAACCTCCGAAGAAGTTTTAATTTTAATAAACTCCAGCATTGCAGACACAGAGGATTTGCTAAAAGCTTGTTTAGTACAGATTTCTAAGTCTGTGATTGAAGAAATAGCTGAGTTGAGTTTGCCACATGTTCGTTCTGTGAGTGATACACCTCGTCTATTTCGACGGACAAATCGTGAAAATCCAAAATCACCGTGCTCTTATGTCAACGCTATTCTTGGACCACCTACAACTTTTCTCAGAGATTACCCGCATCATGCTCAACTTTGGCTGGCTAAAATTTTATCCCTCATTACAGTTCAGTAAGTATCAATAACTCTTTGACACTACTTTGTGATTTGTTATAAACTGATTGCACATCTGGTCTCATATGATACCTAGCTGTCAAATGAATGAGTTATTAAGCCGTTCTAAGGATAACCCTATAACATTCATAAAATTACAGTCGGATTATATTCAACCTATCAAAAGAAAAGAAAATATTCTTAGCGTTCTACAAGAATCTTTTCTAGTTATTCCTGTGAACTGGAGGCTTTTGAACTTTGCTTACATTGTTCCTATGAACAGCGCTATCTATTCCAAATGATTGGAATTTCTCCTCTGTCCAAAACTCCTGAAGCTACAGCCTGAAGCTCTTTCATGTGATTCAACATTTTGTACTGTTTTTTCCAGGTATTTTAAGCAAGTTGAGGATGTCCTTAAATCTGTCCAAAAAACTGAGGAAAGCTTGCGCAGACTGAAACAAATTCGAGAGCGTACAACTGGAGAAAGCCGAAGCAGTGGTGGTGACGATGAAAAAATTCGTCAACAATTACTAATCGATGTCACGGCTTACTGCAAAGCGGTAAGCATTTTCCATCGTATTTCTATGTGCCCTGGAACAATTGTTGATCTTATTAGAATTTGCTCTTCTAGACTCAATCTTAAAAATTTAGACCTTTTAGGCCTTCATGCGGTACAAGAGGGTCAATTTTATGCGTCGAAATTTTGGGTACTTCATATGGGGCCCATTTGACAACTTTTTTTTGAAGATACGCGTTTCCCCTCTCAAAGTCAAAAAATTCGATCCACCCTATCCACCATTGATATGCTTCCTCCTTTAGAGTCAGAATTACCTAAAAAAAAATTGTTGCCGAGTACTTGTATTTATCCCGCCCGGCAAAATTACGTTGTGGCAACGTTGCCAAAACGTTGCAATTTCGCCATTTACGTATTCGGGCAACGTTGTGGTAACGTTGCCACAACGTGTAATTTTGTCAGCTTGCATGAACGTAATTGGCAATGTGTCTGCAATGTGTTTTAGCAACATAATGGGAATGTTGCAAAAATACGTTTTAGCAACATAATGGGAATGTTGCAAAAATACGGTGAAAAAATTTCGGTGATTTATTTTAGGAGTACTCTGCATTTTTACTCCTAGAATTCAATGTGGACCGCAGAGGAGCGTTTCTTAGGCACTTGAAATTCACTTTAAGTCCGAAAGTAGCCGCGCTCCGCCCGGGTTCCCAAGCGGGCTCCCATCGAAGTACTAACTACGCCCGACGTTGCTGAACTTCAGTGATCGCCCGTGTGTCGCTGCCACTCAGCTACGGACGCTCACGTGATAAAGTTTGGTTATTTAGCATTAATAAACATCCCTAGATCTGGTTCAATGATAGAAAGCAATGATATTCTTGCATTTCTGTGCATAATTCTACAGCGAAGGATACTGAACATAATATTAGGAAGATCAAGATTTTAAAAAAAAGGAGTATGAAAAAAAAAATTAAAAAAGAATTGAATAAATATATTCATTTTATATAAATACAATTATTATTATTTTAATTATTTCTTTAATTATATTATAATTATTTTTTATTATTATAATTATTTGGTATTTTTATTTTGTATTAAATTATTTCCTAATTATTTATATTTATTGTTTTTATTTTATTTTTTATTTTTATATTATTTTTTTATTTTTTTTAATTTTATCTTCATTTGTATATTTTTATTGTTAATTTTTTTATTTTTTGAATTATCTATCAATTAATTTTTGTTCATTTTTGTATATACATATACATATTTTTGCGACATTGTATGAGGGCGCATTCCCTTATATTGATTGGAGAAAATCATCTGGTGAGAAACAACAGAAAGGAGAACACCTGAAACAGTGGAGAGTGTCCTCTCCGATTTGCAGCACAGCATCTGCTTGACCTCATATCTGAGTTCTACGACCAAAATTACACAGGGATTGATACCTCACATGACACTATATGCGCATTTTAAAAAACCGAAATCCCAGAGGCCTTATTATGACCGCCATTTTGAAATTTAGGCATTTTGGGGGGTGTTCCGGGGTCGGACCGTGGTAAACTTTTGGTATGTTGTTCAGGAGGACCTACTGATGACGTTTACATAGGAAAAGTTTGTTAAGCAATTTGTTCCGGGTCAAATCGTGTTTCTCCCTGACTAATAATGTTTAAGAACGTTGTCACAATATATCTAAGAAATAATTATTGAAACGTTTTTTAATAATGTTCCAGAAACATTCCTAAAAACGTTTTGAAAATATTGTCTAAAATATAATGTCAGGCAACATTGCTGAAACATTGCTTAAACGTTGCTGCTTTACCTTTACAAAGCAAATCATCAAAAATGTTGCCTTGCAACGTTGCGGCAACGTACACATTGCTCCCTTGCCGGGCGGGATATCTTTACGCTCTTCATTGTATGCACCTTTTACTTTTATTAGCTTTTAAATTCTGCTCTGGATTCTAGTTACCTCATTCATTTTTGTCTGCAATGTTTCAGATTGAACAGTTGGGTTTGAAGACAACGGATGTTGAAAAACTACCTGAGCTCTTAAATATGGTCACAATCGAGGTCAAACCGAGTAAATGACTCAAGCAACTGTAGCACCACTTGACTTTGGTTCCGAATATTAAGAATAAAAGAGCTGCCAATAACAATTACCTCTAGTTTTATTGTATTTTCTTTTTTGTTTTTTTTTTTCATTTTATCAATTACCCTCAATAATTACAATCAGTTGAATAAATTGAAAAAGATGTATTTGACTCCATGTGAGCCTATCTAGTGGCAAAATAAAAATCAAGATAGATCTTAATTTTAAATGTTGATACTTATGTTCAAAACTCTAGTGGCTCAATCTCCCCATTTTTTCATGCTTACATCTTTTGTGTAAAGCAAGAGATCATCCCAGAATAATTTTTTGTAAATTAAATTGAGACATTTCGGAAACACCAGCTGCTTGTCATGCAGATAATTATTTAGAGCTAGTGACTCCTTAAAACCAACCGAATCCTCCCCTAATTTATCTGTCAAGTATCCTTGAATCGGGGGAATGGCATGGATGCAATATAAATGTCTTTGGATTCCATACGTATGATCTGCTGGGTTCTTTTCAACATTCAAAAGATGGGCTTTTTCTGGTGTAGATCTGAAATTTTGAGCAGAGCCTATAATAGGACAATATGTTGGTTCTTTTTTTGCAAGTGATAGAGATACACCTGCCTGAAAAATTGGAGGAGGAAGAAAAATAGATTTTTCTAGAATTTAGTCAGACCTCCATAATTTTTTGCAAGTCCCCAGAAATTTGTCAAAAAATCATAAAAAACCCTTTTGTTTCTATTCTCTTTAAAAGTCCTGCTGAGTTAAGGATTTCGGTTTTACAGAGCTGCTTTGAACCATACTGAGTAATGGAAAAGAGCGCCATTTAAAATATTTGACTTCCCTTATGCAGGATGATTTGGGAGTCCCTCATCACCTCTGTAACCCTTAGGGTTCTTGCCTATTTTTAGGGTGGTCCCTTTAAATTTTGGGGGTGTCAAAAAGTTGTTTTCTTTGACCTAGGAGCACTCACAAAATTTCAAGTCTCTTTTTTCAATTTGACCTAAAGTTACAGGTTTGTTGCCTGGCGCTTGTGGAGCAGGAATTTTGGATCACTCTGTTTTTTCGGGTACCCATGTAAGGCCTGTGCCATATGAGTAATATTCTTCATGATGGGTTAGTTCAAAGTATGGACTGATGCTCTGAATTGAGTTGCTTGCTGGTAGATTAGTGCTGGGACCACACTATCTTGTGGAGAAAACTAAGCCAATTGAAATTGAAACATGAATAGATTCTCCGTAATCTTCTCTGAGTTGCATATTGATACATGACACATATCACATATTCAAATTTTATTTTGAAACAGCACAACCTAACCACCCTAGTAAGATTTAAGGAGTGATTTTGCTGGGTGAAACTTGAGCAAATCATAGCATTTCTGTTGACATGTTACAACATGTTTAAAGATACAGAGAGATCATAAAGGCTTGCCAAAATATTACAATTATTTTCGATAGATCAGGGTGTAATGATATGATTTTGAATTAAAAAGATTTCATGAGCTAATCAGATAGCATTAACTTAGTCTTTTATTTTTTAACTAGGCTTAATTTTCATGTACAGTTGATGAATATAATACAAGATCATGGTTGATATTGTACAACAGGAAGAACAACTCAAGCTTACAATTAAAGTTAAATACATAACAGTAAATTTTCTGAACGATAGTTATTGCTAATTTTAGTTTTGACATGTGATTACCATAGTGAAGAAAGGAATAAAATGCAGATGATTTGAAGGTACATTGGATGTGGTCAAAGTTTTGTCAGTAAAAGCCTCTTTTTCAAAAATTTGCAGTTATTGTTCAAAATTATTTCCGATTCACTATTATTACTCTTAATAATTTGCGTGTGCTCAATAAACTCTCACTGCACCCACCAGCATAAAAAGATTCTTTTACATTAGTATAGTTTCAAAATACAAGGACCTACCAGGACTGTCACAGTAAAAAAATGAGTAAATTCACTTTGCTTGTTAGTGAAAAAAATAAATGTTCAGTAAGAATATTAATGAGCCAACATTGTTATAGTTAAGTCAAATGTATACTGAGATTTCATTTCAAAATAGTCAATCGCTGCTGAAGAGTTTTAACGTTACTACTATAACTTAAAAATTGATATCTTTCTTAGAAACTGGATGTAACTGTTTCTTTAAAGGTAGCAAAGAAACTAATGGTATTTGATCCTGGCAAATTTCTTTGAATTTTAAACAGGTATGGTACACATATAGAACATAAACATTCAAGAGAAGTGAACATCAAACTAATGTCTTGATCTACGTTTCAGAGGTCAAGTTTCATGATAAAATTATGTAAGCAGCCAGTCTCAGGCTGTGATAGAAAAATGCAAGTGTGAGGAAAGATCTGTGAACATGCATTTTCCATATAAAACAAACTTAAAAATTTTAAGTAAAAAACTTAATTGTGTAGTTTTTATTCTAGCCACGCATTGAACAAATGCTAAAATGAACAAAAAAAACTTGAAAAAGAATAAAATAATTGTGACTAATTCATTGCTGATGCCAATAGTTGAGATGGCATGAGAATTGGCCTGGAGTTATTTAAAATAATACATTTCACTTGTCAAAGAGACACAGACATGGAGTAAAAACAAGGGATAAAAATTGAGGAGCAGCCTTTCCTTCTTTGACTTGTTTGCAAAGTGCAAAAGAATGAGCTGAACACATAATACTGTTAAATCAACTTGGTGCTAAATAATTGCACACTATTTCACATACTCGGGCTTCTAATGGAACTGCTGTCGCTTCTTGGCCGCCCTCTGTTTGTCAAATCGCATTTCCATTTCTTCAAGGACCTTAGGTGTATAGCGAACGACTAATTTTACAGAACCTTGAGCTGCTTTCAATAGTTCCACTGCTTTTTCATGGTTTTCCCCTTCAACAGACTGCAATCAGAAATGAAGAGATTTTTAGAGATATTTTCAGTGAAACAGAGTAGAAAATGTATTCTTGAAAGGGCTGAGTAAAAAGATAACTTCAGGACTTTTTTCCAGAAGAGAATGTGAAATGATAGAAGAGTGATTTGCAAGAAACCATTTGTGAAATATTCCTTAGTTTTGGAAACAGACGTGTTGCCACTGCCTTTAAAATTCTGTTTGAGATTGTGGGGAGACAGCAGTTTTCCCGTGCTTGCTTGCAGAATCTCCAATTTTGAACAAATTCTCTCCGCGAATTCGGAGGTTTAGAGAGAGGTTTAAAACTGCTATCTCTTCACAATTATAAATAAAAAATTTGTAAGAATACTACCTTGCCAGAGGTTTCAATCATTTGTTCACAAAACAGTGCAACAATGGCCCTGTTGCAAACTTTTGCTAGAGCAAAAATAAGAGTTGTTCCTTGTAAATAATGTCTCAAAAATTACGATGAGTGCATCGGCAAACTTTGAAATGTACTCTAAACTTCACAATCTGCGAGAGAAATTTGCGTTTTTTTAAGCTTCCCACTTCAAAAAGGATACTATGGTATATGTGAACATTTCGTTAGAGGAGTCGTACTATTCAATCCCTGCTCAACATGGCGGACGCTTCCGCGTACAATTGAGGAGAGCTTGAGGTCAATCAAGACAGATATCTATCAACGCGAAAAAAATGTGAATGTAAACACCCCGATTGTTATCAGGTGGTTAGAATCATCGTCCCGTCTCATAGGTTTTGGCGGATTGGCGTCAGCTATGTTGAATATTGCGAAGGTAGTGTCCATGTGAACAGGGGTTGGATGGAATGACTCCTCTGAGGATATGTTCACCTGCGCCGTGGTATCATCTTTGAAGCGCCTAATTTTGGTACAGTTTTCGTGACTTGTCTGAGAGTGAAGGTAGAAAAACAGGAGACTACTACATGCTGAAAATGAGTCTAATAATTAGTTTCGGTCGCAATCAAAGTTACGTCAAAGAGTATATTTCTTTGCAATTTAAACAGTGATTGCATGAGCTTTGTCTCTCTAAAATGAAAAAGTTTCTGTGTTCCTACAAAAATTTACTTTAGCTCATAACAAAAAAAACAAAACCATCTCTCTATCAACAGAATTTAATTCAAATGTATTATAGTTGTGCTAAGGTCATGAGATATGGAAAAAGTTGCCACTGATATTTTGAAATCTGAATATTTAATCTTCCAATAGATCACTTAAAACACAAAGGCAAAAAGAAAAAATTGAATCATCGCCAGGAGCTCTCAAACTCTGGTTTTTCAATTTCATTATTAGTGTATTTTCCGAAGGAAATACACTAAGTATTTTAAGTATACATGCTACTTGTAAGCCATCAATGATTCAAGTTTACACACAATTGCACAGTTCTGTACTTTTATGGACGCGTTGTACACAAATTTCTGCATTTTTTTGGTTATCATTATTCCTATACCTTAAACTTTCCTTTTGAGTTACTATAGTAAGCTTTGGTTTCAGTTTTTCATCTTTCGATTTTTAAAAATGAGAGCACTTAGAAAAGACCTGTATTGTCTTTTCATTTGCCTCTCTTGCAGTCTTCAGATGAGTTCTTCTAAAAGTAAATCTAAAGCTAATGAAAAGTAAATAGTAAATAATAATGAGCTGAAGTTGGTAATTTAATATGTTTGCCGAAACGCAAATAAACGCCACAGACTCACCACTCCATTGACTGAAAGTAATTGATCACCGCGTTTCAGGCCACCATGTCGATCAGCCACCCCACCTGGAATAATTCTTGAGATGTAAATAGGTGAATTTTGCTCTTTCCCTCCCATGACATTGAAACCTAGACCTTCCTCTGTTTTTGGTAATTCAACGACTCTCGGATGAGCATGTCCTTCGCTGGCTGCAAATGCTGCCACTGTTGCTTTGGCTGTTGCGGAGGCACGAATGTCAGGTGAACCTTGAACGTCCACAGTTTCATAAACATGTTCATAAACTTCCCGCACCGAGGCTAAAAAATCACTCTGGAGCACCTTTTGTAAGGCAGCTAGTTTAGTGACAGGCACTTCGCCACCTGGAAAAAGATGATAGGTATATTGTAGAAAGGCAATGGAGCTCTTGCATGCCACAAGAACATGTGATTTAAGTACTGTTCCCCTTCCAAATTTTGGCTTTAGGCTATAGGCTTTACAAAAACTAACTTTTTCCGCGTTTTAGAAGATCGAATTTAAAGTTCTATAGCTTGTTAGAAAGCTGAGAGTGTGACACACAAAACCCTTTTTGCCGGTTTTTTATTCATGGAACCGTTAAAAAGATATGGCACTATCATACTTACTTTTGAGACAACCCTTGTATGGTGGCGGGATGAGACTAAAGCCCTATCTTCATCATGCAATATATCGAATTTTGATGATATACCATTACCATGCTGTTTTACATTATCGATAATCCATCCGCAGCTAAAGAGATAATCTTGAGGAGGGCAGTATAAATGCCACAATTTTCATAATTGAGTAAGTATTTGACTCGGCATTCTGATGATGCATACAAAAGTGTCTAATTTGGGTTTGAATGTCTTTTTTCTCATAGGAAAACAAATAAAAGACAATGACTGATTTTATCTAAGTGCCTGTTTGCACCGTAGGTGCCATTACGTTTTGAGTTTCTTGGTTCTTCTCTTAGTTGCTTCCAACCTTTTTCAACTTTGAACCCTGTCTTTTTCATAAGAAAATTAATTATGAGGACCAAATTCTTTAAAAAAAAATGCTTTTAATGGTGGCTCCGCAGCTTGCCATAAACTTGCAAACTCTCAGGCAATGGAGAGGGATTACATAGTTTCGAATTAATTTCTGAGGCTCCCTCAGTTATTGTTTTAGATGGGAACTGGATATAAAGGAAAACTTACTTTTTTGAAGCCTTTCAAGTAGTTCAGCCGCTCTTTTGACATCTAGAAACAATATGAAAAAAGTAGTGAAATTAACATTTTACCATTGAGAGATTTTGATAACTTCTAGAATATTTAGATAGGATATAACTCAAAATGAGTAATTTCATGCCAAAAAGGGAATCTTTTTGTAAAGTTACAGAGGTGTTGTCAGATGAGTTGACCATTGTTACTTTCGGTTTGCAAGTATTTTCGCGTAACTACTATCCACATGAAAACATCCGACTCTCCCAGAAGCAAGAACACAAGCTTAGATTAGTTATTAAATACTTTCAAACCTTGTGGTACTTTAATTTTTAGCCACACAGAAATCACAACCATGTATAAGTCGCGAATCAAAACTGATAAGTAATTTTTTCACGATACGATCATGAGACGGATGTTTTCAAGGTGAATAGTTGCGAACACCACTTTGTGCAGAGACCTAAATTCGTCGTCTGTGCTTGCAAACAAAAAGTAAACAATGGTATCAACTTATCTGACGACACCTCTTGTCTATACTAAATCAGTCAGTGCATTTTCAGACTGAGACAGAAGATCCGCGAGCTCGATTCTCGTAATTAATTTCCATGCTAAAATTATATCAGACGATCTTCTGTTACCGTCTAAGGATGCATTAACTTATTTGGCATTGACTCAATCTCTCAACCAGAGGATAAGTGCTTCAACACCCAAAGAGGAACATGTAGTAACAGGGAACTGAGATGGAAAATAAATAGTGAAAAAAGCTATTACTATGAAGCTATTTGTTAAAATTATAATTGGTTGACTCTGTGACATATCCTAAGGTGTCCATGCTTGATTTTTTTTGCCTTCATTGGCTTCTCATGTACAGAAAATTTCACTTACACCTTGTGACCAATTCGACGGTGAAAGTCGGCAATCACACGTTTGCGGTGTCTGAAAATCTCCGCCTCTACGTCATTTTTATAAAGGAGAACAAATTGATGTTGTTTCTTGAAGTTTTTGCAGAATTTTCTTCGCATTGAGAAGAAAAATCATGACAGTTTTAAAGAATTGCCGTTGAGTAGTTTTCCATTTAAAAAATAAAGTATGACAGGAAGTCTGCGACGTCGCAAACCGAGTTATGTGATTGCCGACTTTCACCGTCGAATTGTCGTTAGTCAGCATCGTTGACAAAATATCTGATAGTGATGGAGTTACTGTGGTGCCAATACAAGAATTGGGACTTTTGCTTCTGTTATGAATAGGTAAATCAGATCGACAAAAACAAATCTATTGTTAAAATATAACCTCGATTGCAAGAGGCACACTGAGGAATGCCAACAAAAGCAAGCAGTCAAAGATATTACAGTCACATTAGCACTATTTTGCTGATGGAAATGAAAAGTATCCATTGAAAACAAGGAGAAATCGCCAATATACCTGAAGTATGTAAAGGGAAGGAACCATTTATTTGATACTGTAAAAGTTAACTGGTAACATATCGAAGCAAGAGTACTTGAGCCACCAGCTAACACAATTGTAAACTTAGACGGAATGATTTGGATTCTTTATTTTCCTGCTTTAAAATCTACTTCCAAGCAACCCAATAATTACAAAAATATTATATGCAATACCTTTAGCTAGTGTCAAAGGTTCTCCGACGGCTGCCATTTAATACCACACTATAGTAATGACTAACACTTGATCGCAGACACTTCTAAATTAATTCATTTACTTTGTGCTTATGAAATTTTCTACAGCAGTCTACAAAAATTTATTGTTATGTCTTAGTTCAATGGTTTAAAATAGTTAATGAATGAACAAAGGCTCTCGGAAAGCGAAAATCCAGCTGAAGCTAAGTGATATGAATGATAACAGATAAGAAAAAGATCAACGCTGCCATACCACGGAAATACGTCTTATGAGGCATCAGGCGTTGTCAAATGCCCTTTGACCAATCACTAATTTTCAGGATAATTAAGGAATATCTTTATTCAGATTTTTGAGAAGGTTTTTTTGTTAATTGGTCTAAAAATTTCAAGTATTGCAAGGAAAACAGATGATAACATTCTTCAAAAATTATTATTCTCTAAAAAGAAATTTGGCAACATTTAAATGCTCATACGGCATTTTCAATATCACAACAGAACCGACATTGCATAGATAAAGAAATAGGAGGTGGTCGCATTTTGAGGATTTGTTCATCCCGTGACGTAGACAGGTACAATATGGCGGCGATAACAGCTTATTCCGAAATTCCTTAAACGAGTAAGGAAAACGGACGATGTCCGTTTTTCGCTTACATTTATTTAGTTCAATTCATAATATGATTTCCAACACTTTTCATGTGACATAGACATATTTTCCACTATTCAAGAAAATCGATTATGTAGAGCGTCTGTACCTGTCCTACGTCATCGAATCGCCGTTCGCCAGAGTCGACGTCGTGCCCGTCACTTCTACCCTGCCTGTTCGGTTCTGACCTCTCCTCTCTTGTGTGACGAGGAAAGCTCCAACTTGAATCGCTCGGAACCCATCGGAACCCATCCCATAATCGCTCAGCCTCAGTTGCACTTTTCCCAATTCTGTGACTTTACCGTCGCGACTGAATTGAAATTTTAGTTTTCGGGACAATATGTTGGCGAGACAGCTTTTACGTGCTGGTAAGTTACAGTTTAATTGATTTTTAGTATCAAGTTCTTTCTAGGTTATATGCCCCAGAATATTGATGAAGGTTATTTACCAATATCTTACTCCAAACCTATATTCTTAGTCAGTAGCTCTTCCTCGCCCGTGCACCTTCGGACTAAGCGTCATTAACGTATGCAGTGCACCCAGCAGAATGTAATTCAGTCAAGTTTGTACGCGCCCAAGATGAACGTTTCTTATCATGGTGTCGATACTCTCCTAATCCTGGTCACTGAGAGCCTCCCGTAGAACTAAGTAGAAGCATTGCAGGAGGTCTCTTTTGAGGTCGTTATAATTTCGCATCACAGTTCTCGAAGGTGGACAGTTGTATACAGAGTTATACTTCATTTAATTTTGCATATTGAATGCCCCTCATTCAACCCTATCAAAACTACTCATGCGCTGGCATTTGTCTCCCTCACATTAGAGCTTGTGCATTGTGTGTTGAGACATACTTCCAAGTATTGTTTATGTCACCATTCATCAGTGGTGCCAGCTAACTGCATGTATCAACCTGTTGAGTGGCGCTAATTCAAAGCTGATCAGAGATTGATGTTTGTCTCAACAAACGATGCGCTAGCTCTAGATGCTATGTTTAGCCTCCACCGTAATCTTTGTTTATCCTCAACCATATTCGTTCAGTCTGCACCTCCTTTTTTCCGCTATATATTTACCTCCTAAGAATGAAGAGAAACAATGTCAAGAGCCGTTTAATCACAGTAGCGGGCCAAGTTATACAAAACAGGCTTGAATGTAAATTTATGCTGTGTAAAAACAAATGCACAAGCACTTAAATGAACTAATCTATTTTGATGTGACACCTACCTCATCTGAGTTAATCTTTCCACAATGTTCCTCTTATCTCCTACTGAGGTGTTATAGGTGGCTCATCTGAGTTAATCTTTCCACAATGTTCCTCTTATCTCCTACTGAGGTGTTATAAGGGTTTTTTTTTTATCCGTGGAACGCATGGATCGCGATGATAGCGGTTCGGGCTGGTTCAACCAGCCTGAACCAACCTCAACCTACCTCGGAAGAGTGATCCAAGCGTTCCACTGGAACACATGGAACAGTTGGATCGCGCCAGTGGGACGCGATATAAAAACGATGCGTCCCGTTGTGGTTCGGATAAAAAAAAGGCCCTATAGGTGGAAGGAGTAGTGTTTCAGTATTAGTGACAGTATGTTCAGGTAAACCAAACGACTTTCAGGCACAGGCACTTGAAACGCTGTGAAGATAGAGCTCGCGCATTGTATGTTGAGACAAACATCAATCTTTGATTAGCTCAGAATTAGCACCACTCAACAGATCAATACATGCAGTCAGATGGCACCACTGGTGGTGGTGACATAAACAATACTTTGACATTTCTCTCAACATACGGTGTTCAAGCTCTAGATGGGATTAGCCCTTGGGAGCTATTTGAGGGGGGCAAAAATCACAGCAGTTTTCTAACTTAGAAGACCAATCACTTCCTCAAGTTTAGTTAGTAAAAACACGTAAATTGGTTCACCCCAGACTGCTGGTTGAAAATCAAGCAAAGAGGTAAATTGACTATTTCTGCAAGATGAAAACGCTTCTAAAATTTGGACCTGAATTAATATAGCTATTTAGAGATGTGATAATATTCTCTGTTTTTTACCTTGTTGCAGGGAATTTGAGGCACACAAGCCGCGTCTTTAGCTCTTCTCAGGTTACTCCACCAGCTCCATCCCAATCGCCCCTTGAAGCAGCATACAAAAAGTATGTGGTTGATACAAAACCTTGGGAAAAGCCTGTAATCCCCGTAATGGTCACAGAGGGTCCTGAGCGAGATGAAAAAAATTTTCCCAGACCGACAATCAAACCTCATGCTGACCCTTGCAGATTCTTATTCATCCCTGAATCTTGGTTTGATATGCTCTACAATAAACTTGGAGTAACTGGTGCGTTCCATTGTTCTATTATTATTTCTTTACTTTTAATCAAATTATTAACAGAAACTATTCTTGTTAAGAATTTTTTGTTTCCAGGAGAATTTAGTTCTCTCTCTACATCTCTTTTGTATCTTTCCAGTGTGAATGAAACTCTGGAAGCATAGTTTCCAGATAGGTGTCTTACTAATTTTTGGTAATCTCATCAAAGTAGTTCTAATGAGAAGGGGTAAAGACCTTTACCACTAATGATCAAGTTTTCAGTACCGACGAAAATGTGCACTCTGTTGCCATTTTATCAGTTTCATGGGCCAAACAACATATCATACAGGTACACCAAACAGGTTTACTTTTACTCAGGACTAGTTCACTTTTGGTATTTCAGAACGAAAGGTACCAATAAATCACCAACAAGACATCGTATTTTTCTTTATGCAAATCCTAGCGCAGGTACTTCGAGAAATTGATTTAGCAAGGCTCAAAATATTCTCTCATTGCAGAGCAGCTATGTTCCACTTGATATTAATAAGGTTTTTCTCATTGCTCTTTTTTTCCAGGTCCCTACACTCTTGGTGGCGGTTATATTATGTATTTGTTCAGCAAAGAAATTTGGGTTATGGATCACGATCTGCCCTATGTAGCTTGTCTCTTTACCGTCCTTGCCGGTACTTATTACAAATATGGAGACTTAATCGCCAGATACTTTATAGACAATATGGAAGTGAGTAATTGCAGAAATAGAATTTTGTCTAGTTATAGAAAGTACTTTCATACGGAGAGAGTGGTCATTTTGGTTACTGACGCCAATCGATTACAAGATCTTAGTCCTTCATAGAATTCACCAAAATAGAAACACAATTTTGGCTTATTAGCATACATTGAATGACTTTGATGATGTTTTCACAATTTCTTCCAGTTTAAAAAACAATTAATTAGAAGTGGAGAAAGAAAAGGAGAGACATATGTTACATCATCAGTTGGCCCATTAGTTACTTGTAAATTTATGTTGAATGGTGCTGTTCTTTGATGTAACATTTGTCTCTTCTTTTCTTTCCCCAGGTCTAATACTGAATTCTACTTAGGTGCATGCGTGTAATGCAAACAAAAGTATTGATAGAAACTCATGAATTGGTTTTATTCCTATCCATAGTAAACATATCATGTTTACGGTGTTTTAAAATTACTGCTTTCATTTCATATCATTGAAAGTGAATAAATCAACATCATTCCTTAAAGTTTTCACAAATTTTCTTCGCTTTTAAAAGAAAGATTATGAAAGTTTTAAAGAATTGTCACTGAGTAGTTTTCCATTTAAATTATAAAGTATGACAGGAAATTTGCAACGATGCAAACCGAGATACTTTGTTTGGAAATTTCACAGGGGTTATTCCATACCAAATCAGGCCAAAATACAGGATTTTTTTTAATTAAAAGAATTAAACTTTTCAAATTTTGAAAAAATTATAGCAAGTGCACGAAGCCACTAAGAGCTCAAGTGCAAAATTTCATCGTGGAACTATGATAGTCTCAAAAGTTACGACCAAAAATCGAGAGCTAATTCAGGTATGGGGCACCGTGGAGGGAAAATTGGATGGGCGACCTGAGTCGCCAGTTCTCGGAAGCAGCCGGTCGGAGCCACAGCTTGGCTCATCCAGCAGTCAACAAATTCTCACCCTGTATTGTACAAATGAAAAATGCCATACTAACATTCATGGAGGCGTTTTCCATCCTGAGTAGAGTTTCCTACTTCTCTGGCGTACACAAATCAAACAAGTTTACCACCTGACCAAGGAGGATTATGTTAAAACTATTCAGGAATTTCAGAGATCTTTTGAGAGACACTGAACGAAAGAATGGTATTTATGTTTCTCTAGTAATAAATCATTTCATTCTCATCACTATAGGTACTCATAAAAAGTCTTAGGATACTCCTGTTAGGCGTGATTCAAATTCTGGAAAATTTACAGTCATGGCGCAGCATAATGAAAAAGAATAATGCAAATGCACTTCTAGCATTTTGGCCCGCAGCCATCTGGACCGGCCGCTTCTGAGAACCGGTGACTCGAGAACTCAAGAACGGGTTGTCAGTCAAATTTTCCTCCGCGGGTGTGCTCTGTACCTGAATTAGCTCCAGTTTATTGGTCCTAACTTTTGATGCCATCAATGATTTCATTTGTATCTTTCCTCTAATCATTGTCTTTATATATACGGGGTGTCCCAGAGCCGTACCAGGCTTTTTTCTCGTTTGATTTAGGTTGGACGAAGTAGGCAACCGTGGGGTAGAATATGGAATCGACCCTAAGAAATCCGAATTTCATGGTCTCGAACCCCCCCCCAGCATTCCTAGGGGGGTAAAGGGGGGGTCTTGATCCTATAAGTCGGGTTTTTCGATCTAATTTCGATTCGGTTTCATTAGAATTGAAAAGTACGGAAAATTTCACGTGAAATCGACCCCTAAAAATCCAAAATCGGACCACTTTACGCCCATAAATGAACTCTCAAAGAGGGGGGCAGTAGCCCCCTACATAGTTTCTCTTTGGTCAAAATTTGATACAGATTCTCCGGATAAAGATGATTTACCACGAAATCGACCCCAAGGAATACGATTTTTATGTTCCCGAAGCCCCCCTCGCCTCCCTTGGGGGGCAAATGGAGAAGGCAAAATTACAAAAGTTGGGGGAAATTGTGACACCCATTTTATCCCCCCCCCCCCNAGGGAGGCTAGGGGGGCTTCAGGACCATAAAAATCGGATTCCTTGGGGTCGATTTTGTGGTAAACCATCTTTATCCGGAGAATCTGCGTCAATTTTTGACCAAAGGGAAACAATGGAGGGGGCGGGGTTGCTGTCCTTCTCTTAAGGGATCATTTTTGGGCGCAAAGTGGTCTGGTTTTGAATTTTTAGGGGTCGATTTCACGTGAAATTTCCCGTTCTTTTCAATTCTAATGAAAACTAATCGAAATTCGATCGAAAACCCCAACTTTTAGGATCGTGATCCCCCCTTTATCCCCCTAGGGATGCTGAGGGGTATCAAGACCATGAAATAAGGATTTCTTGGGGTCATTTCCGTATTCAACCCTGCGGTTGCCGACTTCGTCCGACCTAAATAAAACAAGAAATAGGCCTGGTGCGGGCGCTCTGGGACACCCTCTGTACACAAATATATATTTCTGTACTATGTACAAACACTTATATTTTTACTTTCTCGCTCCCCTAGGGTAGAGAGGAAGTATTGTCATCCCCCAAGAAAGAAAAAAAAAAAAAAAAGTTGACATTTTTCAAGGTTGGTTTCTAGAAGTTGTGTTTTGTGAATTCCTTTTCCTTGTTAAATTTTGAAGAGAAATCATGTTCTGTAATCTCTCAATTTGTACCTTGTCTAGAGGGCCGTTTCTTACCACGTCTAGGGGCTCTTTGTCATGATACATTTTGAAGTCCTATTTAATTGAACCTCCAACAGTTCCTTATGGTATTAGGTAATTATTATTCTATCATTGAAGACTCACATTATGTTATGTGAAAGTATTTCACTTTTACTTACTATTCTTGACTTTATTTTATTTTACAGAGAGAGGAAAATATTATGAAAAACTGGAAATTGAAGAATATGCAAGCTCATGAGGACAACATAAAAATGTTTGAGAAGGAAATTTGGCGCTCAGAATCTCAAAAAGAAATATTCGTGGCAAAGAAGGAAAATGTTTTGATGCAATTAGAAGCAGAATATAGGAGACGTGCCAACGAAGTCTACCAACAAGTATATATTCTCTTCTCTTATCTCTTTTCTCCTCAATAAGTTTTAATTTCAACAAAAATAATCCTGATCAGTTGTTTAGATAAGTTCATTGCACTTAGTCCACTGGAATTTTCCCAGATTTTTTCGAACTATATTAACTCATGAAAAATGAGCTATAAGTTGTGTACTTTGATTTCTGATTTAACCACCACTGACAAAACCAAGGTGATCTCTGAAAATATTCCTCCTACTGTTGGTACTCTTCTGACTGTGTCATGTCTCTGCTGCAATTCATATTTGTACTGCATTTTGCAATTTGGAACTATAAACTCTGGCTCATTTGAAAAAACACTTATGTGCGTAGGGGCACTAATGGCACATACGTTGTTTTGAAACCAGGCCAGAATTCATAGTTCCAAATTGCAAAATGCAGTCCATTTGATGCAGTTGCTGTCAAAGCATCAGCCAATAATGTAAATTTTTACCAGCAGTTGTGCTAAAAGTATGTAACTACCACAAATTGTAAATTAAAAGGGTTTAAAATAGCCCTTCTTCAGCACATTAGAATTAGCTATCTATGTTTGGGAGAGTATTGCCATCCCTGTGTGGCTCTCTGATTGGCTCATCAGTTCTAGACTTTCAGGGGGCCCCCAAGTTGACCCAATGTTAACGAACCAGAACGAGAGGAATTCGTATTATCGGGTGAGAATTGAATGATATCACACTAAGGCCTTGTCTCCACAAGATGTTCATGAGATTTGTTCCAAGTTCGAATTGTAGGAATTAAACCTCTGGGCTTTTTCTTTGTTAAACAAAATAAAAAAAGTTCTTATACTTCTCTCAGAGTAGCTTTTAGGACTCCACAAGGACTCTGCTAGGTACTGTGACCAGTATTGACTAACTCAATATTTATTCCCAACTTCACATGGGAGATGTTTCTCTGGGACAAATCCTATGAAATGTCGTGTGGAAGCAAGGCCTAAAAGGGTAATTTTCGGCATCATGTTTGTTTAAATTGGACGAAACTTGTAGTAGAGGGGCTATCGTGAAAGCCTCAAACTCGCTGACCAATCAGAGAGCGGAGAACTTTTTCTGTAGTAAAGGGGTCGAGATACCATTATTCTCCTGTACCAAGGTACTCTGATAAGAATGTGTAATTGTGTGCTTTGTGATTCCAAGTTAGGCTTTGGTCAGGATTTACTCAGAAGTCATGGAATGAAAACAAATAATTAGCTACTAACCTTGTGTAACCACCGATAGCTCAGTTTTGATAAGAGTTGTGATTGTGAAGGACCACTTGGAGGAACAGAATTTAATGAAATGAATTTTTGTTCTAGGTTAAAAGACGTTTGGACTACCAATTACAAATTCAAACCATTGATCGGCGTATTGCTCACAAGCACATGGTGAACTGGATAATTGATAATGTCAAAAAATCAATCACCCCTCAGCAAGAAAAAGAATCTTTGAAGAAGTGCTTTGCAGATCTCCAATCTCTCGCTGCTAAAGCCTAATCTTTTACTAAGCTGTAACTCATGTTTAGCTATCCATAGGGTATAAGCACCAGAAATAAAGTCTCTCCTTAATTTTACCTATTCTTGTAATCGGATTCTATTCTTAAGTTTTTAGTCCCTAATTTTGAATATGTTCTTTGTTTCGAAAAATAAATTGTTATAATGAGTATTTTTTGAGGGTCTTATTTTTGTAGTCTTTCATGACAAGTGAAGATCAAAATTGTACCACCATATTGATCTTCAGTGCATTTTAGTCGTAAAATCCTGAAATGTAGGAAGTTTCTCGATTACAAATGACATTTCTGATGAAATCTTTATTTTATGTAATAAAGAAAATTAGTACAGAGCTGCGAGAATGACAGGAAAGGAATTGTTGAATTGATTACAGATGGAGGCATGGGGCTCTGTCCTTTTTTCCCCTTCTCTCCCACCCCCTTCACAGTGTAGATGCAGCATTTAAATTGGACCGTGTTAAACAGAAAGGAACACTGAGAAAAAAAGTTCGGTAAATCCGAACTAGTTAGGTTCATATGGAACCACGATTTTGTTCGGTACACACGACCGAATTATTTGGTCTGCTCAGCCGAACTGTTCGGTCCACTGAACCGAACCGTAAGAATTTATTATGGTTCGGTTGCACAAACCGAACGATTCGGTTGAACAGATCGAATAATTCGGTTGTGTGTACCGAACAAAATCGTGGTTCCATATGATCCAAACTAGTTCGGATTTACCGAACTTTTTTTCTCAGTGAACCAAGCCACATCAGCTATTGCCAAATTTAATCAGGCAATTTAATTTTTTACATGATAACGGTTGTGCGGATTTTTGTGCAAATTTCTACAAATTTTCTCCATAATACAAAGCAAATTCCCTAAAATTTTCAAAGGAATCCGCACAAACATTCTCTCGTAAAAAATCAAATTCTCCTGTTAAATTTGGCAATAGCTGTGGGTTGGTTCCTTTCTGTTTAATGCGGTCCAATTATCCATATAAATGCAATGATGAGAATTTATGAGAATAAATAAGGAGAGATGCGATTACTTTAATTCAATGAATCTTTCATGCCAAAGTTGAAAATCCATTCTCGAAGTCAAAATTAGTCAAATATATTTCTTCTAAATTAAAGCCAAAGCATTTTGCTGGTCTATGGCACAGAAGCAAAATATCCTACTTATAAATTTAAACCCTTCATTTAAATAGAATTCTGACGAAAAATATCAAGGATCTAATACTTCATCTGTTGATTACAAACAGGAAAGAAAGGGTGCAGACTTCTCACTTTAGAGTATGAGGATGCAAAAAAGGTTCGAAGTCTGGTAGAGAGGAATGGAGGAAGACTTTCTTTCAGGGTGTCCAGCAATTTCCAAAAATAAAATTCTCTGACAAATACGGCAAAAAAAAACCGGGGAAAAATTAAAAATTCCCTGACAAAAAGGAAAAATATTCCTAATTCTTCGACACAGTCGAACTGATGTGAGAATTTGTTCATGTTTTAGGGATATAATGTAATAAATAGAGCAAAATATATGGTGCCTGAACTTGCACAAGATACGTTTGCCTAGTTTTTAAAATTTAAAAAACATCAGCAGAAATTCTGGTAGAAATTTTAGTAGCGATTCGATTTTTCTGCAACTTGATTCATGAAAAATTTTCAGCACAAAGAAAATCCTTGTTTATCGGTTTCCTTGACACCAAAATCGCTAACATAATAAAATTACCTGACATTTTCTTTAATTTCCCCGACTTATGAAAAGAAAAGAAAATTTCCTGATATTTCCCGGATTTCCAGATCGCTAGACACTCTTGTTACTACTTCTCTCACCTTCATACACATTATATTGAGATTGAGTGAGTGCGAATTAGTCAAGCTTGGAAGCTTATACACAGGGTTATTCAAAAGTTACGCACCACTGATCATAACTTCAGTTCTAATTACGATATCGACAGACAGTTTAAGGCATCCTTCCTCATATCGAGGGGGAAACTTTTTGAGGTACTTTCCAGTTCTTCACCCCCCCCCCCTCCCCGGGAAGGGGGCAGTTCAAAAATTTCAAATGGCAACTCCCATCATGTGATACATCATTAGATAGAGCATAGCCGCCGAACGACCTACTCTAAAAAATGAAGTTACGGGCCCCCAAACTAACCTTTGGACCCCCCTAACTTTTGATAGAGGGGTTGGATCGACTTTCGATTTGCGCCAAAAATGTTCTTTTTTTATGCTGTCCCTAACGATGTATCACAGGTTGATATTTGAAATTTTTGAGTTGCCCCCCTCCCGATTGGAAAGTACCTCAAAAAGTTTCTCCCTCAATATTAGGAAGGACGCCATAAACCGTAAGTCGATATCGTAATTAGAACTGAAGTTGTGGCCAGTGGTACGTAACTCTGGAATATCCCTGTATGGAAAAAGTCTGTCATGGAACACTTTCAGCCACGCACGTTCAGAGAATTTTCATATTACCCTCTCTTGCCTTCATAAAACAGGGTTGCTATAATTTCTTCAATTACTTATCTATTCCCTGACTCCAAAATTTTCGAATTTTTCTGACTTCACAGGGAGAAAATGCCGTGAATGCCTGCCGTAAATTTCCTGATTTCAGGATTTCTCAACCACTGGTAATACTGAAAAAATCGATGGCTGAAGTATGAAACCACCTCCATTGCGGGGTTTCAAAATGATTGCTTTTATTTTATCTTTTGGAGAGGAAACAAGCTCACTACACATATAGCTTGAAAACAGAACATTCTGCTGATGGAGACGAAAAATCAAGGCAGTTTTCGATGAATTACTTTGACTAGTTTGAAAGCATTGAGTAAGACAGGAAGTCTGCAATGACGCAAGCGGAGACGTGACGGTATACATAGTGAGAGATACAAGGTTTTACAAATAGAACAATGTCTGAAAAATATTGACTCAGAACAGTAATTTATTGGAATTATTAATGAAACTTAAATTAGTTTTGACCTTATTTTAAGTGCAATTCATTTTCGTTTTTCATTTTATCAATTAATATTCCTCTCGAATAGGCAAGGAGATCCGCCCCATGTATTAGGCAGATGGGCACTTCAGTTTATAATGGTTACAGGAAATTTGCCATCCCCACTTGCAGAAAAACAATTGTTTACTTGAATCTAAACTCGCATTACAACATTATTGAAGACCTCTGAATCAAGCAATGATCCTCCCTCTTATTTGTTCAAAATAATAACTAGCAGGTGCAAAAACTGAACCCAAGCAACGAAATTGAGGTTGCCACATTTTCATACCTCAGAGACTGTCATGGCAACATCTGTGATTTGACTCACGCAGACTTTTGTTTCTACACGGGCAGGAGGTTTGAATATACGTATCAAAACGCTGGACAACTTAGTTAGGAGTTGACTTAATGATTTTTGCCTTACAAGTTGCATTTTACTTGAAATTTTGATTGGGCGACATGTACCAGAATGCTTGAATTCACACCTTGTCTTGTGGTCAAATTTCCATGTAGTTGCAATTTAGTGCAACCTATGCTACTGGGGTAGGGTAGTAATTCATGGAAGTTGCCAAGGAGCTTGACTCGGCCAAGGAGCATGTTGATGTAAATGATTCTGAGACAAAGATCTGCCATCTTTACACTAGCGGTTGACAGTTGAACTTACAGTTGACATTATTTTATAGTAAAAGCAATTGAATCAATGAGAAAGAAAACACACCAACTCGTAACTCAAAAATGCTCTAATTTCATTAAAGACAGTCAATTTCTATTAAGATCATTGAAGTTAGCGCATCTGTTCCAACTTGGACCTTAAAGTGTCATTGAGTGCTTGTCTTTCAGCACCAAAAATCTTTTTTGTAGATTAACTCCTTTACCTACTGTGCAGTTTTGTGTGTCTTGATTCTTCTCATTTTTTCTGGTTAGAGTGTTCTTGTTTACACTGATTAAATTAAACAGGACTGACTTAAATGATACTGAAATTTGATTGATCAGGACATCTTTCTCCTTCAATTTTTTAGCAGCAAAAATAAATCAATAATTGATAGAGAATTCAAACTTATAAACGTTTATTTTTAAAAATAGTTGGAATAAAAAACAAGGTCATAGTTCTACTTTTCTTCTGGTTTGTTAAATACTAGGGTGTAGTGGCACTTCCCGCAATAATGCCTGTCTTCCATTGCCGCCATGAATACACCACCTCCACAGCTTTCTGAGTCACATTCTCGGCGCAGACGACTGATTTTACCATTTTCATCAACCTGGAATTGGAAAACAGATATCAAAATTTTGGCATTGTAGATATTTGCGCCGGGTCCAAATCCAATCAGACCAAGGGATTAGGGATTGGGGGGGGATTTAGACTAAAGGACTTGACCTTCTCTCCAAGTGGTTTACACCTTTTCTTGTTGCTCATTAAAGATACAGCAATTAAAGCGCAGAAGTCAGATTGGCAAAGTTATGAGATCAGATTTCTTTTGACAGATTGTTATGCTATCTTCAGAGCTATACCCTCAAGCTTAGAGAAGAGACGGCTTCCAGCAGCATGATCCATTTGGACGAATCTCCTACGAATAGATGCAATTTGTGAGAAAAGTGGTCCATGCAAAATTTATAAAAAATTGGAGCATTTACAGTAGTCACTCAACAGTCTCAAAATTTGCTGCAAAAATTACATTGCTCTGAGAGCAAGGCCTAACAAGCCTGGCATTTGCATCGTGCAATACAAAGTTCCATGCAAATCCACCAATAAACAGCCTAAATATTCCCTTACCGCTCCAGGTCGCCATTTCGACCGCCACCATTTTGAGGGGGACAGGATATCCGGAAAACTGATTCCGCCAGAATCGTTTTCCTCGTCCCAAAAAACCCTTCTGATACCAGTTTTCGTCCCAATCCGTCAAAAAAAAACGGAGATGTCAAATTTCCATTATTTTTAACTTTGACCGGCCGCCATTTTGTCAAAAATTAAGATTTTGAAAAGCGGTTTGTGCCAAAAATTTTCTTTTTTCATCTTCTTTCGATTGGTGTGTCACATAGGGGGGTTGCTATTTGAAAAAAAAAAAAAATTGGGGTCCGCAGCCCCTCCCCACGGGGGGACCCCAGAAGTAGCTAACATTGATCGATGAACATCCCCAAAGTTTCTTTCAAAATATTAATTAGGTAAAATTTTAGAGGGGGTGGAAGGGACTTTTGGGACACCCTGTAGATTCTCCCCTAGGGAAAATTAGTACAAGGTCAGACAGTAGAGGAGCTGACAGACGATTCCAAGTTTGCTGCGAGAAGAATGCAAGCTCTGACTGGCAGGGTTGCCACCGAATCTAGAAAATGAAATTCCCTGACATTTCGCTGTTTTCCCTGACAAATTTTGGTGAAATTCTCTGACAATTGAAGATATGCCGGATGGTTGAAAAGACATAAATAGAGATGGTATATGGGCAAAATTTGTAGTTTGATACATTAAACTCATTCTAAAAAATAAATGAAGGTGACCGAACAATTTTTCACTGACATTTTCGCCATTTTCCTTGACATTTCCCGGTTTTCCCTGACTGTGGCAACCCTGGACTGGACTTGGGAGGAAAATAAAAAAAACCTGCAATAGAACTAATATCACTTACGGCCAGCGGTGAGCCCATCTCCCTCATCCCATAGATGCTAAGTGAGATTCAGGTCTCTTCAAGTGATATTAAAAGAAAAAGAAAAAAAATTAAAAAACTTCAGATCATAGGAATGCTTGATGATGCAATTTAAATGCAAGGCTGAGTTTCCTCCCATATAAACCAATGTACAATCTTGCACAGATCATTATTTTGGTGAACTGAACTGATTTAAGGGGGGGGGGGTTTCTGTTGTGTAAGATTTGCTCAAATCCATTGTTAAGTGGACCACCCTAGGATACAAACGCTTGTCACTGAGATAGCATTAGGGGAAAAATATCCTCCCTATATCTGTATTGCTCTCCACTGAAAGCCACCTGTCAGCGTTGTATATCTACGGTGAAACTACAAAAACACAGATCTCGATAACAGTGCTTAAAAATATTAACTCTTATAATTTTTCTCAAGGAAAATCACAGGAAATTAGCAGACAAGGTTTTCTGAGAACATTTTAGAGGTGGCACCGAAAAATCACACAAAATGACCCCTATAGATGCTACGCCATCAATAGTAAAGTAAATTGAGACAGAAAATCTACAACGTCACAAACCCAGATATGTGGTGCGGTGGTTAATGTCAGAATACCAAAAGAAAAAGAAATGCTTGCGAGGAGTTACTAGTACTTATGCATCCTTTGGAGTTAAATAGGTCTACTTATCTTCTGCAGAAAATGTGGACAAGATAATGGCAGTTTTTTGTGGTTTTGACAGATTTCGGCAATACTAACATGCCTACACTAAAACTGAGGTAATTTTCAGCGGCAGAGTGTCCTATCCTACCACAGGTTAAAACAAAGCACTGCCGAGACCGCTACTTCTGACCTTAAAATAATCAGCAGCATATTGATTGAAGACCAAGAGGCCGTCCAAAAATTATGCAAGGCACTTTTTCTGATTTATAGACCCCCCCTCCTCTCTGTAAGGCACTCGTGAGGCTAACCTGGACCCCCCTAAATAATAATGTGAGGCTGGCCAGACCCCTCCCCTTTCTATAGTTTAAACGCATAAATTGATGAAAAAATGGTATTGCAACAAAATGGCATTGTCTTAAACATTACTGAACACTGGCAGGATATCATAAAGTCAAATGGCAGGATTCGCAAAAGTGAATAAATTTATGCAAAAACTGAGTCAAGTGCGTGCTTTGTAAACGACGGTTCGTAACAATAGTATTAGTAAATCGTTCTGGATGATTGAAAATCATAGATGCGCTGCATTTCTGGGCCCTAACTTTAGTCGCGGAAGCATCGGTGAAGGCCTGATGGATTTTTGGAGTTTCACATCTGTCTATACTCTTGCTATACAGGTATTCTACTTGACTCCCCCTCCCCCAAGTGCCTTATGAAATTTGTGGACGGCCCCCAAGGCTTAAATGTAAGGTCCAAGTCTCAAAATCCTCAACCATTAAAAATTGTGGATATTAGCTCATGATAAGTCTCTAAACTAATTCATACATACATAAAGTCGCTTTTATAGCGTCGCCTCGCGCTCTGCGACGCCCAATCGCCATTGCCCCCTATCCTCCCAGAGATCATCAGGCAATTGGCACCTTCTGATCTCCTCCTCCACCCCTTGTCGCCAACCCTTCACCGGACGTCCACGCCGTTGCCTTCCGGAAGGAACCCAATCGAAGACCTGCTTGGGCAACCGGTCGTCTGCCATCCTTCGCACATGTCCATACCAGACCAACTGCTTGGACCTGATATCGTGCACGATGTCCTTCTCCACACCCATGATTTCGCGTACTTTTACATTGCGGATACGCTCTCTTCTTGAGATGCCAGCCTCCGCCAAAAGTCCATCTCAGTTGCCCTACGCATGTCTTCAGTTCTTTTCTTGAGTTGCCAGACCTCACTCCCGTAAGTTACGATACTCTTCACGATGATGTTGTAAATTTTTCTTTTGGTCTCCTTGGAGATACTCTAGTCCCAGAGAACCCCATTTAGCATCGCGATGGCTTTCCTGCCTTGCACATTCCGATCTTTAATAGCCCGATCCAAATTACCGTCCTTAGTTAACCAAACTCCTAGATATTTATACTCTAAACTAATTCCCTTTGCTATATTCTAAGATATCTAGCAGTAAGAGGAGAGGATGTAGAAATTCCTAACTGTCAAGGTGTCTGTATTACAAACCTTGTAGAATTTCAGAACTGCAAGCTTGACCTTCTTCCTCTTGTGTTTCAATTTCTTTGGGGTAGAGTAGTTCTTCTTCTTCCTCTTTTTGGCACCACCAGCAAGACTAAGGGTTAAATGGATGGTATTTCCCTTCAGGATACTGTAATCGGCCAAGGTCTTGTCATCTTCTAATTGACTGCCTCCAAAAATGAGCCTCTGCTCTCGTACTGGTAAAGCTATATGCAGCAACATCAAAAAAAATTAAAAAACATAAGTTATGTGTGAGTGCAAACAGTCCGTGTGAGAGAAATCAAACGATTACTTGGTAAAATTTGTGTAAAAACTTTTTCTTGCCAATTTTTCTAAAATTGTTGTTGATACTTCTTACACTAAGGCTGTTTCGAGCAACTGCTCATTGTCAGGTGTTTGAAAAATTTATAAAAACTAAAATTATGGTGCGTCTTCGTGATCGCAAGTAGTTCAGTATCCGCGTCCGCGTTTGTGATGTGACTGAAGTATGGCCGTATGCTTCAGACTGAAGTATTGACAAAGTACAGCCGATAAGTTAACAAAAGAAGTGATTACTTAGTGACGATTGAAAATTAACAGTGGTTCCCATATGACTTTGTCATCTCAAGAGGAGTGGAAAAAAACCTTAGGGGTGGCTTTTTGATAACCTATTTATAATCTCCGTTTGGTGCAGAAACAATATACAAACAAACAGACCAGAAGATTCTCTGTACCAATGGCTGGAGCCAGAGAGAATGCATCTCCAATGCGACGTTGCAAGTCTCAAGACATGTTGTAATTTATATGAGAAGGCCACCTGACACATTTCTGGAAATTTGTTGTTAATATTTCATACAAAATATGAAACAAATATGCACCAAAAATTATAAAAAGATACTTTAGTTTATTTTCTTTTGTGAAAAGAAACATTAAATAATCCAAAATTTTTATAAAGATAAGCATTTTTTATACTTCAGATATCAATGAACATCAAATTAAATTCAACTGAAAAAATTTGGAAAGAAAGAAAAATCAAACTTCACACAAAAAATCTTGGCCACTCTAATACTTTTCAACCGTGTAAGTCAGCAATCACATAACTCAGTTTGCGACGTCGCAGACTTCCTGTCATACTTCATTTTTTAAACAGAAAACAACTCAACAGCAATTATTTAAAACTGTCGTGATTTCTCATCTCTGTACGTAAAAAATTCTGCATTAACTTCAAGGAATGATGCTAATTTGTTCTCCTTTAAAAAAATAAAATACAGGAGATTTTCAGACACCGCAAACAGGATATCGACAGTGAAAGTCGGCAATCACATAACTCGGTTTGCGACGTCGCAGACTTACTGTCATACTTTATTTTTTAAATGGAAAACTACTCAATGGCAATTCTTTAAAACTGCCTTGATTTTTCTTCTCTGTGCGAAGGAAATGCTGCAAAAACTTCAAGGAATCATGTGAATTTGTTCTCTTTTAAAAAAATAACATAAAGGCGGAGATTTTCAGACACCGCAAACGAGTTATGTGTTTGCCGACTTACACCGTCGATATGTGATTGCGGACTTATGCCGTCGGTATGAAAGACGATTTATCCGAAGCTGGAGTAATAGCTACGGCTGTAGAGACATGTTTCCATCCTTTGTTCAATTTATTTCATAAGTTTCCTGAATTCGTTGTTTTATCCATTCATGCTGAGTGAACTGCTAAAAAATCTACTTTGTGCTACATTCTGCACTACATTTGGGAGAAAAAAGTAAAAAATATACAAAATACCTTCACTGGCTTCTATTTGATGTTTCAAACAAGCTACTGTTTCATTGGGCTGAACTTCCAAGGGAACGCTCTTTCCCTCAAGATTGTGTACGAACACATACATGATGCTTCCACTGAATATTACTGCATCTGCTGGTAAGAGTAGATATAAGATTAGAATCACAGAATTTTGAAAAGAGAACGAATTTACAGGTTAGCTTATATCAGGCATGGACTTGGAAGATAGTGTCGATCAAATCCTTCTCAGGATTTGCTCTGAGTTTAGAGCTGAGCATGGCCTGCTCCACAGCCTCTTTACAAGCTAGTAGAGAGGGACACTTGGAGCTGATACGTCATTTTAAATGTTATCTTTGACCATGAATCCGATTCCACTGGCAATGAACACATTTCATATGAAATGATTGGCATGTCAACTTCTAACACGGCACTAAAGACTTACAATTAATTGGGATAGCTGAGAATGAAACATAATGCCCATCATCTTAGCTCGGTTTCGCTCTTACATACTTTTTCCAGTGTAAAACCTACATTGTGGAGGAAAGAGGGGAAGCGAACATTTTCGCAGATTATGTTCATGCAGTACTGGACCCCTTCTGGGTGCGACAAATTGGATGGTTCGTATGATATAAACACGAAATTTACCAAAAAATAATGAATATAAACCAGGGAGGCTGAAGTTCTAAGCGGCTTACGAACGTAGAGGATAAAATGTTGAATTAAGAATGAGCTCACAGTCGGGAGACCATGTGGCAGTCAATGAATGTGCCTCAATGGAAACGTGACCTAAGTAATTCAATGTGTTGATAATTATATAAATTACATGAGTAAAAGCAAATTAAATAATCTGTAGAATAAATTTTTACCTGTTTAAAACAATATCACGAGTTCAAAGACTCAAAATCGGCGTGTTTCAAAGCAGGCAAACGCCACGAAATGGCCGCTCGATCGCCTCGATCGCTGACAGCGAGCGCTACTCGAAGTAAACTCAACGTTTACTCAACGTATACTCAACGTGTACTCAACGCATACTCATGAGTCATTGCGTCATCGCTCCATTTTCCAGACGCGTTGGATTTGTAGATTTGTTGTTGTTGGGCTGGTTATCAGTTACAGTCTTGAACTCTTGATCAACTTCAATTATCAAGTTATCTTTAGGGTTTTAAATTTTTTAGCAAATTATTAGCTAGTCTAGAAGTTTTTTTCTCACGATTTTGAAGTTCCTCCATCATGAGTAACGGTATGACCATTTCCATTGTCAAGCCGAAAACAAGCATATTAGATAAGTCGCTGAGTAAGGGCAAAGGAGAAGTTAGTTTAACTTGCTATGCCCTGTTATTTTCTGAGCTTGTCCAGTATTGTCAGAATCGAGTCTATTCTGTTCCTGAACTTCAAAACAAGTAAGTTGTAATTCGCTGTAAAGAATTGACCCTTTACTTAATTGTTCCTCGCAGCCATTGCCATATCAACGGTGTAAGACGGCAATCACATAATTCGGTTTGCGATGTCGAAGACTTACTGTCATACTTTATTTTTGAATGGAAAATTACTTAACGGCAATTCTATAAAACTGCTGTGATTTTTCTTTTCTGTTCGAAGAAAATTCTGCAAAAATTTCAAGGAATGATGTCAATGTGTTCTCCTTTAAAAAAATAACATAGAGCTGGAGATTTTCAGACACCGCAAACAAGATACGTGATTGTGGACTTAGGCCGTCGATATGTATACTTGCTATGGGACAAGAATTTCCTTGTGTCGAGCAGGCTAGTCAACAACTGGAAACAGAAATGAGTAAAATGACTGTACCAATGTAATTCAGAGTAGCCTCAGCTTCAATTTGGTTGGCAGACTCGAATCAATCTGGTATCTAAGTAATTTAACCTGTGAAATCACTGGATTCAGTGCTGGTTTTTTATTCGAGTTGCAAATTCGCTGACTTTCCAGATGTTATTACTAATGGGTTGGCTCCTTTCACTCAGTTTTGATCACTGCCAGATAAAAGTGCTAGATAAACTGCTAGATTGAGAAAATTGTGAAATCCAATGAAGGGGGTGGGTCAGTAAGCAAGCTACGAATTAAAGCACCACGCATAATATAATCTCCTCAAAACTTTATGAGGAAAACATATCTTGCGACAGGAAGTCTAGAAATCAAGTCCTCCACAAGACGTAAGTGTAAACCATTATCATTATTTCATTGGCAAAAATACCAATGCCGTCCTTTGTATAATCCAACTACGATTTGATCTGTGTTCAAAATAGTTGACAATATCTCATTCAAATGTTCATCACCAAACTTCTTGTTATGTTAATCGGTTTCTAAGTTTGTGAGATCTAGAAGAGGAAATGTGTGACTTCTCTATTTCTTACCTCTTCTGGTGGTCCATAGGGGAAATCTTTTACACAATCCAGGCCTACTCCTGCCTGTCCGGCATCGGTTGCAGGAATATTGCCACAATATTATTACTTTTGACTGAGGCTATAAATAGCGTTTCAGCAACTATTGCTGGGCTGGTAGTGCACTGCTATTCAGCTAAAAATATTGGGATAAATGTTGCTATCTGCAGACTGGCCCAAAATTGCTGATCTTAATAAGCTCCAAAAGAGAAAAAACAACTCAGTGTAGTTCACACAGAGTCGTGATGTAAAAGGGAGAGCTGCCGCCACTTTAAGCATTTTCCAGGTCCCGAATTCCGAGACTCCTGCGTGACGCCGGGTCACTTTTTTGATCCACGGGTACCTGACCATCTGATGTAAACATAGAAGATAAGAATTACCATGTATTCCACACTGCCATCTTAAGTAGATCGAACATGTTTCGAAAAAGTGACCGAAGCTCGGTGCACACCGGGCTCGGAACTCGTCGAGCAGAACATGATGCCAGCTCTCCCATTTACATTACGACTCTATGTACTCTATGGTAGTTTAGCATGGCCATCCAGCAGAGCTGAGGTTGCCATTTGTACTAACTGATTTTTTTCATTTTTAAAATTAATTTGCCTCATTTTACTTCATCTGAATTTCAGTCTTATGAGGGAATTGGATTTATTTCTCTCTTCTTATTTGTTAAACTTGTTTAAAATTAAAATGCAATTTAGATAAGTATAATGAGGATTCAAGTAAATATCTTTGTTTTTTATGAATCTATTGTTTCCACCATAGCTGAAGGTAGCTCATTGTGTAAGAGTATCAACAAACGGATATTTGTATGTTTGCAGGTTGGCAGAAGTTGGTCAAGAAATTGGCATGAAACTTGTTGATCTCAACTTTGTGCGAGAGAAAAATTACAAAAGAGAAATCAAATTACTAAATATGCTGTTATTTATCAAGTCTAGCCTGTGGAAAGTAAGAATTTCCCATTTCTCTTTATACTAAGTTACTACTTACTTGCCACCAGTGTGGTAATTTTTTTCATCCGAGGTGTTAAAAGGTACTTCAACCGAAAAATCTGTTTTGGATTTTGAAGGTGTTAGCTAATGGGAGAGAAATACCTGGGGAAGAACAACCTGTCGAACAGTTATGTAAGCCCTACTGAAAAGTGAGTGCAAGCTATCAGCTGTTAGTTGTTTGATAGCAATTGCTCTCTGTGCAGATCGGCTTCTCCTCTTCAATATAGGTGTTGCCAAGGGGCTGTTTTAGTATTACGCAAGTCATTCTGCAGCCGGATTGTTGAAACTTTAACTGGCTATGTCGGCACGATAAGACAGGACATAGCCCTATCTGCACTGTGTAATACAGGGTGGCCCAGACCTACTGTACCAGGCCTTTTTTTCGGTTAATTTGGGTCGCACAAAGTCCAGGATCGCAGGGATGTCTAGGGAATCGACCCCAAGGAATCCGAATTTCATGGTCCCAGAGCCCCCCTGGGGCCCTTGGGGGGTAAAAGGGGGGTCCGTACTTCAAAAGTCAGGGTTAATGTCAAACTTTTGAAATTATTTCATCGGAATCAGAATGTACGGAAATTTTTAACCTGAATCGACACCAAGAAATCCAAAATCGGACCATCTGGGTCCAAAATACCGACCCCTGAAGGTGGGGGACAGAGCCCCCTTTCAAAAAAAATCAAGTTCGTTAAATTGACGTGGAGAGTCGGGAAAAATGTGTAATCATTGGTAATCGACCCCAAGGAATCCAAATTTGAGGGTCCCATTGTCCTCAGACACTTTTCTGATGGGGCACAGGGGGTCTCTGAACTTTTAAATTTAACCGGTGTGGAGGTTACTCCTGTGCCCCATCAGAAAAGTGTCTGAGGACAATGGGACCCTCTTTGGATTCCTTGGGGTCGATTACCTATGATTACACATTTTTTCCGTCTCTCCACGTCACTTTAAAGAAATTGATTTTTTTTTAAAGGGGGCTCTGTCCCCTACCTTTAGGGGTCGGTATTTTGGACCCGGATGGTCTGATTTTGTATTTCTTGGTGTCGATTCAGGTTAAAAATTTCCGTACATTCTGATTCCGATGAAATAATTTCAAAATTTTGACATTAACCCTGACTTTTGAAGTACGGACCCCCCTTTTACCTCCCAAGGGGCGCCAGGGGGGCTCTGGGACCATGAAATTCGGATTCCTTGGGGTCCATTCCCTATTCATCCCCGCGATCCTGGACTTCGTGCGACCCAAACTAACCGAAAAAAAGGCCTGGTCTGGGCCACCCTGTATATCGATTTTCGATTCTTGTCGTGCCTACATAAATTTCAACAATCAGGCTGCTGGCAGACTTTTTGACCCCCCCCCCCTCCGCCAACTTTTAATCCCCTCCCCTTTTCGTACAGCTTGGATATCCTAAGTTTATGTTGGTTAATGTCCAATATCTCTGCAATAGAGAATTTGCAGGTGTCTGAAATTTGATGAATTTTGTTTTAAGTGGAAACTACTGAGTGAACTGAACACGAGGATACCCTTGGTTCATGAATGGAAGAATTATTAGAGAAGATATGACTAAATGACCTAATCTGCTAAAATACATGTGTTTAAATGGAAAACGCTGCCAGATGACATCACTAGGCGGTGCATTTTCTCACTTTTAAATCTATTTTTATTCTATTTCCCATATCAGAAAAAAATTATAAAAAATACTGTGAAATCAGCTCTTTAAGCACTTTCAGATGAAGCAATAAAAATTTGCCTGCAAATTCTCCATTACTCTTTAGTATGGTGGTGCTTCGTCATTTTGCTTTTACTCCCCTCATTTTCTTTACTCATTTGAATTGTGACACTCCTGAACCTGGCATCAAACTGTTTACAAACGATTTTATTACCTTTGAGTCTTGCCTAAACATAATATAGAGATTTCCAAATCTTTAGCGGATTAGTAATACTTATTCTCTGAAAGTTTGAGCACATGCATTTGGTTATTTTCCTCCCCATTACTCCTCCTATTTCCAAATTGATTCATTTATTCAAAATCGCCCTTGCCTTTGCCTCCCATGGGTATTGTTACTTCAGAAAGTAAAGTTAAATATATGGAAGCAAAGAAGGCAGCTGCGCATGTTTACATTACTTAATGATTCTGTCTTTTTTCTCAGAGTATGTTTGGCTATGAAGCTGAAAAACTAGAGCATGCAAATGATGATGAGCGAACATATTACATAATTGAAAAAGATCCACTTGTGAATCGGTTCATATCAGTGCCCAAGGACAAAGGAAGTCTGAACTGTGCTGTTTTCATTGCTGGTATAATTGAGGCTATCCTTAATAGCTGTGGTTTTGTAAGTATCCGTCCAACATAACCATGGACAAGTCTTGCTCTCTAAAGTTATGCCTTAAGTAGTGTAGGGTCATGAACATGAATGACCCCAAAGTACTTTTGTCTAGTATGACATGATATCAGGGTTTCCCCAAAAGGTCTAACAACTGTCCAGAAAACATCTTTAAGTGTTTCTAGTTGGATTTTTTCTTCTTTTTATTTATTTATTTTCTATAGCCAGGTATAATGATTTGTATTACAGGTTTAAAACTTCTAAATATGATTATATTGGCATTGCTGTTCTAGAACTGTGCTTTTTTTTCTTTTTTTTTAAAGTCCTGCGGGGTAATGTTTCTTTCATTTAAACTTCTTTCAGTTTATTGCCCCCTATCATCGTAACCCTCCTCAAATTGTGTTTTGATTACACTAGCAGCTGGTTGTGTACTTTCAATGTAGGGATTTAGTTGAAATGTCCCTTTCTCATTCTCAAACATATTTTCTTTTTCTTTTTAAAATGTTGCAACACTGAGGGGGGCTTTTGTGTTCTTCTTGGCATAAAGATAAAGCAGTGAAAAATAATCAAATTCCTCTGAATAATAACAGCAAGCAGTGCTGAGTTCACACAGACTAAGCAACAGCCGCTCAAATGAAGTGTATGAGTCGCAGTGTTAGAAGGCGGAAAAATGCACTTTTTAGCACTACCTTTCTCGCCATTAGCTCATAGGAAGTTCAATTTTAAAACCTCATCATGCTCAGGATCTTAAAAGGAGCATCATGTAAAATAATATCAAACCGGCGCCAAAATTTTTGATATTCTATTAGCTGTTTTCATACTAAAATAAATGATAAATTGAATCATGCACGGAAAATGTTACTGCTGTTAAGCCACATCCCCCTCAACTCTGCTTTTCATCTCAGGAGGCGAGTGAGGAATCAAAACAGAAATGCACACATTTGGAATTATTATCTGAATTTTCTAAATTGATAAAATGAATGATGGATGAATTATTATCTTGTATTATTATATTTATTCCAGAAGCTCATTCTCATGAAAACAAGAAAATGAAAGCATTAATTTAAATTTTTCAGGCGGCCAAGGTGACAGCTCATTGGCACAAGGGCACTACCTATATGATTAAATTCGATGAATCAGTGATCTTACGAGACAAGCAAATGGAAGAAAGATAAATGTTGGCTCTACCACTGTTTCCTGCTGTTTCTTCCGAAACCTCAGCACTCAATTGAAAGCAAGGTTTCTATCATAAATTGTTATCTACGGATGCATTTTATCAAAACTAATAAGTATCTGAGAAAAATTAGACAGGCATTAAAAATGGGAAAAAGAAATATATTTGTTCCTTCTTGCATTTACTCTTCACAGAACCAATTGAGTCATCATCTGGAAAGTAGGAGTGGACCTTGTAAAATTGTATCTTATTTCAGCTATTGCTTTTTTAAGTGGTCCTTGAAAAATCATCCAATCTCCTTTATAATTTGACTGAGTTGTATTTGAAAAGTAAACATAATTTAGTCTGTAAAGAAAAACGCTTAAGAGAAGCTTTCAGGAGTGCAATTTGATCGTAAAAGCTATAGAAATCAGCAACTTTGAGATTTTGGCAAAGTGAAGAGAACCTCTATCTTGGAGAGTAAAGTTGCTACTAATTTAGTCTGTATTTTTCCCAAGAGAGGTATACTAGATGCATTTTCTGAGGTGAGGTCAGTATTCAGAAATGGGACTGCTTTGGTTGAATTGTGCCAAAGTTTGAAAATATTTTGAAGATTTCAGGTTAAATTGTAAAAAGCACGCATAATCCATTCATTGTCAGGTTATAGAATAACAACTACCGGAAGGGTAACCAGGCAAACAGTATGGGGCATCTTTGCTCTTGACTCTTGAAATTCTCTGCTTGACCAGCTGCTCCAAGTTTTCTTGCCAAAATGTTTCAAGTCTCATCCGTATTTACCCTGCTGCCCTTTAATTACCTCTTTTTTTTTAAATTTCATGTGGAAATGGTGCAAAACCAGCTCAAAAAAAGTTCTGTTGTGAGGTGTTGGATTGAAGCAAAACAACTAAAATTAGGCAGTTATTATTCCAATGTACTTGCATTCCTCTTTGTTTTGTTTTGTTGTCACATGATGAGAAAAGTAGTGAGCTGAATGTATTGAAGTGTTTGTCACTTTAATATTTTTTTAAAATTATCATAATACGTAGTGTTTATTCCTGTAAGTGCAAAATTTGATTTTTGTTAAATTGAGCCTCTAATTGAAACTAATTCTTTGGAGCAGTAACCCAAAAATCAATTTAAAAACAATTGGACTACATTTCGCAACAAGGAACTTTTAATCTTAGCTCTTTTCACAAAGAATGTATGTGTCTTAAATTTTCTATGCAGATAGGTGCTTTTGTGGGTAAGTCAGAAATTGTATCACAGAGTTCTATCAACAATGACTCATTTTGCAAGTAAATGCTTCAATTATTTTACTAAAATGATGTAATACCATTGAGGGCCATAACTTTAAGATGCCACTCAACAAAAACGATACAATTTCAATGCAATTCTCCAGCCAATAAATATTTTTATGATGGTTATCTTGCCTACCTTCATTAATACTCATGTTTTTTCTCTTTTTTTTCTTCTTTTTTTCAAATTATGACTTTGCTGCGTATAATAAAAATTCTGGATAAGTGATAAAATGAAAAGAATACACACTCAATAGGTCAGCTCAGAAATGGCAAATGTTCTTGAATTATGACACATTCATTTATTCAGTTGGTGAGGATATCTCTACCATTAAAGATTTGAGGCCCTAAAATATTTTGTAGAGTTAGCTCGACGAATCAGACTGCAACCCTGCAGGAGTTCTGAGAAGGAACTCTTTCTTGTCCTCAAAAAGAAGTCAGAAGCGGTGCAGTTCTTATTCGCGCCAGCAGAGGGCGTGAAATTGTACTCTAATCTGGCTTTTTTTTGTCCTGAGCACGGCACAATATAATTTTAGGTAGCTTTTTCTCGAAAGCACAAATAAGTCCAAACCACCACATGCTTAGTTTGATCTGACATTTTGGGGCGTTTTACTTCTCAAAATAACTGTAGAACTTTTGGCTTTACTCTGATATCAGTAAGTAGTTAAGTACCCCAATTTTGGAAATTTGTATGTACTATGGTCCCTTAGCCGGTGGACGATAATAAATTAATGGTGGAATTAAACAAACCGTGGCTCTTAATCACAAAGTTTGAAAATTTCCGATCACATTCTATTATTTCATGAAAATGGATTGGGACTTTTTTGTGCAAAATTCTCAGTGAATAAGTATTGTTGAAAAAATGAAGAACAATTAATCAAATTATAACAGTGTTTTATTTGTTATTTTGTTGGAATCAATTCATTATCTCCTAATTACGATAGGTAAACTTGACCCCTGACAGAAGGGTTTGTAAGGTGGGAAGAAAATAAAATGAGAGAACTGTATTCCACTTCAGAGGAGGAGGATTGATCAATGAGTTCGTTAACAGTCAAATTCTGCCGAGCTAAGGAAGAACGCCGTATGAGCCTTCTGGTGTGGCCGAATTTCCTGTGATAAAGTGAGAATTTTCCTGAAGAGTGGTGGACATGTTTTCTTTTCATCTTAAGTACAGTGAATTTTATTCACAATTAAAGCGCTTTCCGAAGAAAGGGCACAAACGCGTCCATGCCCTTCTCTCATAAATCGCAGAAATAGTTTATTTGTATCCTAATGTATATATGCCAGCAAGTTTCAGCTTAATTAATCACATTTTGGAGCCAAGAGACCAAGTTTTGTGTGGCTAAGTCAGGGGTTATAAGCTTTTTCCGGCAAAAGGGCACATAGCATAAGTGCCTTTTTTCTGGGAAATTGCGACCTCTGGGGACGACCGCTGCGATGTTGTGGAGATAGCAGCTGGTCCTAACAGATGAGCGGGGAATACTTTCGACACCAAAGAAGATTTTTTATCCTACGGAAGAAAGTAATAAACTTCATTTTTAATTAGAAACTCATTCATGTCCTAAAAGTCCAGTTTTGAAAGCTAAAACCTATGACCACAGGTCCATTTCCAGAGAAAGGGCACACAATAGAGAAGTTTTACAAATCCCTCCCACAACAGTGAAACAAAAGCAAGCTTTACCTAATTACCAATGGTTGTTGTGCATCCTAAGATGTATAAACTTTGATTCATAAGTGACCAGATTCCAATGTAAGTCACCATCAGTGGCTAGAGAGTAATAATGAAAACTTCAAATGTATTTCCCTCACAATGTCATTTTTCAATGTGTGTGCCCTTTTTATTTTATTTTATTTTATTTTATTTTAAAATTCTTGTACATTAAAGCTGCAATCACAGCCATAATACAGGTCAATAACAAATGAAAATATTACAATAACAACAACAAAAAACAACAAATTAGCATGAAACATAATCTTTCAGAAGCAGCTCATCAATACTATAAAAAGCTTCTCGAAGTAGGAGCTGTTTTGTTCCGGAAAGCTCTTCAGTTTTATCTTTATCTGAAAATTTTAGGTAAAATTATTCATGACCAGCCCAGGGTGTCTACAGATCCCCGATTTTTGGGTCAAAATAATTGATGATTTTTGTTCTCTTTTCAAACTGCAGAAAAAATCACTTTTAAAATCATCAAATCTAATATTGCTGATGACATCAACAGACTTTTGTTTATATTAGTTCGTAATTTTTATTTTTTGAAATCATTATTTCCAATCAGCATTGCCATAGTGGAAAGATGTTTTCCCTGCAAGCTATTTTTTAATGGGGACTCGAAGCTTTTTTTATATTAGCCTTGCGGTCATACTTTTTTGCAAAAAAATGGTTGTATTAAGGTAGATCATGAAAAAGTGCCATATTTTTGGTTTTTGGATTTCATATCCCACCCAAAATGGACAAATATAATAATGGGGACAACCCATATGCTAAAAAATACACATTTCATCGGAGAAGACTTGGCAAGATTTGAATGTCCGTGCAGCGTTTTTACTTATTGTCAGCACAGCAACGACAGAATTGCTAACAATTTTTTCCTCATGCGATTTGTGGTCAGTCTATCATTGACGGCCTTTTAACCTTGTGTGAACTCGAAAGAACACGATACTCATGCTCATTCTAACATGTGTGAATCCGAGGAAGCCTCCTCACCCCCCCCCCCCCCCCCCAGGAATCTTTAAAAATCTTTTTTTCTTTGCCTTGCATGAGGAGTTCTGGCACAATAGATTAGTAAACATTAAGTTACTTAAAAGTGGACTAAAAGGTAAAGGGAGGCTTGTGTTACGAAGGGATATTATGAGCAGACAAAACGTAAAGGGCTAAGATGGCACGGTACGGTGCGGACGGGGCGGGGTGCGAGTGTCGCGCTACTTACTTTACCGACAGAAATTCGTAATTAAAGCGGTCCCGCGTTTTTTGGTAGCTCTGAACGAAGCAGCACTGTAACCTAACAAAGATGTACTGCTCAGAGAACTAATTCTCATTCAAGTGTAATTTTATCAAAATAATTTGCTTGAGAGGATTTTTTTGCTGCTCGTCCGAGTAATGATCTTTAAGGCTTTAATCTTCGATTTAAATCGATCAAATGTTTTCTCCCGGTTTTCTCCATCGTATTTACGATCCGGCATTCCGGCACGTAACGAGAATAAAATCGGGCTGTCCTTGAGACAGTTGGCAGTCATGATAATCTGTTCCGTCGCCAACCAATCAACGCGCTGATCAGCGTATCACGTGATTTGATGTTTTGTTATTGTTGTTGTAGTTGATCGTGGTATTTTATTATTTGTATTTTACCGAACGCGCGAACGCACGTGTTTCGTTTTCGTGAATCTGTTTGTTTGCGCTCTTATTTCATGTACATTTACATGCATTTACTTCGGAATGCCTGATTCTGTGCTCTCGATTTGGTGCTCTTCAGTTGAAGAGTAGTTCTTTGTTATATTGTCTTAGGATATTGCTCTCTTCTGCAAGACTCCATAACTTCAGCCGTCTTTGAGTACTTCAATAACTCATCCATGTAAGTTAAGTAAGTAAGTCATAAAATGTTCAGCCCTTTTACTTAGCTTTGATGAAATTTAAGGTGAATCCAGGGTTTGATTAGGGATAATTTAAGATTAGAGATAGCGCCACCAGTCACCACTGAGAATTTCACTTTCATTCGACGATTACTGAAATAGTATTGTTCATATTACAAAAAGCAGATCCACAAGATACACATTATTTTTTGCCCTAATTCTTGAGCCTAAAATATTTGCAATTAGAATTACAAGCGCAGAGAAAGTACGGTTGAAACTTTCAGCTCAGTGGCGGTGGCCGAGCTTGCAATTGAATCCCTCTTGTTCTGTCTCTCTCACTCCCATCGCCGCAATGAGAATTACTTTACGCAGTAGTTACAACCTTATTTTTAGGAATTTTGAGAAGATTTTTTTACTGAGTGTTCCTCAAGTTTGTTTTTATATCCCCTGGATCCCCAATTTTGAATAAGTATTACGGTTTTTATTATTTTGGCAAATATATACGGCTATTCTGAGCAGCGCGACGTGGTGGCCAAATCGTGAAGTTCCAAGCCTGGATTCACCTCAAAGACATAAAGACGGAGCACTGAAAGCAAAAAATGAAGCTTCTAGAGCTTCTTTTCAATCACCTCTACTATTGGCTAGAGGATTGGCGGCGAAATCGGGACAAGTTTGAATTCAAATGTAGGGCGGGAACTAATAAATAAAATTGCGGAAACAAAGTATTTTAGGTTGATTTTTGCCCAAATTCACTTACCTACTCATATTTTTTTTACTTTAGGTTAGTTTTGGTCCGTCGTCGACCGACTGATTTCATTTGGGAGTAACGTAGATCTAGAACTGTAACGGCCTGTTTGAACCTGCAGAACCACCATAAGCAGAAGAAAAACTAACTTTATCTGAGATTACTGCCTGTTACCGAGCAAAAGTAGGTGTAATATATTAGGACGCAGACCGAACTTTCTTAATATAATCGTTTTAAGCATTTAAAACACGTTTCGAAGAAGAAATAAGGAAAAATCAAGAGGACAAGTTCAAATCAAATTTCCGTTTGCCGCCATGGATTCCCGCGCTCATTTACACACTCACACAAACGCGCAGCGCCGAACCTAGCTTCACTTTTTCCCCGTGCTTTTAGATACAAGCACTCCGTCTTTATGTCTTTGATTCACCTTAAGAGAGAGACAAACCGTTGTTTGAAGTGTTACATGGCTGGACATCTTATCAGCAGTGTCAGGTGACAGCCCTCTTATTTTGGATGATCAGGGCTTACATTCGTTCAGCAGTGTCGAGTGATCTAATGACAAACTTTTAAGTCACAAATCCCAGTCCCATGACTCCTCAGATTGTCCAAGAGACATGTTTCCTAGCTTTACCCTTGATTTCTTTGTTGCATTGCACAAACTGTATGAATGAATCTATTCAATCAGGTTTTTCATATTTATGAGAGAGGGGCTTGGATTTTTTCTAATCCTTAAGCTTTTCAAACTTTATGTAACGTTCACTTGAAACCAGGTGCTCTCCAAAGGGCTGTGTTACATGGATTGAATACGAAGATTACATTCTCAAAACTTGTGTAGTACGGTAGTCATTGTTTACAGCTGCATTTTGGTGGTTCAAAGTTTCGGAGCTACAGCAAAATGCTGCACTCACATGTATAGACAGTCTCAGTCAAATCTGAATCAACCTTCTCACTCCCTAGTCCCATCTTCCCTTTTACTCCTACAGTATGCTTACTCTGGAGGGAATTTCAGTCAGGAGTATAACTTTTTGCACCAATTAAACCTGTCTGCAAAAGTTACTTAGTCGACCCAAAGCGGAGAACAGAACTTAAATTTTTATTTTTTGCAGATGTAGGATACAATGCTATTTGCGCCTGAAACCCATCCATTTTTGCTTGTGGCCCTAGCCACATTAGCTCAGAAAATGTGTATCTAATAAAATGAATGGACGCACTAGATAATAGTAACAATGCAGAACCATGTATGCAACATTACCTACTGGTTTTCTGTCACACTTAAGTATTTTATTTTATGGATGGACAATCATCGGCATTGCCCAAATTTTATGCAAATTTGGACCCTATCAACAACATTTGTAAGTCATATTCAGGGCCGGATTTACGTTTTTGGCGCCCTGTGGCGAAATTTTCGAGGCGCCCCCCTCGCACGCCCCCCCCCCGCCCGCGCATTTCCCAACCCGACGGTCTACTGCGTGCTAACTCTAACTAAATACGAATTTTTCGAGTGAATGAATGATTCTGGGGCAGAAACCTAAACCTGGTACCAGTTTCTATTACTGTTAACTACGAAACCTAGTGAAAGTTTGACCCTTAAAGTCTAAGGTCTGGTCATTTAAAAGTTGGAACGCAATACGATCAATCAGCAATCAGAGTTTCTGAACTTTCGACGCAATTCTCAATTTTTTGCGGAGTTTGGAAAAAAAACCCAAAATTTGGCGCCCCTCAAAATCTGGCGCCCTGTGCAGCTGCACCGATGCACCACAGGTAAATCCGGCCCTGGTCATATTATGCAGTCAACTGAAAACGAAGAGAGATAGCTTTTCTTGATAGATTAGTGATTTTACCATGACTGATGTCATGCTATTATCACAATGACTTATTCTTCAAATCTTCTGAAATTGTTTTTCATTTCAACTTATATAATCAAAGCACTTTTTTTACGACGAACATTTGAAGTTATGTACGCCTGAGTCGTGCAGACAGAGAAGTGGGCATTTTGAAATTATTTGTCAAAACTGGCTCGGTGTAAAGCCTGAAGTCTCATATCTTTTTATTTTCTTTTTCACAGATAAGTACGGTTTCATGTGATGGCTCCACTCAAGCAGGTGTCTTCTCTGTTCCATTATAGCAGACAAATCTTCTTTCATAGTGTGATAGATATCGGTGAGAAGTTTATCCGTGAAGAAATCTCTTTTGGTTCCTTCACAGAATATATCGAAACAATTGAATACCAGCTGAGTACTTTTTTGGGCCGAAATCATCCTAATATCTCGCCATTGTGGCTTGAACTTGCTGAGCAGTTTGCTAAACGCTATTTTAATTCATACGACGGAAAGTATTTATATGCTACAGAAGCTAAGGGATTGGATAATCCATTTGCTCAAATCAGCAAAGAGCCTAAAGTTCGATTCCTGGTTGACTGCTTAGTACGGAAAGCAGCTTACTTTCGTATGGAGAGACTCGATCTCTGGTCATGGCCGTTTTTAGTGAATGTCAGTTTGTCAAATTATATATGGAAAGCCACTGATTTAAAATATCTAAAACTTTATTTTAGTAAAGATACGGATCAAAATTTTTTTAGGGAAGGAATCAATTCTTTAAGTCAACGTCTGCTAAACCGCATACCATTTTTAACAAATTTGACCCATTTTCATGTCAATGAGTTCTCAGATGAGCTCATCGCCATATTATGCAAGAATTGTAAGTCTCTGGAATCTCTTAAACTAGGAAATCTTCAAAAAAAACCAGGGTTTACTAATTATCATATTACTAATGAAAGCATCGAATTTCTTGCTTCTTTAACAAAGTTGAAAACTCTAGAAATTAATATATCTGAGGATTTGTCTGCAAGATTTCTTTTGAAGTCCCAATCTCATAACTTAACATACTTTTCAAATACAATTGAACATTGGGAGCTAGATGATAGTTTTATTAATGAGCTCCTAAAGGAATTAGTCAGTGAAGTTGTGCCCTTCCGTCCTTTTAATTTGATCCATATAAAATGTGACACGCTTGATTCAGATCTTTCGCATTTGGTACCCAAGTATTTCCCCTATTTAGAGTCCATTGATGTTATGAACTGCTTGGATGATATGCCAGAATTTTCTTTTCTAGAATCTTTGAAACATTTGAAAGCAGTTAATTTACAAATTACAGCTTTTGAAAATGATTTTCTTGACCTCCTGTCCTTAAAAATTCCATTGCTAGCGGAGCTAAAGTTAAACTGTGGTAGTGATAGAGACTTTCCTCTAGAGACAAATACCTTTCTGGAGTTTGGACTTAATTGCCCCAACCTCCATTCAATTGAACTAGAACAATGTGTCTTTGTTAATAATATTGAACTGACCCCTAGGTCCCAGAGACCATTTCAGAACTTGAGAAATTTCATATTGTCAAATTTAGGCTCTTTTCTCGGTGCTGAGACTATCCTTAGTTATGCCCCAAACATTGAAGAAATCCATATTTATCCTGGCAAGGAATATCGTATCTCAGATGAATTCTTTGACCGTATCTTTCAAGCAAATCCCCTCAGTAAACTAAGAAAACTGGCTTTTGCACAATCTGATGTGTCTTCAGATATGTTTAAATTTCTTATTAGAAGATGCCCAAAGATAACCTCCTTTGAAAGCTTGGATGGAACTAAATTTGATGACGGATGTTCCGAGATAAGTAAATTCATATCTGAGAACAATTATGATGTATCATTTCGTTGACCCATTGTATCATAATTTTTTCAGCTCTTTCAGTTGGTTCATTTCTTACTTATTTTGTTTTAATAGATAGTTAGGATTATTTGTTTCCTTATGAGTTGTTTTTTAAAAGAAAAAATTATCTGTACCTATCGATAGCTTAAGCTGAAAAGTACATATGCTAGCATCTAAACCTGATAGCAGGCAAAAGTTTTTGTTTCCAATGGTAACTAATTTAATCGACGCACAACAGTCAAAACTAGTTTTTTCAGAGATTACCTATATTAGTTTATCGCAGCAAATCAGACAAATCTAGTTTTACCGAGATGGCACAAACGAGTAGAAGCTGAACCACTTTGGCTAATTTCAAACTAGTATAATTGATCACTAAAATTTTATTTTGAAATGTTTAACTTTTGTTTATCATATTTGTGAGATGAGACCCCAATATGTAATCCTACTATACTTTTGTCTTCATCCATAACATTTTTTATCGGAATGTTACAATTTTCTCTCATTGCATCTGTTGATTTATTTATTCTTTTTTCCAAATTCAGATTTAATTTCAATACATTTTTTTTTTAATGAAGGTATCAAAGCCACCTTGTTAGACTCAAATGCAGCTGTCATATTTGTTAACAAAACTTTTTAAAACAGAAAAAGGAAATGAATAGCCAATTTTTTTCACAGCAATGCAGTTTTCTTACGATTTGTCAATTCAATTTAACTCCTCAATGACTATCCCTAATGGAGATGTTGCATGTGTGAGGAATTAGCGATTTGACTGTTGATTCTTAGGTAAAAGTTCGCAAGAAACACGATGGTGCCACTGGTTTTCTCTGATTTCAACTCCCAAGCTCAAAAAACGCTTTCCAGTTGAGGCCAAAATGGAGGGGATATCCCACGCTACCCTGAGAGTCCACGTCTACACCAAGACAAACTCTCCATGCAAAGATAGGGAGCTAATACATTGGCAGGGTTGCCGTGTTTTCAGTTTTGGAGTCCTCAAATAAAGTGGCAGCCCTGTCAGCGTTTTTGCTCCCTATCTTTGCATGGAGAGTTTGTCTTGATGTAGAGGTGGACTCTCAGGGTAGCAAGGGATATCCCCTCCATTTTGGCCTCAACTTGAGAGCTTTTTTTGAGCTTGGGAGTTGATTTCAGGAAAATTGGTGGCACCATCGTGTTTCTCGCCAACTTTTACGTACGAATCAATAGTCAATCCATTGAATAGTCCAGTGCATGAATAATGAAATTCTCAGACAAATTGAGCTACTAATTTTATCCAATATCACTGTATTTTTAAAGAAGTTAAAGTCAACAACTAAAGAGCGACGCCAAGAATGGCACAATTTGGGCCAGAAAGGATTTTTCTGAAACCGGGCCCAAACGATACCTTATGATACCCTAAAACTCTGGTAAAAATTTTAGCTTGAGTATACGCGCCGTTTTTGAGAAATGGGGGGGCAAAGTTGCCAAATTGCCATCATTCTGGACAGCATTTTTACAGCAAAAAGACGGGAAAAATGGACGAAAAAGTTACACCATTGATGGGTTGCGGCTGTAAATGTTCTTATTGAGCCCCCGTGCATGTGATTGTCTTCAGTTTCAAAAATTTTGGACGTACAGTGGTCTGAAATGAGGAGAAATCGTGGACAGATAAGGATTCTTTGTCAAACTTTTTAAAAATGGAAGTAAAATTGTTGGTCTCCTGCAGAGATCATGGGGAACAATGTTCTTATCGGTCTTCAATGCATTCAATTGGGTTCAGTTTATCAAATTTTCATCGCACAATGGTCCAAAATGGGAAATTAGTGGACAAATTAAGATCTTCTGCCTAACTTTTTAAAAATGATGTACGACTATTGGTTCCCGGTAGACTTTAGATCCCAGAAAAATTCTTTAAATTCTTTTTTTGACTATTTAAATCTTTCTTAAATTTTTTCTCCATTTTTCTTTCTTTTTTTTAAATTTCTGAAAGTTTGCATATTTTATTGAAATAATGCTACAAAGTCTATTCTATAACAACGTTCCATAAACAATACGGTCTGACATATATAAATAAATAAAAAAAATAAAAATATGAATTTTTCCGGGATTTAAACTCTACTGGGGACCAACAGTTTGACGGAGGATCTTAATTTGTCCACTAATTCCCCCATTTTTGACCACTGTGCGATGTACATTTGTGAAGCTGAACACATTTTCATGCATTGAGGACCAGTAAGAACATTGTTAGCCATGAAAACTGCAGCGACCGACAATTTTACTTCCATTTCTAAAAATTTGACAAAGAATCCTGATTTGTCGACGATTTCTCCCCATTTTGGACCACTGTGCGACCAAAATTTTTGAAACTGAACACAGTTAAATGCTTGGGGGCCCAATGAGAACATTTACAGCCGAAACCCATCAAAGATTTGACTTTTTCATCCATTTTCCCCGTCTTTTTGCTGTAGAAATGCTGTCCAGAATGATGGCGAGTTGGCAAATTTGCCCCCTCATTTCTCAAAAACCGGGCGTATACTCAAGCTAAAATTTTTACCAGAGTTTTAGGGTATCATAAGGTATCGTTTGGGCCCGGTTTCAGAGGAATCCCCGCTGGCCCAAATTGTGCCAAAAAACGGTCGTTTTTGGCGTCGCTCTTTCAGCACTCCCTTTCCAGCTTATTGTAGCAGTCAAAAAATTTTTAAAGGCTTTGGGTTCTGATTGACTTTTAAAAGAACACCACACAGAATAGGGGCTCAGTGGCTCCAGGTGGATTTTGATAAAATTTGAATAGATTAACATAAGGCTCATCAATAGCAGAAAACCAAAAAATTAGCAAACTATTTGCAATCTCTTCTTCTTCTCCACTTACTTGCCGCATGAAAAAAATAAACAGATCAATCATGAGTTGGGATGTGCCCTTCAACGGCGATTGACATTGAGTTGGCCAATATTTTTTGTCACTTTGCAAGTGCGAATTTCCACTGCGGCAATCAAGGGAAAACACTCTGTGGAGATAAGGCCTCACCTTCCATATTCATGCATTGAACCCTCTAAGGGAATGTAAAACATAATGATGACATGCTCACTGTATGTTAATTATCATGTATTGTTATTAGAAAGGGATGATTATCACTACTTCTTGCAAAAGTATAAATGAATTTATCCATTTACGCCACATCAACCTCTAAAAACAATTGAAGAAGTTACTTTCTGATGTGAATAGCCTTCATCTTAATTTTTTTGTGGCAGCTAGTGGTGGGAGAGAAAGGAGATGTCAAATTGCCTCAACATGTAAAATTGAGAATCGAGCAGGTAAAAAATGAACAGAAATATATTCTGATGAACATTTCATAATTCAACAAACCTAACTCTACTTAAAAGATTAAAATACATTGAGGAACACAGTTTTGTGGTAGACATGAATCAGGCACTTGAATGCTGAAGTAGCAATAGCTGCAGGTGTGCTGATAGATAATCTTGCTACCTCTAATGTCACGGAGTTGGATGATACCTTGTGTTGTTGAAAAGTAATGGCCGTTGTTGTAGATGGTCAGATTTGTTAGACTTGCTGGTGATAAATGAAATCGGTTAAGGAAAACATTCAACGCTTGTCATACACACAAAAAGAAAAAGATACATTGACAATGAAACTTCGAAACCACATGTCTCCTTTCCTGTATTTTAAAATCTCCGCTCCCATTTCATTTTTCTAGAGGAGGAAAAATCAACATCGTTCCTTTCAGATTTTACAGAATTTTCTTCACAGAGATGAAAAATCACAGAAGTTCATGATAATTGATGATGAGTAATTTTCCGTTTAAAAAAAAAAAAAATGACAAGAAGTCTGCAACATTGCAAATTGAGGTACGCAGTTTGAGATGAGTACTTGACCGGCAGTCTCCATTCATTTACAGTGTTCTCATTCATTATAAGTAGCCGTGCAAAAACGAAAAGAACGTGAAGCCTTTCTCTGCAAGGTATGCATCTAAAATAAATTCATCATTTTTCGGCCCGTTAAAATCTTTCGGGGAAATATTACTCTCTATGAAAAACAGATAAAAAAGGAGTGGAAATGCGATGAGCTCTTCCTTAAAATCAGTCTTGTACATTTTCCACGAATGAGGAACAGTAACTCACCTAAACAGGAAAAATACTTAGTTCTGAGTCTGCCAGCAATGTAAATTTCACTGTAACTTAATAGTTTTCTACTTTTTTAAATTTTTGGACTCATACATGGGTTTTTGTTCAACATACGCCTTTGAACTTGAAAATTAGCCAACACAATGTGTCAGCAGTTTCGCTCATGAAAGGAATACGAATTTTCGTTTGGAGCTGTGTCAGAAAGAGCCCACACATTTTTAAAGACAGATCATCTTTCAGTGCCTCCTCACCCCTTCCCATATAGAAGGAGAGAGTTTTTTATTTTATCTGCATATCGAAGAGAGTTTCCTTCTCCCTTTAGGGCTTTACCAAAGAGAGGTTTTTTCCTTTTTCAGACTCCTCGGCCAGCATTTTTTGAGAGGGAATCAAGTGCAGTTGACTTGGAACTGAGGGAAGGAGTTCTAAAGTTTTTTCCCCTCCATAATACTCGCTGTAGACCATTTTTGAATTTCTTTTCAATACGCCGATTTTCATTTAACCCTGGACAAAGTTTCCATGTTTAGAAATAAATTCCCTGACTTACATGGTTTTCCAGACAGCTGGCAACCCTGTTAGCTGAATTTCACGTTGTCTAATTTTCACTCCATTTAACAAAGAACCAAACTTCTCAAGACCTTCAAATTTTCTGTGAATTATTGATAATTAAGCGTTACAAACAAGCAAACGCTTAATTATCTTTTATTACCTAAATTCACGTTAAAGTGTTTTTTTGTACGGTTGTGAGGTATAAAAAGGATATTTATGAAGTAGCTTGAAGATGCCGGTACCAATTGAAACAGGGATGCCCATGATGATGGATTCTGACACTCCACTAATAACATCAGTTTGCCCGTAGTATGCCGCATCAAAAAGATGATCTGCTGTTTTTTCAAACTGAAACATACCAGCGAGCAAAACATATGAATATGAGGTATCCAATGACAAACGTTGTTAAACTCTGTCTAAATTACCCGATGAGTTGTGAGCTTACATACACAATGCCAAGCATTTCTATGCAATAGGCTCAAGCAGCCGAGGAAGCCTTTGAGTTGCGTTTAGAAAATAGAAGAAGCAAACGGCGTCTGCAGGCTGATCATTGACATTGATAGACAAAGAAGACATGGGGAACATGGAGCAATCTTATTGGTTGAATCAGATGGTTGTTATAGACTAAGAGGGAAAATGATGGACTATCTACAGGGTCTCTTGTGAGTTGCTGTTTGCTATTAGGTAGTTTATTAATAACCTCCTTCATCCATTGCAACCACCCGCTTCCATCAATAGGATTCCTCCGTATACCTTTGGTCTTCTTCGTCTATAGCTTTGTGTATCAATTTCAATAATCAGTCCGCTGGTAAGTTTCCTTCGACAACACATCTTGTGTTGAGTATTTATAGTGCTAGTGCAACATGAATTGGTCATTAATAGATCAGGAATCATCTTATGACTCATCAAACTATTGAAGTTTTCTTTGCCAGAAACACTTAAATGCATTTGATCACCATGGTATAAATACGATGAGGTTATGTATCTGTCAACATAGGAATTATCAAACAGCGACTAACATCAAATCATGTAGCCACTTAATTAGTTTATGAAATTAAAGGCTCAGATTGCATTGAAATTTCCTTAAGGTGATTCGATGGACGCCATATTTTGTGTCAGAACGGCATGCGATATATCGCATCAATTGGTTCCATATTTTCAGCTACTCGTCATTTTTCTCCTATTTTGAGATCGCACTTCTATTGTCAGGAGTCTAAAGCATTCATTTACCAATTTTAACAAAGAAATTCAACTTAATAAAGGCGTGGTTTTTTTAGAGAGAGAATATCGCATTCGAGTGCAGTTTCGATATCAGTATCGAATACGATGTTTTCTCTCTAAAAAAAATCACGCTTTTATTACGTTGAATTTCTTTGTTAAAATTGGTAAGTGAGTGCTTTAGACTCCTGACAACAGAATTGCGATCTCAAAATAGGAGAAAAATGACGAGTAGCTGAAAATATGGAACCAATTGATGCGATATATCGCATGCCGTTCTGACACAAAATATGGCGTCCATCGAATCACCTTAATGTTACTTTTGCAGTTGTGAAAACAATAGTAAACTTCTTTCCTTGCTACCTTTAATTGAGATTCCAAAAATTCTTTAGAAGTTAGTGGTTTCTAATACATGGAAATTTTAGAATAATATTAAAAAAAAAAAAAATTCATTCTGGTATGAGGCTCGGCTTCTTTAAATGTTAATAATGAACATGGATACAAATGTGCTCTCATGTCAATATGCAATGGAATAATAAGAAAAGAGAAGAATTTACTCACTGAAGCAAGATTCAGAACTGATTCTTTAATTTTTGCCAGCCCATGTCTTGTGATACCGAGAGTTTCACCATGGCTAGTCATAAGATCTGCTACCAGCATTGAATGTCGATGGTCAATACTCATTCCATGGTTTTCCATCACTGACTCGATTTCTGTCATTACGGTCGATCTATTGTAAATAGAAAATATTAGTGGGAAAATAACATTGCAAAGGAATCACATTGGGGATTGTGGAAAAAGTGGGCAGTATTGGCAAATCTAAGCTAGTTCAATGAATAAAACAATTTGCAATTTCTGGAGAATGTAGAGCTAAATAGAGGACAAGAATCAACTGAGATGCAGTATTCAGATATGTATCTTGAAATGTCTCATTACCTGAACTTTAAGGACAAATGCCTGATGAAAATCCGAAGTTTCTTCCAATTTTCCCCCAGATTTTGTTGAGAAAAACTGGGTAATCAATCAGTGAAAAACTGTTGATTTCTTCATATTTTAGCTAGTTCTTTAAGGATACGGCAGACTATCAAAGTTTCGAATAAAATGGTCCAAGTGTGGAAAGGGAAGAAATTCAGATTTTCTGAACCCAGTTAAGGCCCTGTATTGGCTGAGTTACCTAGTCGGAGTCTGCTAGTCTTGCAACTTTGCACCAGAGATGTGTCCCAGTTTCATATAGATCTGTGGGAAACTGAATTTTAGGGGTAGGTTCAAAAGAGGCGCTAGGTCTATGACATTCCTTTTGCAGAGAGCACTTTTTCTGCATGCTCATATCTTAGAATACAGGTATACATTTTCAAGTCAATACCTCAAAATTTGATCAAAATACAACAATTTGTTTACTAGTAGGTGGGCAAAACTGATCTAACCTCGAACAACAAACATTGATAAAAAACCGTCTTTGTCAACAGCACGTGTTATCAGGTTGTGTTTAGTGTTTCCAATTTTAATTTTTGAAATTAAACGGCGGTCTGATAGTTTCACCATCGATATATAAAATTTGTAAAACGACAAACTTTGAATAGGAATTACTCAAAATACCTTTTAGTTGATGACGCCCCTTTTGCACCCACCTCCTCCATTCCTCTCTTTCTTATTCCTGTCTTCTCTCTCTTCCCATTTTCTCTCGTTCCTTGTTATAGGACAGGTTTCAAACTGTGCCAAAAAGAAATGAGCGGGACATTTTTCCATTCTCCCAAACTTACCTTGCAGCTTCAATCCCTAAAGTGGCATAGACTTGATATGTATTATTGGAGGTACATTTTTTTCCATTTACACCTCGAGTTGCCATTACATCTTTTAGATTATCACCTTCAACTAATAGCTTGTATTTTGTTTTACCGGCAGAATTATCTTCATGAATAACAGCTCTATTAACACCTGGTAAACCCTGAAATGTAAATAAAAAAGGATTTAAACTTACATCGACAAAAATATAGATAATAAGAGGTGATAAATTATCTCAGATTTCAATATTCTCTGACTTTCCAGGGTTTTTGAACACAGATTCCCTAGCTTTTCCCTGAATTTTTGATGTTTTGTTGAGCATGATTTCTCAAACAAATTCTTCTAACAGAAAATTTTAAGAGCAAAAACTCTTGAAATTGAAAAAAAAAATGCGATTTTCAAGCTGGAAGAAAAAATTTATAGGTTTTGCAGCGAATTTCCCGGAATTCTCGGGTTGGGCAAAATTCTCTGACTTTTGGAGAACTTGTCACCCTGCTCAAATGTAGAAACTGAAAAGGAAAGAGGTATTTTTGAGCAAAAGAAAAAAAAAATTACTCACTGATGGATCGATAATTTTGAGTTAAAAATGAAGGAAGAAAAAAAATAAATTGAATAATGTTAAAGTCTATTCTGACAGAGTAATCAAACTAGTAATTACAGCTCAAAAATATGTTTAGTTCAATTTGGGTAGCAAAATATTTTTTTGTTACGGTTAATTATTTCCTTGTTATGAATAGCAGTTTTGTGCAAATTGCTGACATATTCTACGGGGTAAATTACAATTAATGCTTTATTATTCCATTATGGGTCACTGAAGGCTGGCCTGGAACCACAGATTGTTTCTATTCCACCAAGATGAAATGTCAGGATGATAGTTTGCTTTAATACAGTCTTTTTGTCCAAGTCTATAAATGTCTTAAAATCTTTCACCTTACTTAATATGACATTCCTGAATATAAAAGAGAGAGAATTAAAACTGTCAGAAAACAAAGATGATAACTGATAATGCATCAATTTTGAATGAGGGTAATAATAAAAATGGTGATGCGTGATGCACATCATGCGAATAATCATTAACTTGTTACATCTCCGCTGGACATTTAGGAGTTTAGAGCATTTCCCTAGATGACATGGAAGAATCCCTTTATTTCTTCTACCAATGCTTTGAAAAGTGATTTTATTACTTCAGAACAGATCAGTGACCACTCTGTTGACTTCTGTGATGCTACAATGTCATTATGTATTATTTTCACTTTACAATTAGACATTGAGCTTTTTACATTTTTGATGGGTATTCAAAAGTGAAATTTTATGGCTAAAATAGGTCAATTTTAAAAATTACTTACAGAAATTACGACATTTGGCAGTTGATCTTTTAAAACTTTGAGTGTCATGTCAAGGCTCATTCGTAATGAATCAGGATAAATGTGGATGACAGCATCACTATCAGGTTTGATTTGATGGTGCTTCAGGTTCAGTTTTGCTGTCGCTATGCTGACACAAATTGATTCAATGTCAACTTCCAGCTGAAGCAGTTTCAGTCTCAATGTATCTATTTTAATGACTAGATAACAATCATGCGCTAGATAAACTTCCTCCATGTACTCTGTCACATCTCCTAACGTAGTTTTTTCGATGCGAGCTTTGACTGCTCTGGCAAAGCTTTCATCTTCGTCCTCTTCGAGGTAAGCTGTGATGATTGGAGTACTGATTACTTTGCTGGCATTGATTATTTCTTTGATGCGGGGTACACCCTGTGTTATATTCATGGAAGCTACTCCTGCGAAGTGAAACGTTTTGAGGGTCATTTGAGTTCCAGGTTCTCCTATACTTTGAGCAGCTAATGCACCAACCGCAGTGCCAGGTTCTATTTTTGCTCTTATGTACTTGTCCCTACAAGTTTTTATGAATTTCACGAGTTGGGTCATTGTGAGTCTCTGAACTTCTTTGAAAACGGTCATTTCTTTCCTCAGTTTTTCATATTCAGGTGTTCTGCTGACAAAATCAGTCATGAATTTTCTGGAAAAAGAAGAGACGAACAAAATTAAAAGAAACGAAAAAAAAGAGGAACTTCAGAAATTTTTTAATATCCTGAACTACTCATATCAAACTCAGGCATCTAGGTACTTCAGAGACATAATTAAATTAAAATCTAACTAAATAGTGCAAGCTCAATTCTACATGGACAATTCCAATTACAGTGACCATTTATAAAATTAACTATTTTTACTGGAACTAGCAATTCCCAGAGCTAGTTCTTACATTCAAAATGTTAGTGATTTTAGGGAAGAACATAAAGAAAAGTGAGTACAAATAATTTTCTTTGGATTTAAGGTTACTCAAAAGAAAGGTTGCCAGAAATATTTAAACCAAACAATGAACTCAGGCTTTCTTGCTAAAATCAATTTGATGGGTGGGGTTGGGAGTTAGATAAAAAATGTATACTATAATGGCAAAATAAGCCACATGGTATAATATGCCAAAATAACTATGACAGCTTTTCATTGCAAGCTTATATCTTTCAGTTCCATGCTGACTCAACAAGACCAGTAACAAGACTCATACAGTCATAACAAAGCAAAATTTAAAAATCTCTGCCAAGTTTTCAACAAGCTTCCAACTGTAAAAACAAGGAATTTTTCACAGGCTGTTCTACACACTCTACCACGTTTGATAAGGACCTGCAAGGATAAATGAGGTCAAAGGAATGTTCTTCCTATTATACGCAAGACAAGTTGATGTCGTCCATCGGTTTCAAAATTCACCTGAAAATAAGGCAATATTCTGTGGAATATCATATTCACCACGGTCACTTTGGACAGGGGAGAAAAGAGGACTGTTACATCAAGGTGTAATTTTTCTGCACACAGCTGAAGATGAGTGAGGAAAGTAAAATTTAAATGTGATCAGAGAACTGCTGATAGGAGAGGGATCTAAAATTCTGAAGGCTAAGAACTTCCAGGCGATTGGTTTCCCGTTGATCAAATACTTGCTTCCGAAGACTCGAATAAAGAAAGAAAAAGAAAGCCATAATCAAAGGTGTTCAAGGACTTTTCAAAGTCATATGTACCCTGATCAAGATATCTTTCTTTAATAGGTACCTGCACACATAGGAGCCGACAGGCTTAATTTCAGTGATTAAAGTCTAAGCTGCTTTTGATCCAGATGATACACTCACCTTAGTTCTTCAATGAAAACTGTTCCGCAGCTTTCCATTTCTTTTGATTTTAAAATTTCATCTGTGACAAAAGTAACTTCTTCACTGGTTAAGTTAGGTTCATGACGACAAGGATAAATAGCGGTAATATTCTCTAACACTCTTTTTAGTTCTACTGGACAGCCGTTTCCTTCCATGTAAGTTGGATCAAGACCGTCTCCTCCGAAACTGAACTGGACAATGTCACCATTCGAGTTTCTCACTGTGTTGTCATACTGTAAGCAGAGATCTTCCAAAGACTTGACAAGTCTTCGCTGCATGTAGCCTGTTTCGGCTGTTTTCACGGCCGTGTCTACTAAACCTTCTCGGCCACCCATGGTGTGGAAGAAAAATTCTGTTGGAGTTAAACCTGAATAAAAGCTATTCCCAACAAAACCTTTGGCTGCAGGACTTCTGGAATGTCGCTCGAAGTGTGGCAATGATCGGTTTTCAAAACCATTGGGGACCCGTTTACCACTGATGGCCTGCTGACCAACACAAGCAATCATTTGCGAGATGTTGATAAATGATCCTGAAAAATAAATAAAAATAGGATAAAATGGAATGGAGTAGACAACTTAAAAACTTAATTTAATTTATTAAAATGGCCGCTGAATTACTAATCCAAAAGCAAAGAAGCCTATGACAAGATGAAAAATAGTTTGGTGAGAGTCTGAAACAGAAACAAGAATATCACTCGTTTCTTTAAATTTAATCAAATAACATTGGACCTTCAAGGTAATTTACAAGTTTTGAAGATTTGAGTATATTTTTACCAAATTTATGTTCACCTTGTGAAAAAACGCATGTTTTGAATAGAGAAATCAGCAATGAGTTCTTCAAAAAATATGTTTCTGTACTTGGTAAGATATCCAAACTTGTCAATTTATGAGAAAATAACAAACAAATGAGCAATACCTTTAGATCCACAGACAGCCATGACAAGAGGACTATTGCTGGGGTGAAGTTCTTTCAAACAAGCTTTTCCAGCATGATCACGAATAACAGACAGTTCTTTCAAAATGACAGCTTCAAGAGTTTCTTCTGCAGTGCAACCAGCTTGACACTGTAATTTGCCACTGGCCATTGCTTTGATGAAATCGTCACAGTTTGTGTACCTAAGAAAACGTCAGACACATTCAGTAAGTTCATGTTTCACCAATTCAATAGTAAAAGAAAAAGTTGAGTGGAAGCCAAAAACTAATGAAAAAGAAGTTTTAAGTGAAGAATGTGATTCCAACATGAGGCTTGAAATATCCATCATAAAACTAAGAAACCTCATATCTTGAACATATGTTTCAGGATATCTTCTCTGAAAGAATATTAAATTTTACTTAATATAGGAAAATTTAATTTACATGAATAAATTAAATAAAAAATATAGAATTACCCAGCTTTCAAGAGACTGTATTTTGCTTTAAGAAGTCCTTGACCAGGAGTCACATCACCAATACCAATAGAAAATCCTCTGTTCATTAGATAATAAGATGCAATTCTTGCCAACAACCACATGGCAGTTGTTGCTACTGATTCTCCCCAATCTCTCAAAAGGATGTAGAAAATGTTGTTTTTACTTCCAGATCCAAGTGTTGTTTTATCCATGACACCAGCTATCAATTTGGAGTTCCTGATCAGTACAAATGAATCTTTGATACACAGTTCTTCATTAGAGGTATAAGCTCGCCCTTTCGCTTTTAAATTTGACAAAACTGGACTCCATTTGTTTGGACGGAGTAGAACACTAAAAACTTGTTTACCACTCCACAGAGGCACTGGTTTTATGATACACGGTGCTGGTAATTCGATTTCTAAAGCTGATGTTTTTGTTATCAACCAAGATATCAACCTGGAAATTTCATTCCTATTCAGGAAAGTGTCTTTGTGGGTCAGAAGGTAACCACCAGTGATGAAATCCTGTGTTGCAGCAATCAATAACTCTCCATTACGAGGCGTAACAAGATTAGATCTGTTACCCATCAAAACTAGAGCCTCTGCCCTGGCTTCTTCGGTCTGTGGCAGATGTAAGTTCATTTCATCACCGTCAAAATCAGCGTTGTAAGGAGTACACACACATTCATTGAAGCGAAAAGTTCGGTTGGGTAAGACTTTCGCTTGATGAGCCATTATACTTAACTTGTGTAAACTAGGTTGGCGATTGAATAGAACAACATCGTTGTCAACAAGATGCCTTTCAACTATGTCCCCTTCCTTCAATTCTTGTGCAATTTTTCTCCTGTTGCCATAACGGAGGAACTTCTTAAACTTGGAACCTTGCTGTTCAACGAAGTTAGCTCCTGGATGAACATCAGGTCCATTCATTATTAGTGTCCTTAGATATTCTTTATTTGCTGCATGAACACGTTCTGGAAAAGTTAAGATTTTGGCAACATGAACAGGAACACCAACTTCATGGATCTGGAGATTAGGGTCTGGAGATATCACAGTCCGGCTGGAAAAATCAACACGTTTACCAGAGAGATTTCCTCTGAAGCGACCTTGCTTTCCCTTCAATCTTTGCACAAGACCTCGACTAGACTTTGTTGGTTGCATGTTAGCAGGAATACCAGAAGTTTCACTATTGATGTAAAGAGCGCAGTGAAGTTGTAAAAACTCCCAATCTTCATTCAACATGTGTATTTTTGCTCCAGACTGGCGATGTTTCATGATAACATCATTGATGAAAACAATCTCCGTAAGTTTCATAGTCAGATCATCTTCGTTAGTGCCTGATTTCAAATCTGAGATAACTGAAGGACGAATACATATTGGAGGGACTGGTATTCTGGTAAGAATGAGGTCACTTGGTAAAGAGCGATCGGGGTTCATCAAAAGTAAGGGGACATCTTCTGTTGGTACTGTCTCCAGCAAACGTAAAACTTCTAGAGGATTTAAAATTTGAATTAGACCATACTTTCGGTTTGCTTCTATTTCTGGATTCGACTTTACAGCTTCATTGAATTCCTCTGCATAAAGAAAAAGAAAGAAAGAAAAAATAAATCTTGTTTTACCTATTTAAAAAATTGCAGAATAATGAGAATATGTGACAAAGATACATGTAAAATATTCAGGAGTTGAAGTATTTTGGTGCCATTTCTCACTTTTGAAAAGAGAAATTTGAAACAAATTAATAATCATGGTTGAACCGTTTAACAGTTCAGTACATTGGTAATAAATCAAGTTAATTCAATATTGCAGATAATAAATGCCTCAGAAAATGTTTGCAATGTGGTAGCATTCTTTACTACTGACAGTAAACAGAGAGACATGGAGGCCGATACATACTGCTGAAAGTTTAGGTTTTTCTAGCAATTTAACGCTTTCCGAATAGCTATTAACTTTCGTTTTTGTGGCTACTCAACTACGAAAAATGAAATAATAGTCCAATTAAACATGGAAAATCCATTATTCACTTTGACTCAGGGGTGCAGAAAATTGAAAAATGCCACCCTTCCCTGATCCAGCGTTTTTGCTTCACAGCCATGTTTCCAATTGGCCTCCCTGTCCAATGCCCGATTTTGTGGCAAGACGTCCAATTTTTCATTACGATAAGTGATCTGCCCAAACTTTTTTAAAATACTGAGCAGGAAAAAAACTAGCATTTTTTAAAATTGCCTCACGACCCAAGAGAAGAGAAGAAAAATTTGCCTCTTACTTGCCGCAATCGTAGGATCGCAAGATCGTCAATTTTCTGCACCCCTGACTTGAGAAATGATTATTGCCCATAAAAAACTGAAAATACTGACAAAGAAAGGAAAAGAGTGCACATACCAAGTTTTTGCTGAATAATAGATTCTTGTTTTTTATTCCGGTACTTCTCATGACTGATTTTCAACAATCCGCATTTTTTTACAACGCCGTTGATGTCGCCACAATGAGGACAGATTGTTTTCTTCTTTGCTTTATCTTGGATTTGTTTCCTAAGAGCTTTTCTTACTAAGTATGAGAGAGCAGGATTTCTAACTTTGGCTCGATAGATCTGACTTTCAGCGCTTGTCAACAGAACACGGGCACACATGGGATTCTGGGGAAGCATAAAAAAACCATGATCCTTTGAATTTTAACAGTATGGGGAGTGAGTATTATTGAAATACTTTTGTTTGAAAAGAGACATTCATGCTATTGCCTGTATTTATAGCTCAGTTAGTAAGTATTAGTTCTTTTCTATCCAGACAGTCCTGCCAAACAATATTCTTCATGACTTTCTCCTTACTCTGAATTATGATTCCTTTTCTAGAAACCGACCTTGACAGGGCCACATATACCTGTCCATGACTAAACAAAGGCCTCTGAAAGTAAAGACCTACTCTATTAACATTCTGACCTTTGAACTCCTCTTTCTCACTCCTGCTCATTGACGGTCTTACTCTGCTTCTTCACCCCGTCCATCGAGCGTCTTAAAATGATTTTATTAGAATAGAAAGGATAATTGCAGGTTGCACCTCATTTCTACAGTATTTTTGTCCCTTTTTCGTCCTCCTCTCTTCTTTAGAAATATTAATTCTCACGTATGTCATACAGAAAAAGAATGGTTTTTTAACTGCGAACGCAACAAGAAAGAAAATGTAATACATACCGCATGTAATACATATGTAATACAAAATGTGATACATACATAATACATTGATGGTGAAACTATCAAACTTAATACCTTGATTTTTGATGGTTTAGAGTTAGCTACATGATGAGCTATGGGAGATTTCTTTTGTCTACCATCAAAATATTTTAATCAAAAACAATTGGGAAGTCACTCAAAAAAATAAATCAATTACTGCATGTCTCATTGTTAATTACCGAAATGCATACTTTGTGCCAGCTCCTATATGATTCCATAGACTGCAGAGAAAAAAACTAGTATTAATGGAGTGATGATGTAAAGTGTCAAATTATCACTGCCTCTATCACCGTTGTTTTGCAGCCAATGCTGCACAAATGCTCTTTAAGCATTTCAGTGGAGTCAGAGTCTGATACCCCAATTCAGAGTTAATGGGATTAAAATAATAGAGGCTTCCACCACTAACAGTTGAAGTTATTTCCAAAAATGCTTGCAGAGTGTTAAAAATCATCTTTTTTTTTTTTTGGTTGTTGCTATCTCTAAGAATCATCACCTTATTATCTACTGTGAAAAGGAAGGAAATATGTTTTTCCCCAGAAAATTTGTGGGTTCTGAGATGTGCGTTTTTGCAGTTTCTCCATCGATATGTAGAATTTGGCATTCAACTGATAAGAAAAAACCTGGCTCAATCTGTTAGGAGCACCAGTTTTTTACTTGAAAAATCTATAAATTTAAAAAAGGCTGTGTAAATTTTGTTAAAAGCAGTTGAGTAGACGTTATTATGCATTTTCAAGGATTTTGGTGACCACATTTTAATGACGAATTTGGTTTCCAGCTTTAAAACGAACAATTTGAAAGAAGATTGAACAAAAAATTCGTTGCAGCTCACCTTACAAATAGTTTGCAGAATATTTATCACAGATCGAAAGTAGCCAACATGAAAAACAGGAAGCTCCAAGTCAATATACCCATAGTGACCAATGCACTCAGCAAGACCCTTACCACACGTTGCACAGTTCGCATCTTTTTGATTTGTTCCCTGGAAATAAAATACAAGAAAAAAGGGTTACAAGGCTGCTTAATTTGTTATAGAATTCTCAAAGAATGACTAAAACTTTCCACAGGAAAAAATATTTACATCCTTCTTGTATATGTTAGCGGCAAAACCCGATTCCAGGCAAAACTAGTTTTGCCTAGGCAAAAATGTATTTTTCCGAGGAATCTAGTTTTGCCTGCGCAAAGTAGGCAAAACTAGTTCCGCCGGAGCGCTGTCAGTTTTGCCTGAACACGACCAGGCAAAACTAGTTTTGCCGGACCAGGAAAACTACGTAAAACAAAACTTAAAAAAAAATAAAAAATTTAAAATAAAAATAATAATTCAAAATTAAAAATTAAAATATGTCCTGCACATCTCTATTCGCAGGCTCCACTGAGCCCTGACTGCAAATTTCGAGGTTTACCATGGACAATCTTCAATTCTTTCCATGATCCAGCAAGTTGAGTTACAAGTTCATTGACGAATTCCCGTCCATTATCTGAGTGTAAAATACAAGGGGCCCCAAAAGTTAAAAAAATATCTAATAATCCCGGACCAACCGTGGCTGCTTTTTTAGATTCTAAAGGCTTCAAAACACACAACTTAGTCAGGTGGTCCCGGTAGTTTAACACTAATTTAAATTGACCATCTGCTTGTGATTGGTAGTCAATCAGGTCCACCTGGCACCTACTATTCATCCGAGAGTTTCTGAGAGTACACTATGGGGTTGGACACAACGCCTCTTTGTTGGCGGAACTAGTTTTGCCGGACCTCATCAGTTTTGCCTGAACATCAGTAGGCAAAACTAGTTCCGCCTACGGTCGGCTAGTTTTGCCTACGCATATCAGGCAAAACAGGTTTTGACTAGGCAGATCTAGTTTTCCCGGTTCATTTCTGGCAGAACTAGATTGGCCTAGGCTAAACTAGTTTTGCCTGGAATCGGGTTTTGCCGCTAACATATACAAACTTACTGAAGGACAGTCTGTTCAACTGGTATTAACTGAGGATAGATAATTAATGTTAGAGGTTCCATTAAACACTTGAGGTACACTATAAACTAGTTTTCATTTTCTTATCTTATTTTTGAGGGGAAAAACTTCAACCTTAAATTAAAGTTGTCCCATTATCTCACCTACAACTAGTAATTGCCCAAAACTTTATTCCATTTGCAACTATAACTTATTCTTATAATATCTCTCCCACCACCCCCAAATTTTTGATATTGACATCTTGCTGAATCTGCTGATAAACATATTTTGACAAAGAACTTTTACTAGTTTTCAGACGAATTTGTCACAGAATGTGAGGTCAAAATTTGTTCAGAGTGGATGGATAAAAGGGCAATACTTACCATTTTTCGATCAAGAACTCCATGAGGAATTGGTGTACGCTGGGGATCTTGCTGATACAAACTCTTTGCGACGACATGTAGATGCGCTTGCTGCTGCATCTGCTGTGCGCTATCAATGCCAAAGCTGACATGAGAGCTAGAAGAAGGAAAAATGTAATGCAAAATAAAGAAAACTGAAAATATGATATTCACTTAAAATTAAAATTAAAGTGACTCCAGATTTTTTTCTTCTTCTGAAAAGTCTCTAGGGTAGTGTCAATTCACTGATTATGAATGTATTTTCTAAAAGTAATCCAGAGCTGGCGGTGTGTCTATTCACAGTGCAGGAACTTTGGAGGCCCACAAAATATGTTTATACATTTTTAGACAGCAACAGAAGATTTTGGGATGTCAGTTTTTAGCATTGAAAGTAAATGCAAGAATCAAGATTAAGGATCTTCTGTCGCTGTCTGAAAGTTAAACTTATTTGGTGCAAGACTCCACCTTCAGACTGAATATACGTATGATGGAGGTAAAAGGCAAATTGAAGTTCTATTTCTCTTCAGGGGAAAATGGTGTTCATTAGTGTTTTTGAAGGGAAAGGATTTCAAGGAATATCCTCTTCAGATACCCCACGAGGTAAGCACTTTTTAACCCCCCACCTCCCCATTTAGAGAACCATTAAGTCACAATCCAGAGCCAACCCAGTTTCAAGGTGGTAACATTCTCTTTGGTGATTCATTTCATCTTTTACTTAGCTAAAAATTCTTTTCATTTTGTAAATATCACACAATTTGATTGATTAACTTGAACAAGCCTCTTCATTTTCAAAGCCCTTTCCTCATGACCTTTTTTTTTTTTTTTTTTTTTTTTTTTTATTTTTTTACCAATTTCAAATAGCCTATTGGCTAATCCCACGCTTATTACCTCAGCCCCAGGTGACCATTGCCTGAGACCATCAAACTCGGATCACCTGGCCGGGAATCGAACCCGGGACCTCTAGGTCATAGGGCCAGCGCTACAACCACTACACCACAGGAGGCCAATAACCTTCTTGGTGTCCTACACTCAAAAGAGAGATGTTAGAGAATGAAAATACAGCATGCACAAAAAAAGACAATCTTAGCATTCAGTGCGACTAATAGCTACTTCTTTTCTTGCTGAATAGAACTGAATTTTGCGGAGAGGCAAAAATTGTAGGTAGGGGAGAGGGGGGAGGTTGGACTAATTCTTTCCAGAGAAGTCTTCGGAAGAGCTGGACATTGCTCTGCATTTTTTTAAAATATTTTGAAGTGGTTTGTCAAGTAAATAGAGTACTTACATATTTTTCGTAACATTGGGCTCCCTATATTCTTCCTTCACCATTTTGAAGATTAGAGAAAAAATGAGAACACACGGCCCTAGAATCAAAATTACAGTAAAAGTTACCTTGAAGAGTAGAAGAAGGAAATTCACTTAAACATAAACTCAATAGAGATTATGGTAAATTTTACATCCTTACAGCTCTCTTACATCTTACATTGTGTGCAAAAATAACACATTTTGCTTTACATTCATCAAATTTTGAGGAGCTGTGAGAGTACGAACATTTTTAAAGGCTACTTTTTGGAGGGATTTTCAGTAGATTGTTGAATCTATCTTCAGCTCTGATTTGAAAGCGGGGGAAAGTTGCACCAGAGAGCTGAGAAGGTCAACAATCATAAGGAGGGGGAGGTTGAGAAAAGAGAAGTTCTCCCTTGAAAAATAGTAGAATGGATCGTAGATATCTTAATTTCAAAGTGCCTTTTTGGCATTTCTACGGTCAGTATATAGAGGCATATGTTGAATGAAGAGAACAGCTTCATGTCTACTGAGAACGATATTTGTTAGAAAAACACTCTGTCAGTTTTCGGCAAAAATGGACGATCAGGATGATAAGTCAAATAATGGAATGAACCATTTTTTACCACTTATTGACTTAGGTAGTTATCATGAGTGAAAATCTACAAGCCTTTGTGAATTACATTCCGAAACACCCCTCAATCATGTCAGTAATAGTTCTATTTCATTAAAATGAAAATTAGGAGTATTTTGTAAGAGGTTTTGGAGAAAAGGAGACTTGTACTAATGAAGTATCGTCAAGTTATTGTGAATTTAGGCAGATGTTTAGTGGATCGCCACCCCACACGGGTCAACACAGAGGATCTGACATTCCAGTTTAAATCCATCGACATACTATCAGATCCCCTGGTATAATCGGAAAAAAGTGGAAAGTCCTCAAGGGCACATGAGAGGTTAAAAGAAAAAAAATATAACTCACCAGGCTAGGAATTTAGAGCATCTAATAATGGTATGAAGGTTCACCTTCTCACTCTTAAAAATACTCCATCCGTCATACCCTTCGGAGTGGAGCGCAGACAAAATCATTCACAACATGGGACAACTCAGTTCTCATCTGAAAATCTGAGACACTGGCCATGTGAATAATTATTACATATTGAATTTAATTCATAGGTAAAAATACTTTGGAACGAATATAGAGATTAAACACATAGCACCACACTATATCACGACCCTAGACTGCTGAGGCTGAGGGCTGAGGGGAAATTGAGGTTAGAATGGGAGCCGCGTGGGCGATTCAGGCAACGGATTCAGGGGTGCAGAGAAAAACTTACGTTATTAGACTCAAACTTGGAAAAATCTAGCATAATTTGACGTGATGTGGAAATTTCTCATTAAAAACACGTGTAGTTCACGACTAAAAAGTATTATGGGTCCACATCACATGAGTGTCTATGATGATAACAGCCGGCTCTAATCACAACAACATACCGGTGACTCGAGATTGGTTGGAGAAAACATCGCCTGCATCATGCAACAACCAATCAGCACGGTTTGGCAGGGAAGCGCCAAATTTCAAAATGACGCTCTTTTTGGCGCAAGTGCGGATACTTATATTCTCAATTTCATACTTGGAACTTCATCCAGTTGAGCGAATAATTCCAGCACACATTTGAAAGGAAAAGAAAAAGCAAATGAAAACGTGTAACCGTTTAATTTAAAATTAAACTTTATATTTAAAATGTTTCTGTCTTGTGAGTGATATATAATATAGTAGTAGCAACTAAAGATAAAGAATGACATGAAGTCCGCAACGTTGCAAACCGAGATACGGTGTTTGGGAGTTTCTCCATCAATAAATCGTCGCTCCTCTGACGTAAGGGCGTATCTCAATTTCCGCATGAGTCCCAGAAAGCATGGATTCATATGTAAAACAGGGCTCACGTGCAAATCGAGATATGTCCTTACGTCGGAGGGACGACGAAATGATGCACCTATAAGGAGAAGGGCGAGTTGTCAACATTTTTCAGGAAAGCGACAAACCGCAATTTTGATCAAAATTGTCGATTCTCAGTTTTTGATGCTGATCGATTGCTACATGCCTCAAGATATTTGAATTCAAAATTTGCATTTTTAACGATGTTATATACGCTATAAGTGAAGGGACGACAACTGGCAACATCCGGACTTCATCTCGACTCTTATTTTCGTGCGAGGAGTTGATAATGGAGATGTTGTATGTGTGAGGAATTTGCGATTTGACTAGATATTCCTATGTAAAAGTTTGCAAGAAACACGATGGTGCCACTGGTTTTTTTTGAAATCAAATCCCAAGCTCAAAAAACGCCCTCGAGTTGAAGCCAAAATGGAGGGGATATCCCACGCTAATCGCTATCCTCAGAGTCCACCTCTACATCAAGACGAACTCTCCATGCAAAGATAGGAAGCAAGTACATTAGCAGTGATGCCGTGTTTTCAGTTTTAGAGTCCCCTAATAAAGTGGCAGCCCTGTCAATGTATTCAGGCCCGGACCAACACCCGGACTTAGGGCGTGTGCAGGGCGTGCGGCGCACACGGGCGCCAGCCTTTGGGGGGCGCCACGAAAGAAGAAGAGAGGGAAAAAAGGGGGGAAAAGGAAAAGGAAAAAAGGGAAGAAAAGGACAAGGGGAAAAAAGGAAAAGGAAACAAGGTTGGGAAGTGAAAGCAAGGAAGAAGGGGGGAAATGGAAGGAAAAAGGAGGCAAGAAAAGTGAAAAGAGAGTCCGCGAGAAAGGGGGGGGGGCATAAAAACCATAGACAAAATATAAAGAGGATTGCCGTCTGAAGGTAAATTTTCAGGACAAAAACTCCACCTGGTCCATAGAAGGTCAGGCGCCCCTTGACCCTTTTGCGGCTGTACAGAAATACAAGAGTAGGCATGTAGTAAGGGGGCGCCATAAATCCATCGAACAGGAGCCGACATAGCATTTTAGGCCACGTCCGCCATCTTGGATTTGAGAATATTTCAAAAACCGACTGAAAATTCGAGTTTCCCGTCGAAAAGTACCCCTGATCCCGCGATTCACAAAGCTCTAACGAACAGAAACGGAGGCCAGAACCGGGGCTCATTTTAGGCCACATCCAACATTTTGGAGTTGAGAATTTTATAAAATTGACTAAAAATTCGAGTTTTCCGTTGAAAAATACCGTGTGATACCGCGTTTCACAAGACTCGAACAAACAGAAACCGAGATAGCATTTTAGCCCACGTCCGCCATCTTGAATTTGAGAATTTTAAAAAATGGACTAAAAATACGAGTTTCCCGCCGAAAAATACCTCCTGACACCGAATTTCAGAAAAATCCATCGAACAGGGGCCGAGATAGCATTTTAAGCCATTTCGGATTTTCGAATTTTGAATTTTTTGAATTTTGACAGATTTTGATTTAAAACGCGTGATCCCCAAAATCGAAGCTCAGATTCGGATCCCTCGTAAAAAATCGATGCGATTTCATGTGTCATACCCTGACACCGAATTTCAGGAGAATCCATCGAACAGGAGCCGAGATGGCATTTTAAGCCACTTCAGTCATTTCGGATTTTTGAAGTTGAAAAATTTTACTTAAAACGCGTGATACTCAAAATCGAAGTTCAGATTCGAATTCCTCGTAAAAAATCGATGCGATTTCATGTATCATACCCTGACACCGAATTTCAGGAAAATCCATCGAACAGGAGCCGAGATGGCATTTTAAGCCACGTCAGTTATTTCAGATTTTCGAATTTGAAAAATTTTACTTAAAACGCGTGATACCCAAAATCGAAGCTCAGATTCGGATTCCTCGTTGAAAATTGATGCAATTTCAGGTATCATACCCGAGCATAGCGTGAAGGAAAGAGACGTAACGTAGGCATACTGATTCGAGCATATGAATCCAACGTGGCAACATGGGTAGTGCTCAGTGGGTCTGCGGAGGAGGAAGAATAAGAATTTATCGTGAGGAATTCCTCGGGACGAAACCGAATGCTTATAGCGCCGGCCGGCGCCTCCCCGTTCCGTTGCATCTCGGGCGACCGGCGCGGCGGCATAGTTCAAACGGGAAGTACGACAGAATCTATACGCGTCGTTAAACCTTTTTCCTTCACGCTATTTTAACATATGATTCATGAAATCTCATCAATTTTTCACGAGGAATCCAAATCTGAGCTTAGATTTTGGATATTACGCGCTTTAATCTATTTAAAATCGTAGGAGAAATTGCAGAATTGTCCTTGAAAATTGATTACACGTAGGTACGTTAGTGATTTTTTACCCCGTTTTTCTTCTACGTTCACGTAATGAAATTAGATCAACAGTTGACTCATCGACTAGTCTAGCCTACCTCCCCAGAATCGGTCTAAAGGACGAACGATCTTAACAGATAAGATGTGCGGTCCTAGTTTCCGGGCAATTGCGGTTTAATGGAAGCTGCGATGAGGAGAAACGGAAGATATGCGAAACTCGGGCGGATATATAAGTGAGAAACCAGGTAGGGAAAAGGCTTTCTTCCCGAAAATGTAGTGCTCGGGCCAACTTACATGGTCACTGGAGCATTGTATAGCAGGTTGTGGGAAACTTTTTTTTTCCGCAACAACCAATTGGATCGCATTTTGCAAAAAGGAACTAAGAGCATTTCAATGTTGCTAGGATTGTGCAACTTAGGTCCATTCTTTGCAAAAAGTAAACTTTGCGAAGGTAATTTTCGTCTTGAATTCATAGTTTATCGGGAGTAGAGGTGAAACTAGTTTAGATGATCGTTTATGTTTGCAAGGTTAGCGACATTGGAATACTCTTGGATGTATTTGCTCCCTATCTTTGCATGGAGAGTTCGTCTTGATGTAGAGGTGGACTCTCAGGTTAGCGTGGGATATCCCCTTCATTTTGGCCTCAACTTGAGGGATTTTTTTGAGCTTGGGAGTTGATTTCAGAGAAAACCAGAGGCACCATCGTGTTTCTCGCAAACTTTTACATAGGAATAAATAGTCAAATCGCAAATTCCTCACACATGTAACATCTCCATTACACCGACTGGAATTTATTTTTAATGAATACCTAAGCCAAATCTGTAGGGTAAACCAATCTCAAAACTTTGACTGCGTTTTTCTCAAAATCACGTTCTTTCGTTCACAAACTTTGAAATGCTCTGGAAAAGTCAATACTCTTGGAGATGAGCAACGTGCGAAACCACATAAATCTCCATTCCACGATACGGAGCCAATTTCAACGTGGATTTGATTGAAAAATGGTATTTTCTGAATTTTCTCTCTCAATAACGCAATCTATCTGCCTATATCTATTTATCATTATGGTGTTTCAAAATTCCCGCTCTTAGTTTATTTTTTCAAAGAGAAACAAGCTAACTATAAAGCTTGAAATTTAAACAAAATACTTTGTCCTGGCTCATTTTTTCTTCTTCTTTTTTTTTGGTTTATGGGAAGTTAGTACTCGTGATGAGCTGCAGTGAGTGTGGAGAAATACTTATCTTAAATTTTAATGAATTCTGCTCTCGCAATTCCCCTGTCATGACCCAATTAAATAATATCTTAAGGTTGCAGGATTTTTTAATAAATCAAAAACCTAAATTACAGGGGGAAAAAGAAAAGAAAAACGTTCTGCCGATAGAGAAGAAAAATCAAGGAAGTTTTCAAGAAATAACGTTGACCGGTTTTCCAAAGAAAAAATAAAGCATGATAAGAAGTCTCGTAACGTTGCAAATGAAGCTACGCATGGTCTCACACTTGGACCACGAAATGATTCAGAATTAATTCCTTAATGCAAAAATATAGTTATTATAGGTGTTACTTTTCCACCTTTGAGTGACCTTTTCCTCACGTGCATCACAATAATTTATAACTTTCCTCGTGTATAAATATTTCAAGAATTTGAGCAACGTTCAAAAGTTCATACGGCGTTCCACCTCAACACGACAGTCTTGCTCTGAAGTGTGGCGGCGCGGGGTGCTCTACTTTCAGGGGTACATTCACGAGTTGGTTCAGTATTTCAGTTCTGGTCGACTCGAAGGGTCCTCGCTGAACCGAACGCGCGGTCTCTCCGATCTCCTCTCGATGATATCATTGGTTTTGTGAGAAAGACATGACCATACAAATGGAGCGGGTTCCTATCGAATATCTATCAGACCGTCCCCCTCCTATGAATTCAGCAGTTTTTGGCAAATTCACAGATCGCGTTTTTTTTAAAGTCCCGTTGTTTCGTGACGCCAAGTATTTTTGACCTTTCAGTAACGTAAAGTCGTCGTTACGATAGTAACGTAAGTGTCATCGAGTAATTTGAACAGCAAGTTATCTCTGCACCAAACAGCGAAGAAAATCTGGTAGGTGTTTCTCAAAGATCTCGTTATTTGAATAGTTGTGCGAAAATGAGAGATTGAAGCCACGCGTCATGCCCCACATGAACTGCGTTCTGGAATTAATAACAACAACTTCTGGCTCAGTTTAGGAACAACGTATGTACCAATAGTTTACCTGCGCACCTACGTGTTTTCACAGATGAGCCAGATATTGTAGTTCCCAATTGCACAATGTAGTCCAAATGTGCAAATGTAAGAAAAATGAAAAATCATATCGATAGTTAAAGTTCCGCTTAAGGTTCAATCGAAACACTGTTTCGATTTTCGACGTCACAGATTTCCTGTCACACATTAATTTCCCATTGAAAAATTAACGACCATTTGCAGAAATTTTTATGGATTCTTTCTACATCTTTCGCAGAATATTTTGCGACAATATCTAATAAGAGAATTCACCGGGTTTCTTTACAAAATAAAATAATAGCAGAGATTTTAATCGATATACATATTCCCCAACTTTTAATGTTAATACATCCCGAAAATATGTGAGAGTTACTGAATCTTAAAACAATTTGCGAGTTTAAAACGACTGCTTCTCCTGCATCAGAAAAAAAGGAGAGTGGAAATGATAAAACTTTCGCAAGCTCTCAAACTGATATGGTTATATGTTTCGTTTCGTTACCAAGATATTCGTGTGCTGATTTTCCCAAAGATTGGTACCTAAAAATATAGAATTGATATACCTAGACATCATCATGCTATATATGTATAATAATGTGTCGCAGGCAATTGGCAATCGCCGGCAATTTACAAGCCAGTGGTGAATAAATGTAGAAAATCATAAAATTCAGAAAGGAAAGAACAAGATTAGAGTGCTGATCATGTTGCCTATAGGTAGTGTGAAAAGACACTTTTCCGTCCTTAAAAACATGCCAGGAATATGCACACTCAGAAGAGCGTGTAGTGAACTGCGTGACACTGGTTGGGTTGAGACCGGACAGGCAACTAAACTAACATCGTGACAAAGCGTGGAGTATCACAAAAAATGAAGGCGCTTCGAGCCGAGCTCATACTTTCGAAAACCATAGCCCTCAAAAATTTCATCATGCCGACGCGCATTGCCATTTATTGAAGCAACGTGTGAACCGTTTGCAAATTGCCGGCAACTGCTGATTGCCTGCGACATATATATTGGGGGGGGGGGGGGTAAAGTTTTCAGTTTGATAATTTGATTGCATTTTGCAATTTGGAACAATGATATCTGGCCCCGTTTAGAAACTGCGCACGTAACATCAGTCTCCCTATACCGTAAGTGTTTTTACAAATGGGCTGGAAATAGTTCGTAATTGCAAAATGTGGTCCAGTCGATGTCTAGATAACCGAATTCAGCGGGAGATACTACGGCTGAAATTGGCCATTAACACATAAATAACTGCAAAAACGCGTATCTCCGTTTGCGACGCTGCGGGCTTCATATCATAATTTATTTTAAAAATGAAAGATACTCAACGTAGGTATCTCATAGAGTTAGTATTATTCCGTTTAATTTCACTCAATATAATTTTTTTCTGAAAGTTTCAATCCATTCAATTTTTTTTTTCTACAAGAATGTAACCAACCTCAGTCTTGCCATCATTAAATATACGCGTTGACTTGATACATACTAGAATAATTATCATCTCTCCATGAAAAATATTTTGTGAGAAATTTCAAGCAGTACAACCGGTTCGTTCTCGTTTGATAAAATATCATGGGGACGGAGATTTTGAAACACCGCAAACGAGTTGCGCTTTTTTGCGGTTTCACCGTGAATAAGGGAAAGGGCTTTCAACTAAAAGACTCTTAGCTTCGCGAGGCACGGAGTGTGCATGAATGACTGATAGAGAAAATCAATATTTTAAGTCGCAGAAAAAGTCAAAACTCACGATTTTTTTTTGAGATTTATTCCACTCATATTTAATTTTATCTGCCTTCACAGATGCACTATGGACGATCGCACGATAGATTTAATCTTCTCCGGCTCGCTGGAGAGCCTTCCGCCAGTCAGCTCCAAAATTGTTCGGATATTCACAAGCTCCACATTTACAGGTAACGATTGCAATATACAGTAGCCGTTCGATAATTCGAAAAGCTCGATAGATCGACGGCGACACTAATCCTCTAGGAGAAATCGCGTCAATTCGACAAAATTAGTGTATTTTTACCCCCTCGGTAATTCAAATTTTTCGGTGGGAAAACGGCTCGTGAAAAGCTCTGTAATTCGATATCTGTGCCGGGTGCTCTATAATTCGAAGTCTCGAGGTGGTTGTTTTGATGTGCATAATGTCAATGCCCGACGGACGGAGAACTGAGGAATTTACGATTAAATCCTCTGAGTATCGGATTCGAATTATAGAGCGTTCGGTTCCACCACTCCGAATTATAGAGCTAATTTTAAACTCTCTTTATTTCAAATTTTTTCGTAGCCGCTCTCCATAATTCGAAATCTAGCCAATTCGAAAACTCGTTATTTCGAAGAAAATCCCTGGTCCCTCCAACTTCGAATTATCGAGCGGCTACTGTACTTACTCGGAACTGTGAAGTTGCACTGAGAAACTTCGATTCGTGAGAATAAATGGACGCATTTCTGTCAAACGGAACTGTGTGCATTACGACGTGAGCCCTATCATGCATATATTTTTATGGGTATCTGGTCTCGTGTCTTAATTCATATAGTTCCGTTTGATAGAAATACGTCCAAATGATTGCCTCATGATGTCATTGAGATTAACCCATTGTTGCCCAAGACTTTTATTATGTACGTAGTCGAAGCCCCAAGTTGGGTCAGATTGATCCGTTTCTAAAGAAATTGATTTCTTGAAGTATTTTCTACGTTTCATCATCTATGGTTTTGAAGGTGAGAAAGACTTTTTTTTATAATTTACACCTTTTCGATAACACACTGAAACTTTCTCACACTCCCCTCTCTCTAATCCGCCACATGTAACGCCCCCAGAAGAGATAGTCGGGTTAATTTGACCAGACTATCAATGGATTTCTAGGGATAGTCATAAAAAAATAGTCCCTGACACGACATAACTCTCGCCAAAATACCATTTTTTGGACGCGCGCCCTTTAGGGCGCTTGAGAGACCATTAAACTTCCGCCTCCTCCAAAAAAAATTTCATTGATTTGGACACATCATAGCATCTTTTGGTAATGCTCCGCTCTGTGCTGCTGCTGAAATGTCGCTCAGATTCTGGGAAAAAGTTAAAAAACGAGGCCGGATCAGGTCTTACTTATTCAGGCCTGTGTCGCTCACGTATTGCTTGAAGCACCCACAACACATGAGATATATGATAGAGCAAAGGAATGGAGCTGCATTGATGACGGCGCAGAGATACAACTATTCGTGCTTGATGGATGGCCGTGTTGCATCTGTAAAATTGAAGGCGCGACGGCGGCGCGAGGTGTGGACTCGGAATGCTCCGCTCAATGCTGCCAATGAAATATCTTTCAGATTCAGAAGGAAAGTCACAAAACGAGGCCTGCTTACGTCTCTCCTATCTTCGGCTGTGTTGTTACCCAATTTTTTCTCCTTTTTTTCCAATTTTATATCTAATTCTTTTTTTACAATGTATTTCGACGGTGTAAGTCGGCAATCACATAACTCGGTTTGCGACGTCGTATACTTCCTGTCATACTTCATTTTTTATACAGAAAACTACTCAACGGCAATTCTTTAAAACTGCCGTAATTTTTCTTCTCTGTGCGAGGAAAATTCCGCATAAACTTCAAGGAATGATGTCAGTTCGTTCTCCTTTGGAAACATAACATAGAGGCGAAGATTTTGAGACACCGCAAACGAATGTGATTGCGGACTTACGCCGTCGATTTGTAGACCTAAATCTAAAGCTCGTAAGTACCGGCCCCATGAAACCCCCAGGGCACATGTTTTTAGCAAGGCTCTGGTAAATTTGACCCGACTTGGAATTCTAAGGGTTAGAAAAAAAAATCGATCGCATGAATCGCATGTTCAGCTTTACAAACTAGATGGTTCAACTGACATGAAACATTGAACTTAAGTTCACATGCGATGGAACAACGTTTTCAATGTGAGAACAAGGCAAAAGGAAACCTGCAATTGTCAACAAAAATAATTTTTTCATGAGTATGATTTCATGATATTTCATCGCAAAAAAAAAAAAATCCTCCCCGATCTTTTACATAAAATAGAGGGCGTCGGTTTATTTCAAGTTCACCACCTCACGATTGACATATGAGCTGTTCCATAAATAATCTCGAGTTTGCAATGAGGAACTTTTCTTTCTTCTGACTCAATGCCATTGTTCCCTATGCAGATAGATGATTCTACGGACGAGCTAGAGATAATAGTTCCTTTTGCAAAATAAAATCCAAATGACGCGGAGTAAATTTTTCAATTTTTTGACTGCCTCAGAGGCTGCCTCTCCTCTTGTGAAGTATCTCCCCGGCATCTGTAGAAACTTCCCTAAAAAATGACGTTAGGTAAACCTTTCCCCCTCCCCCAGGGATTTTGGACAAAAATGAAGAATACTGAGAAGAAGAAGCAATGAAGCAAGAACAATCTTTTTAAATTAATGTTAAACATAAAAACTATTCTCAAACAAGGAGGGAAATTAAGACCATGATTTTGAAGTTGCAAAGACACCTCTTTTAAAGTGAAGTAGTATTTGGTCCGTTTAGTAGAAAGTAGAGAAATTTCATGTTTTTCTTTCGTTTTGACGTCTACAAATTTTCAAACTTTTCAAGCCTCTGGCAGTGTCTAACTCTGGAGGGTGCTGTGCACGTATTCTCCCAAGTTTTCAGTTTGGGTCAAAGCTTAAGAATATATAAGTCAACACTTAACCCTTGCATTGGCAGATCCAGCAAAGTGGCAACATTGTTTTTTCTCCATTTAAACCTATGTGGATGTATCGATTTTTGGAGGGGCTAGGTGCTCCGACAAGAATCGATTAGTTATTTAACATGGGTTTAAATGGAGGAACCCGGTGTTGCCAAATTGCTAGATCCGATTCTGAACCCTTGTGCCTTGGGTTTTCTTTCCAGATACTACGATGGAGAGGAACACTCTGATGGCACAGTGTTATCCGAAATTAAAAGACTATTGTCGAGAAAAACACGGACTTGAATTTCAGGTACGATTTTTTCACCACTATTTCTGGCTTTTTTATAAAATCACAAATTTTCAACGGAAACGATATGAAATATATTGTCTCTAAAATGAGCTGGAAATTATTGTTTCTCGTCGTATGGTGGGATCACTTATTAATGAATTACTCACTAATTACGGAAACGCAAGTAATGAAATTCTTTACTTCAAGCTTGTGAAAAGGGTGTCCTTCTTGTGACCGATCAGCAATTCACTCATATTTTTGCGTGGCTAGGAACATACAAGATAATGTTTAGACTAAACTTAAGTTTAGCCATGAATATGCATCTAGAGGCGCATGGGACAAAAACGGAGAACAAGAGGAAAAACCGACGGTTTTATTTTAATTTTATTTAGGTAATATTTACCATGCGAATTACTTTTATCCACTTACACAGTAAGAAAATAAACAATCTTTATATTTATTTATGAAGGGAAAGCTTTCTGTGTTGAAATGGCACACTACAGTTTAATTTTTAACAGACAGAACTTATTAATCATCAATTATGAATGAGGAATACGTCGCTAATATGGTTAAAGTCGCATTGGTTACGATGTGTTTGCAAGTTTGCCTAACTGAGAGATTGAAGGCGATGCATCTTTCAGCATTATTTCTTGTGGTGGCGGGGCCGAAAGGCTGGTCTCCCTCGTTTTGGGATTGCACTTAAAACAGTAAAAATAAAAATTTGTACCTACTTAAGCCACAAGGAGTAATGAAAGTATTTTTCCGAAATCAAAGAGAAAAGGTGTGAGACTTGGTCTGTAGATGGAAGAGAAAAACCAATTTTTCCAACACGCACCTCACAAAGTGTCTTAACTGTCGGAGATAGTTGCTAGAGAAGCGGAAAATGAAGATGAAGGAACTCAGAAACACGAACGGAAATCATCGTCGGAAATTTGATAAAACTTCCCTGATTAAAGTGCGAAGACAATTATGAAATATAACTAGAAATCAGAGGCGAAAATACAATTATTTTCTCGTTTTCTCTCCTCATTATTATTTTTTCTCCCGCTCTGAATTCCACCCGAGTTCAAGTTGATATTCTGCTCTTTTCATTTCTTTCGTTCCGACACGAGACATGCAAAATGCACAACGCAAGAGGATCGCAACCGTGAACTTGTTATCAGGGAAAAGGAATTAAAACTTAACGGAACCTTGACAGGTTGATGTTGTTAGGCAATGGCGGTGCCACGCTGTACCATTAGAAGAGAGGATTGAACTCGCGAAATCAATAAAGTTACAGAGGTTTTACTTTCTGTTCGATGTAATCATTGACTTTGCATGGAACATATTGTGTTTGATGTAGTAGGTATCGCACCAGCTCAATCATCGGAGAAAGAGAACAGACATTTTGTCTAGTCGACGTGTTATCGTCTATGTCATCTCCGCTTATTGAACGCTGAGCTCCCGTCTGCGCATTTAGAAAGCTAAAGCGTGTGCTTTTGGTGTCTGACAGTCACATCGATTAGCTTCACATCATTTATCTTTGAACATGTTCGTATAGGTGGCTGTATTAGGAATATTGATTCCTGTTAGGATATCGCCTGGGAGCCTCATGCACTCATGCAGTCGAAATGTGTCCAAGACAGGTGGAAAACGAAATGGTGGTAAAATAAAATTATTCGAGAGTAGAGCTCTGGCAACTTTGGCTACTTACACATCTTTTTCCGAGAAAAAAGAAGAGATTGTAAAGAGGGAAGGAATTTACGTGGATACAACTCTGGAATGGCACTGGAAAGATAATGACAAGTTTCAGAAAAGGGGGGTTACAGCTATAGGTTACACGCACGTTTGAAAGAAAAACTCTAATTGAGCCCATAACTGACTCTAGGGAGAGGAAAGTATAAATTGGCGAAAAATGTAAAGAATGAGAGGAGAAAAGGTAGAGGGAGAAATGTTGAATACTTTTTTTTAGCAGGTGTTTTAATCGCTGTGGCTAACTACGCTCGGAATGGGGAAAGAATCGAAGAAAAGCCATGAAAATGAAGATAAAAGATAACGAAACTTGGAGGGGAGAAACCTCAAGGAGTATAAAACATGAAAGAAAGGAAGAAATGAACAGTAGGGATGACATGCTGATCAGGCTCCAATCTGACTGTGGGGAAAAATAAATAAAATTTAGTAGGAGCAAGAAAGAACAAAGGGAGGGAAGCGTGTGAGACTCAAGATTGCGAAAGAAATTAGAGAAAAGGGGGGAGGGGGAGAAAGAGGGATTTTGAGATTATTGGATCATATTTTGAAATTGAAATTTTTAAAGGGTGTGTTTCAAGAGAAGGTCTTCGAGAGAAAGAAAGAATAAGGGAAGAAAACGCTCTTGATTATCGAACAGAAAGAAAGGGATAAAAAGACAACAAAAAATTAAATTTTTTCCAGCGCGATGATGAAGAGTTTTGGAAAAGTGCCATCATTAAATCCAAAAATCAACTATATTGATGGCCATCAAATCCTCTGAGGTGCCTAACATTACTTCAGGGGTATAAAGGTGTAACAACAGAGCAGTCATTAAGGTGAATCTGCAGCGAGAGCGTAAGCAAACATCGAGTTATCGAGCAACTTTTCTGCTAATACCTACAGCGGGCCGATTATTGAAATTGATAGACAAAGCTATAGACAAAGGAGATATGGAGAGATTCTATCGGTGGAAGCGGGTGGTTGCAATGGACAAAGAAGGTAGGTGATAGACTAACTAACGGCAACCCACGAGAGACCCGACAGTTAGTCTATCATTTTCTCCCTTTGTCTATAGGAACCACCCATTTCAACCAATAGGATCGCTCCATACTCCCTATGTCTTCTTTGTCTATAGCTTTGTCTATCAATTTCAATAATTAGTCCGCTGGTTCTACTTGTATTTCTCGATAGGAAACGGACCCTTCAGCCCTAGAGGCACATTTGGACCGCGTTGAGCAGAAAGGAACCGAGCCTCATCAGCTATTGCCAAATTTAACCAGGCAATTTGATTTTATACATGTTGTGCGGATTTTTGTGCAAATTTCAGCCCATTTTCTGCGTAGTGCGAAACAAATTCCTGAAAGTTTTCAAAAAAACCCGCACAAACGTTCTCTTGTAAAAAATTAAGTTGCTTAGTTAAAGGCCGTACATAGCTGATGTGACTGGCTTCCTTTCTGCTAAACGCGGTCCATTTCAGCTGTTCATTTTCAACGAGTGTTGTTTATAAAACCTAAATGAAAGCTGAAAGTGTGCGAAAACGAAAATAATCGTTCGATTTCACGATCGAATGCAATATTTTGCGTTCGCATACTTTCAGCACTATTTTAGGTTTACAAAATAGATCCTTCGAGAAGGAACAGCTGTTATACGCCGCTAGGCGTAATTGACACGCTGTTTGTCAAAAATTTAAAGTTAGACCAGTCATAGGCAAAAGTCAGGGAAAATGAGGAAATTAAAAAATTTTGGGGGGCTGGAAAAAGGAAAAGTTGCGGAAAGTCAGGGAATTTGAAGATGATTTTATAATCCAATGGCCATCTTGAACTTCTCTTTCGATTATTCTGCAATTATGAGGATTATACTGCCGTGCTAAGGAAGAACGCCGTACGAACATTCGAGAGTTGCCAAATTTCCTGCGATAAAATGTTCATTTTTTAGAAAAGCTATGAATATTTTTCATTGAAATTTTCAGGAACTTTAGATGAAATTGCGGAAAAAATCATCTCAAAAATTGGAGGAAAAATATTCATAAGTTCACCAGAAAATTCGCTTTTTAGCGAAAAAAATTTGACAACGCTCGAAGGTTCATACGGCGTTCTTCCTTAACACGGCGCATAGCTAATGCCTATCTTTCGCTCTGTATTTCAGGTGGTCGACATGAGATGGGGTGTGAGGGACGAAGCAACGGATGATCATATGACCACCGAGCTATGCATGAGAGAGATCCAAAATTGCCAGCGGTTATCGATGGGCCCCAACTTCGTGGTAAGTACCCGATTGAGTGTCGCCTCTCTCCTTGTTTGATGTGGTTTACCTCGCGGGCGGGAATGAACGAAATCGAGGAGTGGTAAGTTCAACAGTCACTTTGACCTAATTCCTCGGCAATAAGTGTGGGGAGCGATGGGGAAGGCCAGTGTTACTGTGACTCTCTGACTTACTGGTGCCTCCTCGTGCCAGTCACCGAGCTGAAATAGAGATATTTTATCGACTTGACTGCTCTTGACGTTTACCACCAACCCTGGTTACACCCCCCTATCTGACGCAAATCGGCCGAATAAGAAAAAACTTCCCGCGAGAGTTTTTCGAACACGCGAAGGGTCATCTCTTCGGAATCACCCCCCCCCCCCCTGTACATATTTTTACAGTAGAAATCGGATGTAACGACCGTTTCGGGACCAGCCTTGTTTAGTCGTTGTAGCCCATTGTCGATATAACCGATGCATGAACACATTGAATCAATGAAACTTCAACGGTGGCGAGGCGTGAATGATCGATTATTATCGATATATCCCCATTGGAAGCTATTGCAAGAATCGACTGGAACACCCTATTTATCGATCCTTTTCCATAGCTTAAATGGCAGATTCATCGATATATCGCAAAGTACGGCACCCCACGCCACTGATTCTCAGCCGCGGGACTGATGGCCAGAGATCACATCGTTATGATCGACATTTTGTTATGGGGGATGTCGTAAAATCCAATTTCCATTGTATTCTTCACAAGATACGACTCGCTCGAAGAAACTCTATAGATATAGTAAGCGATGGAGTTAGTGAAAATAGTCTAATATGTGAAAACTACTCGTGCAACTATTCCGTAAAGCAAGGCAGGGCCGGATAAGGGGGTGGCCACGCCACGTGGGCCGCGGCCCATGGCGGCAAATCTAAGGGGCGGCAAAAATTTGCAATTTTTTAAAGTGTAGGTATAAAAAAAAATCGGATTAATAAAAACAAAATTACAAACGAGAGAAGGCGACAAAATCTCTCATTTCCTGAGAGTATAGTAATTTCTAATTTTGTCGTCTCTTAGTGATACAAGGGATAGCACCTTCAATAAGTCGAGTTAAGAGAGCGACCAAACGCGCAAGTTGGCCTAGAATGGCGCGACTTAGAGAGAAATGATAACGAGGACTTGAGATGAAAAGAAGAAGCCCTCGGGGCAGTGATCGGCACATAACACATATTAGCGCCTACATGACTGCACGAATACTTCACGCATTGCATCAAACACAGTGCGGTCATTGCGGTCAGCGTGAGACGCATAGCGCCTTCAAGACTGCGTGAATACTTCACGCGATGCGCCAAACACGGTGCGGTCCACGCGGCGCGGCGGCGGAAGTTAAAATCATTGATCCACATTTATGTTTGTTCTTTCATAATTTTTTCGTTCATTTCTTATGAATGGAAGGCCTTGTCCACACAGAGATAGGTTTACGGAACTTAACTTTTGCGCAAAGTTCCGTGAACTTTTGCTAGTAGTGTTGACAGGGCTTTCCCAAAAAATTTGTTCAACACGAGTAAATGCGTCTTATACACCCCTCCCCCGCTGACACGTTAATTTGATGGTTTTCATCGAGTTTCAAAACGAATGAGAAGGGGGCGGCAAAATACAGGCGGCCCATGGGCGGCAAGTAGGCGAATCCGGCCATGAAGCAAGGAGGTAAAATAATCGATGTCTTTATAATGCTCACGCAGTATGCGGATTCCAGGCCTACCTATAATTTTACAGTCGATGTTGCTTTTGTGGCAACGATTATTTCGCTGGAAGTTTGCTGGAACCGAAATAAGTGCTATCGGGAACGTGACATTGTAACTATATTATTGGAAAAGCATAGGTAGGAGTCAATCCTCTATGATCTTTGCACTAGCAACGATTCTTTTTTCTCCATAAGAGGAAAAATAAATGGACACAAAATACATAATATCGATTCACAGTTTTCTATGCTGAACAATTTTTAATACTGTTTAAGAACTTTGGGTCCGAATTTTGAAGAGATAATTTGTATTTCTAATAAAGTTAAAAAAGTTAAAAATGAATTTCTCTAAAGCTAGCTACAGCGCCGGCAATCTCAATCTATGTTTTTTTGTTTTTTTGAAATCGCGATTTTTCGTTCTCCAAATCCTTTCGAAGAATCAACTTGTGTACATTTTTTTGCACCAGATGATGCGAAATTAACCTCTTTAACCGTGGTTTCTCCATCTCATTTTATTTTTCTTCGCCTTGAACATAGCAATGAAGATCCGCATTTTTCGACTTTGGCCGTAGATGGAAAAATACTCTTTTGTCCGGTTCAAAAAATCTCAAAAGAATACTGACTTTGGTAACAAAAAAGAAGAGAATCTTAAGCAAGGCAAATTCTGCCTGATTACGCTGTTGCTGGACAGTGATAATATAATGGCAAGTAACGCTATTACGGTGTTTCCCAATTAAGGATGCCTAAGTGTTGCGCACTAAATAAATGCTCGGACAACTGACGTTATATTTTTATTTGTTAAGTATTTCTGCTCCGGTAGGATATACATGACAATTTTTATTATATATATTTTTAAATTAACACGCCCTCATTGCCGTCTGATACTGTCCAACACTTTCTGCGCCGACATTGTTGCTCAGAGCGCCATAAAATTCACCAACAAACATTGCCCTGTGCGTTAGGCGCCTTCAATTTCAGAGAATACTGTGCAACACCTCTGTGCCGGAATAGTTGCTCGTGGCGCCGTGAACAAACTCGCGCGAAGGCTGGGGTCATGACTTCATGAGTAGATCGCATTTTCCATAAAAATTACAATAGAAACCATGTTTTTACAGACGGATCTTTGTCGTTGACATTGAACGTTTTGTAATTTACTTTTTCATAATATTGCACTGCATTTTATTTTATTATATGACCAATATATAATCAATTCTGCGCTACAGCGATAATAACGGCAAGCTCTAAAACTTTTCTTTTATTCACTACTGCACCTACTGGAAAAAGAGGCACGAATGAGAAAGTTGCTCAGTACAAAAAATGAATTTGAAATGCATCGATGGCTTTTCATAGAATAAATAGCTTAAGAAATACAATTGTAAGTGGATACGTTTCAGAGGTATGAGAAAAAAAATGAAATATAACCATGACTAAAAATGCATACCTTCGTTGCAACTCATGTTCTATAATTTCTAAGAATAAAACCAACCGATAGTTTTCTTGAAATTGTCTGTGAATTCATCCACTCATTCAAAAGTAATCGTGGAAATTTTTATAAAATGCACACGCCTTCATTCAAATCATTTTTTCGGTTAAAATTTCAACAGATACAGTGTTGTTGTACAAAACCGAACTGATCTAGAAAAACGGAGGTCTCCTCTGGAATCATCACTGAGGGATAGTAATTCATAAAATCATAAGGGGGGAAAATATATATCGTTGAGCGGTATAATGTTTGATTGACTACCCACTACTTTTGTTCAAAATTGCTTTGCTTTCTCTGTGCGTAGGTATTTCTCGGACAAAAGTACGGTTACCGGCCAATTCCAACGTATATCTTGTCATCTGAGCTGCAAATGCTACGTGATGAACTTGCGGCTGGTGGTACTGATGTGACACTCTTGGACACATGGTACAGGAAAGATGCGAACGCTGTACCTCCTGTCTCTGTCCTCCAGCCTATATCATCCATTCTCATTAATTTCAATAATAAGGTACCGGCTTTGACATTGCTTTGACCAAAATAATATCGATGGCCAAAGTGCAAAACCACGTGTCCCCGTTTGGGACGTTGTGGACTTCCTGTCATAGTTTATTTTTTCATCGGAAAACGAGTCATCTCAATAACTTGAAAACTCCTCTCTATTAGCAGAATATGCCGTCGCAATTTGAAGCTACATAGTTAACTTGTTACTCTGAAAAAATTAATTAAGGCCTAAGTACACACGGCGATTAATCGAAGCAATTGAAATACGAAAGCCAATGGAAAGCCTTGATTTCGATATATCGACGTCAATGGATCGAAATCCAGGCTCTCAAATGATTTTCATCTTTCAATCGCGGCGATTAATCGCCGTGTGAATTTAGGCCTTCAGGAGCTGTGGTTTTGAAACACAGCAATGGAGATACCTATAGTGCAATTTCACCAGTGGCGGGGCGTGCTTTGCGATATATCGATCGATCTGCCATTTAAACCTATGGAAAAGTATCGAAAAACAGGGTGTTCGCAGCGAACACCTAAACAAGCGATTATTTACCACAGCTTCAAATGGGGAAATATCGATAGATCGCAAAGCACGCCACGCCACTGAAAAAACTAAGACCAAGCTTTACGAGAGTTCATGTGTTTTCACCAAACTTTGGCTGGGAAAAAAAAGAAGTAGAGAAAAAGTCCGATTAGAAATTAATAAAGCGCATTCACATAATGCCGGTTGTGCAGGGCCGGATTAAGTGGGTGCACCGGATTACATGGGCCGCGGTCCATGGCGGCAAATTTAGGGGACGGCAAATTTTGCATTTTGGCGCGTATACGTAGTATACCGCCTTTGCGATCGTTTCGACCCCCCCCTCGATACAATAACCGAGTCCCCTAGTTCCTTACCGAAAAGTGACTACCGCGAACTTCTGAGATTTTCCAAAGCGTGTAAAAAGTTTACTAATCCGTCAATAATAATGATTAAAATTTGTTTCTCATTCTGGGGCTCGCTAGTTTATGTGTAATGAATACCAAGAGTCTACGTTTCTTGGTTTTTTTTAAAAAAACCTTAGAATGGGGCGCGCTGATTTAAAATATGCATATATAAGCGGAAGCAAGCGAACTGATTCGAGGATGGCTGACCAGTTCGGCACTCCTTGAATGAGAATTTCACTCACTCCGTTTTGTTCACAACGTTGCTTTGACATATCTCCACAACACTGTTATCCTTTTCAAAAGTTGGTACTCCTTGCTCTGATAGCCGGGGCCACCAGGATAGTGGTAAGTGCAATCTGTGATGAGCCTCGAGACTCATTAGACCATTTGCTAAACGTGGCTCATACAGGAGTCCACTAAGCCCTCTCGTCCCCACGCTCCTGATCACTGCGTCGGCGTCACGAAGAACAATGGGCCTTGGGTCCCAACGCGGCCGATACCCGTACCCCAATTACTCACGCTTCATTAACCATTTCACCGTCACGCTAGGATTCATCCAATTTTCAAAAAAAATTGTTTCGCATGTATTTAGCAATTTTTTCCTTACTCTCCGTTAAAACACAAATAAAAAGAGACCTCATTCATAAAAATCGGCCGAATAGAAGAGAAGTTACAGTAATCGAAATCCGAAGAAATCAACAAAACCTCGACTCCTCGATACGAAAAATAAAATGAAGGGGAAAAAAAGAAAGTATAAATTACAATTAAATATAATTGACCTCAAAATTTGACAAACAATTCATTTATATACCTAACGCTGAAAAAACTGGGAGAAATTACAAAAAATTTGCCTCTTGCAAGGGGCTTCTTTGTAAGAATTTTGACCTGAAGACAACGGTCGAATAACAGCAGTACTCCATACAATACACGGTGTGCCTGAACGAGTTAAACATTTTTCATACGTCCAAATCGAAAAATCTTTATATTTTTAACTACAATGTTTCTTGAATCGTTTAAGCAAAAAAAAAAAAAAAAAAAATTCCGTCGAGATTCTGGAACGCAAAGGCGCTTTAAAAGTATTCTGGGGCTATAATAGCTAAATCACCGGTAGTAAATTCGTTATATTATTAAAAAGAAATTGACTCCATAGTTTAATTCCTTAGTTTCTTGAATACGATTATTTTAAGCACTTAAACATTTATACCACCAATTTTAGCCATGGGGTGATTTCCTGAGAGCCGATAATATCACGAATTTCTCATAGAACCCCTCAACAGTGGCTTGCTTTTTTGGCAGCCGATTCGGCCATCGAACCGGAGTTTAAATGGAAGCTGATAATAACCCAAAGCTCTGAGAAAAATTTTGAGATGAGTATAAGAACGGTTTGTTGTAAGTAGCGAGGAGAGGCGGGCAAAGCGGCTAAAATCCTATCTAATTTTTACAGTTTTTCTGTTGAATTAATGTTGCCGCGGGCTTCTGACTGTCCACACATAGTTCTGTTCAGCATATCGATACATAAGTATTTACATTTTACATACGTAGAATCTAATTTTCACGTCGGGGAGTTGACATATTTTGATTTTTTCGATTTTATACGGAAAATTGATGGTTTTTCGGGATTGAAATTATTATTGTTTCATGAAAAATAAATGCACCCAAAATGACTATAGCATATTGATTCTTACACATTTGCACTCACAAAATTGGTTGGTAAATTCAACGAGTGGGTGCATCGACCTGGTATATCAAGTTTCTGCAATTTTTTACGGCAAATCAGTAGATTTTCGGGATGTAGATTGCTTACTTTCAATTCATGAATGAATAAAGCAACGACATGGTTGAACTTCTTTGCATGGAAAGACGTTTAAAATAACAAAATCAAGACGTATTTAATGCAATTGCATTTATATCGAGTCAATTTCTTTTCAATAATATAACGGGATTTTTACTACCGGTGATTTGGGTATTTTAGCCCCAAAATACCTTTAAATCGACTTTATCTTCTAGGAGTTCGACAGAATTTTTCCTTTCTTCGCTTAAATTATTCCGTAGCACTTTTCTTCAAGAATCTGATAAGATTTTGCTTGAGGCAGATCAAAAAACTTAAATTCGATCGAATAGCTTTCTACTTTCACAATACACGGTCTCGTCAAGGTGCGTCTTTGACCTCGCAGTGTTGGATCGTGAATTCTCTTTTTATGCTGTTTGCCTATTTTGAAATCTCTGTAAATGAAAACTAAAGGGGTTGATATGTGCGAGTTAATGACGCGCCTTATCAACACATTGTGTTGGAGTTCACTGCTTGTTTTTAAATGTGGGCATAAAAAAAAAATCGGATTCAGAAAAAAAATTATCAATGAGAAAAGGGAATAAAATCTCTCTTTCCTGAGAGTATAGTAATTTCTAATTTTGTCGTTTTTCGGTGATACAAGAGACAGCATCTTTAATTAGTCGAGTTAAGAGAGGAACTAAAGACGCAATCTGGCCTGGAGCTCAGTACAGAGAGGAATGATGACGAGGACTTGAGATGAATAGGATAAGCTCTCGGCGCAGCGGTCGGCATGTAACACATATTAGCGCCTACAAGACTGCATGAATACTTCACCCATTGCGCCAAACACAGTGCGGTCAGGAGCGGTTGGCGTGAAACGCATAGCGCCTACAAGACTCCAGGAATACTTCAAGCAATGCGCCAAACACAGTGCGATCAGCGCGGCGGAAGTTAAAAAAATTAAACCACATTAATGTTTGTTCTTTCATAATTTTTTGGTTCATTTCTTATAAATAGAGGACCTTGTCCACACAGAGATAGGTTCATAAGACTTAACTTTCGCGTCAAGTTCCCTTGAAATTCTGCTAGTAGTGTTGACAGCTGGCTTTCGCAAAAAATGTATCCAACACGAGTAGGTAAATGCGTCTTATTCACCCCTCCTCCTCCGGCACATTCACTTGGTGGTTTTTATTGATGTTTCAAGACGAATGAGAAGGGGGCGGCAAAATACAGGCGGCAAGTAGGTAAATCCGGCTCTGCGGTTGTGTACTTTATTTTCCTTTCGTCATGTTATTCCAAGTGCATTTTCCCACAAAATTTAAAATTGATAAGCAAAGTCATGGCAAAGAGATTAAGATTTACAAGAAATACTTTTCAAATCTAAGGAATAAAATTGATATCAATGCTACTCACTATTTTTTTTTTCACTTTTTAGACGCAATGTTTTGATCACACCAGCGTTCAACAAATAGTATGTTGTGAATAATAGACGAGCATCACAATACTTATGGAAATGAGTACTACGATAACTTCATAGTTGCCTATGCTTTTAAGTCGCTCAAAATGTCGGCGCCAAAGGAAGTTTTCTGTACAATTGGACTACATTTTGCAATATCACTACTCTTAGCACATTTATAAAAGAATTTATCTGCCTTGGAAAACTTACAAAACATACGTTGTTTCTAAAATGGGCAAGAAATAATAGTATCCAATTGGGAAATGAAGTTCAATTTATTATAACATGTAAACTATTGCTTTTTTTTTCAGAGAGTCCCAAAATTACAACAGCATGACCAAGCAGTTTGGTGGGACACATTGGCAAAAATGCAAAAACTCCTTCGAAAAGCAGCGCAGAGTCTAGCCAATAGTGGAAAAATTGATAAGGATATAATGCATAATTATTTCATGTCAGGTTAGGCTTAAATTTTAAACTTCCCACATTAAGTATGCAAATTAGTTTTGAAGCTTTTAAGTAAGAACGTAAGGTCATGCTGTCATGAGATTCTTGTTTCTGATTCACTCTAAACATCTTCCAGTGATATAAAATAATGTAAGTTTGAGTTCTTGAAAAACGTATAAAATACGCGAACACGACAAATGAGCACAGCCAAAACTTGCAAGTTTCACACTATAATGTAGTGTGTAATATGATAAATGATGCTGGTGACAATGCTTTAGTTTAAAGTTGGAAAGAGTAAGGTAGAGACTCGAAAAAAAATGACTCGGCCATACTTGCGGCAAACTTCTGTAAAGAGCCAAATTGCTTACCTAAAATTATTCCAAGAACTTCGGATTTCTACGGCTAATGTCGAATATTATTTGTACGTAATTAGGATGCTCTTTGTTTCCGTGAAATAATGTCTAGAAAAACTAGAGAGACTAAAAAGAATTTAATCACTCAAATGACCTAATTTATCATCATACTCTTGAATTAAATCAGGTCTTATACAGATGCCAAAACTTCATGTGACTTTAAGGCATGAGCTTATTGTCAGTGATCATCGAAAGCGACCATCAAATTTATGCGAATGACTTTTATTCCAGTTACTGAACGAGAGGTCATTAATGGTATTCTGAACGTCAAAAACACCAAAAATCATTGTTTGGCGTACGTGCGATATATTAACAACATCAATCTACAGAACCTGAAAAAAGCATCTCTTTTCTTGGATATTCTGAATCGTAGTTTGGATACTGAAGCAGCGAAGCTCCTGGCAAATTTGAGAGATGAACGGCTCACTGCAAAAATTGAGCAAAGTAATTATCAGAGGTAAGGAGCTTTCTGTATTTGCAACTGTAGATAGACTAAAGCGCACTTAAATTGCGATTTTGGATGGCGGATCCCAGACTGGGAAGATACCTGCATATCGACGGTGAAACTACCAAACCACGTATCTCGGTTTGCGACGTCGCAGACTTCCTGTCATACTTTATTTTTTAAATGAAAAACTACTTAACGTCCAGTCTTGAAAATTTCTGTGATTTTTCCTCTTCGTGCGGAAAAAATTCTGTGAAAATTTCAAGGAATGATATTGATTTGGTCTACTTCAAAAAAATAAAATGTGAGCGTAGATTTTTAAACACCGCAAACGAGATACGTGGTTTGGTAGTTTCACCGTCGATATGTAGGATGTGCAGGTTGGTACTCAATTCAGTTGAAGGCGCTCATGCATACTATGCTTGCCATGAGTCCGCGTCGCGCATTTTCAATTTTTTTTTCGTCCGGGAACAATTTTTATTTTATTGTTTTTATATAATATATCAATGATTATACCACGTATCTTCGTTTGCAATATAGTAGATTTTTACTCATATTTTATTTTGACCTTGGAGAACTAGTCAACGTAATTTCTTGAAAACATCCTTGATTTTTCTTCTCCGTTATTTGAATATTTTGTACAGCTATAAAGCTGACTTGTTTCTCCTCGAAAAAATTAACTAGGAGCGGCGATTTTTGAAACTCTGCAATAAAGATACGTGGTGTCACACTTTAACTATCGATACATAATTGCCACCGACCTGATTGGTCCGAAAAAAGACGCAAGAAAAACCATAACCAAAATAAAATAAAGAAATACCTAAATAAATAAATCAAAATCTTACAAGCTGTCTCGTACGATTTCAATCATTTTTAAGCGTTCATTTTCACATTTTTGTCCTTAATTGTATTGAGAGAATATATATTTTATACGATTGAAATTATTCGTGAGGAAGACACTCAACAGTTTGCACAATTGTTTGTTCATACACATGTTGCGTCAGACAGGTACAGTTCTCTGGACTAAGAGAAAAGTGCCCAACGTGGTAGATTTTAAAAACGCAGGATATAACCTATGTAAATTGTCAACGCGATAGTGTATAAGAGTAGGTACATTGACAGTGGACTTGAGACATTTTTAATGAGTTCAACGTTTAATACGAGCGATGTTATGCTATACAATTCTACTCAGTTAGCAGTATCTAAGTATCTCTTTTGTGCAATACACCCTCTATTTTTAAAATTTCTTGTAAAAACTCGCATCTTCATTTATTTACGCGGGATATTATCTTCTCACAACAGATACACTGTCGAATGGATCGGCCGGGAAGGATTGGACACAGAAACACACGAAGAATACTTAAATCACTTTATCACCCATTTTTATAAAAACATTACGAAATTGGTCGATCGAGCTATGAGAAAGGAGGATTCAAGTGCTCAAGGACAAATTGTTACTGAAATTTTGCAGCATCTTCATGCGTGTAATAACTCTGTCGAAGTAAGTTGTAGCGCACGTATGTATTCTGTTGGTAGCAATTTGATCAGCCCTTTTCAGATAGATGTATGAAATGGAACACATATGACTAAATAAGGAAGATGGCTATTTGGAGGACAAGTGAGACAAGTATAGTTTTTTCTATTTCAAGAAATGCGTGTTTAAATTTTCAAAATTGCATTTAGCCACATGACGGAAAAAAAGTCCAAACCCACTTTCTGATGCTTAAAAATTGGATTTTAGTCGTGAGTTTTTCGCAGAGTATATCTGGGTCAGGTTTTAGTTGAAATCAGTAATACCTCAATTTTTCTCAAAAGTTGCACTTATCCCACCCCTCTCCGAAACCCCTCATTTTATCATATGAAAGTTTAAAAGATATAGTGCTAGATGTGTAGCCCTCTAAGCTGCAGCCTAATCATGTCTAAAAGATTGGCCAGCCAGTCATCTGGTACTAACTTTTCGTGCGGACTGCTTTGATTGTCGTTGTCAAAATAATTCTCAAAAGCTAATTGACATTGAAAACAGCGAGACACGCAACCATAATTATTAGATTCACGGAATCAGACAGCGATTGCGTGACTTTTCGTTTGCGGTCTTAGTTTCAAAGTTACAGTAACTTGATATTTCAAACTTTCATTAACATACACGTTGACATTCATTCATCTATGTGCATGAGTAAGACTCTACCTAACTCAACCACTGAAATAAACTTGAAGTCCTCTTTGTTGGAAGTGATTGGAAAATGCCCACTTAATTTGGACCCATGTGGCACAGATTGCAATAAAGTACATACATAAAGGTACAATTGCAGTAAATTACACAATGGTAAAATTATCTCGTTGCATCGGAATGTTTGTAAATATTGCCTATATCTCCTGATTGAAGGAACACTTCTCATGGAAATTTATCGCAATGCAATTAAACTTAGTTGCATGGCCGGATTAAGGGGGTGGCCACTGGCCACATGGGCCGCGGCCTATGGCGGCAAAATGTAGGGGGCGGCAAATTTTGCAATCTTTTTTAATGTAGCTATCAAAAAAAAAGAAGGAAAAATCGGATCCAGAAAATAAATTACAAACCAGAAAAGGCGATAAAATCTCTCATTTCCTGAGAGTAAAAGTATAGTAATTTCTAATTTTGTCGTCCTTCGGTGATACAAGAGACAACACCTTTAATAATTAGTCGAGTTAAGGGAGAAACCAAACACGCTATTTGACTTTGAGCGGAGTGGCGCAGAAGGCAATGATGACGAGGACTGAGATGAAAAGGAGAAGCCCTGGGCGCGGCGGTCGGCATGAAACGCATAGCGCCTACAAGACTGGATGAATACTTCACGCAATTGCGTCAAACATAGGGTCAGCAGCGGTCGGCGAGAAACGCATAGCGTCTACAAGACTGCATGAATACTTCACGCATTGCGCCAAACACAGTGCGGTCGGCGCAGCGACGCGACGGAAGTTAAAATTATTAAACCACATTTATGTTTGTTCTTTCATAATTTTTTCGTTCGTTTGTTATAAATGGAAGGGCTTGTCCAAATAGGGATGGGTTTACGGAACTGAACTTTCGCGTAAAGTTCCGTGAACTTTTGTTAGTGTTGACGGGGCTTTCACAAAAAATGTGTCCAACACGAGTAAACGCGTCTCATACACCGGTTCACTTATTATCTTAACGAATGAGAAGGGGGCGGAAAAATACAGGCGCCGCGGCCCATGGGCGGCAAGTAGGTAAATCCGGCCCTGCTTAGTTGCACTTTTCATTGCATTGTATCGCATATTTCCCATCGTCTTGATAAAGGAACACATTTTATCGCTTGCTTAAAATCGGCATCCATGGTAAAAATAATTTCAATTTTTGTTGTAATAAATCGCAAAATCATTTGTTTTATTGCATTGTGCTGCTAGGGGAGTACCTATACAGTTCATTTTTGACGTAATCTTTCCCAACAGGTTTTTTATGGACGCGAAGAAAGCATACAAAGGATCAAAGATTACATGTATAATGACTGTGATAAACCTTTAGTTTTATACGGCGAGGGAGGTTGTGGGAAAACTTCTCTGCTTGCGATGTCAGCGGGTTTAACCTCCTCTGAATGGTTCAAAGGGAAGAAACCAATCTGTATTGTTCGATTTTTGGGTACCACGCCTGACAGCAGTGCTTTAACTCCTGCCTTGATCTCAATCTGTCAGCAGGTAAGAAAATTCACCGAGAGCCCCCCCCCCTATTTTCTTTAAAAAAACTTTTTTTGACTCCTTTTCGAGGAACCTGCGGATCACATCCAGTGGCGAGGTGTGAATCATCGATATTTCCCCATTTGAAGCTTGCAAAGAATTGATTATTAAGGAATTAGTTGCGAACACCGTATATCGATCCTTTTCCATTGGTTTAAATGGCAGAGCAATAGATATATCGCAAAGCACGCCACGCCACTGATTACATCATGTGGCTAAACTGAAACCTTGTAATGGGAAAAGCTTGTGGAAAAAATATTCAACCGAGTCCAGAGCTAGTCTTAGAGCTACAGGTACATTGTTGTTAACTTTGCATTGTAATATTAAAAACGTCAATTTTCTTACTACAAATTTAAAGATTGTATTGCTGCATCATCAAAAGCAGCTTTGCTAAGATTTGGGATGGAAGCTTTTTAAATTTAACGAAGTTTTGTTTCAACAATTTTTCAATCAATTTTTTGGATTTTGAATAGAAAGGCAATTCTGAGGAGAGTATTTTGATAAACCTTAAACAACTAAGAATGAGAGAAAAGTACGTCAACGTCCGCAAGTATCCCCCCCCCCCCATTATGAGATCCATTGTTTCAACTAAATTGGTATAATTGTGTGCACTGAGCAGTGCTGGTATATGAGAAAGCGACTTCGATGGGATAAGAACAGAGTAATTTTTGAAGGAGCAAGGATGGACAAAGATAAAATCTTAACTCGAAAGAAACAATAAATACACTGGAAACCTTCTGTTGGATTCCTGAGAATTAATTAAAAACTTTCTGAAGCACTTGATCGTCTTTTGTTCATGATTTCGTAATATCAGCATCATCTATTGTTTAAAGAGGCTATCACCTACGTACTATTCTTCTGCTCCTATTTTGTAAAGATAAGAGATAAGTAAAGATAACTTAAAGAAAATAGTGTTCTTTTCTTTTTATTTTTTCATTTTTATCTCTTTATTTATTTTGATCTCCTCTTTCATATATATCTTTATTTATTTGTATCTCTTTATTTATTTTTATCTCTATATTTATTTTCATAACTTTATTCATTTTTATCTCTTTATTCATTTTTATCTCTTTATTTATTTTTATCTCTTTATGTACTCCTTTATTCATGTACTTTTGACGGATCAACCCCTGATGCTGTTCGCATCTATCTAATGACCGTGATATTCATCTGCTTCATTATAACCTTTTCTTTTTATTTTTCTTTTTCCCCCTTTCTTTATCAAATATATAAAGAACTACAAAATACATGTATTAACCCTATTTGTTATGACTTAATAACCTTTACGGTTAAATTGTTACTCTCGGAAATGTTCACCAACTCATAGCTTTGGTTTTCTAGATTTCGTACAATTACATGATTTCTTTTGAGGATATTCCGGATGATCTTGTTCCCTTAACCGCACATTTCAAGCATTTGCTCGTGAATGCAACACGGGAGCAGCCTCTCTTTGTGTTTTTGGACTCAGTTGATCAATTGACCGGCGCGCAAGATGCGAACAAAGTTTCTTGGTTACCCACTCGTCTTCCCCCTAATTGTAAGGTTCGTAATTTAAGTCACTTTTAGGGCGAACACCCCTGCTTTAAGTTTTCATCATTTGACTTTCATTTCAATGTTTACTTCTCCAAAAGGTGAGCGCAGGTCCTCCTGACCTGACTGCTTTATGCTTGAGGTACATATTACGCATTATACTTAGCTGACATATTTTGTAAAAAAAAAATAGAAACTTTAATAGAGGCATTTTGCTCTGTTCGTGTCAAAAAATTAAAATTAAATAATAAAAAGAAAATAACTCGAGAAAAGAAAAACAAACTTAAAACCATCTAAGTCACAATTAATTAAATATGCAGGTAGAGACTGACATCGATGGCTGAAGTCGAAAAATGCTTGCATCCTATTACGCCGCGGCGCGGCGCTACGAGCAACTATACCGTCTCAGAGGTATTGCACAGTATCATCTGAAATTGAAGGCGCACTACTATGTACTTACACTTGGACGTATTTCTATCGAACGGAACTGATGAGCCCCCTGGAGGAAGGGAGAGGGGGAGGGGCTTGATTGGCGGGTGTTTCAGAACGCGATGCTCCTTGCGTCCTATACTCGCAATGCTTTTCCATGGCGCTTAGTTCCGTTTGACAGATCGCGCTATCCGGGATTCTAAAATCCTCAAAAGGAACTCAATTTGGCGCTTAGCTCCTTTTAACAGAAATACGTCTACTCATGACTGACTGGCACTGTTAACAGTGCAAAGATGCAGCGGAATGAAGCGCAATTGTCGGAGCCGTTGTTAAACGTAGTAATAGAGGTACGAATTTCGCGATCGACTTGCTACACTCGCTCTAAAGAAATTATTTCATTAATTGGGTGCTGAGTACAGCATGCAAAAATTTTAAACCGAAAACCATTGGCTGAAATAAGACGAAAATCTCTCTAGTGATATATGCATACCTTGCTTGTGTATTTTAAAGTGCATTGTTTGGCGAGTGACTTCGGTTTTGTTTTTTCGGTTCGTTTTTTGCAGAGTGTCTAACCGTTTTCGTTTTTTTCTCTTTTTCTCTCTCATTTAGTTAATCGTATCTTGTGCTGCAGAAGAAGATAATGCTGAGGTATCAACGGAGTATCATTTACTCAGACGTATGATCGACGTACCTGAAAACTTCATAGAAGTAACAGCTTTGGGAGAAGAGTTGGCGATGCAAGTTGTTAGGTTTGTATCTCCTCTGCCTATATGTATTCTTAATTCAACACACGTAATGGAGGCTGTGATGAGTCAAACATTTTAGAAATGAGGAGATTGAATTGCAAAATCAATAATTGAAATACAATTTCTCCAGATAAAGGAACTGATGGGGGTGAAATATCTAAATACTTCAATATCGAAAACGCACGCACAACTGTTTTTACTGGCATCCAATTCCCTGTTTGAATCAAGACTAAATAACGTATACGAGAGTATACTATCGCAAAAATGAGGTTTGTGGGTCTCATGCCTATTAAATCATACATTTTACGTACAGAAATTTTACCTGAATTTGAAGACACTAAATTTTCAAGGACAAATATTTTTCTTTACAACTTGAAACCCTCACAGAAGGGATTATGAAAAAACTCGCATTTATCATTCGTAGAATTAGCGTTCTTTCAATCTTTCTCGGTTAACATTTAGGTATGGCTAAAAATGATTCACTTTGACCACTTTTACTTTGAATGGGCCATGAGTGAAACATTAAAACAAGGAATTCAAATAACGTGAGTTTTGGCTAAAACACGAGAGTATCCAGGGTACAAATTCAGCCCATTTCCCAACCATTTTTCACTACCCGTCAAAAGAATCCTAAAAAATTCGAAAAAGCTCCACCCTAAGTATCCTTATAATAAATGATAGTGAGAAATAGGATCCAAAGGAAAATGCACCCAAGATGAAGCTAATTGAAAAATATATAAATTCTTTCGCCAATTTCGTTGACGGGGACTTGAACGCAAGTTTAGAAAAGTTAACTTCTTAGTTTTGGGACGTATTAATTGCGACGTATACATTGCTTCAAAATGTAGAGGGCACACTTGTGTCCTCCTATAAAAATGAATTTAACTCTTAAAACTGACTCAATTTTTTAGAATGTGGATGAAAACAGCTCATCGGGATTTGACCAATTACCAGTGGAGGTTAGTTGCCAATGCCATCGGACAGTGCTCGCTTCCGATATTCGTCAAACTCGTTTTCGCAGAAATTTGCCGATGGAGAAGTTACACCAAACCTCAAGAGACTCATTTAGCCTCCACAGTGATGGACTCAATCATGATGTTGTTCGAGCGAATAGAAAAACAGGTGACATCTAGTGTTTTCTTCCTTTAAAAAAAAAAGAAATCTTTTTCAGATGATCCTATAAATTTTTTGATTCAGCGTCTGAATGGAGATGTTGCATGTGTGAGGAATTTGCGATTTGACTGTTGATTCTTATGTAAAAGTTCGCGAGAAACACGATGGTGCCACTGGTTTTCTCTGAAATCGACTCCCAAGCTCAAAAAAAGCTCTCAAGTTGAGGCCAAAATGGAGGGGATATCCCACCCTACCTTGAGAGTCCACGTCTACATCAAGACAAACTCTCTATGCAAAGAGAGGGAGGAAATACATTGACAGGGCTGCCACTTTATTTGGGGACTCCAAAACTGAAAACACGGCAACCCTGCTAATGTATTTGTTCTCTATCTTTGCATGGAGAGTTTGTCTTGATGTAGACGTGGACTCTCAAGGTAGGGTGGGATATCCCCTCCATTTTTGCCTCAACTTGAGACCTTTTTTTGAGCTTGGGAATTGATTTCAGAGAAAACCAGTGGCACCATCGTGTTTCTCGCGAACTTTTACATAAGAATCAACAGTCAAATCGCAAATTCCTCACACATGCAACATCTCCATTCTTCCTACAAGGACTAGAAAAATTTGATGATGCCCTTACTTAAACACCGATATACTTTTACCTGACTCCTCGTTAATCGTGTTTCTTCATTTGCGTTCGCAGCATGGGCGTATATTGGTTTTTCATGCTTTGGCCTACATTACGGCCGCCAAGAGCGGGTTATCCGAGTCGGAATTGGAAGATTTAATTTCTCTTGATGACCGAGTGTTGGACGATGTCTATCAGTACCATTTACCCCCTGTGCGGAGGATACCCCCTCTTCTATGGACCCGTATACGTAATGATCTGCCTAATTATTTATCGGAGCGAGAGGCTGATGGTGTTAGCGTCATGAATTGGTATCACAGGTGAGAGGCGATTAGATCCTTGCGATTTATTTCCTCTAATTAGAAGCGGATCCAGCAATTTGGCACCACCGGTTTTCCTTTGTTTAAATCTATGTTAAATAATCAATTCTAGCCGAAGCACCAAGCCCCTCCGATAATCGATACATTTCCATGGGCTTAGAGAGAAAACGCTGTTGCCAGTTTGCTGTGCCTATCCGCCAATGCCTCTAATCGTTATAGTTAGTCAATTTTGGCTTCCATATTTACGTATTTTCGTTGAAATTAAAAACATTCCGCTCCCTTTCCCTGCATTAGAGATGGAACCGAGTCAAGTTTGATCTTATTCCAATCCACTCGAGGCCGATTTTTTCCATTGGCGGATCCAGCAATTTGGCAACACCGGATTTCCTCCATTAAAACCTACGGAAAAGTATCGATTCTTGGAGGGGCCAGGTGCTCGATAAGAATCGATTATTTAGCATTGGTTTAAATGGAGGAAATCCGTTGTTGCCAAATTGCTGGATCCACCTCTGATTTTTTACTCCAGTTATCAGGGTTCAAAATTTCTTTAGTTCACTCTAAATTATTTTACTTGTCTCTAAATTGGAGTTTCTTTTTATCCTATGAACTAGTCAATCGAATAGACTTATCATCATCAAAGGACGGAATATCGATGCTGAAACTGCCAAACTACGAATCTCGTTTACGGTGTCTAAAAATGCTCGCTCCTATTTTATTTTCTTAAAAGAGAAAAAATCAACACCATTTTTTTAAAAGTTATTTTCGGAATTTGCTTCGCACTGAGAAGAAAAATCACAGAACTTTTTCAGAATTAACTTTGAGTAGTTCTTCATTTAAGAAAAAAAGCATGACAGGGAGTCTATGGCGCGACGTCGCAAACCGAGATATGTGGTTTGGGAGTCTTGACGTCGATATTATTGTACTTTATTTGACGCATCCGCAATTTTTTTACTGTCATGAAGTCGTGCTTCAGTTACGATGATTTGTGAACTAGTGATTTAACATTGAAAAAAAATCTTTGGTGCTTATAGCCAGATAGTATGTGACATTTACCATCTTGGATTCCCAGATTCGACCCCTGAGAACAATTTTGCTACGAGCAAAATGATATGATGGTTAGAAACCTCAAACCGCGATCAGGTAGGCGTTGACAACCAAGATGGTAATTCGCACCAACACTGCTGGGCGGGCGCGCCGTCCTCCGTAAACGTCCCGCACAACGTTGCTGAGATAGACCTTCAAAGTTGGTAAACTGACCCATCCGGATGTTTAGTGTATCAATCATGAAAGCAAGGAGAACCTAATATGTTGTGTTTTTAGCCATAAAGAGGAGTATTTTCTTGTGAAACATACAGCCAAAAAAATTGAATACAAAGGTGTGCAATGTCGGGGTTCGCAGCTAGGGGATGGTGGACAAGGGTTAATCGCGTAAATAAATTTCGAAATCGAGTAAAATGAGACTGCAGTTCTTATTGTCAGGTGCTGTAGTCGTATCCGACCTATCAATTTTTTTTAACCTAACGCGGGGATTGAACCTGGGACCTATCTAACCTTAGCCGAAGGCCCTAACGATTGAGCTATACAGTATGATGAAAATCTTGACCGAAAAACCTGTACATAGCTTCGATTTGAATGGAAAACCAGGATATTCAATCTACATGTACATACTTAGATTGGTTTATTCATTTTTCTAATTTTTGTATTTCATTTTATTTTTTAACGTTATTTCAGTTTTTCACTTTATTTTATTTCGTTACTTCATTTTAAATTTTTTACATTATTTTTTTTCTTTACGTAATATAATTTTTCTTTGATTATTTCTTTTTTATTTATTTACTTTACCTTATTTTTTTTCTCTTTGTTTCTTTACTTAATTTTAATGTTTTACTTTATTGTTTTTTCTTTACTTAATATTATTTTTCTTTGATTATTTATTCTTTATTCTTTATTTCTTCCCTGTATTTTACCGTTACTTAGGTACTTTATTTTATTTCTTGCAATTTTTTTATTTTTTTACTTCAATTCAGTCACTTCACTTTAATTTTTATACTTCATTAAATATCTCTTCGTTGTTATTTATAACTGCATTTTATTTATCTATTTTTCTTTTTTTCTTTTCATGTCGAGAATCAATTCAAAATTTTCAAACTAGGATTATTTTTATGATTGGCTAAAGTGCTTCCAGCATTGGACAAATAAGCCCAGGCTACTTACTCGAACAATTGAGATTATGTAGAATAGAAAATAAAAAAATTACCCCTCTAAAGTACTGAAGCCTTGACATGGTATTAAATACTAGGGGGCCCTGCCCCCTGACCGCTACGCGGCCCAACCCCCGGGAGGGCGCCTCGCGCCCTCAGGCCCGCTTCGCGGGCCCTATATGCATATGTATAGGCAAAAATGTTCTTCCATTTTAATACACCATTTTGTGTTCGAGCTGCATCGATTTCAAAATTTTTGACGTAACACTCAGATTTGTAAATGATGAGGAATAGCTGGATGTACACAATTTCACAGTCCACTTACTGGAGAAATTTCCGTTTATTATGTTATTTTTAAATACTTAATTTTAAAAAAAAAAATCGGATTTCGACCGTTAAGAGTTAATAATATTTGGTCCGTCCCGACGCGACGCAGCGCCTGCCTTCTCACTTTGTATCTGCTGTAAATATTAATAGAACTTCAGCAATCAAGTAAATTGACCAATGCCACAAATCGAAGCCGGAAGAATGCAGGAAAAATTGAGTTAAACCTTATACCTTGGACCTTGGACCTTGAACCTTGATGAGCGATACACCGTTCCTCAACTCTTCGAATGAGGAGCCCTTCACGAGCTTTTCCATTGTTTTATTGTTTATTCGAGTCACTCAGGTAGAATCCCATACCTTGACGTTTCTAGCGGAAACGACATATCTCTCACGCTATTAACATTGGACTTAAGTGACATGAGCTTTAAAAGCTCTACAACATTAAAAGTTCGGGGTTTCATAATTTTTTGCACATCTACATCTACTACAGATGACATACATGTAAAGATCATCCTTATCGGTCCGGCAGTTCGTCAGAAATAGTGCTTCCAAGATTTTGCTTGTAGCTGTATAATATAGATAGTGCATGCCTAGCCTACTGGTAAACCTGGGATGTATAACTTAACGACAGCATACAATTGACAAGAAACATTGTTAAAACATTAGTAACAATTGATAAATTTCTGCCATTTCCTTGGAATTTTGAATGTAGAAAAAAATTGATTTTGAAAACTATTATTAGTATCAGGGACCTTTGGCCGCTACGCTGCTGACAACTAATGCGGAAGAAAACAACATACGTAAAAAGTCGTAGAACAACCGTGTTCAAGTTATCTCGGAGATTAATGGATTCAAATACCGTCAATGTTTTATTTTTGATCAATGTTTTTAAAAGAATACACACTGTTATTCTGATCTAATTCTGATGAGTTTCCGCAAATTTTCCCGAGTGATTTAAAATAGATAAAAGAAAATTTGACTTAAAACGCATAATATCCGAAATCTAAGCTCAGATTCGGCTTCCTCGTGAAAAATCGATGCAATTTCATGTATCATATGTCACCATATCATAAAGGAAAGAGATTAACGTAGGCATGTAGATTCTAACATATCAGTCCGACGTGGCAACATGGGTGATTCGGAGTGGGTCAGCTGATGAGTAAGAAGAAGTTTGTTTTCTCGGAAACGGACGAACCAAATGCTTGACGTCGGCGTCTGGCGGCGTAGCTCAAACGTTTGAATTCTTTGCCTGCTTCCGCATACCGGCCGGCTTTGATAGAATCTTTACGCCTACGATTACCCTCTTTTCTTTATGCTATGGTAACATATGATACATGAAATAGCATCGATTTTTAACGAGGAAGCCGAATCTGAGCTTAGATTTTGGGTATGATGCGTTTCAAGTTGAATTTTCTGAATTTGAAAATTTAAGACGGCGGACGTAGCCTAAATTGATACATCGGCTCCCATTCCATCGGTTAAATTCGAATTTTTAGTCTAATTTCGAAAATTCGAAAAACCAAGGTGGCGGGCGTGGCCTAAAACGCTATCTCGGTTCGTGCTCGTCGGATTTTCGTAAAACTTGGTGCCAAGGGGAGGGGGGGAGGAAAGAAATTTTCAAACACTGCAATCGATATGTCGCAGGCAAATAGTAAAATTAGGCATTTTTTCAAATGCCTAGGCAAATAGTCAAATACTAGGGGGTATGCCCCCTGACCGCTACGAGGTTCAACCCCCTGAAGGCGCTCCGCGCCATCAATGGGCTGCTTCGAGGCCCTATTTTTTGCGGCGACTTTACCGTCGCCTGAGCCAGGGACGGGAAAAGGAGTAGGCACGCTCCACGAACATATTATTACACGCTTATCAGCCACACAAGGTGGGTTGATTATGAATTCTTGAAAATTTATCAACATTCTTTCCCTAATCAGCCCATATCTGATTGCATTCTTTGGTGACTCAATGTTGGTAAAGCGTAAAAAATTGACGGGGCAGACTACTAACAAAATACTTTGATTGAGTTATCTGAGATGGTGACCTTCATAATCAACAAGTTTATAATTGGACCGCGTTAAACAGAAAGGAACCAAGCCACATCAGCTATTGCCAAAGTTAACCGGGCCATTTAGTTTTTTACGAGAGGACGTTTGTGTGGATTCCTTTGAAATTTTTAAGGAATTTGCTTCGTGCTATGGAGAAAATCCACTGAAATGTGCACAAAAATCCGCACAACCGTTTTCATGTAAACATTTAAATTGCCCGATTAAATTTGGCAATAGCTGATGTGGCTTGGTTCCTTTCTGTTTAACGCAGTCCAATTTGCACTGACGCTTTCTGTAGTTCAATGAGCCCACTTAACCGAGTAGCATCTACCAAAAACAAGATAGGTGAAGCGCAAGCGCACTCTTTGGTGCAATGAGTCAACTTGATGGAGCAGTTTACCATCAATTTTGTCTCGGTGAACGGATTTGTAATAGCTAGTAGCAACTAATTGAAAATGATTGATTTCTCTAGAGACGTTGTGGACAATACAATGCCGTTGGCTATTCTATCAATTTTTTCATGTATGCGGCACCAACTTTTAATTAACAAAACCAAGATGGTTATTACAGTCATTTTTTTCCGTGAAAAAGAAACTAATTTAAAACAAAATGATAATTATAAACATTCGTAGGTGTTTTTTTATTCACAACGCCCACTAAAAGATAAAGAACCACGTTTGTTAAATTCGAGACTCGAGATCTCCAATCCCATTGGTTCCCGCCAATTCAGTGCCGCGCTCGGCAAAATATACAAATTGACGCGCCAATTTTCAAAAAAGCGGGGAGTCCACTCGTTGCGCGACTCTGAGAATTCGAGACTCGAGATCTCCACTCCCATTGGTTCCCGCCAATTCAATGCCGCGCTCCGCAAAATATATAAATTGACGCGCCAATTTTCAAATAAGCGGGGAGTCCACTCGTTGCGCGACTCTGAGAATTCGAGACTCGAGATCTCCACTCCCATTGGTTCCCGCCAATTCAATGCCGCGCTCCGCAAATTATATAAATTGACGCGCCAATTTTCAAATAAGCGGGGAGTCCACTCGTTGCGCGACTCTAAGAATCGGCGCATTACCGGGCTTTTTTCAGGTAGTGCGAAGTCAAAGGAGCTCCGAGACCATGAAATTCAGATTTCTTGGTGTCAATTACCTAGAACACCACCTTTTCCCGGAGAATCTACGTCGATTTTGTGACAGAAGAGCAACTGCAACCTGCCTCGAGAGGTTACTTTTAGGCGTCTAATGGGTCACTTTGAACTCCTGGGGGTCAATTAAGATTTACATGTTTTGTACTTTTCAATTTGGATGCGATGAATTTGCGATGCAAAGAGCGAAAAATAAAGAAATTATGTAAAATTATAAACCGCTAATCCGGCGTGGACGTCCTGTGAAAGGTTGGCGACAAGGGGTGGAGGAGGAGATCAGAAGGTGCCAATTGCCTGATGATCTCTGGGAGGATAGGGGGCAATGGCGATTGGGCGTCGCAGAGCGCGAGGCGGCGCTATAAAAGCGACTTTATGTGTGTGTGTATAAACCGCTAATACAAACCTTCCATTTCATTAAATGTTGATCGCTCATAATCTTGAACTTACGATGAAAAAAATATCTCCACAGGCAATTTCGAGATGCGGCAAAAGAAAGGTATTTCAAGAACATGAACATGGCTCTTTATTTCCACTCGTCCATTGCCGATTACTATCTTGGGATATGGGGTGGTGGCAACCCAAAACCATTCAAATACACAGAAATTCAAAGGCATAGGTAAGGTTCGATATAAACAGTAGGTACAGTGAAATTCTCAAAGAATTATTGACAAGTGATCATACCGAGAGCGCATGATGTAACAAGGCTAGAAAAATCATGTTTTCAGCGGAGTCATATTCGATACATCAGATGGGTGAGATTGTATCGATATCGATTGGTTCAAAACATAAACATAGCCTCAAAAGTCAATTGGGTAATTTGACGGAACGGGTTTTTGTGAAAGATGTTTGATTCGTATATGAGTACTAATTGACCAAGGATAGGGACATTGCTACGAAATTTCTCAATTTCAGCTTTTCTGACTATTATCTTAAAATTTTTGTTTGAGGTTATTTTCTATAGTTTTGAACCAAACGATAAATCGAACCACTATCGAATACGACCCGTTGCTATTCACATTAGAACGCCCATTGGAATCATGTAACTGCCTCATTAATATTTTAAAAAAATTAGTTGAAATGTATGCAAACAACAAAAGATGTATCATAATTACTTTTGACCACTCCACCGAATCCCCCTGATGAAGTTCATGTTTCCAGATGACTATTCTAAAAATGAGCCGCACTCATCAAAAGGGAATATCCAGGTACCTTTGTGAAAAATAATCCTCCAAAGATATGAAGTTTAGAATATGCAGTGAAATGATTGATCATTATTGCCGGTTGCAGGTTCAATTTAACAGACAAAGAAGGCTCAGCCGATCGAAAGGTACCCGTGCAGCCTTTAGTTTTTTATTCAAAGGATGGGAAAGTCACCCGTTATAATTTACGAAAGGTTAGTCTGAATAGTGTTCATAATACGCCTCTTTCACTCGTTTCCAACATTTGCTAAAACACGCAAAATTTTGGAACGTAGATCTAAAACCGACAATATTCTTATTGTATGAACCACATAATTTGTGGAATAACTTCTTCAGACAGAGAGTTGGGAATGTAGTTAATGTGCGTCACAATTCAGAAAACTGAAAATCTCAATACAGAAGCTTATTCAACTACAATTTTATTTCAAAGAGATACGCTATTGAGATTTTCAGTTTTTTGAATTGTAACGCACGTTGGCTACCTTTCCAACTTTCTGTCTTTACGACCAGTGTGTCTACCGCAATCAGTTTTTAGTAAATTTTTTGAAAAGCAACCAGTACGCCTGTCTATACTTCGATCAATTTCACAACGAAATGCAGGAGATTATACGAGTAGAAAATAACGAACATTTGGAAAGTTAGTGCTTTAATAGCTTTAAAGTGACAATATTTTACGACACTGATGCTTTCAAATACTCTATCAAGCGTTAAAACAAGCTCCTCTATCTATTTGCTGTCTGCTATTGTTCGTAGTGAGCTCATAAAAAAAGTCACTTTCATTTTATTCTTCTTGTACACGTGTTGAATATAGAAAGCATTATTCTCTCGTATGTTTTCTTTCCATAGTTCGGAGAGCTCCCATACCATTTTGTGCGATCTCGGCGTTTTCAAGATTTGTACAAAAATGTTCTTTTCAACTACCAGTGGTTGCACGCCAAACTGTCTTCATGTCCTCTTCAAGCTGTTTTAAGTGATTTTGAAGACGCGTGCATGAATATTGAGGATAAAGAGGCAACTCGGTATGAAATTTTTTTTAACTTTTTTCCTTTTGAAATGAAACCCAAAGGCTTTTCTTGGCCATAGGTTCAACCACAGTGACTGATTGACGCGTAAAAATATAGTAGTTAAAGAATAAAGAAGCTTTACTATCTAAAAATTTGAATAAAATAAAATTAACGTATTAAAATTAAAATTAGATAAATTTCTAAGTTTCTGCAAAGACTAATTTCTAAAAATCCGGCCATTAAATCAATCGAATCTCAAAAAGTCGTAGTCTGTCTCAAAAATATAAGTTTCACTAGCAGCCGTGCTGAAAACGACCATGTTAGTGAGTAAAATGGTACCTTGTCGACACCAACATGGAGACTACAACGCAGAGTAGAAAAAACACTGAGGCCCCGAGCTAAAAAAACAGTCATAGCCCGTCTCGAATATGAATTTTACGAACATTTCAGCAAAATACGACCATATTGGTGAGCGGAGCGTTGTATCATGTTGACGCCAACATGGAGACTTTAACGGAGAGTATAAAAAAAGTAACGCGTTGATTTCTCTCCTTGCGTCTCATTCTTTTGAGTCCGCCATCAATTATTGTGATGGCAATATGCGCGGCGTGAGAGTACGAATAGTTGCACGCCGCGCCGCGTCATGATGTTGCCACTTTCGTATACAGTCCGGGCAAGGACCAGTAGTCTCCCAAGATGTTTAAAAAATTACGTTGACCTCTCTTTTACAGAGAGGAACTTTCCTAACATGTTTAACTTTTTCAACAGCCATATCCCCGTGTTTTGTACATACTCCGATATTGTTGAGACATTTTAAAAGACACTAGGTAGCGAATAGCTTCAAATTCCCTCATACTGTATACCAAAATTTTGGAGAGTATCGTTTCACTTTATTTTGTAACGAACTTTTCTAAATGTGCCGTATTATCCTCATGATCCTCGTGGTTCCAATGGTGCTCTCGAATGACGGACTCGAACCTGGGATAGCCTAACTCTCACTATTTATGTGTATAGAGTTGTTGTATGTATATACGCATTGATATCGTATAGAAATTTTCACCTCGAAACTTTAGATTTGTGTTTTTCTGTGAGAGAGGAAATAAATTGTGAAACTTATTCCCTCTGTCAAAACTAAAAATATTCTAGAGCCGTGCTAAATTATTCATAATTATGTTCTCTACTCCTACCTTGAGTTGGGGGAGCGACTTGGGATAGCGACAATAAAGGAGGCTCGTAGACTTTGAGAAGGCTTTTAGATAATCCTCTCCAAATTGCTGAGTGTCTTTTTCCCACCCTCAAACCAAATTATTGTTTGCTTTTTGATTGAAATTGTTTCTGCTCCTATATTGGAATTTTTTTCGTGTTCAAATTTTTTTAACGTATTTTTCTGTTTGAATTTTGCTCAGGCATCGATGGATACATNGGGGGGGGGGGGGGGGGGAGAGGTTGTTTTTGCAGTTGCGCTGACTTCTTTGAATTTTGATTTTTGTCGAGAATTTTTTTTGCTTTGTTGGTGCGTATCATTGAATTTCAGTAAGAACTTTGATGGTTTTTTGTTAGGACCGGATCAGCTGTGGCTGTTCACAAATTTTCAAATCCTGGAAGGATGAAAGGAATGTAGTTTCTCATTTACGAAATTTAATTTTAAAAGTGGGAAATTCACTGAGACCACTCGTGCAACTTTAAGGCCTTTACCTGAAACTGAATATAGAGAGCTGAAGGCGAAACAAGTTGTTTTCAAAGTCATTCTTTCGATAGTTTACTGTCATCTGAAACATCACATTAATTTCGATCTATTATTTTATTCATTCACGTTTAATTTTCAATAAATGGTTGATTTCATGCATCAAATTCATATTTTACTAGGGAACAGCTAAGAGCAATGAAAAGGTGAGCTGCGACGCGTGAGTGCAATCTATTATTTTGTTTGCTGCGTTTCTGTATGCATTAATTGGATCAATGCAATGCCAATTCTCATTCTTCGATTTGATTATTTGACTATTTGCTTTTCTCTCTTCAGCAGCATTACGTTTGTGATCTTATTTCCTTGTGTTTTATGTTTGAAATGTTACTGGCATCAGTACTCACTGACAAAAATCATTGAAATGCTCTTTCTACTTTAAATGCGTCTAAATCTATCGCTTTAAATCTGAAAAAAGGAGTTCAGTGAGTTCTGAACTGGCTTCTCGTGCGATGACTTTAAAGAATGATTATTATTATTAATTATGGTCAGAACAACACAATTATTTTTCTCCCTTTATTCCTGTACCCACCTATTTTACTAATCTACTGACGAGTCTCTAAAAATCAGTAATCTCAACAGAAAATTAGAAAGATGAAGCCAGAGACTAGTTTAAAATAATAAGCATCATAAAATATTATTATAAAATTGCTAGTCAGACCTTAAAATAAAATATTGTGACCAAAAATTGAAACGTCCTCTTAACTCGAACGGCAAAATTTTAACGTATTTAAACTCCTCTTCAAACTCACTGCCCTCCTTCATCAATTTTTTAACGCTTTCTGCCTTCTTTACGGAGCTGAAATGGATGATACGATCGACTCCATTGCCTTTCAGCTCACAATCATATTGCATACATTTTATTTACTTCTCAGGTGACTCAATGGTCTTCTCTTCTTGCGGCTGCGCGTTCTGCTAACACAAGCATGCTGACGTTGGTTCTCCTGGTGTTATTCTTTCACTTTCTCTTCTCTGCTCAGTTCTCTCTCCTAATTTTACTCGTTCTTTATTTATTCTTTTTTTTATGATGTAAATCATAATCACCTTCTTAGTTTCACTATTGCAAATGTTTGAAGATGAAAGCTACTCAACATCGCCCATTCTAATCTAATCTCTATATCTTTTCTATCTTATGGTGCAAATACTATCACCAGTTTCTCTCTTCCTTTTGACGCTATGCATTCTGCACAGGATGACTAAGAGAACATTCCTCCTGTGCTCTTTGCCTTTTCGGTGGCTTTCAAATGTATTTACAAAACTATATTCTGTGATGTAATGTTCAGAACTAAATAAATTCTGATAAATTACCAGTCACGTAAAGTTACTGACATAAAAATAAGGGAATCGTGTTCATTGAATTTAACATCTCTGAAAAAGGCCAATCAACGTTGGAGCATACTGTGAGGAGAAGAACTTTTTTAGCACGATTAGTCCAATTTCTCTCGAGTGTAGAGATGATGCGCCGAGCGCCGAACGCATCGCTGTGTGGACAGAGGTAAAAAATCAGAGTGCCTTCAATTTTTCATACACGCAACCTGGATAACAATGGAGATGTTGCATGTGTGAGGAATTTGCGATTTGACTATTGATTCCTATGTAAAAGTTCGTGAGAGACACGATGGTGCCACTGGTTTTCTCTGAAATCAACTCCCAAGCTCAAAAAAAGCTCTCAAGTTGAGGCCAAAATGGAGCAGATATCCCACCCTACCTTGAGAGTCCACCTCTACATCAAAACAAACTCTCCATGCAAAGATAGGGAGCAAATAAATTGACAGGGCTGCCACTTTATTTGGGGACTCCAAAACTGAAAACACGGCGACCCAGCAAGAGTATTTGCTCCCTATCTTTGCATGGAGAGTTTGTTTTGATGTAGAGGTAGACTCTCAGGATAGCGTGGGATATCCCCTCCATTTTGACTTCAACTTGAGAGCTTTTTTTGAGCTCGGGAGTTGATTTCAGAAAAAACCAGTGGCACCATCGTGTTTCTCGCGAACTTTTTCATAAGAATCAATGGTCAAATCGCAAATCCTTCACACATGCAACATCTCCATTGAGCGCTAGTATAGTTGCATTCAGGTTTTGTCATATACAGCACATCACGTGAAGGCCGTCGACTGAGATATGTAATGACAACCTAATGTTCACTAGAAAGAAGTCAATATATTGGCCTTTTTCAGAAATTTAATAAAATATCGATGTTCCCCAAACAGATTTTTGCAATCTATAAATGGACCGAGTTTCATGAAAGGGAATCAGATTATATATATCAAGATCAAACAGTGGCGAGGTGTGAATGATCGATTATCGACATTTCCCCATATTTGGAGCTATGGTAAAGAATCCATTATTAAAGTGTTCGTTGCGAACACTCTGTATATACCGATCCATTTCCATAAGTTTAAATGGCAAATCAATCGATGTATCGCAAACTGAGATCAAACCGAGAGAAAGGGGTTTGAGGTTTAATGCTTTTAATCGCCTTTCAAAGTTAGAGGAAAGGTTCAACGCCCATTTCAATAATGTTCCTCTCCTTCAAATTTTTTAAATGTGTGGCTACTTACGCTGAAAATTACTTTTGACCTATCCCTCCCTCTCAAAACGACTCGGTTCATTTCTGTTCAATTCAGTTTAAATGAGGCCATGCGCTCAGTGGCGTGGCATGCTTTGCGATATATCGATTGATCTTCCATTTAAAGCTATGGAAATGCATCGATAAATGGGGTGTTCGCAGCGAACACCTTGATAATCGATTCTTTATCATAGTTTCAAATGGGGAAATATCAATAATCGATCATTCACGTCACGCCACTGCATGCACTTAGTTACCTCTTTATAAATCCGCCAAGCTGACGTTCAATTAGAAAGATTACGCCAACTTTGGCCGTGTTCACGACTACTGCGGACACAAGTCTATCTGCATGATGGAATTTTTATCGCCTCAGCATAAATTGATCCAATCCTGATAAAGAGGAATGAATATTAGGCTTAATTTTCTTGGTCCTTTCAGCAAGCTTTTTTTTTATTATTTTATCTAAAAACCATTGATCAAATGATTCAGCTTGTTTACGTTTCATAATACGTCGTTCCTTCCACGAAAGGACGTAACTACATTCCATTGATGCCACATTTCGCCTCGCTAATTGCAATTTTGACAGGAGAATTTTGGCATTTTTAACGGAAAATTTCACTGATTTTTCCTCTGATCTCGTGCGAAATTGAGTGAGATTTCGAACAAAAAGTTCATAGGTATATTCATCTTACACTGGAAAAAAACACATTGTATCTAGAGTCCAGGCTCTTAAAAACATCGACAAGAAAAAATACTCTTGATTCAATCAGATTTAAGCTAAAATCAAGAACCAAGCCTCTTACTGTGAGCGGATTTCCTTTTGATTTAAGCTTAAATCTGATTGAATCAAGAGTCCTTATTCTTGTCAATGTTTTCAAGAGTCTGGACTCTAGATCCAATGTGGGTTTTTTCAAGTGTAAAACTTTAATTGTTTGAGTCAATGTGGCAACCTTGGAATGGAATTACGTTCCCTCGTCCGGGAAACGACGAATATTGCTACGTTTTGTTTAACACATTTTAACACTGTGAGAAATAACGGCTGAACAGGGAACTAATGCTGGTGGCAGATGCTTTAAGACTCGGAGGCGCAATTTTGAGCGTCTACCCGGATATGTTGGCCCCTCAGCTGATTGGACGTCTCCTTCCTGAAATTGGATCGAATCCCAACGTCAAAAGCCTCTTGCGAGAGTGCGATGATAAGGGTCCTGAAAACTGTGCTTTGCTGCCGTTCTATCACTGTCTGCATACACCAGGTGGCCCTTTAAAGGTACATCTGGCTCATTTCTTCCTTTAACTTCCTTTTTTTGTAACAGCAACGTATGACAAATAGTTTGATGTGTTCCAAGGCGAGTAGTATTCACCTAATAACACCAGTGGCCTGGCGTGCTTTGCGATTTATCCATTGTCACGCCATTTAAACCCATGAAAAAGAATCGATTATTAAGGTGTTCGCTGCAAACACCCTGTTTATCGACCCTTTTCCATAGGTTTAAATGGTCGATTAATCGATATATCGTAAAGCACGCCACGCCACTGAATAACACTAGCCACTTTTGCCGGGGTCGGCGTGATCTGCCAGCCGTGCCTGTGTAATCACGCAGGAGGCATAATTCCGGCTATCTTTTCATTCTTATTGTTCACTCAGTTTAATTAACTTTTTACATTATTTTTTTCAAATTTTTATCTTTTTCATCTTTCTCTCCCCTGGTAAAAATTGGCGATAGGAGCTGCATTTCAAAAAATCATAGGAATTCTTATAGCCGGCTAAAGAAGGCAATAGAAAATCATATAGCTGGCTGTAGAATGCGGAGCAAATCACATAGCCGGGCTATACGAAGCGATAAAAAAGTATGCAGCTGGCCTGTAGTCCCTATCGCCGGGCTTTACACTTTATCGCCATCGGCTATAAAAGGCTATAGGAAAGTATGTAGAAATTCGTGTGCATTGGAAATCATTAAGTTTGATACGGAGCCAACATAATATTCACAAAACACACATTATATCTTCCTTTAATACATATTTTTTTTCATCAATTAAAATGAGAATAATCCATACAGGATGTGCAAACATTTCAAAATCATGAGTTGAAAAACGCTGACTCCGCAAGATTATATTGGAGCATAACACAGAGCGGAGCGGCGTGCTGCCAGCGATGAGCTCGCACCAGCGCCTACAAACCTAACTGGGATACTTCTAGCATGGCGCAATGCGTGAAGTATCCCTGTTAGGTTTGTAGGCGCTAAGGCGCTTTTCGCGCTGGCTGCCCGCCCGCCGCGCCGCAGCGTGCCACGGCGCTTGAAGCAACTATTTCACACCAGAGGTATTGCACAGTATCATACGAAATTGAAGGCGCTCCAACATATTAGGAATGTCAGGCATCCTTCGAAAGAACGGAGCTTTCCTCGCAAATTAAATCAAGATACTACGGCCCAAAAATAGAGCGGTAGTGCAAAAACTCACTAAGTCCTAGCATCCGTAATTAGTAACATGTAGCATACACTTTATCGCCTGGCTGTTGCTCAATCGCCATCGGCTATGAAAGGCTATAAGAAATTGTGCAGCCGGCTATAGAAGCTATTGAAAATCTTACAGCCGGCTTTAGGTCTATGGTATTTTGGAACATAGATTCTACTGCCAATTTTTACCAGGGTCGTGTCCTTTTGAGGGGCGGGATCTGATTTTGAAAATATTAGAACGATCTTATTTCTTAGATATCACCCTGGGTAAGACGTACCTCCCCATCAAAAAGGGGGAGAGGAATCAAGGTGCTCCGTCAAAATTTCCTCCATGCATGCCTGCCTTGCTATCAAACTTGCCTAAATTTAAAAAATAAATAAAATAAGTAAGGCATTATAGTTAGTAAGAAAGGCAGCCAGCAGAAGTTTGGAATAATATCCTTTCAATGGTTTAGTTTAGAGATATAGCAAAGGTATCAAGACTTAAAAAATTTTAAAACAAATCAATGTACCAATGCTATCAAGTTTGAACCAATCTACGTCCTAAGTTAAATGAATAACCAGAAATATTGATGAGATTAGGGCTGGATCAAGAATATCACCGTTTAATAGCCGTAATATTCTTGATCAAATGATTAGTAGAACATGAGCCAATATGGCAGTTAAATCGTCTAATGATCTCAGCTGACATCAGTAGCAGATTTTACTGATAGAATTTGAGATTAGTAGAAAATTTAACTGTTCAACCGGTATATCCAAAATTCTCTATGGGTTGGTCATTTCATTCAGGAATTTGAAACCACTATTTTCTTTCCTAATTAGGTCTCGTAGAAAATGATCAATAAACCTGGACCTCCCCTCCCCGACTTGATTTACTTGTCGCTTCATGACAGCATAGTAACGTTCAAAGCAGTGACGTGGTGTGCTCTGCGATATATCGATTGATCTGCCATTTAAACCTTAGGAAAAGGATCGATTAAAAGGGTGTTTGCAACGAACACCCTAATAATCGATCTTTTATCGTAGCTTCAAATGGAGAACTTTCGATAGTCGATCATTCACACCCCGCCTTTGGCATAGCGCATATTATCACAACTGAAATCCTGCCTAAGCATTAGGCGGCGAACACCGCCAGTTACAGTTACATCAGTCACCCCGCTGAAAGAAAAAAATTAAAAAAAAAAAAAAACCTGTGGGTTTGTAATATGATCGATTGGTTTCAGTATTCTTTGGAAGGACATCAATTCGCTGTCTTTGATTTCTGCCTGACCGCCGACTACAGATACATCGTTTCGATCTCTAATAAGTTCATCACTTGGGACCTCTCGACGAGTGATATGACACGAGACGTGAATCCTGGCCTCGAGGGTATAATGCAAAAGCTGTGCCTCAGTCCGGATAATCGATTCGCCGCTGCTTACACCAATAACAATCAAGTAATATATTCTCAATCTATTTAGTCATTGAGATTTTAATGAGTGCTATTTGAACTAAAAAAAAGAAAGAAAAAAGAACTCAAAGCTCAGAAAGTATACCGAAGTAATAAGCGTGGTTATATGTCAACTTGATGGTTCATAACGTTTAGATTTTGCAACAATGCAAAATCTAAACGTGTACATCATTAACATGTAAATCATCACGTTTTCGAGTGTTATTAACTAATCCTCGTTTGTTGCAAAACGCAGATTGGTTAGAGCTCACAAATTTAGTTAAATGAAAGTTATTTACACGCAAGGCCGGATTAACTTACTTTCCACTAACGGGCCGCCTGTATTTTGCCGTTCCTTCTCGTTTGTTTTGAAACATCGATACAAACCATCAAGTGATCGTACCGGAGGAGGAGGGGTGCGTAAGACGCGTTTACTCACGTTGAGCACATTTTTTGTGAAAGCCCTGTCAACATTAGCAAAAGTTTACGGAACTTTGCGCGAAAATCAAGTTCCGTAAACCTATCTTTGTGTGGACGAGGCCTTTCATTTACAAGAAAAGAATGAAAAAAATATGAAAGAATAAACATGAATGTGGTTTAATGATTTTAATTTCCGCCACCGGGCTAACCGCACTGTGTTTGGCGCAATGCGTGAAGTATTCCGACAGTCTTGTAGGCGCTATGCGTTTCAGGCCGACCGCTGCTGATCGCTCTGTTTTTGACGCAATGCGCGAAGTATTCATGCAGTCTTGTAGGCGCTATGCGTTTCACGCCGACCGCTGCTGACCGCTCTGTTTTTGACGCAATGCGCGAAGTATTCATGCAGTCTTGTAGGCGCCATGTGTTTCGTGCTGACTGGCGCGCCGAGGGCTTCTCCTTTCCATCTCAAGTCCTCGTCATCATTGCTCTCTGCGCCGCGCCGCGCCGCTCCAGGCCAATTTGCGTGTTTGATTTCTTGCTAAACTAGACTAATGAAAGGCGCTGTCTCTTGTATCACCGAAAGACGAACAAATTAGAAATTACTATACTTTAACTCTCAGGAAATGAGAGATTTTATCGCCTTTCTCGTTTGAAATTTACTTTCTGGATCGCCTTTTCTCGTTTGCAATTCTTTTTCTGAATCAGATATTTTTCTTGATACCTGCATTTGAAAAAATTACAACATTTGCCGCTCCCTAAATTTGCCGCCATGACCTGCGGCCCATGTGGCCACCCTCTAAATCCGGTCCTGTTTACGCCGAGAAATCTGACATTTAAAATTATATTTTATATTAAGAGTAAAATTTAGATACGTGGTTCATGGGTATCCGATCCGTCCGCTGTGCGCTAATCAATTCATAAGAAATCTACAATATTACATTTTTTAAAATTTTTATAATCAGTACCCGCATAATTTTCTCGAAATTCTGTTCAGACAGTGTTACTGAACTGCTTGACGAGTGAATTCATTGTGATCAACAATCCTCTATCAGAGAATGAAAACGTGGAAGGAGTATTTCTTCTGAATGCACATTTGTTTATTCATGGTCCTGCCTCTTGGTGCCAACTGGATATGAGAGGAAACGTTGAAAATAGGTAAACTATGAAATTTTGTTTTAACTACCAGAGTATAGCGAGTAATAATTTTTAGAAAGCTGCAATACGATCAATTTCTTTCAATTTTCTTTGAACAAAATGAATGTTGCTCCTGATAGAGCTCTTTACGCAGTCATGCACGTTTACGTGACGAGTAATAAAAGTACTATCCTCCCAATTTTAAAACATAATTATTTGTATTTAATTTCACATCTTAATATTTTTATAATCTATTTAAGTTAAATAACTTAAACCATTGGATTAACAATAATTGAAACTACAGGGATAATATTTAAATATTAGTTGAGGGGGTAAAAGGAGTCGTTAGAGGGGTTGGTTACATGATTGCCTGGTTTCTGAAGAAACGATTGAGGGGCATGCATCTTATCATGATTTAAAATTCGGTGGCGTATTTTGCGATGTATCGATTGATCTGCCATTTAAACCTATGAAAAAGGATCCATAGACAGGGTGTTTGTGACGAAACCCTTAATAATCGATTCTTTACCGTAGCTTCAAATGGGGACTTATCAATACTCGATCGGTTGAAAATGCGTCTCATTATAAATTAGGTAATGTAATTGAAATAAAATGGACACTTGACCAAGTCTTAAATCATAGCCTAAAGTCTTCTTTGATCCGATACAGAAGATTTTCCGTGATAAATCCTTCTTTCCTCCCCTGGCATGCTTTAAAAGGCGCTCTGACAAGGAAAATAAAATTGATCTCTCATTAAAAGAATCGCATATTTTTCGTTTCGCTCCTCCCTCTCACCTAAAAAATCACTTACGCAGTTTTATATTTAGGCTTAGTGCATTTCTCAGACTGAATTCCTGTCGGGTGGCTGATGGCATCGTAATATTTTGGTGTGTCTTCTTGTTTGGTTGAAGTCGTAAAAGTCCCGAAAATCCAAATGAGTGGCCTTTACTGTCATTGGAATACACGACTTTAGACACTTATCAGTTCCTCTTTTGGTCCGGATCGTTAGACGATTCAAGAATGTTGCTCCACTCAGCAAAATATGGAGCTGATTTCGATCCTCTACATTTTCACAGGTGATGTACTTACCACTCGCATTTTCTCTTGCCATCTTACATCAGTGGCGTGGCGTATTTTACGATGTATCGATTGATCTGCCATTTAAACCTATGAAAAAGGATCGATAAACAGGGTGTTTGCGACGAAAACCTTAGTAATCGATTCTTTACCGTAGCTTCAAATGGGGACTTATCAATACTCGATCATTCACGCTTTGCCACTGTCTTACATTTTCTTCTGTTTAACTACATATAGGCGGTGAAACTCCAAAATAATATATTTGGAGTTCCGACGTCGCAGAATTCCTGTCACACTTTATTTTTAAAAAGCTTCTGGAATTCTTCTTCTCTGTGCGAAGAAAATTCTGTGAGAACTTCAAGAAACGATGTTGATTTTTTTTCTCCTTTAAAAAAATACAACAAAAAATAAATAAATTGAGAGTGAATGTTGAAAACAGCACAAACTATGTATGTGGCCTGAGAGTTTCGCCGTTGAAATGTACACAAGTCAAACTACAATCGGAAGAATAAGTACTCAATTTTTTCCTTTCTTTTTTCCATCCCTATGCTCTTAATTAGCTATGTATTCAATTTCTCAAAGAAACTACTTTGGTGATTTTAAGATTCACAGCTTTTAAGATAGCCATTTCTGAAGACAGCAGGGCGACCTGCGACCATTATTTTATTTCTGAAATAGGTATGCTATTTAAACCGTCAAATAAAATAAAGTGTTTAATTTAGAGTAGGTAATTGTGTTTTCCTTGAAATTTGATTTATGCAATTCGTGTGAGTGCTGTGATACGCTCACATGTTTTTAACGCTTTTAGGAAGGCTCACAGCATATCTTAAGTAAATATACAGGGTGATCCAAAAGTCCCGCACCATCCCTTTAACCCCTAATGTTATTGACTCTTTTTTTAAGAATGACTCCTCTAAAGTTTTGTGGATTCCCAAAAGTTGTTATCTTTGACCTAGGAGCACTCACAAAATTTTAAGTCTCCATCTCAATTTGTTCAAAAGTTACCGGGCTGATGCCTGGTGCGAGTGGTGCGAGACATTTAGATCACCATTGTATGCTCCCCGATCTGTTTTAAATATTAATTAATTTATGCGCTCTCATTGTTTGATCCCAGTGCCATAGTTTTAACGAGTGATAAAACGAAACTTTTCTGTTGCTCAGAAAAAGGAGGGTATACAATTTCCGAATTCCAGGCGTCTGAAGATTCCAAGAGGTGGGAATTCGTCAAATCTTTACCGTATCCTTGTAAGTAACGTTGCGTCGTTTACAAACTCTTCTACAACTTAAAAATGTTTCGCAAAGAGTTAGTTATCTCTAAGAATGTTTTTGTTTTAAAAAAATGCAATTGGTTGTTGATTTTTCTGGTCGGCGGGGTTATAGGACATTTCGTCAACGATTTTTTGTCCGCGCACCTGTTTTTTTCCAGTAGGTAGTTTACGTCCACGCGTTTTTTCGGAAGGGGAGTTTTGGTCCACTTACTTTTTGAGACCCAAAGTTAATTGGTCCACATGTAAATACAAAAGACAATTGCTTACGACGTTTTTGGATAAAAATGTTAATGTCTTGGAAGAATGAGGGTTTGTTTGTTTGTTTGTTTGCCCCAGCGAAGATTTTGAGATTTTTGGTAAAAATGGGGGAGCGTCAATTCCATGAGACAAAATTCACTAAAACTCTCTACACCTCTTTGGTGCAACAGGACTTAATCATCTTTCAAGAAAATCCCATATTTTTAAACCTGAACTGGAAAACCTTTTGATTTGCCTCAGATAAAGGATCTCATATTTTTCCTGTGCAAGATAACTTCGCTTCGGCACTGGTTTGCCGCAGCGCTTCGAGCTACTATTTCGCCACGGAGGTGTTGCACAGTATCATATGAGATCGGAGGCACCCCAACGTATCATGATTGATAGCATCTTTCAAAAGCACGAAGTTCCCTCGCAAATTAAATCGAGTGACGAAAACAAAAAGAGAGCGGTAGTCGAAAAACTTACTTTCCCAGTATCGGCATTTAATAACGTTTAGTATGATTTTTAACTTCATTAGAGGAACAAGTGACCTAATTTAAGGAAAAATATCCTCAAATTTACCGCCGAGAAGATTTCCTTTTGAGTTAACAAAGAAAATGATGTTTTCTTAAAGAAGAAAAGATGCTTTTATAAAAAGGAAAGTCACTTACATCAAGCAGAAACCCGCTCTTGTTCACCTATTTTATTCTTGATTCAAAATAAAATCTTCTTGACGGCATACTCAAGAATGTTCCCTTATCTCGACTTATTTTGCAAAGAAAGTTTCGAACTCTTAAAGGATACCTGTCATTCTTATTGTTGGTATGTTGGAGTGCATTCAATTTCGTATAATACTGTACAACACCTCTATTGTGAAATAGTGAAGCGCCGTGGCACGTGACACGCTACGGCGCGGCCAGCCAGCCAGCACGGAACACGCATTGGCGCCTACAAACCTAAGGGATGCCTCAAACATTACGCAATGCGTGAAGTATCTGCTTAGGTTTGTAGGCGCCCGCGCCAGTGCGCGTTTCGTACTGGCAGTACGTCGCATCACTCCGCTTTATGCTAGGGCCTTTAATTTAAACTCGCGGAGTCAGCGTTTTTCAACTCATGATTTTTATATGTTTGCACACTCTGCATGGATTACTTTAATTTAAATTGATTAAAAAAAATATAGATATGAAAGGAAAATTTAACGTGTGTTTTGTAAATATTATTGTCGTATTTAATAATTTTCGAAGCACATTCATTTTTTCTTTTATATTTTGTGTTTTTACTGTGCTGCAGCGTGGTGTGATCGCAACCAAACGCTCAAAATAGGATGTATTTGACTCTGAAAGATCGATGTACAAATGGGCTAAAACCGAAGATTGCGTGCTTCTCGGTTTTTTCCCTCTTTTTTTCATTCGTGCATAGTTTCTTTCGACACAACTACTGCTCATTGACTTTAATATCGATGCCATCGCTTGGAAAAGGTTTTACAAATATTTGCCACGTTTTAAAAATGTAAATGTTCTCAAAATAAAGCAATATTTTCATTAAAAAAATTATTTATAAGGTTTATTTTTCATCGAAAATTTTAAGGATGGAAATAAAACCAAATATTCATCCATGACAATTTAAAAAGATTGATCAAAAGAGGGAAATTACAATTCATTTAAAAAATGGGTGACCACAAAAACTCTTCCCTTTCTCTCAATTTTCTCTTTTCATTTTTGTCAATATAATTTTACGTATGGACTAAAGTATGACACTTGGACCAAGTCACTGTTGCTTATTTCACGCGTGGACGTAAACTACTGGACAAAACAGGTGTGCGGACAAAAATCATTGACGGAATGCCCTGAAACCGGTCGGCGATGATGAAAAAAATTGCCTTCAATGAACAAAGAATAATGCAGAATGAATAGTCGCACATCGAAAAAAATGGCTTCAACCTATTTTCGTAATTTTTTGCCTGCGCCGTTCGTGAATAATTCGGGATACAAATGAACGAATAATAGACGAGTGTGCTACCCTGGTAAAAATGGCAAGTGTTAGGTCAGTGAATTTTCCACTGAGGTCAGTGCAATTTGCTCTGAGGTCAGTTCAGTTTTCTCTGACGTAAGTGTTAAAGTACTTACCCAAGAAGTCAGCACTGAGGTAAGAGGCACTGACGTCGGGAGAAAGACTTACCTAATTGCAGAGATGTCTCTGAGGTAAGCGGGACTGAGGTCAGGACTTGGTTCAGAGGGTAAGTCTCTGACATCAATCTTAATCGAACCGCACTCACTCCCAAAAAGTAGAGATGGCTCCCCCTTCCCCCACCCTATTTCATTTTCGTGGGGGAATATTTCTTCGGGACACGGGGACCACAAACTTTATCTTTCAGAGAGGCATATTTTGTAGAAGGTGGGATTTTCTAAGAGGGAAGGAAAACTAGTTTAAGCTAGACTAAGTTTTTGAATTTTAGTGCGATCCATTTTTTTTTTTTCAAAGAAACGTAACTTACAAAACTTCATTTACATGTTGATTGATTAAAAAAGAATAATAGAAAAATTAAGTATCGGATTCACATTCAAAGACAAAATCATCATTTGCTGGCAAAATTACCCCAATGGGGGCCCTGAAATGGTAAAATTACGCCCCTAACACGTACACGCGCAGGTAGTGTAGTGGTTCAATCGCTAGGACGATCACCGAAGTTAAGTTACGTCGGGCGTAGTTAGTACTTAGATTGGAGACCGCATGGGAACGAGCGATGTCCCCTGAAGATTGTGATACTTGCTTGGGATTAAAAACTCACAGCAGCCCTCCCTGATCGTCAAATAGTGACTTAACGTACCTGGCAGATCGGTAATTAACGAAATTTTTGCCTGTACAGTATTTCTGGGAGTTTCCACTCCGCTTACGTCTGAGACACTTAGGTCAGTGCCACTTACATCAGAGGCACTTGCCTTTGGAACAGACCTAACACTGAGGTAGCAGATCAGCGCCCGGCAGCACTGACATCAGTGCTTAGGTCTGTTCCAAAGGCAAGTGCTACTGATCTGAGCACTTGCCATTTTTACCAGGGTATCCTTTCTGTGTTTTTATATACTGTCCAGTAAAATGTACATTTCGGCGATATTGCAGGCAATGAGACTGTGGAGACACTGTTGCAACTAAAATTTGATAAAGGAGAAAGTGTCCTCTTGGGGACGACAGCAAACGGTTTCATTGTGTGGCATTTGGAGCAAGACACAGCTATCGCACTGAGTCTACCTCATGGCGTTCGAAATATTTCCACTAGAATATTGAGCTCGAATTCATGTATGCTTTCCGCTGCTCATGATTACGTGGTTGCTGGAGTGAGGTAAATATTCCCTCCTATAATTCTCTAAACAATAAAATAAAATGCCGAAAATGGTCTCACATTTCTTCATTTACATCATTGCTGTTCATTTTAGAAGGGGATGCGCCAACATCATTAACTGCATGAGAAGTTACCTATAAGAGAAAAATAAATACTTGTATCTTACAAACATGTCAAGCCTCGTCCCCAATGGGAAGGCTCATAAATTACCTAACGCTCAAGAGGGGGGGGGGGGCAAGGGGTCA